TAACTTCAGCACCAAATAGCCCTAAATCGCCTACCTACGCCCAAGTTACCGCCACCCCTCTAGGCTCTAAGCCTTCAGCACCTACAGGCTCCAAGCACCCTACGGCTTCAGGCTCCAAGACCCCTGTACCTTCAGTACCTACAGGCTCTAAGCACCCTACGGCTCCAGGCTCCAAGTACCCCGCACCTTCAGCACCTGCAGGCTCCAAGACCCCAGCACCTTCAGCACCTACAGGCTCTAAGCACCCTACGGCTCCAGGCTCCAAGTACCCCGCACCTTCAGCACCTGCAGGCTCCAAGCACCCTACGGCTCCAGGCTCCAAGTACCCCGCACCTTCAGCACCTACAGGCTCTAAGCACCCTACGGCTTCAGGCTCCAAGTACCCCGCACCTTCAGCACCTGCAGGCTCCAAGCACCCTACGGCTTCAGGCTCTAAGACCCCTGTACCTTCAGTACCTACAGGCTCTAAGCACCCTACGGCTCCAGGCTCCAAGTACCCCGCACCTTCAGCACCTGCAGGCTCCAAGACCCCAGCACCTTCAGCACCTACAGGCTCTAAGCACCCTACGGCTCCAGGCTCCAAGTACCCCGCACCTTCAGCACCTGCAGGCTCCAAGCACCCTACGGCTCCAGGCTCCAAGTACCCCGCACCTTCAACACCTACAGGCTCTAAGCACCCTACGCCTTCAGGCTCCAAGTACCCCGCACCTTCAGCACCTACAGGCTCTAAGACCCCTGTACCGTCAGTACCTACAGGCTCCAAGTACCCGACGGCTCTAGGCCCCGACCTCCCTACAGGCACCCGAAGGATTCAGACCCCACGGGGTATTTGGTACTCGATTCCAGGGGAAGTAGACGCTATACTCCCAGCGTACGACGGCCCTACAGGCCCTGAACCAGACTCCCTCCCAGGCTCTCGACCCCCCACGCCTACAGGCTCTACGTCACCTACATACGCCTAAATCGTCGCTACAGGCTATATACCCCCGAAGCCGTCCACTAAACGCCCTGCAAGAACACCCTCCCCAGGGGCTCAACGCCCTACGACACGCCAAAAGATAGGCCCTACGCAGCCTATAGAGCCTATAATCAAAGACAGCTCGTCCGACGAAGATCTTTATAGTGCCTCTACAGCGCCATCGTCCCCTACCCCTAGCTTTGAAGACGCTATCTCAACGCCTATACCAACTACACCTACCGATAAGACGCCTACCACACCTAGCCTACCCTCTGATAGCCCCTACTTCCCTCGACTATCACGAGTAGGCTCCCCTATAAGCAACCGAAGCTACTCACCCCTAGAACCACCCCCTAAAGCTCCCCAAGCTTCAGCACCCTCTCACGCTAAAGAGCCTATAATAATAAGCTCTTCTCCCCCAACAACCCCTACAACACACCTACCCTCCAAAACTACCACAACTCACCTACCCTCTAAAAACACCACAACTCACCTACCCTGCGAAACCTCCACACCTAGCCTACCCTGTAACCCAACACTCCAGGGCCGTACTATAGGGCCTACAGCGTCTAAACGCCCTATATCAACACAAGGCACAGCATCTTCAGCGCCTAAACGCCCTAGAACGTCAACACTAAAACGCCCTACCGACCCCCTCACATCTGAGCTACCCTTTGGATTACAACAATCGATCCACTGCCCCCAGCCTCAGGCTACCTCAGCACCTACACCCCTACACCCACAGGCTTCCTCAGCGCCTACACCCCTAGACGAGAGCGCTAAAGACCACTTGAACGCTATAAGCTCAGCGCTAAGAAACCCCTATATGCAATCCCTCATGAGATATAGCACTATTAAGGTCCCTGAAACACGTCTCCACGCTAGGCAAGCAGCGCTATTTACAGAGGCCGCTAATCGAGCGGCTTTAGCGTTCTTACGGCAGCCTAGAGAGAAGCAATTACTGGACTTTTTACTGCTTCCCAGGGTTCTCGGCCTAGGATTACAGAAGGAAGAGCTCGCTAAAACGCTGAAAGCCTACCCTACGACTATACCGGATATCCCTGAAACTCAGGGACCTCCCCCTGAACTCCCTACCCCCTCAAACGACTCCCCCGCTAAAAGAGCGACTAAGCTTCTGGAAAAAGGCTATATAGGGCGTGCCTCTAGAGCCCTAATCGACCCTACGCCTCTAGCTCCTAGCACTCCAGAGACGCTAAATACGCTATACTCGAAGCACCCTATAGGGCATAATAACCCCTTCAGTAACGCTAACCCCTCCCCGGGGCAAAATATCACCCCTGAAACGATACGACAGGCTATTCGATCGATTAATAGAGAGAAAGCCCCTGGCCTCAGCGGCTGGACCCGCCCGCTACTTGATATAGCGCTAAATTCGGAAAACTCCCCTGTAACTATAGCGCTTACACACCTAGCGAATATGATTCGACAGGGTACAGCTCCAGGGGTCGACCTCCTATGTGCTTCCCGACTTATAGGCCTTCAGAAGCCTGACGGAGGTGTGCGACCGATCGCTATAGGGGACCTTATTTATAAGGTAGCCCTAAAAGCGATCCTTATCAGCTCCTTCAAGCCGTCTATGCTTCTACCCTGCCAATTAGGCGTTAGCACCCCAGGTGGTGTAGAGCCTATAATCTTCCTCCTTGACGACGCTATTACCGGCCCAAATACCCTAAAAACTCAGCAAATCGCCTCCTTAGACCTTATCAACGCTTATAACCGAATCGGACGAACCTCAATAGCAGCTGCAGTCGCTAAATACGCCCCTACTCTCTATCGGACCGCTAAATGGGCCTATAACCAGCCTTCAGTGCTAGTAACAAACGAAGGCCACACGCTAGCAAGCGCTGAAGGAGTACGCTAAGGAGACCCTATTGCCCCCCTCTTATTCTCTCTAGCGATTCGCCCCCTGCTAGAGTACCTCCAAAAGACCCTACCGAAGGCTACAATTATAGCTTATTTGGACGATATCTATATCCTTAGCCCTGAAACTACAGCACTACTCCCTGTAGTTATAGAAGCCTTCAGGGACTCTCCAGTAGCGCTTAACCGCCAAAAGAGCACTGAAAGCCCTATCTCCTAGTTACAAACCACTGGACTTAAGGCCCTAGGGACCTTTATAGGCCCTGTAGCACACCGCCGAACGTTCCTCCAGGGGAAAATCGACACTCTCGCTACAGCGCTATATACCCTACGAGACCTCCCTAAACAACACGCTACCCTACTCCTACGGGGTAGTATACACCTACTCCTACGACACTTACAGCGCCAATTGTACTCGGAAGACCTACTAGACCTCTGGAGGTTAGCGGACCTACGAATCAAGTACGCTGTACAAGCCCTAATCGCTAGGGAGCCAGGGGAGAAGACTACCCTAATTCGCTAGGCTTTACTCTCTCTTCCAGTGAGAGAGGGAGGCCTAGGGCTCCCTATACACGCCTTATTAGCCCCAGGGCTCTATAGGGCAGCTAAGGAAGCCTCTCGATCGATTCTAGTGGCTATATGCCCTAATCTCTACCCGGAACCCCCTGGACGCCCTGTACCGACAGCCTAAGAGGTCTTCTCTAGTGTTAACCAAGACCTAGAAGAGAAGATTCTACCTACTCTATCAAAACAAGCGCTAAAATCGAAGCTTGAGAACGCTAGCTACCTCGGACGATACTGGCTTAGAACCCTGCCCACGCAAAAACACTACCTTTTAGCGGATTCTACAGTTACCGAAGCACTACGGACTAGGCTCTTACTCCCTGTAAAGCCCCCTATTTCGCCCTATACCGCCTGTGGAGCCTACCCTTAAATAGGCCACGAAGACACCTGTAGAGGTGCTGAACGACGCTGGATTATACGCCATAACCAGGTTACCCGTGCATTTATTACTACCCTTTCTAGCCGGGAAGACCTTAAAGTGGAATCGGAGCCTACGCCAGCTAGAACGCCTATAGCCCTAGAAAACAGCCAACGACCGGATTTTTCAGTGCTTATAGGTACTTCTAGGCACTATTACGACGTTCAAATAGTAGCAATCAACAAGGATTCAGCACGCGAAGAAGCCTATGCTACACTATCAGAGGCAGCAAACGCTAAACGGCTTAAATACAGCGACTTAGGCCCTGTATTTCACCCCCTGATCTTCTCGGCAGGAGGCCTAATGGAAGCCGAAACAGCGAAGACCTATAAGGCCCTACAGGGCCTATTAGGGCACTCTAGGGCTAAGTGGTTAGACGGGTATATCGCTAGGACCCTAACTCAGGCTCGAGGAATCGCTGCAACCTCGATCCTAGCACGTAGGTAGCTTATAACACACGCTATACCTACCCTACAGCACACACTACACCTACCCTATAACACACACTACACCTACCCTACGGCACACACGCCACCTACCCTACGGCACACACTTCACCTACCCTAAGTAACTCACACTTCACCTACCCTGTGATACACACTCTATCTACCCTATAGTACACACTCTACCGACCCTGCGACTCACACTCTACCTACCCTTTGGTACACACTCTACCTACCCTATGGTACGCACTCTACCTACCCTGCGACTCACACTACACCTACCCTGTGGTACACACTCTACCTACCCTGTGGTACATACTCTGCCTACCCTATGGTACACACTCTACCTACCCTGCGACTCACACTACACCTACCCTGTGGTACACACTCTACCCACCCTGTGGTATATACTCTGCCTACCCTATGGTACACACTCTACCTACCCTGCGACTCACACTACACCTACCCTTTGGTACACACTCTACCTACCCTTTGGCACACACTCTACCTACCCTCTGATACACACTTTACTTACCCTTTGGTACACACTCCACTTACCCTGTATTATCTCCTTCTGTCTTAGTACTCTACCTTCTGTACCCCTGACACCTTCAGGCTCTTACCCTCTGTATTATTAGTATAGTCCTTCTGTATTTCAAGACTATTAGAGAGAGATAAAAACACTCGTCGCAAGCTAGCGTAGTTAGAAACAAATATAACCCAAACCTCAAACCCTAAGCTACATATTTTTGACCCAGAAGGCGACGTGCTTTTAACATGCGAACGTATCCAGGAGATTGACGTATAAGAGTTGGTTCTATCCACGGCGGCATCTCCACTATCGGCAGACGTTCCACATCGGCCAAAGGCTGTCATGAGTTCACCACATGAGGCGACATCTCCATCATCGGCGGGTGCCCCAGATTGGCTTGAGGCTGAGCCGGAATCTGTACGAGACAAGTTCCAAGCAGAGACTGCCAATGCTGTGAATAGCTTAATGGAAATTTTGCATTCGTCTTGCTCTTCAAGGCGGAGCTCGAAACCAAGGTTCAGGGTTGAACAAGTCCAGATGCGAGTCTCATCGAGGCATCTCACCCTCGCATCGCCGACCTTTCGAGCTTCTCTAGGCTCTGATGCATACCCCGAAGGTTGGGCTCTGCGGAGTGAAGGTCACCTTGTTATTCCACTGTGTGATGAGGATCCAGATGCAATGATTATTCTTTTGAGCATCATCCATGGATTATCAAGTAAGGTTCCTCGCCGAGTCGACTTGGATATGCTATCCAAAATTGCCATCGCTGTCAACCACCGGCGAATGCACGAGGCGGTAGGAATTTGGCCAGACACTTGGATGGAAAAATTAAAAATGACGAGGGGTTATCACACAGCTATTCGCCGAATACACTTCTCTCATGGTTGTTTATCTTCTGGGTGTTTGGAGAAACAGAAGGATTCCGCCATATATCTGGAATACTAGAACGAGAGAGTGGTAGTAGTCTGGAGAGTGAAGTGAGAACCTCCTTCATTGACTCTCATATTCCAGCTTCCATAATCTGTGAGTTCATGATTTAGCTACCGTACCGACAGAACATACTAAACACGTAATAGGCAGTATTCAAGAGCATCGCTTAGATCTCATTGAGAGTATGATAACCGTCATACACGACCTTATCACCAAATATTCTGGGCCTGATATACTCTGCAACTACGGCAATGGCTTCTCCTGCGATGCAAACGTGCTTGGGTCACGTTTGAAGGCATCCGCTATGATAGGATTATGGCCGCGACCGCAAGATCCTTATCTAGGGATAAATCCAAAGCGACTGGCAAGGCAGATTCGAGAGATGAACGTGTTAGATGAATGTAGAAGGCCGGGTAAGAGACACTACGATACCAGTGGATGCCACGAGATCAGAACATTGATTGATGCATCAATGAAATCCTTGGAAGATCGCATACCAGGTCTTGACTTGGCATCTTTCTTGCCCATACCTGATAAAAAAGGTAAGCAGAAGAATTGACACAACTCGGGTTAGATAGATATGTGAGGATGTATTCCGAATGGACTCAATGACAAAAAAGAGTTCACTGTGAATTATAAGAACGGGGCGATGGCGGGGAGGAGGGTTGGACGGTAGCTTTACATGTAACTGATCCGGGATCGCCCAGAGCTGTCCCAGTTGAAGATACGAGATTGTAGGGGGATGGATTGATTCAGTGTTTGAAGTAGGAGAAATCAAACCACTACCATCCTGAATGGCCAGAAGATTCATGCCTTTGAAAACACCTCTGGACATGATTGGGTTGAATTGTAGTAGGATGCCTAGGAGAATCTCTACTACAGGTGGAACTGCTGCATGTAGAATTTTATTCCCTACTAGCTCTGCTTAATCAATATGTTGGCTGACTCTCGGAATTTCTGTCGTCCTTGGAAATATCAAGACTGTCCACTCTCTGTCTTTGATCAGAGTCAGTCATTTGTCTCCATTCTTGCCCATATATCACATTCCAGTCATTTAATACAGATCGGCACATGTCTGATTCGCACCGGCCACACTCGCAGCTACACAGAACCCTCACCTGCCGGTCGCTCTAGACTTCTCGTTGAGGCACACCCAGCATCTAGACACAGCGGTGAACATGAAATTAATCTTGATTATTAAAAGCTATTCCTTGGTGTACCGGAATCTATTGTGATAAACGCCTGACCAACCCACCCAACACTTAATCAAGTCAGAAATGAAAAAAAGCTCAATTTCTGTTCTAACGACACCTCCCTTCAATTATATACATCAAAACAGTATAATGCTCACCATCCATTACAAAACCAAGCTCAACACCGCAATAACCACCAAAGAAAATGCAAGACCAGGACCAAAGGTCGACGCTGCACCAGTATACATCACAGGCGACCCAGTTCCGGTTCCGGTTGGGGTGTCGACATATGGGACAGTTGGTACATCAGTAGCAACGCCGCCATTCTTGCCTGATTCTTGTGGGTAGACTGTCTGGGTCTGTACGGGTGGACCTGCTTGAACGGGAGGTGCGGGTGCGGGTGGTGCTGGTGCGGGTGGTGCAGGTACAGGCTTGTCATATGGTCCACCAGGAGGCTTGTTGTCACCCCCACCAATGGTACCTGGAACGACTGGTTTACAGACGGCACAGGGCTTGACGGTCTCAACCACTGGATAGACGGGCGTAGTGCACGATGGGTCGACGGTAACAACCTGAAGAAGTCAGAAAAATGATCTAGCATTTGATGGGAAAACTTACTTGGTAGACAGTGATTTCTCCTGGAACGGCATTCTTGTGCTGGCAGACACCGCACGCGACAGTCTTGGTGACGTATTCTATGCACGTTAGTATCTAAATGGGCTATGTATAGATTGATCTTACTGGTAACTCCATCCACAACTGAAGTATCCACATAGGTGGAAGGAACGGGTGCCAACGGCGACGTAAGAGTCTGAGTTTCGCATGTTGTTGTGTGTACTGAGTATGTTAGCTACCGTAGAGTGAAGAAGACTTTTGAGCTTACCCAAGTTGCCGTTGATCTCGATGGTGATGTAAATGATAGTGATCTGGATTGTGATCTCAATACCAATGATGATGGAAGGAACAGTGGGGATTGGTCCACTGGTGGAAACTCCAGAAGGTGGCAAAGTACCCGACACGGTCGAAGATGCCGACGAACACACTGTATGGTTGTTAGTAGTGATACCTGGAAAGAATGGATCTTCATACCTTCAGTACTTGGGATCAGTACAACTGGCACACAACCAGGTATCGAAGAAACTTGAACAGTATAACTTGCTTGTAGAACATTGCCAAGTAGACAGAACTGTGCTTCTGAATTCAAGAACGCAGCATTGCTCCATGACAACTCCGGTGTCAATGCGAAGGTGGTTTGGATGTCAGCGGGATCTGGTGTGGCATCAAATTGTACTGCCGAGTATCCAGGGCTGGCAACCACGGCAGAAGCGACTGTAACAGCAGAGCCCGACACAGTTTCAAGTCTACCGCTGGCAATCACAAGTGCTACTGGAGGTGAATCAGTGCAAGCCTCCGTGGCTATCAACTGATCGCCAACCAAAGACAAGTATGATTGGCCTGCGGTCTGTCGCTTCTTCACACTTGGAGCAAACTGGACGGTAAGGAAGAACGAGTTGGAAGTGCTGCTGGGAACCGAGCCCGAGGTTGAACCTGAAGCTGTTGAGCCCTGGTTCGTGGTTGCGGTACCACTCGAAGTAGCAGGTGATCCAGTGGCTGTGGCCGAGGTGAGGTCAGTGGTATCAACTGGTGGACTGGTAGTGGCTGACACATCTGTTGTTGATGAGTTCCAGAATCTCATGGATGTTGACACGAGATCAGAAGTGAAAGATACGGGTGTTGTGGTACCGGGTTCAACCGTGCCTGTTGGTGCTGTAGTTGGCTGCGTAATTGATTCGTCCGCAGTTGTTGAGGCCGTAGGGACGGTTCCTGAGACAATATCGGTGGGCGATGACGTTGAGCTCTCAGGCGGAGAAGTCACTGATCCCTCAGCAGTACTAGTAGTAGCTACATCGGTGTTCGAGGCAGTTACGGATCCCGACTCTGGGACACTGGTTGAAGAATCCGACGCGGGGACGACCGAAGTGGTCTCCGTTGGCTCAGTCGCAGTTGTCGATTCAGTCCCAGTTACGTCAGCTGCCATCGAAGTAGTGGAGAAATCCTCGCTAGACGTCGGCTCAGCAGTAACTGATGCTGGACTTGTTTCCGCAGAGGTGACCGTAGGCTCGGCAGACGAAGACTCTGTCTCTGACGCAAAGCTGACAGTCTCAGTCTCAGTCTCGGTGTCCGTCTCGGTTTCAGAGGACGACTCTTGGGTGGTGGAGGGAAAGTCAGTAGAGAAAGTCTCCGAGGCGGTGATTGAGATATCAGAAATACTGGCGGTGATCGATGGCTCAATCGTAGTATCGGTTTCGCTTGCTGTCTCAGTCTCTGTACTAAAGGACTCCGTTGTCGAGCTGGGGATATCACTGGTGTTTGAATCATCGGCGGTGGTGGAAGAATCGGTAGCCGAGCTCGAGAACTCAGTCGTGGAACTGAAGAACTCGGTGGTCGAGCTTGGGAAATCACTCGAGGTAGAAGACTCCGAAGCGGAACTTGAAGACTCGGTTGTGGAACTGGAGAACACCGTCGTCGAGCTTGTTTCAACAGTGGAGCTAGACTCTGAGGTTGAACTAGCAACAGTTGATGAGCTTGAGGATGGAAGCGGATCAACGACTTCGAAACTGAAGGGATCGCTTCTGGTAGACATCAAACCTTCAAACGTCCACGCAAGGCCGGTGAATACATGGACGCCTAGGTCAAGCTCGGTATTTGCCGTAATGGAAAATGTTCCATCACTACCAGTCTGTCCAGATCCTGCTATCCTGTTCCCTTCAAAGAGGATGATGTTTGCATTTGGAAGCGCAGAGCCCTCAATAGCTGGTGTTCGAGAACTTGCAATTGGAATCTGGTTACTATTCAGACCTGGGCTTGGAGCCACACCAGTAAGGATTGGTGCTTCTGGTAGAATAGTGATGGTGAAAGGTGCACTGAGTTCAGATTGGATTCCTGACACTGATTGTCTGGCAGTAATACCATACACACCTGGTGGTCCTAGTAGCGTAGTTGTCACTGCGAATGCGCCTGTATTTGCATTGGCAGTACCAAATCCAATCAAGGAGCTACCCAGATACAGGGAGATACTAGCCCCTGGAGCTCCCGAACCGACAATATTAGGAGTTGCATCAGAGGTTTGATCGTCACCTACAGGTGCCGAATCAGAACCGATATCAATGCCTGTCAATACAGGTGGCCCTGGGGTGATTGTGATGGTCAGGGGGGTACTGAGTTCTGACTCAAAGCCATTAAAGATATGCTTGGCCACGAACGTGTATACACCAGGTCCCGGAAGTGCACTGACTGGTACTTCATAGGATCCACCTGCTGATGCGGGTGCAGATCCTTCTTGAATCCCTCCTCTCAGAATAATGACCTGTGCGTTGGGAAGAGCGACTCCGACGAAACTTGGAGTCAAAACCGTAGTTTTGAGATCCCCCAGTGGTAAGGAATCGGTTACATCAGTAATCCCAGTAAGGGTGGGCTGCGCCAGTAGGATGGTTACGACAAGAGGAGCACTTTGTGGAGACACGAAACCCAGAGTGGTAGTTTGCACTCCCACAATGTTGTTCGGACCTGCAGCAAGTGGAACAGTCAGCGTGATAGAGAACACACCAGCACCATCTGCGAAGCCGTTTCCGACCTGGACGTTATTCACAAGGAGGGATACGGCAGCATTCGTCGAGGCTGTGCCAGTGATAGTAGGAGTGGTATCGGCAGTCCTAAAGTCTCCTGTGTCTCCCGTATCAGTCGAGGCATCGATGGCGAGAACCGAAGGAGGATTTGGAACATTCGCAACTGTGACAGTGACAGTGGGTGGAGGATTATTCGGGTAAACGTTGACGGGATCGGAGATTGAGAAGACGTGGACACCAGGAGTGGTTGAGACGACAACGACCCAATTCCCAGAACCACTGGTCGTCGTCGTGAATAACACAGCGCCATTGTCAGTAAACAACAGTGGTCTGTTGATCGGACCTGTGCCGGTGAACGTGAGGAGTGTATTAGTTGTGATCTTGTCTCCTGGAACCCCATTGTCCGACCCGGGACTGAAGAAAATTGTGAGAGGTGGGTCAATAATGACTGTGAATGGCGCAGAAAGACCCGAGGAGGTCTGGGTTGCAGGGAAGAATGTCGTTGCAGTAATGATGTTGGTTCCTGACAGGACGGGGAACGGGAATATGAAGGTACCATCCGCCTGCGTCGTCGCGACTCCGATTGGGTTACCATTACGGAGGATGACAATGTTCGATAGCGGCAGGCCTGTTCCAGCAAGGATGGGATCGACAACGTTCGTTCGGCCGTCGGTATTCGAGGGTCCAGTATCAGTCGATGGGACCAGATGGAGCAAGCCTGGCGCCTGTGTCGTTCCGGTTAATGTGACATATGCGGCAGAGGCCACGATGGTACAGGTATGTTGGAAGGTCAAGAGGTACGGCACGGACGGTACGACAGAAAGAGTCTGGGCGACGACGATAGTGGTAAAGAGCCCGCCGTTGAGCTGAAGAGCATTATTGTTGGTAGTGGCAAGCCCGATACCGCTGGTATAAAACCACGGCGGTAAGCTCCCCGTTTCGAAGCTGGGATTGAGGATAGCGTTCACAGGACTCGCGACGCCAATCCTGGTGAGAGAAAAGGCCGTGAAGACTTCGTTTGCGCCGGTGCCGCCAACCGAGATATCTGTGGTAGCGGAGGTGAACAAGACGTTGACCGCTATGGTTTCCCCGCCGGTACAGGCAGGGTTTTTCGGATCTGTAGTGACTCCACTTGGCGGGTTCGCCCAGACGGTACCCGCCGGGACGGCCCGCTTCTCAATCCCTCTCACTTCGAGGCCCACTTCGAGGCCCACTTCGGCCGTGCCGTTCTCATTCTGGTGGTAGAGCGCAGCAAAACCACCGTTCGCATCGAGATATGCGCGATATTGCTCCAGCACATCGGCCTCCCATGCAGCAGTACCGACTTCGAGTTCGCTGCCCGTGGCTTCGCTAGAGGCGAGTATGTTGCCAGATCCAAGCAAGAGCAGAGCTACGCTCCGCCCGATCCATGATGAGTACCTCATCGTTTACGTTTGCGTGGGTACGAGGTCGTTAGCGGTGTTGTCGTTGCAAAGTTTCTTTAATGGGGTAGAGTCGCATCCGCTCCATATATATGGCAGGGGAGATGGGGATCATGATCGACATTCCGCAATTATTGGGGTGGCGTTTGTTATTTTCAGTATACATTCCAGTGCTGAGCCTATGAGACAGATTTTGGTCGCGATGACATGACAACAGCTTATGTGCGGAAATACCCACGTTCTGCTTGTTTCTGAACACTCTCAATGAGGATCGAATGTCTTATTTACCCCTCGCTTGGTGCTCTTGGCAGGGGAATCTGATAATTCGGGAAAGAATGCTGGGCAGGTAACGCATATTTGCAAGCTGCCAAGTGCATTCCTTGCTGTGGCATAATACTCAAAAACCCGCCTCAATAGTGTCTTGCATCATGTTGCTGCAATCGTTGCGAAGTGATTCACATATGCATAATTATGCTTCTTCGAAGTGGAAATAAGAGGCGAATCAACAGCTAGGGTGGGTTATCAAAAATATTTGACATCAATTCGGTCCTGCGAGATCCATTGAAAGAAAGCTGTATCTAGGGATCGTCTTTCTACCCTCTTCCCAAACGCGTATCCCGAGAAATTACGACTGTGTCGCTGCGAACTGCTGATTTGGCAAGATCCTGAGCAGATCGGTTCCCTAATCGGTATACGCCTGAGACATAAAGGGCTGGTAAACATTTCCAATCAACAAGGTTCGCATTCCTAATTCTGGTTCCAGCCTCTCCATTAAAGTTTCGCAAGGCGTTCACCCAATCAAGCCACAAACCATCTTCGAGTACTCTACTCGCTCTGTTGACTCAATTTCGGCTACGACAGTGCCCTGTCGCAGACTAGCACAGTCGACTGGAATGAGGGAAAATCACTATCAATTTTCCATACGAATGGTGAGTCTCCCAGACTGGAGCAGTACGTCCGACACGTCCACGAATTATACAATGCCACTCCATAGTCAGCGCATTCGGCTGTGACTAGGGTGAGAAGTTAGATTGTCTTTCACATGGAAGGGTGTTGAAGCTTTGTGTATTTGTAGCTGGGAATGAAGGGACAGAGATGATTGGGCCCAAGAGGCACTTACTGTCGCCTTTGCATATCACTGTAGCACCGAACATATTCTGTCCGCATATTTGTTTCGTTGAGAACCCAATTCCAGTCAGTGGGCCTTGGTCTCGAGTACCAGCATTCATGTTCATGGCTTCAGCGCCGTAGGAATACGTACAACCGCCATTGAAGTTGCATTCGCCTTTCGTCCCGAAGACCGACGACAAACCATGGATTTTAGAGTGGAGGTAATGTAGGTCTTGGACTAGATGGTGTCGTTCTGGTGATTGGTGAAGGAGGTATCCAAATAGGATCTGGTCTGCAAGGACAACCGTACCTATTGCCTGTGCAGATCGGATTTCCTCCATTGAAACCACCGTTACAGTCGTTGACAGAGCATGAGTCCACTGACCCACAAGTATTCTACATGGTGCGTAAGTCGAGTTGAAAGATTAAGTTTTCCCCAATAGCAGAGAGGTTGATTTAACTTACAGATAATGGAATACGCACGCAATTCGGGAAGTTGCCTCTGCACTGAGCTGTGGTCGAGTTTGAGTCGAAGGTTTCTTTACATCCGTTGAGATCACACGATTGCGCTTGATCACAAGTTTTCTATGATTGATACACGATATTAGAGATTAAATCGCTGACGGCTGCCACAGAGATGAGACTACAATTCACCGACGTAGCTATACAAGCACACCCCTGGAAATTATCCTGGCATCTTGCTACTCCAGATGAATCGAAGCCTCCAGCACAACCATTCATATCTAGCAAGTTTACAATCTGCTCAGGACGAAGAGAAAGCTTTACGTCGAATTGGGATAGTCACTTACCGCAACTTTATTTAGGTCCACACGTGTTCGAGGTAGCTTTACATTGACATCCTTTGAAGAATTCTGTACACACCGCAGAGGGGACTAATCGAGCATATTAATTAGTTCCTGAGGCAAACATGGGTATTATGCGAAGTTCTCGGTTGAATCATCTGGCATTGTCATAGGGAAAATAATCTCCAACACATACCATTTCCAGGGAAAGCCCTTTTACAGTTGTTGAGGTCGCAACTCTGCGGGTCACCACACGTTCCTGGATTAGATGCGCATTGGCACCCTTCGAAATTCTGTCACGGATAATGAGTACAAAGGTAAGCCGGATTCGCTTTGGGCTATACTGACGTGAGTACAGTAAGCAATTCCATTCGAGAGATCGAAAGCTCCTCCACAGCCATTCAGTCCACAGCTCTGTGGAGAGCCGCAAGTATTCTGCAAAGCAGCTGTCAGTAATACGTACCCATCTTCAGATCCAGTGTTTGATTCCTCTGCTGGTGTTCCTTACCGGTGTTGCAGCACACCTGCACCATTTGAAGAAGTTGGTGCATTCGGAGTATTTTTCTGACGTGGTGAACTTTCCCTTACAGTGGTTCAAATCGCCTGGAGTATGTCAGCATCGAATAAACCACTATTTAAGCCAGATTGATACTCACAACTCTGTCATCCTCCGCACGTGTGCGTGGTAGGTGCACATCGGCAGCCGACGAAATTGCCAGCACAGTAGCTGATTCCGTTGGAAAGGTCAAAGGAGCCTGAGCATCCGTTCAAATCGCTACAGCATAATGAGCAAGGACACTGTGGATAACAGATTGGTACGAAGAGTGTATAGATGGACTTACGAGCTTTGTGGAGAGCCGCGTGTATTTGTGGTCACTGTGCACTCGCATCCTATGAAATTCTTCCAACACCGTGGGAAGACTGATATGCCGTTGAATTTCCCTTCACATCCATTTAGATCACTCTGACTACGTTAGCAACGATTCAAGGATACCGTGTTATCGAAGATCCACATGAGTGAGGGTCTTTACCAACTCTGGTGGTTTCCACAGGTATTTGAAGTCGCGGTACACTCTGGCAGAGGCGGAGATATTAGCTTGCAGTAGTGGAATTTTCCTTGATTCATGCAACTTACCACATCCTATGAAATTTTTACTGCAGGTGTTATACGGGACTGAGCCAGAAAATTTGCCTTGGCGATTATTCAAGTCGCTAACCGAGGTCAACAAAAAACTTCCTCAACCAACATGAGGGGCAATTAAGCGAGAATACTGACCAACTTTGATGTGCCCCACACGTATTCGACGCAGCACTACACTCACAACCGATGAAATTCTTCGTGCAAGTAGCATAGGGCACACTGCCCAATAACTTTCCTTCACATGAGTTCAAATCACTTTTGGCGAGTGAGCAGTTGATCGAAGATTGCGCCTGGGGAAATGCTTACCAACTCTGGTGAGGTCCACAGGTCTTCGACGTCGCGGTACACTCGCAGCCTATGGAATTTTTCGTACATGTCACATATGGCACACTTCCTGACAACTGACTATCGCAAAAATTAAGATCGCTTGAAATGATTAGCTTGTGACAAGTCGAAATGAAAGTCTGCTACTTACCAGCTCTGATGGGGTCCACATGTGTTGGATGTCGCTGTACACTCGCAGCCTAAAAAGTTGCCTGTACATTGTGCATATGGTGCCTGTGTGAACCAGGGAGTCAGCATTCGATGTGATGAAGGATACAACTTTCCATTCGTGGTTGTGGCCAGGAATAGTACAGAGACTCTTGTCAAATGTGGTGCATTACGTACAAGGCCATTGAACTGCCCAGCGCACCCATTGAGGTCACAAGACTGGTGTGCACCGCGTACTGTTGAAGTTGCTTTGCACTGGCAACCTGTTCTTGGTCCAGCCTTAGAAACCGGGTATTTGCTGAGGCCATTGAAACTTCCTTGGCAGCTATCCGTGTCGCAGCTTTTGGAGGGACTGCATGGCACTTCATCAATATCAGCACTGTTATAACAAAATATAAAATTCTCAATATTCAAAAGTTCTCTTCATCTAGATTTTGACACGGTGCACAAAATAAAAGGACTGGTTGTACATACATCCAGTTGAAGCAGACCCCAGCAGTGAATATGACCGGTGCGTGCAGAACAGTCAGCGTCCCATGTGGCCCAATACCGGACTTTGAGATAGTGGTGGAGGATGGAGAAGGCTTAGCAAAAACTCCAGCAGCCACACAATCACGATAAGCTGTGTAGAGATAGATGCCAAATGCTTGTCCTTCTCGTGAGCCGCTAGTGTGTTTATTCCTGTCCACCCAACTGTATGGATCAACAGCTGGAGAAAAGATGCCTTCAGAACCTCGAATCTCATCGTATCCTAGAACTTTTCGGTTATTATCAGCCCAAGAGATGGATGAGCTATCGAAATTGCCAGGATCGTTGACTGCCACCCGGTAAGCCATGGCTGAGAGGATTACTGTTCCAGATACCTCACCAAACCGGCTGTTATTACTGAGACAGTTGCGAAGTCAACCACTACTATAGTCTGAGGGCATCGAACCGCCGACAATTTCTTTTATCCAGCCATTCAATTGGCTAGCTTGAAAGGTCGTCGATGGACCTGACAACTTCTGCAAATGGTGCAGTACACGCACTATTCTATACACAGTCCAACCATCACTAGTCGATCAAAGTCCAATGTCTTACGGCTGCGGAATAATGAGCTGGTATCTAGGATTTAAGAAGATTGGGAGTAACAATGTGGCGCTAATTTTGGTCACCGACTTTCAAAACTGAAAACTGGTCTATCTAAACAACATTGGAACTGCTTGGCGTACCCAAGTGCAAACTCAGAAGAAAAGTCTGCATTTCGAATCCTTCCTCCAGGAAACAGGTTCGAACCGATGACAGACAATTGTTTATCGTATTAGCTCCAACAACGTTTCTGCTGGGGTACCCCGTTGCCACGAGTGTGAGGCTTTGTCAATCATGGCCTGAGCCGCAGAATATGGGTTATAGCCCGCTTCGACATCTGCGGCGGCAGTAAACTGTACCTTGTAAATAACGCTTTTGAAAAGCAAAACAAGTATTTTAATTGAGAAAGTCATAGTCGCGTGAATGATCGAGGAGATCAACAATTTTTGCGTCTTGGATCGCAAAAAGAAAACGGCATTATGAGGGCATGGAAACAGTCGCGAGTTATTGAGCCATCGTGCTTATAGCCGTCGGCTATTGCTAATGCACCTGCAGTGATATCACTATTCTGAAAAGATACTTGTGGCCCATTTTTTCTCCATACAGAGGAGGTAGTGTCGTCGCTATGTCTTCGCGACTCGGGGGCAATTATGATAGTGGCCGGCTCCAACACGCAATCCTGTCAAAGGGGGCTTGGCTGATGGTACCGATGTGATTGAGATCAAACTACAAGATCTATGCCCAGTTTGCATTGCAGCAGCAGCAAATGCAAGAAATTATGTACAGCGGGATGCGCCGATTAACGAACTCTCGTACGACGGTCCTAGACGCAACAGCGGTGCCATCTCTCCGCTTGTTGTCGCAGGGAACAATTATCTAAACAACGCACGACGGAGCGTATCTCGGTTTCTCGACCATATCCTGGAAGGAATTTTGAGCATATATGCTGTAGGCGTGGATTGCGTTTGTGCAGAAAATATTGCTACAAATGGAACTACTGCCACATCGAATAGCAGTTTCAGGCTTCTTACCAATACTGCTTCAAATACTGAGCTCCATACGAAAGGAACTTCTCAGGCAACAGCCCAGACTGTTGATGTCATGGCCAGTAAGTGTTGAAGGCCAGTAAGTACTAAGCAAGTTTTGATTTCCCTTCCCCATTGGGTTGATTTGAATGTTTCCTTGATGAATCTGCCTCCTTTTTTGAAAGCAACGCAGTCTCTTCACTTTAGATACGATGTCTGATCTGGCAATTCAACCACAGCTTGTGGCTGGAGGGATCGCCAATTTCGTTATGGAAGTGAAAAGATGGTTGCACCTAGCCGCTTTGGGCAATCAGGTAACCGTCGCTGACGCTACATCTAGATTGTCGATCAATACCTTAACTCCTTGTCCAAGGCCGTCTTCTGCGGGATGACCTATTCCACCAGCTCCTAATCAAGCCCCTTTTCGGCAAGTTGGACTAGTTCTCAACAATCGAGAAGCTGCTTCGGGTTTAACAGTGACTTTCCCAAATCTAGTAAGTTATTACCTGATCAGGATCTGCTGACTCGAGTTCTTCAAATGGCTATCATGAGTCCTTTGATATTTGCGTAGTTACTGCCCATGTCAGCAGCCATCCGTTAAAATACGAGCTAGTACAGGCATCAGACTTTGCAGGCTATCGTTCTCAAAATAAGAGATGGACACTTTGAAGGACATATTTTAGACAGTGAAGCATACACCAGCATAACCTCCAAAGCTGATGGCGTTAGTTCTCGGCCAACAACATAGTCCTGTCATATATATTACAATCCTCCAATTGACTTTTATTGATATCCATTGTCCTGTATCTTCCCACACTGAAAATTGAATAGGCGACGTTAGCTGCAAATAATCGCCGATGTAGAGCAGGAAAAGACAGCGCCAAAAAACTGGAACATCATAAAAACGTTTCATCTATTCTGGAAGAAGCGGTATGAGTTATATGTGGAGTACACGGACATGCCGTGTCGGGAGATCTTTATATAAAGAAGAATCACTCATAATGGATATTGAAAATTCAGAAGGGCGATCAATTCAGTGCGTTGACTCTAGAGCCCAGTCCATCTTCAGAATGGCGTACGGGTCCTTCGCAAGATAAAGGCATTTGCTTTGTGTAAAACACTGTCAACGAAAGCAGTGGCAAAAGCTTTGAGAGTGAGGTGGAACTCAAGACAAGCCAAAAAATAATTTGGACAGCTCAATTATTCATATCATTCATTACACAATATTATATTCTCCATCATACACGGTAGCAATACTCCTCAAAGCACGGTTTACAACTCTCCGGTACGTCAAGCGCTCCAGCATCCAGAATCGCACAGCCCAGACACTGCGCCCACTCCTTGCTATTATCCCGACTCATCACCGCCTTTCCATTCTCGATAATCGCCGCCGTGACAGCCTTCGAAGTCTGCATCGTGAACGTCGCAATCCCACTCTCATACGTATCCGCCCGGTTAGGAACCCAAACCAAAGTCGTAGTAGCAGGATCGTTGCATCCGAAGAAGATGGGATCTCCAGAAGCATATTTGGCGGAGTTCACTTCTGGTGAAGGTACGACGGGCATGCGAGTCAAGCCGGCAGATACAGCAGCAAGGTATGAGTTGTAAATGGCTGTTCCGTTGGGGTATGCGGGGAGAGAGGCGTCATCTCCATTGTTGTCGTTGACGATGAGGAGGCTGACGTTTCGAGCGGGGATGAGGTGAGGGAAGATAGGACTTGTTTGACCGGTTTCGCCTCCGTCAACCATGTGCAATGTTTTCTGGTCTGAGACTCCTGGTGCGGACGATAGACCGTAAAATGGATTAGGATACAACGCATAAAACGCATCGATAGCCTGAGCGAGATTCTCCGTCAAGTTGGGTAAAAGAGTTTCCAAAGCGATGATGGCCTCTCCTAGATCACTTGGGTAGGCTATTCCTAGACTTGCTGTGCAGAAGGCATCCAGTGTAGGTGCGAGGGGTGTGACGATCTCAGCAAGATCATTGAAGATATGCGAGGAAGTTCCAAGAACGAAGCCGAGATTGTCGAAACCGGTAAAGCACGTTCCGTTTGGCGATGACCCAAGGTATTTACTTGGTGTGAAAGCATTGACATCGGCGCCCCAGGATCCAGTCTCAAATGGAGTCAGCTCCCAAACCGACGCGTTTTTGTCCGGTACGCATGCCTCGTCCTTGATATCTGTGTTGAGAGCTGCGATGATCGGGTACGGAGTGTTGTGGGAGATGAAGTTAGACTTTTTCTGGATTCCGGAAAGCGTGCTGGCAACACCCCCTTTCCCGCCATCCAGGAGTTGGTAGCTCAGAAGACGTGCCCAAAGATCTGTTAGGGTCGATGTGAACCCAGCCGATTCCTTATCCTTGATATCGCCCAGGATTTGAGCGTAGGCAAAAAGCGTCAAAATCCCATTGGGGGCGAGAAGTCCATTGTTGAATGCTGAGCTCCACTGGTTTGACAGGAGGCTGCTGATGGTGGGGAAATCGTGATCGGCCATCGATGAGAGAAGCCATGAGCCCCCAGAAAGTGCCGATGTGTAACTGATGGCTTGGTACAAACCGCTGGTACTGACGGAACTGTCTCTAGAATCCATGGCCTGGATGACACCCGCTCCTGTAAGAAGCGCACGGTATGCTCCTCCACTTATGGACAAACCCAATGTTGGAAGGTCACCAGTTGTGTCGAACTCGGGATTCGTTTTCTCAAGCCATGACCGAAGAGCATCATCGGCCAAGAACTTGCGTGCAGTTCGGTATGCACTCTCGTCTTTAAAAAGTCCATTCGCGACTCGAACAAGTGATGCAGGGCATGTTGCTGGCGTAGGTGCGTATGCTGACTTGGCGATTGCGCCACTGAACAGCGCCGAGGCGAGGAGGAGAACAGAGAACATGGCAAAGGCCGGAGAACTGAAATGACAGACTGGGCACAGCGAAGCAGGCTGGAGAAAAAGAAAGATCTCGCGAGGAGAAGGAACTTACTGGAGTTATAGCACCAGGTCAGATGAACGGTGGATACTTCAGATCAGCTAGTCATGGCAATCAAGTGATCAATGTTCAGTGGAGCCAGAAGTTTTATTGAGAATATACTGAGAAGATGCTTGCACTTTGTGGGGTAATCGATGCTTGAACGGAAATGAAATCCCAATTCGGCCAGGTTCCACAAAGAAGAAACTTCAAAATCTGGGGTAGGCTAAACCCCGGAACCTGAAGTGACAATAACACAGTGTCGTGACATAAAGACTTGCAGATTTGCGGTGAAAACAGCAAAAGAGACATGCGCATCAAAGGATATTTGGTTTGAATAGCTGTTCTTGTCATATAGTTAGGATGAGATGCCTGGTATCAATCTCGAACGTTCGAATTGATGTTGGTTTTCTGGTCCGGGTATTGTGGGTACAATCTTGATATCGCCGCTTGTCTCAAAGGAGCCTCCGAAATGGATACCGGCGACTGGCACAGACCTCGTTACCCAGATTCAACCCGGCACATGTGGGTAAACAAGTAATCAAGAGGGAACCGTGTACGGAGAGAGGTCGCGTACAAAATATGAAAAGGGGTTCAAGTGGAGCCTCAAAAGGCTCAACAATTGCACAATCCGGGTATCTTGTTAAGCGTGGCGCGCGCACTCTTAATGGACGGCACCCACGTCTCGCTTGTCAGCCCCTTTTCGCATGTATATTTACCAAGCGACGTGGAGTTCGAACACCGTACCTATTGTGCAACTCTACCCACTCTACGCCCTCATTTGACGAGAGATTTCTTCCTCCTACTGGCAATTCCAGCACTATTTCGCATACCCACGATACACTGCTCACAATTGCCTAATCCGTAAAATTCCCCGCCATTCCCGAACGGGGTTTCCGTCAGATTATACTTGGTATCGAAGCCTCCTGCTGACCAGCCAATATAGCCGAGGTACGCATCTGGATTTGCGTTGATGAACATCAATGTAGTGCAGAGGTTGGTCATGCACTAAACCGTCAGTGAATGTATTTTTGCAGGATGCTGTACGTACCGAAGGAGAGTTGCCGCCCCCAGTCTCACTCAGCAGAGCCATTCTGTTGTTCGCAACCAAGAAACTCGCCAGGGGTTTGAAAGTATCCTCAATATGATTCGACACACATTCCAGGTGCTGCCCGCTTCCGTCCACATCGAGGTACTTGTGCACATCGAAAATCAAGCTCGTGTTTGTCCCATCTGGATTTTGTACCGTGCTCAGATTCCCAGCCGATCCATTGCTGACGAAAGTCTGCGCACCAGAGAAGTCATTTCCTGGAAGGAGGATCATCTGGGTGGTGGCGCCCGCGGCTCGGATGGCTGTGACTGCAGCTTGAACACTTTCAGCCCAGAGTTTCATGTCCGGGATATCGTGAGGTTCGTTCATGATGCCGAAGACGACTTTGGATTCATTTGCGTACTAGAGATATCAGCGCTGTCGAGGTAGGTAGGGGAGTCACTAACCTTCTTTGCGATCTGGGACCAGAGGTTCGCGAATTCTGCATTGGATGGGCCACCTTGACCGATGATCTTGCCCTCGAATCGAGCATAGTTGTGGATATCGATGGCACAGTGAGCGCCGGTTGCAAGGCAGGCTTTGACGAGTAGGTCGTACTTGCTTGCGTTGGCCACGTCCAAAGTTCCGCTAATATTTGTTGCAGCATTGTCCCCAGACGCAGACGCAAGAGTATTGCTGTTGATCAGGAATTGCCAGCTGACGGCTGAATGTAGTTCTCCTTTAGCTTGTCTCAACCAACCGGGGAGGTAGCTTACGCATCCGAAAGATATTGAGGTTATCATCTTTCGCAAAATGCTGCATCTGAGCTGCGCCATCGCTGAATCCAAGCTGTTGAAGAGGAGGATTCGCATTTGCTAAAACAGCTTTACCCTTGACTGGTTATCAGAGATGTAGGATTGTACGCGACCAATTTGAACATACCATGATATCTGTCCCAAACTCGAAGCCTGCGATATTTACTCCCTGTCATTATTATCAGCAACGACAGCAATGTGGTCTGGGAAGCACACACTGCCAGAGGAGAAGCCGCCGAAGCCAGCGCGACAAAGTTCAGAATCGAAAAAAACAACATGACTAAAGAATGCGATGGACTACTCCGGGCGAACTCTCACTAGGAAAGTACAAGTCCTGATATACTCCTGTGCGACATGTCGATGGGACGACACATCAAATCTAACATCGGAAAAAGCCAAAGAAATTGGGACATCTCATCTTCTTAAGACGACGTGCTGTATATGCGACACCACTTGCCTCGGACATACATCCTCAAGATAATGATGCCTTCCAACCCAGCGCACGATTAAAATCAAGCTTTCAATGCCCATCTTGGATGAAAAGCATCTCGATACCAGAAACGCTCATCTCAACCAATCGCTCACAGCAGATTCAAGAGAACGTCCATGCATCGCCCCATCGTGACTTTTGCGCAGATCACCGATGAGACAAACCTTGCTTGAGAATCGAATATGCGTTACTGTAGGGCGAAGTGACAGGACAGGGTTGAACTTCTTATCCGGGTTTCGCAGTTGAAGTAGATCGGATGAAAAGATAACGCGATGACTCCGTGGGAACTTGATGAAGATTGGAAAGTCTTTTGAAAGCAAAATACTCGCGGCATTCAACGAGATGAAAGACACGCAATTCAAGGCATTGGAAAACGACTGAGCAGCTCAAAGAAGAATATCGACACCTCTTGTCCAAGAAGAAAAGGAAGATTCGACAAAGCGTTATTGTTTCTCAAAAGATTGAAATTGATCTTCGACTCCTCATTTACCTACAGTAGCTAGGTACTAGCCGGTGGGGAAAGGGAGTTGTTGACACAACTCCAGCATTCCACCCCAAATTGAAACAAATTCTTCGTCGGGTCTGCGCGACGCAGACAGGTCAAGCACTTTTACCCCATCATCACGTGACATTCTGACCATGTTTACCTTACCTTAGGTAGCCGTGCGTCCTGGATGGCAATATTGTGCTTGCCAGCTGACAGGCGGTTTCCGAGATAAAAAAATTGCCAGCTAATCATGGTTTGCAGGACTCCATCTTGGTGCGTTCTAGATAGAATAAGGCAATATACTTCCCTGGTTGAACAAGGGCCAAATTGGAAGATTTGAAGGTTCGTATGCACTCATGGTGAGGACCGCACTTTACATGTGAAGCAGACAAAAGCTCGGTATAAGGTTTGGAGGTAATTCATCTCTCATTATCCATTACATATATATTCATTCATTTCAAAAACATTCATCTCATACCATATCTATCACTTATCACCCACCACCATCAGCACTCACAACCCATCCCTCACAACCCCACAACAAACCACCCAATCGCCATCTGAAAGACTAACATACCCACCCACAATCCCCTCTGAACGGTATTCACCGGCGCCTTACCCGTAAACACGCTGCTCGACGAGGCCGACGGGCCGGAAGCGGTAGAGTTGCTCGATGGCGATGCGCCACTGCCGCGGGCGAGGCCGAGACACTCGGCCATGTTGAAGAAGATGTCGATGTTGCCGTAGACGCCGCCGAAGAGCTCTTGGCAGGGGCCCATGGCGAAGACGGGGACGTCGGTGAGGGAGTGGACGCCTTGGGCTTCGTATCTGTTGGAGTTTGGGTTAGCATTTATTTGAAAGGGGAGAGAGGGGGGGCTTAAGATTGAGGAGGTAGGGAAAAATGGGAGAGGGAGACAAACGTTTGGATGGTTCCGTTGACGATAAATCCATCTGGGTTATCGGTTGGGTTGACGTAGTAATCGTTTGATGGGAAGCCAGTGATGTTGGTAGCTGGGAGACGAGGTCCAGACTTGTGGACCTTGTAGTTCTCCCTAACATCAGGATGAGCTCCAACTCCTTGAGCAAGAGTATATCTGGGATCCCAGTTGACGGGGAAGTTGACACCGGTGTTGTATGAGATGCTGGCGTTGGTGACGGTGTACTGGCTCAGTCCGGAGTTCTGGTAGACACCGATGGCGTTGCGCTTCTCGCGGTCGTTGCCTTGGGAGCTGAGGTATGTGGTGTCAGCGGATCCGAAGACGTCGAATCCGTGGCCGTGATCGGCAGTGACGATGATGAGAGTGTTGTTCAACTCGCCAAGCTCAGTCAATCTCTCGATGGTGGCCTTGACAGTATCATCCAACTCCAAAAGATCACCCAATGCACGATCGTAATCAAGAGTGTGCATCTGTTTGTCGATGGAAGCAGCCTCTGACATCATGAAGAAACCCTTGTCTCCACCACGCTCGTGGAGAATATCGATGGCCTTGAGCGTCATCTCCTTGAGTCCAGGGAGATCAAGAGCAGGTTGCTTGTTGCCGGATGGGTCATTGGTGGTCTTGTTCAGGTTGGCCTTGTAGACATTTCTGTCAAGCCAAACGGGAAGGTTGGAAGTACAGAAGATACCAAGTGCCTTGTTGTCGGCTGTGAGTGCCTCGAGAGAAGTCTTATTCATTGAAACAGAGTATCCAGCATTGGCGAACTCTTGGTAGTAATCCTTGCGTTGGTATGATCCTGATCCAGCAATGAACTGTTCAGCACCGGCACCAAAGAACACATCAGCTCCAGAGTATGGGGTCCAAGTGTAGTTGGTGACTCCACGAAGAGACTGTTCGATCAAAGCACCGTATTGTGAACGAGCTCGGGTGTGTCCAGTCAAGGCAATTGGGGTTGCATCTGCGATGAAAGCTGTGCTGACAACACCAATGGCACTTCCCCAAATACGAGTGAGCAACTCGACAATGGTCTCAACCTTGGGATCATCGAAGGGATCCGCACTTGAATCGGCATAAACTCCCATAGCATTGACGCTTGACTTGTGTCCAGAGTAAAGTGCTGATGCGGAGTTGGCAGAATCGGTGATGTAGCTGTCGAGGGAGTGTGTCTTGTTCTGTTAGCTTGATCATGAAAAGGGTGTGGCATACTTACCATTTGATGTCCCAGCACTGGGAACTTGTCCATTTGCATAGTAGTCTGGTACTTTCCATTGATGCTCTTGTGTCCGATCAAGCGTGCTGCCGTGATCATATTGGTGGTCATACCGTCACCTGAGTTGAATTAGATTACCGTTCGTCTTGATGGAAGAAATAGGCATACCAATGAAGAGAATTACGTTCTTAGCACGCTTCTGCTCTTGAAGTGGGCGTACGACCCAATTGGCGACTGTCTTGGTGCCATTGTAGTAGCTAAGAGTGGCAGTGTACTCTCCAGGCTCGTACAAGGCAACTCGTCTGTATGCCTTGGAAGTGACACGAACTACCGATGGAGTTTTGGCATCTTGAGCGAAGAGGTCTTCATACCAGGTAAAATTCCAGCGTTCAAGAGTGGGTTCGGCAATCTTGAAGAAGGAGGTTGCTGGCTGAGCTGCACCACCAGCTTTGGCAATTGTGAAGCTGAAGTTGGGATCAGGGATACCTCCATTTGCCTCGGAACCATTGACTGGGGCATGGACCTATTCTAGTGTCAGAAGGTAGCTCAATTGAAGTCCAATTGGCTCCACAAACCTCCAAACGAATGTCAAAGTATTGTCCAGCGAGGAAATCGGTCTGATCAGGAGGAAGGACACAACCCAAAGCTTCATGGCGGGGTCAGCACTGCGGGGAAGCTTTGGGAACACAGCAAAAACTCACTGGGACAAGCTCCAAGACGCTGGAATGTTTGTGCAGCTGTCAAGGTAACGATCGACGAGACCGCCAGAGCGATTCTGGATACTGAAACCATGGCTGTGGCTGGTAGGAATGGACAGTGTCACAGCTGATTGACTGACTGACGGAACTCAATTGGAAGCTGGGAGCTGTAGCTGTAGCTGTCGCTGAAGCTGTACTGGGAGCAGCTGTAGCTTGCTGCAGACATCAAGGTCCCTTCGTTCTTATATATGAACCTGCTACTGTACCTGCCATCATCGGACCCGATCGTCAGGTACGCAATGGCAAGGGTAGCTACAGCAGCTAGCTGTCTACCCATCGAGAAAATGCGTGCTGGGACCAAGGTTTGCCAGTCTTTGGTGAACCTGGCTCGCCTGGCCATGATAGTTTGTGCCCTTGGGGATGCAAATCCTTCCTGGTGACAGCATGAACATCGGACGACGATGAATCAGTGAGGAGAACCATCGCACGTGTCGGGTGCTTGTCCCTTGGCAGCGTCTTGGCCACAGCAGCCACAGTGATCTATCACTATGTACCTGCCTGTTGCAGCGATGCTGATTGCTGCGTCTCTGGGGCCGGGGCCGGGGCCGGGGCCGGGGCCGGGGGGAGCTGTATCCTGTACGCCAAGGGCCGACGATGAGGGAAGAGGCGGCGGTTCTTCTGTCGGAGCTCTGGAAAAGATCGAAAAATATCGAGGGGAAGTCTGACAAAGTCTGACGGGGTGTGGTCGAGAGCGTGCTATTCTGCTGGGGGGTGATTCGCTGGGGACGGGGTTGCCAAGTGGGGTGGCTGGAATCAAGCATGGGGCTGGTCTCCACAGGGCGTTGTGATGGGGAGGGGGACGGGCTGCGGGGGAGTCCGATAAAGTGAGAGAGAATCCCCCACGTGCGATACGGATCGTGAAAATACTGGTTGTGAGCTTGCCGCTCCACTGTTGTTGGATTGAATGATGTTGTTGTAGGGATAAAAAAGAAGAGAGAAGGCTGAACTTCTTTGAACTGCGCTGGACCTGGACAGGAATTGGTTGCTGGCGGATAATTCTCGGGCATGTCCGTGTCTTGGAATTCATGTCAATTAATTGCAATTAGGGCAGCTACTGGAATATCCTTCTGGCTTCAACAAACAACTAGCCCCCACGGCATCAAGTCATGACGCCGGGCACTTGAAAGCTTAAACGGCAGACAATCTGAGTGACGAATTTAGTGCCATTGCCTAATGCTGATAGAGCAAAATTCTGGTCGAGCATCGACGAAACTGTCCAAGTCTTTAAGATAAAGCAGTGCAGTGCATCTGCCGCTCGAAATGTGGATAAAGTCGAGAATTTCTCTCCTCCAAATCCTTAACATGTTAAATAAAGAATGCGTCTCTGAAGATATCATGTTCCCAAACGAGAATCATGTACAAGCAAAGACCCGAACATGGTCCCATCCAGAGCTAGGCTCAACTCGCAATCACTGACCTTGATTATTTTCACAGGCTAAGCTCAAATCCAGTCATCATAAACATCGCTAAACAGAAACATTAATCAACATCGACTTCACGCTCAAATACTCCTGAATCCCATGGGCTCCTCCCTCACGACCATACCCACTCTCCTTGACACCAACCAACGGATTCTCAGCCGCACTCAACATACCCTGATTGATACCCACCATTCCAACCTCAAGTGCTTCAGCTACACGCCAGGATCTGGCGATATTCTCGGTAATGACAAACGCTCCAAGACCGACATCACAGTCATTAGCGATGCTGTTGGCTTCTTCTTCCGTGTCGAATTTATACAGACCGACGACAGGAGCAAATGTTTCTTCGCGGGTGGTTAACATCTCCTTGCTCTTATTGGTGATGATGGTAGGTTGGATGAAATATCCTTTCGCTCCTTCCACTGGAGCACTACCCAGAATGAGACTTGGCCACCAAGTATCTTCGCATCTGTTTCTCTCCATCAGTCTTGCATCATGGCATCTCTCAGTCAAGTCAGAATAAGTCTCCCTACCATCGATATATATGCATCCTCGCCTTCTCAACCGCCCTCTCATGCGTCAACGGCCCAACACTAAGGTAATCAACCCCCTCCTCCGTCCCCCTCCTCCGTTCCCCTCCTCCGTCCGCCTCCCCACCCCCAATCCTCCCCCTCAACTCCCGCATCCACCCCCTCAACCTCTCCGCAAAAAACCTCATAAACCCACCCCACTCTGCACCACCAAGATCCTATCAGCAGTAAGTTAACACACATCTGCCCTGAATTCCTCAACTTGGCAACCAACCAGACACACGCCTCGACCGCCGTCTCAATCTCAATCTCAATCCTCGCATCATCAAACCAACATTACAGGGTGAGTTTCCCCCGACCCCCGAGCTCCAAACTCATGTTCTTGACCGTTCCGGCGCAGTACTGCGCAGCGAGAATCTTGCCCACGCGGGGTGTGCTGCCCGTGAAGGAGACCTTTTTTTTTTAACGAGCTTGTTACATGGTGCAGAGCTCACGGCCTACCTAGACGTCGGCGACGAGGTTGAAGTGTTGTGATGATGTTGATTGTTCCTGGGGGGAAGCAAACCTAGCTGCTTCGGTTGCGAGGATGAGGACGGCTTGGGTGAGGGCGCGGAGTGGGGGGGCTTCGCCTGCTGGTTTCCAGACCTAGATTTCGATCATGTCAACTTCAACTCAATTCAACTTATCTCATTCTCAAACTCAAATCCAATTCAAACCCCACCCCAAACACCAACCTTGGACCTCTAAAAACGAACAAAGAATAAGAGCGCGGTGACCCAGTGGCCGTTGATGAAGGCTCTGGTTTGGAGGAGGTCTTTGCGTTTGAGGTCTGAGAGGGAGAAGGGGTGGCATCTTGAAGTCTGCTTCGCTTGTGTGTTTGTTTGGTTTGCATTCGTTCGCTTGGGTGTGTTGAGTTGTTTATAGAGTCTTGTTGTTGACTATGAACTTGCTGCGAGCCGAGGAAAAGTGAGGTGCTTTCCACGTATGGATTCGTGCTTCTTTCGTCTTGACTGGGAGTCCAGTCTTGATTTCGTGTCCGAGTCGGGAATTCTTTTCTTCCCAGTACAGATAGACTGATGGATGAAGTGGAGTGAAAGTTCACTTTGACCGCATCTTCAGTCCTTGGTTGTTGTTTTCGTCTGGAAGCCCTTTCTTCCCAGTACAGATAGACTGACTAAGTAGAGTGAAAGTTCACTTTGACTGAAATTCCAGTCCTAGGCTGTTGTCAAATTCGGAATCCTTTCCTCCCACCACAGAGCAATTGATAAAGTAAAGTGAACACTCACTACCTCTGACCGAATGTCCAGTCCTGAATTTCTTCTGGAAGTCTGGCTTCTTTAACTCATACAGAATGAAGAAGTAGAATGAGAGCTCACTTCAGCTAAAATTCCAGTCCTGGTTGGTATTGAGTTTTGGTTCCTTTCTGCTCGCACATGTAATGATGAGTAGAGTTCTTGTTCGCTATCAATTTAAATCAAGTCCTGGGTCGGCCTTTAATGCTGGGATATCTTCAAATCTTCACGACAAGATAGAATAGACAGGAACCTCACTTTGCGTCAAGTCCACCACCCAAGGTGCTTTTTTGAATCAAAAACTCTTCAAAACTCGAAGCAAATCTAGACCCAAGTAAGCTACCCTCTTGTATTATCCCATGCGGAAACAATCCGATAAGCTCAGCTCCTCAGCTCTTGCAAAATTCGGGGAACTCGTCAAACCACCCACCCTACGAGTACCTCAGGTAGCGCAAGTGCGGGGTCGAGCATGCGGGGTCATCACCAAACAAAAACAAGTGTGAGTGTGGGGTAATTTGAGTTCTGATTTCCCTCCCGTCTTTATTTCCGTGCCGTCTACGATTTTGGACGATTGAGTGCTTATGCCACGGAAAGGGAATTGATTCTTCCCGTGCCTTCAACTTGGGACTGTGGCGTTGGCTTGATTGAGTTTTTCCTTGGAAGATGGAAGAGAAGGTGGGATAGTGAGTGTCCTGTGCTACTTGCACAGAGGGAGTCATCTGCAGCTGCAGCTGGTCCTGCATGTCACGAGCTGCAGAATATAATCCATTCAAGATATGTGGTATCAGAAATCAGAACAGGATGGCACATACTGGTACATCAAAACTGCCTGCCTACCTACTTATCCTAAACTCCTGCTCCCAACCCAAACTTATCACAACCCAACAGTCCAAAACCTAGAATCGAAAGTCCAAACCCAAATCAAATCCCAGCACAAATTCTCAAACACAAATCCAATTAAATCCCCAACAACAATCCTACCCGCCTAGCTCAAATAATCCTTAATCTCACTCTGCAGCTTCAAAAACGTCTCTTTATCATGACCCGGGATAACCCTCCCCTTCGTCGTAGCTTCCAAGCGCTTCAATCTCTGTGTACTCTGGAACCAGGCTGGATGGTCACTTTATTTTTTAAAATTCTTCGTCAGCTACCATTACCCGCTATAATGAGAAATAAAAGAGAGGAAAGACATACCGTGCTAGCCAACCTTGAGGAATACCGTCGCGCCACTGTTCGGGAGGGTGTTAGAGAGATGGTTGAGTAAACTGGGTCGGGGAGAGTTTGGGGAGAGATGTGGGAGAGGAGAGGGAAGAACTGGGGAGGAACGTACGTTCTCGATTACGTGGCAGTGGTCACTGATGAAGAAGAATGTGCCGCTGTTTGGGAGGTTGATTTGCATGCCGATGAGACCTGGATATTGTCAGTTCGATTGCCCTCCTCACTCAATTCGACAGGGCGAGGAGACTATACCATCAGTATGGCCAGGAAGATGATGAAGCGTGATTCCCTGGCAGAAATCCATTGCTCGTTCATCGAAAGTTTTCCAGTTCAAGCCCAGCTGCTCAACTCTTAGTTTTGATGGATACATACATAAGATGGATTGGGGAAGAGAAGCTCACCTGCATGTAATGTGGCATGTAAACACCGACATCTGCACCGGTAGCTACGGACCAGAAAGCGGATCTCAGTTCTTTATCATGAACCCAGATTTCGACGTCTTTTCGGTCCATGAACATGTCGAGTCCTCCCGCGTGGTCGAGATGCATGTGACCGAGGATACTGGATTTATCAGCTCCTTCTCGTTTAAATTCTCATTTTCAAATTCACTTCCAATCTCAATTCCGCCTAAATAAATGGGAAGCCTTACATCTTCTTCACATCCTCCAACTTATGCCCCGTCGCCTCAATCGCCGCCTTCAGCTCATGTCTCGGCTCATACTTAATCCTCGTAAAAACATCAATGAGCTGCGGTCCCCAAACCTCCGGATAATCCTTCCCACATCCCGTCTCCCAGAGAATTACGCCCTCGTGAGGATGGTCAATCAGAACGCAGTACATGGGGAGTTCGCGGCGCTTGTTGACAAAGGTTTGGCCTTCGGTGGATTTGAGAGAGGTGTTGCCGCCGCGGACGACGAATCCCTCGTCGCATTCGAGCCAGCCAACTTCGAGGAGGTAGGCTTTTGTTCCTGGGGGGCATACATTGGAGACGTGGGACGGGACGGCCCCGGCGTCGAGGGCGCGCTGGATGGCTGACATTTTGGGGGGATTGGAGAGTTTGACTTTCAGATAGTTGCTTGGGTGGTAAGAAATTCAATTCAATGCGATTGATGTCGATATTGGTGTTTTTGATTGAGCCGATTCAAAATATTGCTTCGAGATGTTTCTGATCCAGTTTGAGATAAAAGTCGATGGAGAAACCGGAGGGATGGAGATCATATGGATGGGGTACAAAAAATTAACCCCGCACCCTGTCCTGCCTGGTCTTGTCCTCCCCTCCCCTCTCTCCCCAGCTTCGTCTATTCCCATCCAATCCAATGGCAGTGCAACTCAAACTTAATCAGCCTCCCCGTTCGTGCCGTATCTAAGGTTCGGTCGCCAACAGGGAATCCAGCCATCGGGTTTGAGAATTGAGTTTGATGAGGCGTCCCGCTTGCGGTGTTTGTGGTATCCGGCTCTGGTGCAGGTGCTCCTATTCCCGCTTCAGGTTTGTACCAACATAGAAGTTCTTGCCGTTCCGTTTCCCCGTTCGGATTTTGGCTTACCTCATATTTGTTGCTTGACGGGACCTAGGTCACTTGGATTGTGTGTGTGTGTGTGTGTGTGTGTGTGCAGAGTGCTTCGTACAAAATGGACTCGTATTCCCGCACCGTGAACCTCCCTCATCGAGAGTGACCTACCAACTTCAAGTGCCATCAACCCCTCAATGTGGATGAGGGGTGGCAGATTTGTAAGGCAGAACATTGGGTAACCAAGTGTAGCTGAACAGTTCTGTAAGTCAATGGTAAAAACAAGGACAAGTAAAAGACTGTACTCAGAAGTGACGTTGAATAAAATGGAAATAAATGAAATCCAACCTGTCGGATACCCAGGTCCAGGATCAATGGTGATTACCACGTTGGAGAAAAGATAATGAGAGGTGCAGAATGATCGATGATATCCTGCTGCAGACAAGCGACCGAGCCGAGCTAAATTTCACCGAGGGGTTGGACGGTACTGGAGCTACTACCCCGCATTTACTCGGCTTCGCTGGAAGCTATGATGCTGGACAACTTCATGTCTTGAATTGACTTTTAGATACTTGAAGGATTGATCTGCTCTCATATCAAAAGACTGTTCAAAAAGAAATCGCTTGGAACATTAACAAATACATTACTTCCCTTTAATTGAAGTCTTTGTATTTGGACATCATAATCCCAAACCGAAACAGCTGATCTCAAACATCCACCCCACTACTGTCATCATGTCGAAGAATACAATGAAAGCAGTTGTCTTCAAGGGAGCTTTGAAAGTGGTCATCGAAGACCGACCGGTTCCCAAGATTGTCGACCCAACGGATATTCTGATCAAAGTCAAGTACTCTGCTCTGTGTGGAAGGTAACTTAGCTACCTTATCTCATCCCCAGAACCGAAGCTGACAGAAATGTTCAGTGAACTCCATGTATTCCGAGGTCACCAACCCAGCAAGACAGACTTCATCATGGTAAATAAACTACACTTCTATTTCTTATTCCCCGAGGACCAAAAGACATGAATTCTGACACTAAACAGGGCCACGAAACCACCGGCGAAGTCGTCGAAGTCGGCTCCTCGATCAAGAACCACAAAAAAGGCGACACAGTCGTAATGCCCTTCACCGTTTCCTGCGGCGCCTGTTTCTACTGCGAGCGAGGGTACTCCTCCCGCTGCGAGAAATGCCTTCTCTTCGGGTGTCCGCTCCTCGACGGCGGTCAAGCAGAGTACATGCGAGTTCCGCTCGCGGACTCCACAGCCGTGAAGGCGCCCGAGGGAATCGACGAGAAGAAGTTAGTTCTGATGGCGGATATTTTCCCCACGGGGTATTTTGCTGCTGCGAATGCGTTTAGGGGGTTTGATGAGGAGACGATTGCGCAGAGTGTGGTGGTGTTGATTGGGTGTGGGCCGGTGGGGTTGTGTGCGTTGATTAATGCGTTGGAGTATAAGCCGAAGGTGGTTATTGCTGTTGATCGGGTGGATAGTAGGTTGGAGTTGGCGAAGAAGTTAGGGGCGGAGCCGTGGAATGATCAGAAGGATCGGGCTGGTGCGTTTCCTTCCTTTGAATCCCTGTCGCAGATTTATTTGCTCATGGCGAGCTGGACTGGAACTTGTGAGGTAACATAAATTTACTGACGGCAACAGGCCTCGAAGCAAGAGTCAAAGAATTAACCAACGGCCGAGGAGCAGACACCGTCATCGAAGGAGTCGGACATGCCGACGCGCTGAAGACAGGATTCGATCTCCTCCGTCCATGGGGTAACATCTCCAGTTTCGGTGTGCACAACGAGGAGATTCCATGGACTGGTAATCAAGCGTATGGCAAGAATCTGAGAATACAGATGGGAAGATGTCCTGTTCGAAGTAAGTTTATGAACGTATTTTAGCTGAGCAGAAAAATCGAAGAAGTAAAAGTGTGATCAGGGCTGACATTTGTGTACCACCAGGCATTTTCCCACAGGCTTTGGAAATGTTGAAGAAGAATCAGCACAAGCTTGAGTGAGTTTCTCATTTCTCTGTTGTCAATTCGACGCGAAGAGAAATAATTGCTGACATAAAACAGCTTCATGACTGATAAGTTCATGCCGATGAGTCAGGCTGTTGAGGGATACGACATCTTCAATAAGATGCAAGTCCAGAAAGTGGTCTTTGTTCCAGAACATCAGTAGGAAGATCGCTTAAAAGGAATGGGACTGTGAATGTTGGAGATGTCTGGGATTTCATTCGCTTCAATGTTGTTATGGCTATCAATGTTTTCGGTGACAGGGGTCTGGAGTGAGGCGAGAGGACAGGAGATGAGCGAAATGGATTGGGTGAGAAATTGTATAATTCTTGACATCAACGAAACGAGTGAATGTGATGATTCGAAATAAAGAACTCTTGCCGACTTCATTAGGTAGCATTTCAAATTGCAAAAAGCAATAGAAATATCCCATGTCGAATCTTTCAATGCGACTTTACCTCGCCCACTCTGGAGCAAATCACCTGACCTGGCCCTCCAACCCATTCGATCGCAATACAGTTAGTGCAAATACATCTTGACTTCAACAAATCTCCAAATTCACATCCCAGAGCAAGCGTACTAATGTTTTCTTCTTCTAGATTCTATCATCGACGTTCAAAAGAGTGCTGCTCGAAGCGATAATGAAAAGGCAATCGCTCTCGAGCGAGTATGTCACTTTATGAAGGACGGTTTGCCGCCTGTCGCTATATGCGTGCGTATAAGAGTGAGAGTGGGGTGATAGGTTGCATGGAACTATTTATTGCAAAGACCCCCGACTTTTTATTGGGGCCCTAGGAAGTAAAAGGGTTGTGGTGAGGGTGGTGGAGGTATGTCAAGGAGAAGGTATGAGTGACGAGATGTATGGGAGAAGAGGCTTGGTATACAGGCTTGAGGCTAAGCCTGAATTGAAGTTAGTGAGTATTAAAAATTTTAACACAGGTACTACAGGCGCAGATGTTGATGGATGTCAAGGCCTGAATTGTTCCTGGGTTGTTTCAACACCCTCGGACCCACTTTGCCTCGCTTGACATTTGTCAACAATGGAAGAGACGGTCAATGCGTTTGTTCGCCCTAATGAAATTTTCCTCTCCTATTACGATTCAATATATTACAGCTCATTACGAGTTCGAACAAGCATAGGCCGTGAAGCTGGCGGTAAGTACATAAAAGTGGCTGCAAGAACAGCCGTGTTTGGCAGACAGGCTGCCTAGAAATAGGCATTCAATTTTCGTGGGGCAGTTACGCCATACGAAGCTGATTGGAGAGAACATTGTCCCTAAGCGAGCCTTCCAGTATGCGACCTAAATCCCAGCCTTATGGGAGTGAGGAATGCATGATTACCCAAAAGCCACAGTAGTCTGAGACAGATAGATGGATGTCAGTCGTGATCTCACGCGCATGGTATGGATATTGTATGGAACAGAGAGGCAAAGGCTTGGCAGGCTGAAGTTCAGGCTCGACCGACACCATAAGGCTCCGCTCCGTGAAACCAGCTTTCGGGGAAAAAGTGGCTCTGGGAGCATGTCGGCTGTCAGAAACTAGTTGTATCTTGGTTTTGAAATAGTGAGACAGCCATGCCTAGGACTCGATTGGTTCAAGAGCTTCGTGGGGATCATAGCCTCAATCTTCGGAAGCGATTGTTCAGTGAAAGTGCAGTGCAGCCTTGCAGTGCGCCGATCAAGTGGTATCGCGAAACAAGTCTGTCATGCTGAATCGAATGTCAATTGTTTTCATCATGCATAATTTAATGCGCGAGTTCTGTTTATCTTACCAAGTCAAGAAATTTTGCTTGTGCCACCATTCGGCGAAAATACTCTACAATGCCAGAGCGTCAGCTTCGTTGGAAGTAGTCTTCAAAACTTTTGCTTTTGGTGACGAGGTCAGAGTGCGAAGGCGTGGGCTTACCACGTAAAATCTTTTACGAGAGTGACATGCTGACGTTCAAATTGAGAAGCTATGAAACCACGGCGAATTTCCCAGGCATGGCACCAATTGAACACGCCCCCGTCATACTAATCCACCCACAAAATGTTAATGTCCGACCCGGGGTCAACACTACTATTATGGTTGTTCCAGAAGGCGTTAAGTATTACGTGCTACGGAGAATTAAACGAGACTTCAGTGAATCAGCTGTCGATGCGACGACTACCTTAGCTAATAATGATCGGGTCCAACACTGTTTACTCGGCCGACACTCCCTGTCAGCTCCTCCAGACCGCTTCCTGCAGTTACGCGACTGGCTGAATGCAAGAGATCCCGTTTGGTGGGTGACGACGAGCCAGCCCTGCAGTGTACTGCGGTGTACTGCAACGTAGTGCAGTGGAGTGCAGTGGAGTGCAGTGGAGTGCAGTGTGCAGTGCAGTGTGCAGTGCAGACTGAATGCCACTCCCTTGTCACTGACGAGACCAAGTTTACAGCTTTACAAACGAATAAACCCAACAATTGGCGCAGGTTCCGAACTCAGCAGTCAGAGCAGTCCAGGCGGCTCTGTATAAATAAAATGCAGGATGCCTCATACATATCAATAACATATGCTTCAACACGATATCTCATCGCATTCCTAGCTCTTCCTGCAGTTCAGCGTCTCTCGTCACGTGGATCCATATACCTCATATCAGATTAACTTTATCATCCACTCCTAGGATCAAATCCTATAGTGAATACCATCATCTATTAATTTTCTACGCTTTACTCGGTCCACGTCGCCTTGTTGTATAGACCAACGATAAACGATCTTCTCTACACTGTTACATGATGACATCAAGTTCAAGCAAGTATTCGACTACAGCTGTCGATGGTTCGGCGTACGAGTATGTCCGTCCTCCATGCATCACACTCATTCTCATCTTACTTGAGCGCCTATTCTTCAAATTACATTCATGTTGAATAGCCAGATGGATACTGACATTATTCTCCTAGGTTCGGTTCATCTCCGTCTATCTCTGCACAGAAGACGCCTGCCCACCAAGCAGAACAAAGGGAATTTACCATTCATCGCATCAAATCTTTCATATCGGACACTTCGATGCATACTATCGTCGCCATTCATGCGCGCAATGCGAATGCCATCGTCGCGGCTCGACAACATGCTGCAGCCGCCAACATTGCTTCTTTCGATGAGGCTTTTGATAAACACAATGGGAACAAGAAGTACAAAGAGAACAATTGAGCAGTTACAAATTTAGTACTGTTACCTTTAGGAAGAGCAAGGATGGAATGAAGTAAGAGAATGGTGAGGCTACATGTCTCGATGTCCCGCTGTCCATGTCGCTTGGGGACTAGGTGGCTGCTTCAACTTCTACGCTCGTTACTAACGAAACTACACAGTTCTTATACAGCTCGGGTAAGATGAGTACTAGACCCCAATATCCATGAGTCCAACAGACTCCGCAGAGAGCTGGACTTGCTGTGGGCGGCATGAAGCAAACAAGGCTTGGCAGGATTGAAGTTTTCCGCTCTTGGGTATGGACCAGAACCAAGCCATCATCGAGTATGCCAAGTAGATAAAAGGGGGAATGTGTGGTCAAAAAATCTCTTTAGACTTGGAATATTTATATATATGCTCGTCAGTTCCTTCTGTGCTCAGTGTGGGTAATATTTAGGAAATGGGAGGCAGTTCCTGTGTGTCGCCTCTGATTCGCTCGCTTAAAGTATTTGGTTGCATACTCTCATTCCGCTGCGTCGTTACCAGTGTGTTCTTTGTTTCCTACCAGCCCCAACTCTCCATGTATTCAAATTTTTCAAAAGGTTTATATATAATAGAATTGAGCCTAATGAGATTTGCCTTGTAACTCCACAGACCCTTTTCAATATTGGAGGCATGCGAGCTGGCGTGGGGCGAATGGAAATTGCTGCCCCGGAAACATTTCAATAAGGCAGAAGAAATTGCCTCGTGTTGGGAAAAGTATCATTTCAAGACGAGTATTACTGTATGTAAGAATATTCTGTGATGTTTCTTGTGGCTGTTTGAAGACCGTTGAGGATATCATCTCACTGTATGACATTCTGCAAAACAGCGGGGCAACTGGGCTCAGGGGCGAACTTCAGGGGCGAACGTCGAAAGATGATCTAGAACAGATAACTTGAACTGTAAAAAAATGTAAATATTTCAAGCTGAGAATGATTAAGTCAATTTGCAGACTTTCAAGAGGCCGACTTTTGAATAGGGCGAATATGCTATCTGCAAATTGGTTGCCTCGTTAGCTTACCTCGGCGATGTCAGTCCCAGACATGAGTCGAGACTCAATCAAGCCACATTGAAAAGAATCTAAAAATAAAAATAAGGAATCAAAACGTTTATTGTGTACTTAGATACACAAAATGTTGAAATGCTTGCCTCGTCGACCTTTATCAAGCTATTTTGCTGTCGTTAAAAGCAGGTGTGATTTGAAATACATTCAGGCTAGAATTCAAAAAAGTAGGCAATACATATACACTTACGAGCATTTTCAGCCTGCAACTAACTTTGCGTTCCGTTATGCGACAGGAAATAATATGAATAATTTGATGACTCATGGTAAATCAAAATCGCAAGTAACAGTTCAAGGTGTTGAACTCCTTCAACGTTCATATGGTGAGCATAGTAAATGGATTGATCATTTCATATGCCTGTAGATATGACTCATGCACTGAATGTATGCCTTTCAAGCACATGGTGCAGAAATGTCTCCACATAGAACTTAACATATCTCTCTTTAGCTGTACTTCATGGTTAGAAGGCATCCAAATACACCTGTCTGTTTCCTTTGAGCACTGCTCCTCTCAAAGCAACTGTTTTTCGGCGTGAAATGAGCTCGGGAAGAATTTCCAAGGTGCGGTGAGGGAAACTAAGCTTGCGAGAGGGCCTCTCTGATTTGGCAAGCTTTCTGCATATCAAACCGTGGGAGGATCAATCAGCTCAGCTGATATATGATAGCATCGTATGGTGGCTACTCTTTGGGGCGATATGCTCCTCCGATAACGTGCCACTATTGGAGAATAATCTTTGCACTTGACACGGGTGCAGGAGCACCGTGACAAGGGTTGTCGGTTTGATGCATACGTGTGTCTCTCTGAGACTCTCATATAAACCCCTCTCCCATCCTCATAGCTCCTTTTTGATTCTTCCATCCTACCTACACTCTTGTGAGCAAGGGATCTACACATAGAGCCTGAAACTTCTCACCTGGGTGACGATTTCGCCTTGTAACCTATCTACCACCAATACAACAGCACAATGGCTTCCCAAGAAGATACGTGGTCCGTCACCGCTACCCACGGCTCAGCACAAAGGTCAGTCAGCGCGATTACTCGTAGGTTATGAATATGCGACCTTCCAGCTTGAAAATCAACTTTCTTCGTCCTCATACTGAACAAATGACAGCGTCGTTTCCGGAGCACGTCGCCTGATCGAGGATGACAATGTCGGTAAACTCGATGCGGAGAGGCCGCACCAACGAGCTCAGAGTTTTGTTAGCGGCAAGAAGCTTGAAGTTGGACTTCGAAATCCTCCGACTGTTGAAGATGCTGTTACTAAAGCAGCTTTGATTCTTCAAGAGTTCGACAGAATATTTGGTGGCAATCAAATAGAGAAGGATGCAGGCACAGCATCACCCGGGCGAATTTGAGCATGCGATGTTGAGGTTAAAGGCGGCCAGGCCCAGGGGAGTGGGCGATAACGACTCGTGTTGAGACAGGGTTAGGAATCGTTTTGTTCCTTATTTGAATGAGAGTTTGAATGTCAGATATATGGTCAATCCCTTGAAATTGTTGGACTGTGCGTTGTGAAATCGTCAGCCTTCACCATGAGATCGGATGAACGAGCCTACGTGAAACCCGTACAAGACATTCCGAAGAGAACTTGTTCTAAACTTGATTCCATTTCAAGTCTGAATTGTGCTTTCCGTACAATTCCACTGTCAGACGGCATCAAGTACAACGTGTTGCAATGCTGAGAAGAAGTTCTCGATAGACTCGATGCGAGAATGAGGCTGAGCACCAGTCAGAGATCCTCCGAACCCTACCTGTACCAAAATAAATACAGCTGTTTTAACATTCATAGCCCTCTCCAGACGTTCAAGCGTGGACGGCGATAAATGTGGTCTTGTGCAAACCCTCCAAAAGGTTAAAAAAAATATCCTTTTGGTCAATTGAAGCTTTGCATCATATCAACCTCAAGATCAGCTGCTAGTGCAAGAATGGTTGCCTCGTCTGTAAGCTTTCCAGGAACATGTGAACTGAGCCCAGCTGCTTTACCTGGTTTACTCGGGTCACTCACTGTCCATCAACCTTAACTCAAAACCACCACGGAATCTCCCAAGTAACAGGACACGGAAAACAATAGTAAAGCTGCTAGATTCGCCCCGTGAAATATGCATAGCCAGCGCTTGTTTGGACAATCGGAAAATGGGCGCAAATGTTGGTCAAAATTCACATACAACCAACATTCCGGGATGCGCAGCGATGAAGGGAATTCTGCCGGGCTTAGAAAATGGGACGCATTTTCTGTGCGAACCATGCTGGTGCTTTGCCTTGTGTGCCAGCTCATCAATGTCAGCAAGAAGCGCCATGAGTGTTGGAAGCGAGCCAGTGTGATGAAGCGGTTCGCTGTCGAGAGCCTTGCTGATGCGTGGTGGCTTGAAGGAAGTTGTGTTATTTGACTCGCTCAATTTTGGTTGGATACGAAGGTGCAAAGATACCCGTAGAAGTGGTGGGTAGCCTGAGTCTTGATTGATTAAAGAACAAAACTTTCCCATGGAAACTTTTGAGTCTCAGTCATCGTGGGTACTCGAGCTCTCTCCAGAATCATTTTGGTGCCATTGGATACCTTTGCGGACAGATGAAAGCGTGAAAGCCTTGTTCGACATCTAACTCCTGAGAAGTCTTGCCAATGGTATGCCTTGAACTTCAGGATGAGGCAATCTATAGCCTTATTGCTGAAGCATTTTTAAGTCAAGAATGTGTCTTCCTCCTTGCTGTCCTCATGCGGTTCAAATGGCAACGGTGCTCCTAGATTCCTTTTTGTGTGTGCATCACGATTATAACTGGGGAAAACCTGACTACTAATCCTGTGACTTCTTGTCAAATGCCTTGTCAGTGCCTTGTCTGCACTGATCGAAAGATATTTGGCTTGGAGCACAAACATTGGGAGCGCCTAAGTTACCCCTCACCACAAGTTCGTAGCCTCGTCCAATTTGGTTTTCACAAGTTCGCTACACTGTGCTCCTTTTCGGTTATAAAGGACCTTACATTGCAGGCAGCCAGGCTTTTACACTCTGGTCTGTTATTAGGAGGTGACCTCAATCAAGTTCTAGATTTGATTTCGGTGTTGATCGGCATGTGCTCACCCTTAATATGTGCCTGATTTGCGGCTTATGTAGCATACGGTATTTCGTCCACGCAAACAGAAACTTCATATCACCAGGATCGCTCACCTCGAGCCCATTTGGACTTCATCCGCCGTTTCTTGCCAGATCAGATCAGCCTATGAGTTGTGGATTCTTCTGGAGCAATCCAGATCTACAACATGTTCATGCTGTGGACATTCAACAAGCGAGAACAATAAACCATCTTGACATCTATTCCCCTTTGTACTTCAGCTGGGCATTCGGCTCCAGCCAACTATTATTCCGAGGTGAGGTAGAGAGCGTGATTTGCAGTTTTCAGGTGAAGCAATATCACGTGGTAGAGCGTCACACTTAATTTTCCTCTTTTTCTACCAAATTACCCTGCACAGGACTTATATATATACATATGTCGCGATTGAAGCTAGATGCGGGTCCTTGAATAGGTTGGTGCACTGGGTGGTGATGTACCTATTCGGCACTCGGATTCGGAAGCACGAGGCCGTAACTTGCCCGACTCGAACAATGGCGCCCAAGACAGGTGGGCTGTGGGCTGGTGGACTCGACGACAAATGTCGAGCACGACGCAGGCGAATGGTTCGCAAAATTGCGGATCGTGAGATCATAAAATGGGTGGTTTGAGAATCTTGATCAGAACCGCAGGCAAATGGTTCGCAAATTTGCGGATCGAGGGATCATAAAATGTGTGGCTTAAAAATCTTGATCAGAACCGCAGGCAAATGGTTCGCAAATTTGCGGAGCATAAAATGGGTGCGTTTGATTTGCCATCATATGCACACCGTACCCGCAGCTACATGTGTGAGGCCACTGCTGCACAAATAAAGGGTAATTATACACCCTCCCCCAAGAACGATACGCCCCCCCTGTGGGTCCTCTAAGCCTTTTCAAGATGAATACTCGCGAACCTCAAAGATGTTCAATTCAACTCGAATTTATCAAGCAAAGGCGCTATGCCCGAGCCCCAGGGCTTACGGAGGGCCGGGAGGGAGTGAGTCCCTTGCGCGGTAGACACGAATCTCACAAAAAGATAGCTCGAGTTTTAGATGCCGAGCGCAGCGGATATTTACAAACAGAGTATTTTTGGTGTTGTTCAAATAGAAGAAAGATAATCCGCTAGTGGGAGGGCTTGAGGATATAACTGGTTGAAGTTGCCCCACAGGGGCAGTACCCCAAATAAAATGTAACAGGTGGCGTTTTCCGAGTCGCCTGTTTGGCCCTTTAGAATACCCTCCCGTTGCGGTCAAACGATGACATTTGACTGGTTGATAAAGCTCTCAGGACAAGGCTATTACATGCATCTTCTCAACTTTAGTGACACCCTTACCGTCCTGGCTCCCTAGGCAAAACGAGGCAAGTAAGCTACGCAGGTATGATATTGTATTTGGCATCCAAGCGGAGGAGCGAGGTCTGGGAATGCCCAATGTCTCTATCTACGTATGGAGTGCCTCACTTTGTATAAGAGACTTCTGTTCCCCCTATGCGATACCTTTACTCAACCACAAAGTTTCATTTCAATTGCTCCATCCCTCGCAATAATACCTACCTACACAGTGCTGCCTCGGTGGCTCTGTATCACGTCACGTGCTTGTCCTCATTCAGTAACACTTTGCTTTTTTATAACTTACAACCCTCTACCTACCCCACAAAGATTCCTCTTCGGTCATCGATATATTCCCACCACTCAAAAATACTCAGTCATACAACACTCTATCATCAACATCCCAAAGTCCTGCCCTCATCTTATCTCATCACCATCACCCTCACCATTGCCAAGACCCATCATCCACCAACATGGCGCACAGCACTTCCTCAAATACAGCCACTTACGGCTCTGAAGATCAGTCCGTACCCTCGAATACCTTATGCCACCTCATATTTCCTCCTGTTCATCCAACATATCACTGACCAACCCCCCTCTAGATACGCATCCACCTCTAACGCACCACCTACCCAAACAACATCCCAAATCGCCGCCAATGCAGCAATTTCTCGCCAATGGACAGCCACATACATAGCCGATCCAACCCTTCCCGTCGTTGCTCCATCGTCTTTTCGCCCTAATCCAATAGCTTCCCGAATCCAAGCGGCAAACACAAATATCGCTAAGTTTGATGCAGCTTTCAACAATGGCAATAACAGCAACGGCCGCAACAATATGAATAGTAAAGTCAATTGAGGAGAGGAAAGGTACAAAAGAATTGAAATGTAAACAAGCTCCCACAGCGTCGAGGAAAAGGTATGTTTTTCCTACCTGCCCATTCCTACCTATGTCATGTTATGTTATGTTTCCTCGCCTAAGTCAGGGGTCGTTTTGTTTACCTAGGCACCCACACCTCGCGTGGATACCTACTAGGTAGGTACCGAGCACATGACTCCAGCGAGGGTTGAAAGAGAATGGCAAAGCAAAGCTGACTGGAAATTCAGAAGAGAGGCTAATTGATGGATGTTGAGGCTTGTGGTGGAAGGAAGGGATTGAGGAGGGGGATTGAACGGTTTGAATGCGATGCAGTGCAGTGCAGTGCAGTGCAGTGCGGTGCGGTGCGGTGCAGGGATCTGTGTGAGGGGGTCGGGCATCGGGAAATACCCACTTCGGGTCGTCGGTCGGGTCGAGTCCCAATTCCTTCGGGGGAGGTCACCCAACTTGTCTTTAAAGTGAAAAGACACAACCCCATCTCGGGGGGAAAATTTGAATGAAAAAGGAGGATTGGAATCGAATGGAATGGAATGGAATGGAAAAGGGCGAATGAGGGAGTTCAAGAGGACATGGGGGCTGGCTGGAATTGAACAGAGCAGGAGGTAGAGGGAAGAAGGAAGCGCGGGTGCGCAGGAGCTTGCCTACTTGGTGAGGAGAGAACCAAAAAAAAAAATAGCTGGCATGATATGGACTGTGCAGTTGATAGACGCGGAAATGGAAATAAATGGACGTGAGATTGGCTCCACCCCATCTCCAAAGCAGCGGTCGCAGAATGACAGGACAAAACGGAACAAGAAAGGGTTGCTTCAAGAAATATTCCTTATTAACCATCTCATCCTATCCTATTCTCTCCTGTCGTAATTATCATGACAATATCCCTCCCTCCTGTCGTTATCCGAAAAAACTCCTCCCAAATCCTTCCCAAACATTGTCATCCATATTGGGTAGTGAGACTTAGTTCGACCACTTAGGATCAAGTTTCTTCCTGCAAAATCCCCAAAGATCATCAGTCAGTCAGTCAGTCAGTCAGTCAACACTAGTTCGAGTACTTTGAATCGACTTTGCTTCTATACACGACACGGGTGGTATTAGGTTGTGGGTTTTTGGGGTTGGCTTTCTCCCTCTCTCTGCCTTTCGTTCCCAACATTCGCGAGTTGAATTGAATCGAATTGGATCGAGAAGGTGGGAGAGAAGGAGTGCGCACAGATTGTGTATCGAAAGGCACGGTGGGGTATTGAAAAGGGAGGGGGGGAAGGGGTAGCGGGAAATATTGGAGGGGGGGAAAACGTACCCAGTCTGCTTCTCGTACAAGCCACGGGCACCATCGGTGATCTTCTCGCCAGTCGCGGGGTCAACCTTATATCCAGATTTCTTAGCGAGGAAGTCGAATGCTATCAGAAATGACCATTAGCGCATATCCATAAAACCTCAAATCACTATTCCTTCCCCAGACCTTCATACAACCGCAATTGCACACTGCACAAACAGAACAACATCACAAAAAAAAAAAAAAAAAAAAAAAAAAAAAACAAGAGGCGGGGTAAATAATACATGGACAGAAAAATAAAACATACCCTTATCACCATAATCCTGACCCCCCGCAGCAGCCCCCGACCCCCCTGCCTGACCCTGAGCTGGTGCCCCACCAGCAGCAGGCGCACCACCGACGGCACCGGCACCGCCTTGAGTCTGCTGATTGCTACCACCAGCCTTGTTCTTGTTGAGCATTTCTGCGCCTTTCTTGAGGAAATCCATGGTTGCTTTGCTTTGGTTGTGAAGAGAAGAATTGATTATTGAAAAGTTTGGTAGGCGTGAAATTAGACGACGTGAAGTTTAGACGGAAGGATACTTTATGGATGGAGGGGAAGGAACGAGGGGAGAGGGGTCCTGAGGGGTTTAAATACCAAGCTGAAGCCAAACAACCCCGCTATCCTATCCTATCTCGCTCATCTGCACCAGTGCACCAGGGGGCAATCAGTCTAGCTCAAACAGTCAAACAGTCAAACAGTCAAGCAGTCAAGCACTTCACTTAAACTACAGTACAGTAGTAGGGCCTAAAGGTAGCTAAGCTAAGCTAAGCTCCAGCGAAGCACAGCACAGCACAAACAGCACACTAACGACCCACCTGCCACACCCACATCCACATCCACACCCCCCTCTCAGCTCTCCGTTCAAGGCACAGCTCCCTCCCGCTACGGATCCGTAGAATGATTGGTCTCCCCCCTTGTCCTTATCCCAACTCAAACATACCCTACCCAGCCTACCCCGTTCAGCTGAAGTAGGGCGTATGTCTTGCTTTAAGCAGTTTAGTTTAGTTTAGCTTAGTTGAGTCGGTTACACTCGATGCCGACCGCATGCATGCATGCAGGTCATACTGCACATACAGTACTGTACCAGTAATACCCTTACTCGCCTTACTACTTACTATCTTAGGGAGCCCTGGAGGGTTGTTGTGTGGCGGGGTCTGGGCGACGTCATTGCGTCGATTGGCGAGGGAGGGGTGTGCAGGTGGGGGGACATGGGGAGTGGGAATGGGAGTGGATTTGGGAGGAGGATTTGAAGTGGATTATTATGGAATCCATTATTATTGGAGAGGAGACGGCAGCGGGGCGGGGGGGGGGGGGGGGGGGGGGGGGGGGGGATTGATGTGTGGTGGTGTCATAGAGGGGCAATAATGAGCTATTTTTACATGTTGTGAGGAAGTATATTGGGTATAATATATGGTAGGATCATATCAAGATATTTAAACTTTTGGAAACTGTGGAATATCTTGTTATGAGGTTACATTCTGAATCGGTGTTCATTTTTCATAATAATAATGCTTGGTTTGAGCTGTCAAGAGGCCGGGAGAGAGGTCGGGAAGCAATGCTTGGTGGGCCGGGGCCTGGCAGTTTAGGTGCCTAGCTTCGGTGCAGCCGAGGGGCTTGGGTTGGGATTGAGTTGATTGAAAGAGAGAGGCGAGTTGACACTACCGACCCATGTTCGAGAACATTTCATAGAGTAGCGCTGCCGGGAGTTGGGATGAGGCAGTCCCGAGTATGTACCGTGGAAGATAAGCTGAGGTCTAGACTTGAAGAATTTGTTGGAGGAGCTGAGTGGTGGGGTTCACGTGGTAAGATAGAGCTCTGATCAATGAACAGCGAGCTGAGCTTCCTTGCATAGCTGATCGGTTTGCTGCACTGCCCATGCATTTTGAGATTTTTGATGTGATGTGATGAGAGGAGAAGAGTATGTTGAAGAGAGGGAAGAACAGAAATGCGACATGACATGATACCTCATGGAAGTGATACGGATTTAGGAGATGGTAATTGCCTTTGGGAACGAGAATTGACGGTTTGCCAGTTTTATCCATCCATCTATCCATCCATCTATCCATCCATCGTTTCTGCATGTGAGTTTGATCGAGATTGATCCATATATGTAAGGCTGGCAGAGATTGAAACTTGTTCTTGAATTGTATACAGTATGTAATCCTTCGAACAATATGTAGCAGTATGAAGCAGCAGTAGGAGACCCTGCCTCCAAAACATGTATTTCCACAGCTTTGCTGTGATATAAACAACACCATCCCTTCCAAATGCTCCCAAACGCCAATATGCATGCAATTGCAGCCCAAATAGATATTCACAGCCTTATCCTTCCTTGGTATCCTCGTATATTCACCCTATGTCCTTCCTTCGTTGTTTGATGTTTCGTCATCTGGTATCATCGTCTCATCACATCTTTTCTTTCGTCCATTCCCCTTCATCCCCAACATCCAACAGTTTACGAATCGTCCTGGTAAACTTGATACGCCATAATCATCATCCACAACAAAAACACACACCCGACCAACTCAAAAGCCCACTGAGCCTGCCAGCTCTGACCTATTTCCAAATTAGCCCTCGCTCACTTCCTCCAACACGCGAAGAGTACTCACAAATACTATGCTGCTCCAAATAAGCCAGCGTATTAACATTCGGGCCTGTAAATTGCCTCCCATTTACATAGATATTACAATTCCCATTCACACCACTCGGGCCCCAGAGTTGTATCGAAATGACTATCAGACCAACCATCCATAGTATGAAGAGTATGAAAGAACCCATTATCACTATGCCAGGGAGGAGTTGCCGTTGCGATATTAACCAAAGCATAACGAGGATGAATACAACTGCTAGAGCGGAGGATGCGATCCAGTAAGGGAAGTACCTGTCGAAGTTAGCGACTGTACGTACGACCCATACTTCTAATTCCCAGAATCTCGCAGAAGCCCCTGCCATATCCATTTTCGCTCGCGCAAAGACGAAAGAAGAACCTACCAAGGAATCCCCACCCTCAACTGATTCTGCACCGTAATGAAATACGAATTGATTCCCAGTATCGTACAGCTCCCCACCAACATGATGAACAGCCAGAAATTCAGCTGCAGAGGCGGCCATCTGTACTTTGTCCGCACGCGGTGCACAACGACCTCGGACATGGTGGTGCTTGTGGATGCCATGATGGGCGGATGCGGTGCGGGGGTTGCGGGTTTATACTTTTGGATCGGCTTGTTTCGTTTTCGAGGGGGGATGATGGAGTGGGTTTGCGCTTTGGCGTAGAGGTGTCAGTGCAATGGGTTGAGTGTTGTTCGGAGTCGGGCTTCGTCTGATGTGTGGTATTGTATCGTCTGAGGGTTGCTCGAGTACGTTGTCGTCGCACCGATCTGCAGCTTTCCGTCGAGGGTCTCTTTCGTTCCAGGCACCGTTCGAGACCGTCGCCGTGGAATTGATGGTGTTTGTGTCTGTGTTTCCGCTGGTGGTGGTGTTGCCAGCCGCCTTTTTATATCCTCCTCTCTTGCTTTGGTCGAGTCGACTCAATTCCGTCGCAATCGATAACCTTCCACTTTCCACGTCTTATGATGCGCGCAGACACTCAATCCTGCTTGTACACGTCGCTTTGTCGGCTGCTGTGTTCGCCGTTGGCGTTGGGCGCAATCGAGTGGACTTCTCCACGTGTTGGCGGTGTTGTCTTGTCGCGACTGGATGATGGATGTGGAGTTGCGGGCAGTGGAGTGGTCGCGGGAGGGAGTAGCCGAGACTTGGAGGGGTTGATGTGTGGTGGGAGGGCACTCAGATAATTGCTTGCAATAACGAGTGTATCGAAAACGAAGATATAAACAAAATTCAGTCGAAGCAGCCGTAGCAGCGAAAGTTCATGAAGACCAGATGCAAGCAATCAAGAAAATCGGATGTATGATGTGTGCGGGTGGGCAGCGAGGCACAGTGACGCAAAGCCTTGTTGTCTTTTGGGCGAGGTTGGGAGACGAGAAAGCAGGTGGCAGGAAGCGAGGAACAACACCACATGGGGGACCTTGATAAAGTAGTGACTATGGCAATACACACGAATAATTGTGACATGTCAAAGTAAGTATGTTTAATATGTATGATCATTTCTATTCGATAGTGCACTGTGCTATGAACATCGTCAAGATTGATGTTTGTCCTTGGAGATGTATCACGTGACTCTGGTTGGGTGTCACTCGAGATGTCCAACCTCAGCCTTATTCCTTTTTCTTGCACTTCTTCAAACATCTCGCCTTCACAATTGTCTCTTCCTCGATTCTTTGTCACCGGAACCACGACGAGCTCGAAAAAGACGACAGACGTACCCACAGAACAATATTTACCTTGTGCCTGTTCTGTACCTACTCTGTGCCTACTCTGTGCCTGACCTGTGCTTGTCGAACAGCACTTCCCTCCTTGGTGGTGTTATCCAGCCCTTCCCACAAGGCCTCGACATGGAAGACCTTGTTGCTAGTCTATCGTTGGAGGATCTCGAAAACTACAAGTACGATCCTATTCATGCTGAGAACACGATACGCATCCTGACCCTCTATCCTGGGGAGCCGGGGAGCAGGCTAGAGGGACGTCTCGACTTTGCCAATATAGATCAACAGCCTAAGTATGAGGCTATCTCGTACGTCTGGGGAGATCCAACTCGATGCGATGAGATTGTGATTGAAGGCAAGTCACTTGGCTTGACCAAGAGCATCTCTGATGCTCTCCAGAGGATGCGCCATGAGACCGAAACTCGAAAGCTCTGGGCGGATCAGGTGTGCATCGATCAGGATAATTTGAGTGAGCGTGGACACCAGGTAAAGTTCATGAGTACGATATATAAGAACACGACGACAGTTCTGGTGTGGCTAGGGCCAGATGAAACGAAGTCTGCAGTCCCAGCGCTGGAGAAGTTTTTAGGACTCAAGGAAATACTTAACGATGAAGCCTGCTTGAAGATATTTACTGAAAATCAGAGACATCGCATTGAAATCTATGATGACGAGTCTTGGGAGCCGCTGAACAGATTCTACCACCTTCCTTGGGTAAGCCATCCATCCGAATACTTACCTGTCATATTAGATGCTGAATATTCAGTTCACAAGAGTATGGATTGAGCAGGAAGCTGGAATGGGAAGACCTATGCACCTGTTTTGGGGGGAGCAGGAATACGACTGGAAGCTCATATCGGTTGTATCAGATATTCTAAATCGACAACACAAACCACTCCGAAACCGTTATGACCTGCGCCCCTCACGCGTTGCCTATCTTGATAAAAGATTCATAGATCTTACAGTCAGGCACGGCGGAAAGGATTACTATCCTGGGGCAAGTTTTGTTAATAAGCTTAACTTTTCCAGAACGAAGGCGTCGACTGACCCCAGGGATCGGATATTTGCTAACCTGGGGCACTTCTCCGCTACCGTATTGCTGGAAAGCCCGCCTGCCTTTGAGGCGGACTATACCAGGGACATGGTGGGACTGTACATAGATGTTGCCATTCGAACCCTGAAAGGCTATCCGACGCTGGAGCTGTTGAATGCTGTTCATCATCACCACGGTATGACAATCGGCTGATTGACTGAGTTGTCATACTAACAACAAGCCTAGATGAAGAACGCTTACCATCATGGGTTCCAAACTGGGGCGACAACTCCAGGCGAAAGTGCATAGGCAAGCGCGATACTTGGCTCCGTGCCGCTGGGGCCACATCTCCTTCATTTACCATACAAGAGAGAGAGGGACTATTGTGTATCAAGGGACTTGATATCGACTCAATTGAGGTCCCATCCGAGGAACTCTCCCAATATGACTTCCGAGACAGCGACGTTCAGAGAGGTCGAGCTAAAGATAGTGTAGTACCACGGCTATGGAACTGTCTCTCTCAATTGTCCACATTTCAGCTCAAACACGAGTACATTAGCGGCGGAAGTGCTCTTCTTGCATTCTGTCAAGTTTTAAGTGCAGGTTGTTGGGCAATGGTTCGACGAAGCGGTGATCTGCGTAGAGACTTCCACTCAATTCCAGACAGTGTCTGCCTCCAACATGGAGCTGCTTATCTCACCAGAGTTTTGGGTGACGAAAATCTGGTTGATGACGAGGTCAGGAAAGCAGCTGAGGGTGGAGATGCCTTGGCTTGGAACGGAGGCCTCTCCAGAGTCTGCCACAGAAGGTCTCTGTTTCGCACTCGCAAAGGATACTATGGCCTTGGTCCAGCTGAGATTCAGAGAGATGATATGGTCGTTGTTCTCTTCGGCGGCACTACACCATATGTTCTGAGACCGACTGACCAGGGATATTGGTTTGTAGGAGAATGTTATGTACATGGCTTGATGAACGGCGAGGCCCTAGCGATGATGGATCGAGGAGAGTTGAAGGAGAAGACGTTTGTGATTCGATGAGATGCAGTGGCATATCATCCTGGTCCCGGTAAATACGTGAAGACGAATCACCTGATGACTGGTATGATTTTGACAACTGATGAGGAACCAAGGGGGACGATTGGAGCAAATGCTCCGATCAATTATCTGCACGCATCCGGAATTCTGGTTGGCGGGTTCACTCATTCCAAATTATGTACAGCCACGGACAAAGATTCAGGCTAGAGAGTCTGAGCTTCCCCGGGTCTGGAACTGGTGTACGCATTTACTCAAAAGTGGAGGATGTGCTCCAATGCCATTATCAGTTCGGACCTGAAATTGTGTTTCCGGACATCAGATACTGCGCTGAGCTCTAGGATTCATGTATTCCAATGAGTTGCTTTATTTCTCGTTGACGACTACTGCACGAGTTGAATTATACTTTCATCTTCGGTTTCCCAGTCTTAATTGTTATCGACTTCTGGGTTTGGGTCTGGGGATCTTTCTGATATGCACATACAGGGATTTCTATACGATGGATCTGTTCGCTTTCCCAGCCCTCAAATGGGAACTTCACTGCTATAACATTTAGCACGGGCTCTGAGCCAACAACAATGCGAGGTTAACTTTGCTAATCAAGTGCACAATCAACATGTCAGACTTTGTTGGTTTGATATCCACCAAACGTGTCACGCAGCTCCTCTTGAACACAAATCGGCCCATGTCAAGCGCCGAAAAGCCACGAAAGCCCACTCGATCCACAGATCTACTGGTCCAAGAGACATGGCAGTTTCTTGTTGTTGTCAAGATTTCATATCTCAACAACAATTCAAGCAAATGCCATTTACGGATCCCGGAACTAGCTCCTCCGTCATCCCCATCAACCAGCAGCACGATTTGAAGTCAAATCTCGACTTCTAACTGGTTCGCCTGTAGACGGTACGCGGGCCGTATGAGAAGAATATTAAACGCGAGCAGGAAGCTTTCGTGTGTATTTATCCGCCCTTTTACCCCCTTTTAGCCGTTGGCCCTTTTGTGTGGAGCCCCTTATTTTCTCCACGAGTGAGAGGGGACGATCTCGCTTTGCCGCAGACTACCCCGCGAGTCCCCCGCGTTAAACTGCACCTCCATGCATGCCACAACGGCCACCCGTTTCTACTTCTGGTTCCAGACTCGCGAGCGGCGTCAGATCAGTTCGGGATTTGATTCTCTCTGCCGGATTGGCCAATGATATTTTGATCCTGGGATGTTTATCTGATGTTGGGTTCGTCAAGCTAGGGCTGTTGGATGCAGCTCGAAACTTTCTTGAGATGGATTTTGGGTGATCAACACCTTGCTTGTGACTTGCTGGGATGAACCAAGTCGACTGCATCCTGGAGGACCAGGACTGTGGGAAAATCTGGTCTGATAGATATAAACAGACCTCTGCTCATCCGTTTTGTCGGTTTTCAGAGCCAAAGTTCCTTCGACTTCCCCATTCCATTCCGTCTCATCACTGGAGGGTTTACGCCGCATTAATCAACCATGGCCCATGATTCCCCAGAGCCAATGGCTACCGTGCCAGACGCCTCCATCGAGAAAGCGCCTCACGTTCACCACGACGAGCACACACTCGACATGAGCGGGAAAATGCTCGACGATGAAGCCAGACTTGCCACGGCCATCGAACACAACGCAACAGTCTGGCAGAGTATCAAGACATATCGCAAGGCCGTCTTCTGGTCTGTAGTAGTTTCAGCATCCATCATCATGGAAGGTTACGACACCACGCTCATTGGATCGTTCTTCGCCTACCCATCTTTCAAGAAGAAGTACGGACATTACAGCGGTGAGGAGTACGGCTACCAACTTTCCGCGCCATGGCAAACAGGACTGCTGGATATCCAAGCTGTTGGCAACATCATCGGCGCTCTGGGTAATGGTTACTTCACGCACAAGTATGGACACCGCATTGTCATGCTGGTCAGTCTCGTCATGATGACTGCCTTCATTTTCCTCACCTTCTTCGCTCCAAACGTCGAGACTCTCCTCGTTGGTGCCTTCTTCTGCTCCATCCCCTGGGGAACATTCGCTACTATGGGTCCGGCCTATGCTATGGAAGTTTGTCCTTTGGTCCTCAGAGGCTACCTTGCAGCTTTCGTCAATCTCTGCTGGGCTATCGGTCAACTTCTCTCGGCCGCCATCCTCAAAGCACTTGTCAACAACAACACACAGTGGGGCTACCGCATCCCATTCGGCTTGCAATGGATTTGGGTAAGCCATTCACTAATCTGCGCAACTTGGGATCAAGACTAATACAGACAGGTTCTCCCCCTCTTCACAGCAGCTTGGTTCTGTCCCGAGTCACCTTGGCATCTCGTCCGCAAGAATCGCCTCGAAGAAGCTGAACACTCCCTCAAGCGTCTCTCTCAGGACTCAGACAATGTCGACCACAAAGCCGCCATCGCACTCATGGTCCACACAACTCGTCTCGAAGAACAAGAAGAGCTCGGCACATCATACTGGGATTGCTTCAAAGGCACCAACTTGCGCCGTACCGAAATCGCCTGTTTCGCTTTCTTGTCACAAATCACCAATGGCGGCGCTTTCGCTTACAGCCCAACATACTTCTTCGAGCAGGCTGGTATCGATGCTGATGTGTCTTACAATATCGGTCTCGGCGGAACTGGAATCGCTTTCTGCGGAACTGTCATCTCGTGGTTCATCATGAATAGGATTGGTCGTCGTCCGATTTTCCTTACTGGATTCCTCTGCATGGTATCCTGCCTCTTTATCATCGGTATCCTCGCCTGCGTCCCCGGTGTCGACGACTCCAAGACAATCAAATACGTGCAAGCATCACTCTGTCTCGTCTGGCTCGGCTCCTACAGTATGACGGTCGGTCCAATCGTGTATACTATCGTGGCTGAAATTGGTGCCACTCGTCTACGTACCAAGACTGTCGTTCTCGGCCGTTCCACATACTATGTCGGTAACATTATCGGTGGTGTGTTGCAGCCATATATGATGAACCCTACAAAGTGGAATTTCAAGGGTAAGACTGCTTTCTTCTGGGCGGCTTTGGCGACTATTACAACGGTTTGGGCGTGGTTCCGTTTGCCTGAGACGAAGGATCGGACGTTCGAGGAGTTGGATGTTTTGTTCTTGAAGGGCATTCCGGCGAGGAAGTTTGCGAAGGCCGATGTGGAGCATGAGGATCTTAGTTGAGGATATGCAACATTTTTTCTAGCTTTGATGAAGTCATTATTTTGATGAATTTCAATTACTTTTGAAGTACCCTACGAGTCGCATTCTATCTTAGATCGCTCCCGTGAGTTTGAAACAAGACGATGCAACCGCCCAAGAAGGAAACCGAATCGTGGATAAACAACAACCAATCAATATGCCCTGGAACATGCAGGCACATGGATAAATCTGCAGTCATCTTTCCCGCGCGTGAAAATCAACATCTTAAAAACACCATCAAAATCCGATCCTAAATTCCCGATCCTCCTCTAACTCCCTCAGAATCCCATCGTCTTTTACCTGATGGCTCCCACCATCTCCAACAATGTCTCCATCCTACCTCCCAGCTCTTCAAGGAGAAAAAGAAATACGCCTCCTCCACATCAGCTCCACCACAGCATTCACCTCCCCCATAACCTGCATCCTCAAAGCACACTCCCTATCCGACAAACCTGTTTATGACGCACTATCCTACACCTGGGACAATACAGGTGGTTTCAAATCCATTATTGTGAACAGCGTGTCTTGTAACGTGACATCGAATCTAGAGCTTGCATTGAGGCATTTGAGGACTTGTGGTGGCGAAGGGGAAGAGGGAAAGGAGTTGGTGTTGTGGGTCGATGCTCTGTGTATTGATCAGAGCAATGATGAAGAGAAGGCGGTGCAGGTTGGGATGATGGGGGAGATTTATAGGAATGCGAGGAGGGTAAGGGCGTGGATTGGGGTGAGGGATGAGGAGGATGTGGATGTGGATGATGCCAATATCGATGATGAAGTGGAGGGAGAAGGACTGGGGAAGAACTGGACTGTTTGGAAGCTCTTGGAGGACTTCGGTACTTCGCAGAAGTTTGATTGCTGGGATGAGGAGCAGCCGCACAAGTTGCGGCCTGGGAAGGATTTAGATGAGATGGTAAGTTTCGCATCAATTTTCTTGTGTTTCCTTGAGCACGAAATTTCTATGGTCACGTTTCAATCGTCTAACAGAGAATAGGCAAACTCACTCACAAATTGCTGGGAAACCCACAGTGGTAAGCAATCCTGGATGGTGCTAGCCAGGCTTCTCAAACGTCAGTACTGGAGACGAGTCTGGATCCAGCAAGAGCTCTACAACAACCGAGAAGTCATGGTCCACTGTGGGTTTAGATCAGCACCCTTCGAATGCTGGACTCGAGCTCTAGAAGCCCACTCACATGAGTGCTCCATCGATCCTTCTGATCGAACGCTCAAGCTACCTTCTGGACGTGTCAGGCCGAGCTCCCAAAAACTCATACAAGCAGGTTCACTAGTCGTTTGGTTCGGCCTAGGGCGTCGTTACCATGAGCGTGTGAAGAGTCGACAAGCTCATTTTCGACTGTTGCGCGAACAATTATCTAGAGGAGCCACGGATCCGAGGGATAAAATCTATGGTATTCTGGATATGGTGGAGTGTTGGGCTGAAGGACGGTTCAAGGCTGACTACACAGCTTCCACTGCGGAGGTGTACACTCGAGCTGTGCTCTCTACTATCGAGCATTGGAAGTCACTTGATGTACTACTGGATACAATGCCCTGTCCAGTCGATATGAGAATGCCAGGTTTGCCGACATGGTGTCCTGATTGGAACCATTACATCGGGATGTCGGAGGATGGATCAGAGGAGGCAACAGACTTGAAATGGGCTGAAGTACCGCACGGCCTGAATCGGTGGTGCGATAATAAGTTTGACTACAATCGGAACATCAAAGGCCATATCAAAGTTTCGGACAATGGGCGGGTACTTCGCTGTTTTGGAATCAAGTTGGACGAGGTGTGCGATGTAGCGGATGGCCCATGGAGTCCAGGAAACGAAACCCCAGCATATGAGAATCTCGAGCGACTTTTACGTTTGACAGGTGCTGAGCACGACTCTGGACAAAGAGAGGCTCTGTGGCGTACACTGATCAGCAATCGTGCTTGGGATCCGGACTTTGAATCGACTCCGCAGAGGTTCGTACAGGCACCTGATGACTTTGGCGGGAGATTCGAGACCTGGCTTGCGATGGCTCGTCTGAGGCACAAACTTGACCAAACTCCGGACGATGCTACTCTTCAACCTCTGAGAACCGACGGGAGCCTTTTGGCAAAAGCAGTTCTGCCTATGGACCAGCAACCAGAGCCTGGAACGACCAGTGAGGAGGCTGTGGAGCAAGTTGTCATGTGGCAGCATCCTTTTCTAGCCTCCTGCCAGATCGCTTCACGTTGCCGCCGATTCTTCATGACAAAAGGTAACCACATGGGTTTAGCACCTGTTCATGTTCTACCTGGAGATGTGCTTGTTGTGTTGTACGGTGCTACGTTACCGGTCGTTTTGCGGCCTGTCGAGCTGCATTTTGAGTTTGTGGGGGAGGCTTATATCAATAATTGGGAAAGGGGAGAAGCGTTGGACTTGGCCGAGAGTGGAGAGATGAAAGAATGTTTCTTTGAGATTCGCTGATGAGAAAAATTTTAGACACAGCTTAGGTGGGGGCTCAATATATAGGGTTGACACATAGTAATCAGATATCGAGCCCAAGTTGAGATATTATTGACTCTGAGAATAGCTAAGCGAAAAATCCGCGGCAGTACGACGGCGAGACAGCTTTACTTGCCATGCAGGAAAGGGCAGTCCAAAGGTGTATCATTTTATGAGAAACGCTGGCTAGTAACTACAATGAGGCAATTTTCCAATGAACCTAAACCCTCAGTGAATGAATGTACGAAGTAGGATCGCACATCTAAGGAGCATTTGAGCAAAATAAATGCCGTGTAAAAGAAATAAAGAGCTTTGTGGTAACAAAAAAGGAGGATATTGAAGAGAAACCAGCTTCAATAGTAACCTACAAAGGACCAGATTATAAATGCGCAAGAAAAAAGACACAAGCCCCGTGATCAATTTCTATTGACCCTTGTTACTCTGAATCAGCCAACCTGCGAAACCCAAGCTTAAAGTGAATGTCGAGTCAACAGCAGTTGTAGCTCAAATATCGTCCTGGACCTGAACAGACTCGAGTACTTGTAACTTCTGTGAATTATAAGCCGCCTCGTCTTGGTGATTTCCGGTCAAGTGAGATATCTCTGCCAATTTCTCAAGCACCTCAACCTTCTCTGGGTCGAATAGGCCTGTAGCGTCAATATTCTCAAATTCACGAATCCAATGCAGACAAGATTTCAAGCTTTCCATAGCCACAATATACATCTTCAGACAGTAACGGGCTAGACCGATGTAGTAGAAGTCTTTGATGACGAAGTACAGGTTCTGCCATTGATCATTCTCGATCATGACACCTCGTTCGAGCAAGATGTTAGCCTGAGCTTCCATCTCTTCATACTTCTCATGCTCGTAGAGGACTTCAACTCGAGTTCGAATGACATCCATAGGACGACGATTTGATGGACCGAAGTTTTGATCGAGGGAAGTAAGGTCGGGAAGGCGTTCGTAAAGCACGTCTGCTCCACCGCGATTTATCTTTCGTCTAGCAAGGTTCATTTGCATCACGAAACTGTTGTAGTATTCTGGTCCCAGATAAAAATGGAATAGCTCGGCGTACCGAGTCATGACACGCTCTTCAAGCTCTTCCATGTTGTCGAGGCCTAGCTCTGCCAGTGAGACATATATCGAGCGTGTCGCTTGTTTTGACAAGGGGTCAATTACACTGCTACTGGCAACGTGTTTCATCAGACTAGCAGCGGCAACAGGATGTCCACGCTGGTGTAGATCATTGATCCTCTGAATTATGTTTGGAAGTATGTCGTGGTAAGAACCTCGTATCAGAGTGGGAATCTCTCGGAATGCTTTCCTCCAGAACAGCCCGCCAGCTTCGGTGTTGCCGGAAGTGAAGTTACTACAGCCGGTATCGATGCCACCAACGAAGGAATGGAGAGCCTGCCGCTCTGGTGATTGCATTTCTGAACTTGCGATTATGGTCTCGGTTCCTGTAGGCAACCATAATTTGGCTTCGAAAGATCCTTTAATGTATACATCCACATCGCGCAGCAATTTCTCTGGAATCTGCCATATTCGCGGCGGCGAAGGAGGATTTCGCAATGGCGGAGACGGTGGTGGTGTGTAAGCTTCGATCTCTAAGCCCGGTCCATCCCTTGGTTGGAACAAAGACTTATGCTCGACGTTCTTGATATGTTGGCGTCGAGCAAATTCTTCAATTTGCTTCATGTCAACTGGCCTGCCCCTCAATAGGAAGACGCTATGCTTTCCTGAAGCCTCGCGAGTCTGCTTGATTCTCAAAATCGTCATGACCTCTTCCCGTTTGACTTTTCTGTGATAGCCCCACTTTCTGAGTCTGGATTTGTAGATGGCTTCTCTGGCGGAGCTCATTTTAATGATGGTTCTATTTGATGACGAGGCTGAGACTTACGAGGCAACCACTCCATGTGTATCTCGAATAATTTGCATAGTGTCCTCCAACGTCCGCTTTTCGGTTATATAGAGCCGGAGATGTCTTCCTTGCAGTCATCCATTGATGTGATGGTCGCCGGAGGGTCACTTGCGACGGCTTGTTGATCCATCTGTGTAGAGCTTCCAAGTAGGTTGGGTAGGCTGTAAGAAGCCGGGTACCAGCCCAGGAGATATTGGAAGCTCATAGACGATAAAAGGAATTTCAAACCAGCTTAGCCACCTCACTCAGTAGAGTGCTTTCATCAGGCTGAGAGCTGGGATGTGCAGATCACGCCGTGATGCAAGAACACGCCCCCGTGTCAAACTTGACCAATCCAGCTCTGAGTCTGCAGCGAAGCGATTGGCCTCGAGCAAAAGTTTCATCAACAACGCCATGTAGAGCGCCACAGTACCTGATAGGACGCATTGCTGTGAGTCCTCCTCACAGAGAACGACAACTCCATGGCTGCTTACGACCACCATCCTCCTATCAACATGAATATTTAATAAGTTTTGCACCTATGCCATGGATACAGCTCCTACAAGACTCTCGTCGACCGAAAAAGTAAAAACAGTAGATGAAAGTAACCAATACAGTTCCGGCAAGCTGTTCAAGTGTTCCGGTACATGCATCCCGCCAAGCAGAGGCTTCTGAGATCTCGAAGGCCTGATGGACCTCATTGAGCCGAACGAGATGTTGCGGGCTCGACCCTTTTTCCTGTTCCAATATATATACCCCTCCAGTTTCTCTTCAGGAGCTTCTGATCTGGCAATACCTTTCACTGATAATTTGTTTCTCATCAGTCTACTCCATCAAGACTCGATACTCCAAGCAAGATACCCGCCTCTACTCTTTCCACACATACACACACACACACTGTCCCTTTACACTTCAACTCCAGCCCACCAAGAACAAAAGCAGACATAATGGGTCTCTTCGACACCGCCAAGGAGAAGTTCTCCTCCAAAGTCAACGAGAAAGCCACCAAGTACTCTGGCCTCTCCGACAACGCTCTCCTCGAGAAGGACGTCAAGAAGCAGCGCCAAGTCAACCGCAGACAGGTTTCAACCGGTACAGCTGGCGCCGCCTGCATTGGAACATCCGGCATCAGCGCCCCGATCCACGGAAGTCTCGCCGCCTATGAGAGCGGAAAGCTGGCTAAAAGTGGGTTCAAATCAGTCATGACGCGCGATATCATTGAGAGTCGAAGCCAGGCGAGGGTTGCGCAGGGAAAACCTGCCTTGGAGCGACGACAGCCGACTTTCTTCCAGACTGTCAGTGACACCACCGGTGGTGTGATAGATGGTGGGCTGGGTACGGGCGCTGGGAAAGATGCCTTGAAAGCTTTCTTGGACCGTGTGGGGAAGTGATGGACTGGCTATAGGAATGGCGCTGTAGGTTACCTGCCTTAGCTGTTGCTCCAAATGATCAGTGACTTACGGTTGTCGATAGGGAAAATACACTCACACGAGTTTCCGCCGCCATTCCCCCACACCCAGTGCTGTAAGGGCCGTCGAATTTCAAACTGTTTTGGGTTTTGGTGATCAATCTGCTTGCTCGATGTCTGTTTTTGATCTCGGTGACTTCAATTCAGCCATGCAGGTGAGCTATCACAGTCATTTCTGCTACCGGTACCAGTCTATGGTGATCTCGAGAAGGATGAAATGGAAAATTCCACTCTTTATTGTAGTTCAGAATATCTTGGAACCCACTGTCGCAGGATCTACTACATCCAACAGAAATGAAATTTGGGCCTGGCAGGTTACCAGGCTCCAACAAAGTAAACGAAATGCGGGTGGTCAAGAGACCACTTCTCGATGTGACCCGCAGCAAGACCCATCATTACGTATCCTTCGGCATATTCCCACACAAAAGACAGGCACAAGGAGCGGAACAGCAGACAGCCATTGGAATACTAGCATTGATAAATAAGGACACTGAACGAGATCGCCTATACCACGGCTGAAGACAAACTCATGCATTCATTGGATATAACCAGCATCTATTATACACCGCATCTCCATCTCCATCCCCATCTCCATCTCATGTCAACCCTCCTAAAGACAGATGCTCAACTCGATCTCCCCATCCCACTTCTTGACTTCCATCCAAAAAAAGCCCATGGAACAAAACACCTGGTGTGACATCCTTTCCCTGGATCCCAACGCCAGCCTGACAGACAGCATACATGCACCAACCAGTCCACATACATGCGAAATGAACTCAAAAACTCCATGCTACGATGACCCAACAGCAAGCAAGCAAGCACGCAAAAACAGTTTTTGTACAAGGTGTAGCCCGCCATCCATCTATCCATCCATCCATCCACCTTCCAGTCCATCATACAGCTCAACTCAACTCATCGCAATTACCATCTACCTCCCCATATTCTCCCTAACCTTACTCCTCTCCACCTGTGCCAACAGATTCGCATTCTCGCGATCCTTCTCTTCGAGACGTTGTCTCGCGCTACTGCGATCAACAAGTCTCGCTTCCCTTTCAGCCTTGAGTTTATACTCCAATTCCTGGAGTCTGAGCTGCCATCTCATGTCCGGCATGTAGTCCTCCTTGACGCTATTCGCGACACTTTTCTCGCCGGTGGAATTGCTCCCCGCTCTGGAGACGGCGCGACGATCGACGGTTTCGACGGCCGAGGTGGAGTGGTTGCGGGTGAGTGTCGAAGTGCGGCTCTTGTCTACGGATCTATTGCGCGGACCTGTTGGGATCGAGGGACTTGGGCTGGGGTTCTCGAACGTGTTGGAGCGGACGTCGACTGCGGCTCGTAAGGCAGAGACTTCTTTCTTGAGTGCTCTGTTCTTTTCAGTGAGCTTCATGATCTCTGCTTTGCCGTCACTGCCAATTCCAGGTATCCCACTTCGTGCCATTGTCTCGAGGCGATCCAGGCGTTTCGTGCGTATCTCGAGATTTGACTCCAGGGTCTGGTATTCCTTCCATAGATCCTTCTCCACAGAGCGGATACGAGATCTGAAATCGCCAACGAGGGTCTCAATGGTCTTGACCGCTGCGAGTAAATTCTTTGAGAAGCCCGGAAGCATGGTAGAGACAGCCTCGAGAGAAGGTAGTGCACGGCCATTGATGAGACTATTGTTGTGAGTCCAGTCGCTTCCGCAGAGAGCCGAGAGGCGATTCCACAATGCAAGAAGGAGCTGGTTTCGCTCATTCATCTGATCCTTGAAGTTATTCTCCAGGGTCGCAATCTTTCTACGATCCTGTTGGCGAGATGTTTCGAGTTCCAAGACACGAGACTCCTGCTGTGTGAGTGTCCGTGTGGTGTGCTGTTGGGTCTTTTGAAAAGTCTCGAATTGATGCTTCGTGTTACGATGAGTTTGTCGCTCCTTGTCAAGCATGTCTGCCAGCTTCCTGGACTCCAAGGCATGCGACTCAAGGAGAGAATCGCGATGTTTGATGAGACGCTCCTTCTCGCCAAGAGAAGCTTTGGTGGCGTCGAGGTCCCGAATGGTATTTTCCAGCTCTCGTTGGAGCTTGGCAATAGACTACTGACATTAGCGATATCAAGAAAATTGATTATGGAACTTACATTAAGAAGACTTGAGCGTGTGCCATTGAGATCGCCCAATGCTTCTCTCAAATTACTCTCAAGTTCCATAAGCCTCTGTTTCCATTCAGCAGCCTCCACTTCTCGAGACGTGAGACTCTTCCGAAGTCTTCTTGCTTCATCCTTGGCACCGGAAGCTTCACGGTTGAGATCGTTGAGGACCTGTTGAACTTCTTGCTTCTCTCTTCCGGCGACAACTTCACGTTGATATCTTTCGTTGTTGAGTCGTTCTTCCAGTTCTTTAATTCGTTCTCGCTCTTCGTGGAGAGCGTCCTCGGCATTCTTGACTGCTGCCTCAAGATCACCAATCTTGATCTTGTCGCCGTCTTGCTCCTCCCGCAGGAATGCGATTTCGCCTTGGCTAGACTCCTGCTGAACTGTCAGACGATTGATCTTGCCATTGGCTTCGACTAAGTTATTCTCCATCTGCTCCAATTCGCGATTGGCTTCCTCAAGTTCTCGTTCCAGTTCCTCGATCCTTCTTGCCTTGCCCTCGTGATCATCTTCTAGCCTGACAAGACCTTCACTCATTTCTCGCATCTCGTTTTGCAGCGCGTTGAAGTTCTCCGTGGTGTCTGCTAACTCTGTCCGAAGTCGCTCAATCTCAGCATTCGCTTCATCGGCCTCTTCGGCGAAACCGTCAAGTTCTTCTTGGGCTTCTTTCCGTAGAGACTCAAACATGATCTCGGCCTCTTCTTGTCCTTGCAGAGCTTCATCTCGATCGGTTTGCATCGTGACCAAGTCAGCCTCAGCAAGCTCCAAGGCTTCTTGCAGCTCGCTTGCCAGAGTCTCGGCGTCCTTCTTCTGCTGCACAGCAGTTTCAAAATCTTCCATACACGATTCAAGCTCACGTTGGAGGTCCTGGTTGTGAATCTTCAAGCTGTTTATTCGATCACGCAACTCGGCATGTTTGTTCTCGAAATCTTCTCGTTCAGTGTCGTCCATGTTTGTGATTCTGGTTCCGACACTATTTCGTGATGAAGAACGTTCATGGGCTCTTGAAGCGGACCGGTCCAGAATACTATCTCCGGCAATGGACCCACCGCCTCGTCGCTGACCAAGTTTGAGATCTTCAATTTCTTGGTACAGGCGCTCCTTTTCTCGATTTCGGGAAGTCAGCATTGAAGTCTGAGCACCTACTTCTCGGCGAAGCTCAGCATTCTCGTGCCTCAATTGTTCAGCCTCTCTTCTGAGATCCTCGGCCAGAGTGGTTGCAGAGCTCATAGCACCCGTCCGATCATCGTCGCGGAATGACATCCCTGATCTTGGCCTTGAGGGTGAGACTTGGCGCTTCTTCGTGATGTTGTAGATATTTGTTGTATGGTTCAGACCAGGCATACCGGTGGATGATGTGGTCTCAGTCTTCAATCGGAAGATTTCCTCGCGGAGCTTCTTGTTCTCGTCGTCGGCTTGCTCCCGGCGAGAAGTTTCTTGCTCCAGAAGATCTTTCCAGACATCCATCTCTTCTCTTGCCTCAACATTTTGGCCACGACGCTCGCCCATTTGGCGGACAACTTCGGCCAGGTTCCGCTTCTCATTTTCCCGGATAATTGCATCGTTTCGCATCTTCTCAATCTCGGTAATGTATTCCTCGGTACGTTCGCGCAAGTACATGAGCTCCTCCTCTCGCTCTTGTGCACCCTCTTGATCGAACCACTTTGGACTCGGGTCGCCTCCTGATGTACCCGCTGTAGATGGCCGCTCTTCGTCATCCTTCAGTTGCTTTTCGAGATCCTTAACTTTTCGTTTCAAAGCCTTGTTATCTCGCTGCATCACTGCGAGTCCAGTCTTCAGTTCCACATTCTCAGAAATCATCTCTTTGACACCCTCTTCTGAAAGCTTGTCCAGTCTGTCACTCAAGAACATGACTTTCAATTTAAGATCAAAATTCTCCTTGGAAAGTCGCTCGATAGTGCTGCTTTGTTCCTTCAGAGTCATGTTCTTCCCATTCCTTCCAAGGGTTGAAGCAGCAAATCCTGATCGTCTAGGCGAAACTCCATTCTTGTTCCGATATTCTTGCGCAACAGAAGCAGGAACTTGGACATTCCTAACATGCCGAGCGATGACCGTATCTGTGGGAGCAGCAAGAGATGACCTGGCTGTCGTTGCACGAGGGGTTTCTGGCGGTGACATGTCGCCTGGTTTGCGCTCCCGATTTTGTTCCTCCTCAGTCAAAGTTGCAAAACTACCATCCTGGCCGGGCCCTGAGAAGTCCTCGATACCGGACGCCATGCTTCCCAGACTGATTGACCGGGAAAGACCCATGCTGCTGCGCGAGAACCCATCTGCTGGAACCGCTCCCCCAGATTGTAATGCATAGTCCGCACCAAGTGTAATGTCGCTGCCGTCGTCAGGATTGGTGATGAAGGAGGAGACCGACGAGTGCTGGCTGGCGTGTCGACTCCGGAGAAACTTGGGTCTTCTACCAGACGATTTTCGATTGAGCAGGGCGACCCCAGGGGTGCTGCCTGCATCTCCAAAGGATGTATTACGACTTTGATTCGAGGCATCATCTTTCAGGGTCGACTGATTGTCAGAAGACTCGGTGAACGAATTTCCCTTCTTCTTCCTAGGTGTAGCTTCGACATCGTCCTCGTTGTCAGTCGGCCCCTGTGAATAGTCATCTCCGTCGTATGCTGCATCGTAACCTCCGGCGCTCGCCATAGATATCGCTCTGGAGACAGTTCTTGCTGCCGCAGCTGCTGTTGGAGAGGACGACATCGTTTCTAAAGCAGATGTTGTATCACCTGTGTCCATGGTTTCGTCCATACTGTCAGAGTTTGCGCGGAATATTCCTGGCGTCTGGTATGCGTTCGCTGGTGTGGGAGGAGAAAGAGGGACATCTAAGACCTGGTCCTTAGGTTCTGATTTGCTTGGTGTAAATGATCTCTCGGGTGATCTCTGCTGGTCTCGAGGAGGAGGTTGCGCGCCATCGAATAGATATGTATCATCTGCGCCTTTCTTCCCGTCCATACTAATGGGTGATGGTATGGGCATGAAACTGGACTCTACATCATTCAGATGTCTCTGCATAGCCCTCTCATCCACCGTATCGCCCAGCGCATCACTTCCTCCTCCATTCTCGCTCGGGTTGGACAGTATACTGCTGTCACCTGGAGGGGGTAACGAAGGTAGGGTCGCTGGGTCGAGGGAGGGTATTCGATTATTCTGCTTGTGTTCCTCCGTATTCACCGGCGCATTCTCGAATATCGAATCGTCGAAGTCCTTCTTGTCAGGGGACAAATCATCCAGGTCGTCGATCCCAAAGCCGCCAGGAACCTTGCGCGAATCTTTCCGCGCCGTCTGCGGGCGTTCCTCTGGCCCTGTTGACAGTGATGCTATTGCGGTTTCTGGGTGCTCTTCTCCCTCCGCCATATTGTGTGTTGGACGCGTCGCATCCGTACGCTACAGATTCGAGGATCCAGAATATTTGCACGCTGCTCGTGCGAGGAGGACGCTTTTAGATCAGACGCGCTCGGTCGTCAGGGATGATGCTGATCCTGCTGGAAGGAAGGACGAGCGATGTTTGGGCTGTGGGTATCACCTTCAAGTGCGCGGATATCTTGCGCCGGTGTGTAGAAGTGGTGGCGATGTTGATAGAAACATTTGTGAACTCTGTGGTGTTGTTTCTCTGTCTTCGCTGGCGCTGCATGGGGCATTCCGATTGAGTCGGCACTCAGTGTTTTGATTCTGGCGAGTCTGCTGGCCAGGGGAAATTAGATCCCTGTCGGATGCAGCCAGTAGCAGCTCCACTAACCTCACCTGGATAGTCCAACGTCACATGACTGGTTCGGTAACGGTTCTTATTCCCCTATTTTTTCCATTATTGTCATGGAAGAGAGGCGAAATCAATGAGAATTCCTACGCTATAATGAAACTTAGAGATGTTAGTGAACTTGCCAAATTTTCACCCCCTTTTTGGTTCTTAGATACAGTTGAGGACATACCGAACGCTGTTTTAGCGAGCCTAATATCAGTGGAACGCTTCCCAGAACAGCACCTGGACTACAGGTCGAACCTTATTATTGGACCCGACTTATATTTGTCGAGCAGGTAGAATGTTTGTGACCTATGGCAAACAGAACTGAAAGTGGCATTCTTTTATTCTATTCTCTTATGTATTTTTATAACAGCAAAGTTTCCCTTAGGATTACTTCCTGCAACATCAGCTTCAGGTCTCGATTCCTATTCCGCATTTCGTGTATCGATCAAAATATCAATACATCAGGTGAGATTCAAAACAGTCAACACAACATCTCTCTATCGAGCACTGAATCCACCAGTTTATCCCATCATACGTTTCCAGAACTCCCAAGTCCCAAAATAGCATTTCTTTATCCGGCAAGAGTTATCATCACCCAAACCCTTCCAGAAGAACTTTAAACCCGAGGTCGAGTTTTTCCTTTCACAAATACTAGGTACCATAACCAAGCCCCAAGTCTCGCTTACCATGTGCAATCGCGATGCTGGAACTCGTCAGATTTAGCGAGAAGGAACCGTCAGCCTCACCTACCGGATTAGCACAGAATTTGAAGACTATTCTGATGAAGCAATTGGGCTTAAAGCTCTAAGTGAAGCTCGCTGGGTGCGATGAGATGATGATAATGAGGAAGACTTAGTTCGAGGTATACGCCGCTGGTAAGATTATAACAAGATTGGCTATTACTGCTGCTTTGGATGCTCTATTTGTCCAGGGTAGTGTACGCTATTGAGAAGTGCGGCTTGGGAATATACAAGGTCACTTTTTCAAATTTACCACAGGACGAGTATCATAAATGACTTTATAATGTCATCGTATATGCATGCAAATATTATTTATAAGAGGAAAGGTCTAAATTCATGAGCCCGAAACGCCTAACGGACCAAGCAAGATCCTTAACACCATGCCTCAACAACATCCTAATCTCTCAAAGTTTAACAGGACACTTTTCATAGACAATCTTGCCACCACTCACTTCTCAACCCCCTCCCTAGTAGGCACCCACTCCCTCGCATCCCCAAACCTCTCAAGCACAAACCCCGCACTCCCCGGATTCTTCACCCCCCTCTCAAGCTGCCTCTCATAACTAACCATCCTCAACCTCTCCCCCTCCCTGGGCGTCAAATTCAAATAAACCTCTACCCCAACCCCATGCAAAAACAACGCCAACCACAACGCCATCCCAAACCCCATCCCCAGCGCAACCCCGACGTTCTCCGCATCCCCATCCGTCATACTCGCCTTAAGCGCAACAGGCAGCGTATCACTCCCAGGAATACACTGAGGGTATCTCTGTGTGAAATCAGGCGGTTGGTTCTCGAGGTCTGAGGAGCCGGAGACGATGTATGCGATTTCGCCGCAGGGGCGAGTAGCGCTGTAGTTGTTTTGCGAGGAGATAACCAACGCGGCGAGGATCATGATGATCCGAGTCGTGATGATAACACCAAAGTAGAACCAAGCTCTCAGCATCCACGCGCGGTGCTGATCGATCTGCAAACGCTTGATATTGACATACGCCATAGCAAGCGAGACCTCGGTAATAATCGCAAGCAGGCCCACAGCAGACTGGACGTCTAGACCACCACCGAAAGCACGTCGAGCGATCATAAGAGCGCCGATGTTGCCGAGTAGGGAGAGGAGTAGGAGAAGGTAGCCATTGAGACGGTGGAAGAGGAGGAGTTTGTGCCTGATGACGGGGATGAATTGGAAGACGGCGAGGAAGCCGGCAGGGATGATGGTGACGAGGTGGAGGGTGATGCCGATCCTGTAGTGGGAGGAGCGGTAGTTGTACCATTCTCCTGGGGCGGAGCCGTTTTTGAAACTGCTGGATGAAGAGCCGCCGATGTTGAGGTAGGAGAACCGGGCAAGTGTGAAGCCGAGCATGGCCCCTCCAAATATGATGACTGATTTCGTTAGCATCTGAATAGTTTGTTGGGGCGAGGACTTACATAGAGGAAAGTTGTATCCTTTCTGAAATCCTAGTGGTCGATATACCTTCCTCACTGCCGTCACGAACTTGCCAGCTTTTCGTGTTGGCGAGTTTGAAGGTGTCGACGAAACTTGATCATGAGATTTGGAAGTCATCGTGATACCCGAAGACGATTGCTCTAAATTTTCTGATGTCGAAGCCATATTCAAAAGACCAAAGCCGTTGTTCGTAATCTTGAACTTCAATGAATTAGGTTTTCGAAAAGACAAGGAAATTGGAAGTACATATACCAGGAGCAGGAATGCTTGGCTGCCTTCGTCACACGCCCAATCAAGGCTCCCGACACGAGCTGCAGCAGCCTCCGTGCAACGTCGGGAGAACAATCGACCATCGATGCACGTTGGGAAGGATTTTACGGACGATAGCAATACCAAGAGGACGGTATCATGACGACTCATAATGAATTAGGATTTCCGCAGTCGCATACCCAAGTGGAGCCTGCGTCGCTAAATTTGCTGCAAGGGATTACAGTACGATGCTAAGTATTGTTCCCTAGCAGGTGTGTTCCCGTCAGATGCATCGAATGAGAGAACATGCTTAGAAGCCACAGCACGGTACAGATGTCTTGGATGCGAAAGCAAACGCGCAATCAGAAAGCCCCATGGCTCTGAAAGTACGTCAAAACTCGTGCGGATTAAGGTTGAGATTCGTTGGATGTGGAGGCCTCCCGCTGCGGCGCAGTGCAGCCACAACCCTTGCTTGCTGTTGGCCTTCCGAACTCTAGGCCTGATGGTAGGATGGCCAAGCTTTGACTCGCACGTATGGCTCATGTTAAAGCAGCTTTCTCGTATGTTATTGATCTTCAATCCCACAGTTATTCAAGAAAGTCTTCTTAGACTCTTCTCGCTCTCGCTTGTTGTGCGACAAGAAAACAAGCGAGTGCGAGGAGTGGAGAATTGTAATGGATACTATGAGTCTTGTTCAGTGCTTGACTTCTCTTGGCTAACAGCCTCATGAATCATGACTTCGCGCTAATCAAGGCACAAGATCTGAGATGTCAGACGTCAATCTGGATCAGAAATAATCATACAGCGTACGCTAGATTTGCGATTGACAAATTACATTCTCTAGTCTTCAATGTTTCAAGCTTGATGAAAAATGCCATTTATTTACTTATCCTTTTCCCTTCTCCCTTCTCACACTAAACTCCGAAGGTTCATAAACAGCGAAACACGGATTTGCAGCTGTATTTTCGTGACCCAGGTAGGATCCCGAGTAACGCATCATACTCAGCACTTGGGTGGCGTCACGTTCCATTTCACGACGCATTCAGCCCTGTGCTGCACTACCGCTCACAAAATCTGCTTCCGAGCTATCCAACGCGTGGTCAAAGAAGCCACCGAGTTGAGATGCTGGCACATACGATAGGTGCCACTGCGGTGCCGACTGGCGAGCTCCACTGATGGTGGAGATGGATCTCTGATGACCGATATTGATTGCTGTGGATGCAGCTGAGAACGTTGGGGACTCGCAAAATTCACACGGAGTTGAAGAGGGACGTTTCAGAGACAAGAATCTGATCATTCTCATTCTCACTCTACTCGTCTATTCTTCCCCAGGACAATGAACAGGAACAATAGTATGAACTCCTCTACCTCTATCAGAAGCCTCCAAATACAAGCCCCAACAATCTGGGTGAAGAATACAAACTTTATAGCCCTTTACTTTCCCCGGTCCATCAAGAAAGCAGAAATATACCGATTCTCCCCCCTGGGACCCATGCAACTCCCCACCCAAGTATGAGCCAGAGATGGTAAGTCCGCAAGAAAACCCAGCACGAACCATATTACGCTTTCTGCTGTCCCAGATATACTAATTCTGGACTCTGAGCCGGTCAACATCAAAAAAGTCAAAGTCAATCATCCAATTCCCCTCAAACTCATCAATCCCCGGATCAGGGACGTCCCAGACGGCAACATCCTGCAACCCATTCCCACCATGCACCTCATCCAAATGCTTATACGCACCCGCCATATCCGGCGAAACATGCCCACAAACCCAGCAGAAATGCACACCGCAGCTCACACACAGCATATGATTGCAAGTGCCTTGTAGCTTTTCAACAGGTACGCGGCACGATGGACATTCTTTGGTTTGGTTGGCAGCGTCGGCTTTGTAGGCGTTGAGGGCGTCTTGGCCGTCGGTGGCGTCGATGTATTCGCGGCAGGTGAGGTCGGTGTGGATGGCGCGGCAGGAGGTGCAGATGCTGTGCAGGCAGGTGGTACATGTTATGGAGGAGGTGTTTTGGTCTTGGGTGGTGGCTTGTTGGCTGCGGGGGATGGGGCGGTAGATTGTTGGGCAGTCGGTTGTTGGGCAGTAGGAGAGCTGGAGGGGGAGAGGTTAGTCCTTCTCGTGTACCGGGGTATACACAGTATGGAGGCATACCTCATCTGAGTGAGAACGGACATGCATGTCCAAGCACATGTTCAAGACGGACTCAAACTTGTCGGCGGAGAGTTCCTCACGGAGAAGGTTGATATCGAAGAGATACTTGCATTCAGAGTTATCAGGGCAGGTACCAGCACATGTCAGAGGGAAATAAGACTGATCTTGTGGATTGAACTGCAGATTGAAGCATTCCCGACAATAGATGTGGCCACAAGGGAGAGAGACGGTGTCTTGAGATGAGAGTGGTGGGCTCCAGCAGATGACACAGCTCTTGCCAGCAGGTTGAATGCCTGGATTAAGGAGAAGGCGAGCCTGTGACAGGGTTAGAATATGTATGCAAGGAGTCAGGAATTTGGATTGACTTGCCTTACGAAGATCCGCGGCAGAACTACAGAGCTTGATCTTTGGTCCATCTGTTGTGCTCAAGCGAATCTTGTCACCGAAGACGGGCTTCAAGATTACTAGAGCCTGTGTAATGGTCATGCCTCCAAACATTCGCTGCAGCAGTCAATCACGGATCCCTAGATTCACTACGGGAGTCGAGTACTTACGATTGTAAAAGCCGTTTCGTAGTTGAGATCCTGAACCTTAGCCTTCAGCATCATCCAAGCACGACTGCGATCCTCATAAGTGCCACCGTATATAACTAGATGACCCAGATTGATCCATCGATGAACATGAACATTGTTGTGAAGAGACAACCAATTGAGATAGTGACTATCTCCGTCAGCAAATGCCCTTGGGAGAGTTGAAAAGTGGGCTTCTGAAGGATGAAAACATACCCAGCATCAGCTGCAGTAGCAAACCAAGGATGCCACAATGCAACAACACCATCAGTGACAACCGTCCCCGCCAACAACTTCTCAATACGAGCCTTAGTCTTCGCAACGATTGCAAGTGCATCATCGCCAGCAGCTGAGAACCGAATAACCCAGGAAGACTTTCCCGCACCCTTGTTAATCTTCAGCATATCCTTATCGCGCTTCTGGAGCTCGACTCGCATAGCTTGAAGCTGTGGTTCCAGAGCCGAAGCGATCTTGTTCGGAATATTGACTTTCATGGACGCGACAGGATCGATAGTGAGCTTCTTGAAGTCAAAGCCGGCGGGGCGGTCTGTCTTGCTTGTGAAAATCTTGACTGCCTGGAGTATCGAAAAATCAGCTTGGTTGCCATGTGTTTGAGAAGCCTGGGAGTCTGGGATTTTCCTTACCTTCAAGGCATCCTGTCGGTTACAGAAAGTCGCGCTTACAATCATCCTAGCACCATCAACACTCTCACCAACGTGGAACGATTCAAGAGAACCAAGACTCTTCAATGTTGCTTCTACGATTCCCACCAACAGATCGCCTGTAACAACTGAACCATCTCGATTGGACTCTCTGATCTTGATCTTCTTTGGGACGGGACATCCGGCGATAATGATTGTGTTCTGGACCCAAACACTATCCGCGTTTACATCCAGATTGTTGAGCGAAAAACTCTGGATGGAGCGGCCACCCTCGTACTTTGATTGTGGTATTGCCCTGCATTTGATACGTCGACCGGAAGGTGTAAAGAGCTGAGAGAGCGAGGTGGGGAGTGATTCGATGACGGGAGTGTTGACTCGGTATTCGATGAAGGCCATCCGAGCGGTCTTTCCCCAGCTGATATTTACAGTACCAAGCTGAACCCATTCCCAGGGGTTAGAGAGGGGTATGAGTTCTTTGACTATCCTGTAGGAAAGGTCAGCACTCAGCTCTTCGAGACGGAGACAGGTGATGTAGGACTTACAAGTTACTGTGGATCAGAGCTTGTTTGGCTTGGCTGACAATAGTCTTTGCAGTCTTGGAGTCATTGAATCTGATATTTTAGCATTATTATGTGTAGTGGGAATGGTTTGTCTTACTTCACTGTAGCAATGAGGCTTTCGAGGTTGGAGGCGTCGTGGAGTTCAACGCTCAAATCACAGGGACTTAGACCAAAGGCACCGGCAAGGAGACCAGTGACACTGTCAATACTCGTACTTTCAGGCTTCAGCCCGATGATCTAGCAACCTTTCAGCTGATATTCAGGTCAAAGACAGAGAAAGGCACTGAGATGTTAGCGAGGCAGTATGCTACTTGACTCGAAAAGCTGCTCTAGCGGAAGAGGAACCTCACTCTTGGAGCAGGGCCCGCAGGAAGGTAAACAATGTCGCTTACCTGGATACTAGAACAATCCGCAGGCAACTTAATCGAAACAATAGCAACTCCAGGGCCAAACTCTACGACAGCACCAAGGATGTCTCTGCGGAAGGCAGGTGTGAACTCCGTCGAGGTAGCCTTGAGCGCCGAACCTGGGACAAAGGCCGGTGCAGTGGCATTCAATGCCTTGCCGCCGCCAGAGAAGACAGCGTGTGGTACAGAACGGTCCATCATTGTGATGGTAAAGGAATATTCGAGGTCTGGTTGCTTTCGAGTCTGGTTCGGAACATGAACTCGAATGTGAGGTACTCTCTCGAGACTAGACGGGAGCAGTTAGCTATGAAACAACGGGTGATGTGCTGAAGAAACGGTTGTTTGTTAACAGTAACAGGTATCTTCCATCTTTGTACTGATCGTAAACATCAAAGGTCGATACGTGCCTGAGTTGAAGATCGAATGAGCGTGAAAGAGAAAGGAGATTCCTCCGGATATTATCAGTGAAAGATTTGCTGTCAAGCGGTCAGGCTGGCGACAGTGTGATTGATTACCTGCAAGCAAAAGACAACGCGCAAAGTTTCAGCAAGTAGTTGCTATTGCTGTCAAAAATCAAGATGAAAGGGAAGGATTTGTTGAAGTGATGGGATGAGGAGAGGCGGAGGGACGATCGCGTTGTTTTGGTTCGGCCACAGGAGGCCGAAGCGAGGTGGAGAGGAAGGCTAAACAACACCGACGAGATCACGTTACCGTCCAGGCCTTCGCTGAACCATGAATTGTAATGGCACAGTAAGAGGTAAAGGCACGCCCTTGTCAATTACAAAGCCAGGCAACTCTTAGTTGGCGGTGTACCAAGCTTGGTATACAGAAGAGCATATTTATTTTGAATTTTGAAACTTCAAGTATGTCGCACTTCAGTGCATATATGTGACGAGAGGACGACATGAATCAAATCCAGTAAGCAGAGGCAGGCTCTGAACACATCCAACAACTCCGGCGCAAAGGTGGCAAGACAGGCAGGCAAAACTTATGAATATCTGGGCAAAGTTGACAGTAGGCAAGTAACAGCAAGTCAGCGACAACAAAGCAGCAAAGAACAGAACTTTGGTTCACGGTAGTAGCACTAGCTCCTTGTTTCGAGCAGTAAGCTTCTCAATTAACAAAAGGCTAGCAAAAAAATACCCAGAGCATGAATCTTCCCACTTTGGGACATGCGACCACTAGCTTATCACAGTATCGTACATTTCCTGCTCTCTAATAAACAGTTCACTGATGGTGAGGGGCAAATACAATCATTGAGTGCCAGCTTGCCCCAGCTCGTCGCTTTCCCCGGAAGTGGCATCGTGACTGACAGAACCCATCCTGCTCAACATCTCGTACTTGTTAGGCTTAAACGGCCATCGTTCCCATGCCTCCACCATGTCGACCAGCATCTCCTCTGTTAAACATCGCACAGACAAGCGATCTAAGTCCGGCTTCCCTCCTTTGTAGACATCTTTCAACGACGGGCATTCTGCATCGATCCATTCGTACGCTCCAGGTACTAGGCCAACGAGGCCGTGCTTCACACTTTGGGAGGGCATGGTGAAGAAGGAGACGAGTAGATACTCGAGGACGTCGTAGTTGTTTGGATAGTCTTTCCTGAGGACCGGGTTTAAGGCCTTGGGCTGAATGTCAAAGAGACACATTGTCTGGGCGGGGTAGAATTCTTCTGGTTCCAGTCTGAGTGGCTCGACTTCTCGGCGGTCCCAGAGTAGCAGAGGCTTCTCTCTCCTCAGGGCCAAACGATCTTCGCATCTATTGCGAACAAGGTTCACATTGTCACCGCTCAATTTGGCGACATTCTCCTCCCATTCAACCATGCGTTCTTGATATTCTGCATTCCTCATATCTTTCTGTTCAGGGTCGGCTAGACCTTGGATAGCCTTTGCAGACTCCATTATCTTCTCGAATTCATTGCATAGGGCCGTGATAAGGTGTTGTTGTCTGCTATTACTAGCGGTGAGGTATTTTAGCCAGCTCAAGCGCTTTCGATCAACTGATATGCCAGACAAGGCCTGTTTCTTGAGCGATGCATATTCTTCTTGAGCGATCTCTTTTTCCATACGAAGTCCTCGTTGAGCCTCCTCATCGGAAAGGTCAAACATCTGCTTTAACAAGAAACTCTCGCGGCCTTTGGGGATCTCAATGCCTTTTGCTTCCATTTTCTGCAGCACTTTCCGGAGTCCTTCAAGGTCAAGTCCTACTTCTCTTGCTCTGCGGGGCGAGGTTGCAGTGCCAGAAGCTACCTCCTCCAGTTTCTCACAGGAGAAATCTGCTTCTGCACTTCCTTTTCTACGAGACGAAACTGTCTTGGGGAGAATGTTGTGTCTCTCCTCGTCGTTAATCCATATTAACATGCGTACCTGACCATATTTCTGAAACAGGGAATGTGCGTTTATCGAACTCATGAGTTGATAGATAACCATTTGGCCGAGCGAGGCGAATCCCTTGTAAGGCTTCTTCGGGTAGTATCCAAGATTTGCTACGACAAGCAACGTATCATTGCGTTGATCAAGTCGGGGATCATCTCGAGAGTAAGCAGTTTGAAATGGAAGATGGCTTTTATTGAGTACGGATTCCAGATGACCCCAAACTAGCCCTGATTTCGGAATCAACTTGTAGGTGGAATCTGGAGCTTTGACGAAAGGTTCGAGCAAAGGTCCGCAAAGCCGAATATCTGGTTCCATAAGAATATGTGTACGTGGTTTGAGGAAGTCATGGAGTTTTGCCGACCAAACACCAACACCAGGATTAATGTCAATAATATCACAACCCCTATGCCTTTCGAGAGAGGGCTTCATGCGCGTTATGATAGCATCTGAGAATCCTTAGTTGAAGTCATACCTGTGGGCGAAAGATCCTCTTACCACACGCATCCTCGCTGATAATATTCATCCTCTTTCGGTCCCCGATTGACTTTCCACCATCCCAATTCCCACCAAGTCCCCATCGGAGATACGTTTTAATGTCACTTCGGGGCTCGGCTGGTGGTTCTATCTTTGGTCGGCCGGCTGTACGTGTCTTTTGAAGTGGCAATGCTGGAGTTTCCAACGCCGGCGCTGTTGACACAGTTTCCGAGACTGTCTCTGGACTATCGACCGCTTTCCTCCGTGACCTGGCAGGCTTCGCCGGTGGGACGGGCCCCGAGATTGTTACCGTAGCGGCGACTGCGTTCTTTCGTGGCCGTCCAGGCTTCCGTGGGACCGTAGCATCGCCATCTTGTGGCAACTTCGGCTTCTGCCTTGCTGTCTTGGTTCCCTTCGGCTTGGTATCTTCTGGTGGTGCCAACTTCAGCTTCCTTGTACTAGTTCTTTTTGGCTTTGTATGATTCACGATGTCAACAATGGCTTCATGAAATGGTTGGTCGATCCACGGTGTAGAAGTGGTCGAATCTGCTGCATCTGCAGACTTCGCAGGACTTGTGTCGGTTGGAGTATCATTCGATGCAGGATCGGCGGCAGCACGAAGACTTGTTGTGCAGTGAAAGGATCGTAGGAAGGTTGTCGGTGGTCTTAGTTGGGCCTGTCTGCTAGCAGTAACAACTCGAAACATCAATGGAGTAGGGACCATGGGGATATTGCGCAGGGCACAAGTCTAGAAGCAAGCTATGGCTGGCAAATAAAAACAAGATCTGCATAAAAAGAGAGCGACCGGAAGCGAAGGGAGAAAGGAGTGAAGTGTGAAGAGTGAAGAATGATGGATCATGAATGAATGAGTGAGGCTGAAGATTTTCGTTTCCACGTTTCACTGGCATACAGTAAGGCTGACACTTCGCTGTTCTGCCGCCCTTCGCCGCCTTTACAGTAAGGACTCCAGGGTCCAGGTGCAGGTGCCGCCACTGCCACTGAGCCACCATCCAGGTCGCGTTTCAAGCAGTGACAAGGCAATGCCAATGACACTCGGGCACAGGCAACAACCATTTACCCGCACTTCAAGTCGATATCGCCGCGACACCGACCGTATAGATGGGTGGAATACCGTGAGAATCGGAAGCTGAAGCTATCAAATCTGCCCCGAAATAGTGTCGAGAAGCTGCCATCTAGAGACACTCCGGAGTACACGGCGAAGGAGGGGCAGCATCGCAGGGCAGCAATCATGGCGGGGTTAGGATCGTTCCAGGTGTCGAAGCCCATGAGCGTCAAGGAGATCTCAGTCAAGGCCCAGGACTTTGATTTCAATCCCTTTATTCCCATGAAGTATTGGTTTCGTACGGCAGATACTCTACTGCGGGAAGTGGGTGCTTCTCTTTTGCCTCGACCCAAGCCTTGACAAGCAGCTAACATTAGCAGGCGCAAATCTATGAACAAGAAGATAGCAACCAACAAGCCTACCTCCTCCTTATGCGCTATGCAACTCTTGTCACAGAGAAGTTCCCTCTTCATCCGTCTGCGAGAGATCAAGAGAACCGGCAGGGAATCAAGTCTGCGGCAAAGAAGTTACCAGTTGTCTTGGACACTCTGGAGGTTTTGAAACCTCGAATAAATGCCCGATATGCTGCGTGGGAGAAGGCGATGGAGCGGAGGAGGGAGGCAAGTCTTCTGCAGGGCCATGAGCGATCTCGGTCGGATCTTGCTGCAGCTTCAGATCCGGCCGTTGCGGGAAACACAACCACACTTGCGGCAGCAGACAATAGTCAATTAGCTGTGAAGCTTGCGCACAAAGAGACCAGAAGACGAGATGCTGCGAGGAGAGCTACACGACAGGCTGGGGTGTCCGAGCAAGAAGAACAAGAAAGAAGGACTGCTGGATTGTGGGACGATTGGGAATCTGCACTGTCCAAAGACCGATCAAAAGAGGAAGACGAGATGAGAAGAAATATGGAGGCGACGAGAAGGCGAATGGATGGGACACACGACAATGTCCCAGATGGAGTGAGGAAAGCTCCAAGACCAAGACCAGTACCTATCATGCCACAGAAGAACGGCAGTGAATATCGCTACCCTTCTATTACAAAATCACAACCTCTCAGCTACGACGACAGCTTTGACTCCAGGTCGTCGTCACCAACCATACCAAATCTCCCTCCCAAACCAGCTAAAGAAAGTGCTTCATCAGCCCTATACGAACTGCAGCCTCCCCCACTACCTGAGAAGCCCACATCAGCACCTCCATCTCTCGACATGGCCAACGGTCAACCGCAATCAAACTTCACCTTCCGACCCTCCGCATATCTAGAAAGCGGCGAACCGCTCCGTACAGTCTTCCTTCCACCAACACTCCGTACCGAATTTCTCAAATACGCAGCCCCCAATACTCGAAACAACCTGGAGACATGCGGCATGTTGTGCGGCACGTTGATTTCCAATGCCCTGTTCATCCAGCGCGTTGTCATTCCAGAGCAAAAGAGCACGAGCGACACCTGCGAGACAGTGAACGAGAATTCGCTGTTCGACTATTGCACCAGTGAGGACTTGCTACTTCTCGGATGGATCCACACGCATCCCACGCAGACATGCTTCATGAGCAGCGTTGATCTACATACCCATTTCGGATACCAGACTATGATGAAGGAGAGCATTGCGATTGTTTGTGCGCCGAGCAAGAATCCCTCGTGAGTTGCATCCCCTTTCATTCATCCTTCTCTGTAGATAATGCTAACGAATGACAGATGGGGCGTTTTCCGCCTCACGGATCCGCCAGGGAAACAAGCAATCGCGCAATGCAGACAATCTTCGCTCTTCCATCCTCACAGCGAGCCAAACATTTATACCGATGCGCTTCGCCCAGGTCATGTGTTCGAAGCGGAGGGTCTGGAGTTTTCGATTGTCGATCTGAGGCCTTGAGCTTGACGACAAATGTCTGGACTTCTTTTGGTGTGATCATTTCCAAATAATTAATGAATGAGATTTCGCACAGCGTTGGCGTTGAAAATGGAGCTGATGGGACATGGTCAGGTCTGGGAGCAAGTAACGCCGACGGCGATTGGCTGATCGGAATCGGCAGGGACGGAACGGGACGAAGCTAGAACGGCCAACCTCCAACAGGTATTGGCATCTCCCATGGCTCGGTATACTACTTTCTAGAGTCTACGATTTGGACTGAAATATAGATTCATTGTTCATCGAATGGTATGGAATGGAATGGAGACTATTATGATTGTCAGCTAGGTCGGTTCTGGTGTTCACGTGCTCGCTCAGGGGTAAGTAAACAAACATTTTCCGCTGCGTCGTTTCGTGAAGTTGGATCGCATACCTTTCTGTTCCCCTTTCTTGGGCTCGCATATTTTCAAGCGGGTATTTTTTTCCTTCTCTTGATCCTGGTACCTCACTTCTTATTCTCGCCTTCGTTTCTTGTCTTGTCTTGGTCTTTCTCTTTCTCCTTCATGTCTTCATCTTTATTCTCACTATCCTCCCCAGACGCAGCAAAGCTCTGTTCAAAAGACGCGATAGCTTCACCAGCAGCACGGCAGCAAGCTGCCGTGGTGTTGCAGCGGTCAATGTATCCAGGATAGGAAGATGCGATGCGATGGGTGGAGAGAGGCTCGTGTCTGCAACGAAAGTGGCGATGCGTTGGGTTGAGAGGGCTACGTTGGCTGAAATATCGGCGGGGGGTCTGTTTGGAGGGGATGAACTGTGAAGTGGGGAGGTGTTAGTTGTGCTGTGCTGTATGAGGACGGAGTACGAGAAGGGATAGGGATATCCAGGGCAGGGGACCAAGAGTTGAAGGATGAGAGAGATCAGAGGAGCAGACGAAAGAAGTAGAAGAAGAAGAAGAGTGGACAGAACAGTTGGAGGTTGGACTGGCTTTGGAGAGATCTAGCAGCTGAATTGAGATATAGGGGGGCTTACCCATCGCCGTCGACGGAGCCATAGTCGGCTGTGGTGGAATAGATATCGCTTTGGGACATGATGTATATCTGGGACGACTTGTCGACGACTTGTTGAAAAGTATGGGGTCTCAAGGGAGAATGAAGATGTTGTGAATAAGGCTGCGTATGGGGTTGAATGACAATGATGTGTTCGAGAGAAGGAGTGTGGCTTATTGATGAGGTTCGAGGAGGCTTTTAAGTGTTAGGGGAAAGAAAAGCGATGAGGTTGAGTGCAAGGCTGGAAGAAGGCTGGCTGAACTGATGTGAAAATAATATGAATTGAGAACTCATCATCTCGGTAGGCGAGGAGGGGTATAAGTAGCTTTTTGGACTTGTAAGGTAATTTTTGGAACACTCGCTGAAAGTGATTGCGGTGCTGATACCGTTCCGATATGGAATTCCAAAAGGTCAGCAAAGATCTTGGTAGGGTAGGGCAGGGTGGACCTGACATTGGCACTAGCGTGGTTGCCTCGTTTACTGAATTTAGCGAGTCCAAACAACCCCAGCTGGTGCGAGGCCTCGGAGGCTCAAGTGGTGGTTCGCATTTTTGCTTCCAGCGTATCACCTAAACTCGCCCAATGGATCCCTGCAAATGCATCATGTTCGTGCATATGCTCATCCGGTAAGTGTAAATCCAGACCGCCATGGGCGGCGCAGTTGGTAGAGCAGGGCACCCAGTAGAGCACGCTGGGTGCCCTGCTCTTTCGTTGTGCTCCGAAGCCCTGAGGATGTGGAGGTGTGATTTCAAACGGGTGGGGAAGCTGCCAAAGCAAATTATGAGCAACAGTGACTGATGAGCGACTTTCTAAAGGGTGGCAGACGACGCAAGGTTGGGTCGGAATCCGCATCCCCGTGGCAGCCTCGTCAAACTCTTGATTCGTTCAGGTATTGGCTATCTTCGGTAAGTTGGACTTATAACCTTATGTATCTACCTGAACTCGATACTTTCATTGATAGCTCTCGCACTAATGACATCCGTGAAGGCATTGATTCATTTCAGCAGCTGCATACTAGCAAAGATATATCCATTGGATCACTTATCGTGACCTTGACAAAACCTATGATGACTGTTGATAGGATAGAAATTGGCCATACAGATGTCGAGTATATTTTCTGATTCTGGATGTTGTTATTGTGTTCAAAGAAAGAAAGAAAGTGCATTTATTGCCCTGGCAATACACAACCCTCGCTTATTTGTCTACTTAATGTTCCACTCCACGTACCAACGCAGGCAATACCTTATCGGTATCACTCTCAACCGTTTCTGCATCTTCCTCGCCGTTGAGATCATATGAGTCGTCCTCGAGAAAATCTGTCGACTCTCGTCTTTGCCGTTTGGAAGATGAGCTGGGATCTTGTTCATCCTGTCGTCTCTTTCGTGTCAAACTTGCCTTCAATTGAGTAGCGAGGTGAGATTCACTCTTCAATTTGACCCATCCGGGACGAGCCGTCGGGTGGAAGTACAATGGGTCTTTCACCGCTTCCAGGGGTGTGGTACGCTTTAACGGCTTATAGAACTTGTCATATCTCTTGTACCAAGCATCCAGATGCTTGATTACAAAGTTTCGGTGGGTGGTGTTGGCATACTTCTGAATCTGGTCCACTATGCAGAGGAGCTCGTAAGCGTAGTAGAAGTTAGTGGTGTTGCCTTGCCAGAAAATCTCGAATTTCTATACTCAGTCAGAAGATGGTTGTGAGACCCATGATTGGGAAATTTACGCAGGATCCCCTGGTAGGATATGCAGCAGCGATGCTCCACTTGGCTCCGCATGACGTGAAGCAGAACACTTGGTAGTTGCAGCTGTCTTCAAACTGGTATTTGGTAACGTCTTCTGGATTGCGTGCTAGGTCGTCCAGCATTCCCAGGTAAGTTCTTGCAGCATGAACGACCTGGTCCTCAGCATCGTTTGGATTCACGTCTTCTCGCTTAGCTTCGTAAACTCCCCAGGGGAGGACAACTTCTGCTTTCCCCCAAACCCCATCAACCACCAATCCACACTGCCCCTGCTTCACCAAGGCAAGAAGATTGTCTGTGTGCAGTTTATCATGAGCTTCGGGTCCATGGTCGATGACACAATCCTCCCGAGCACATAGCGGTACGTTCTTGGTAATTTCATTGTATGCTCTTAAGCCCATTGTCGCATCTGGTATCCGTTTGTTGACAGGGCTGATTTCTCCATCAGCGTTCTGCGTCACGAACTCGTATGCCCTCTTATCACTACAGAACCGGTCAGCTTAGTACTGGTCGTGCATCCTCAGTCATGGCAGAGCTCACATTCTCAAACTTCGATCCTCTCTGATGTAACCGAAAACGTCAGACCTCACATCTGCTTCCAGCGTCGCCTCAGACACCTTATCTACAAAGCACTGTGTAGCATGTCTTACAAGAGTATCTACACGCTCATCCAATGTTTTCTGCTGAGCGTTCGTCATCGTTTTGTGGTATTCCGGGATATCCAGGTTAGGGACAAACGTTCCCGCGGGTCGAGGTAGGAACCTATGACGTCCGTTGAATTGATGGCTCAGAAGCGCTATCGTGATGGAAGAGAAAGGCTCCGGGACCAGAGGCATCTGCCTGCTCCTGACGGGACTATTGTGTTTCAGTTGATAGTCCATCAACATCTGCCGTGGGAATGATCTTACCGATCAAGTTTCTCCATGTTCAACCTCTTAGACACCTTTGAAAGTAAGATTAATGAGAATGGCAGGAGAATGATATTTTCGTTCACTCTGCACTTGGGGTAGGCTACGGTTTCTGTGGTCAGGATTTGGCCACCTGGGGTCACTCTTGATTGTGGCCACCAATCATAGCCAAGTTACTCAAGGCAGCAGCGGTCGTTATTTATCAGCCCGTTCCATCTGTCGCTGTGATGTTGGTAATCTTCAAATAGGTCTGCAAAGTCATTTCTATGTACTGGACGAAGCAGAATACATCAGATCGTGAAAGGGAAGTGTCTTAGCGAACTCGAGTCAAATAGTGACACAAAATCATGACAAATTGACATGCGTTATGTCAACTGAGCCCTAAAAGCTCTCGGATTATTTGTTTCGAGTCAAGCACGTCTCTTAACAAGGCCCCCTCGCAGTGTGCCTCACTACTGCTCAGTCCCCACCGCCTGTGAACCCCGTGACTAAAATGGCTTATTAAATTGAAATATATCCGTAAATGGTGGTTGGTAGTCCGTACTTATGCAACGTGTTTATGGTTGGCAGAAGTGGCTCACACTGTTTTGATTGGCATCTCTCATCTACCCAAAGCACCAATGTATTACCACAAGACCAACAGCTACTCTGGCACTACCTCCTAAAAGATGTCTACTCCTGTAAATCCGAATTCAATTCAATGTTACCATCACCGGATCCCAACCAAGTCATGGAACGCAGACAGTATTTTCATCATCCGTTTCAAGCCAGGGTCGGATCCCCAGGGCTCTTTCGGCTCCACTCTATCCATGGTTTCACGAATCAAGACTTTCCTATACCAACGTATATAGGAGTTTGCAATATTCGCCTAGTTTTCATTATCGTATCCTTCTAACACACTAATGTGCCAATCATCGAATGCTTTCCAGCCCTAATAGTCATTGAGCATGTTTCCACATACCCTCCAGATTGATAGCATTCTGTAGTAATACAGTCACCGGTATGACAATCCACTAAACCCGCCCCCAAAGTAGATTTTCGACTCAACAGCCGTGGTGTCGTAGCGATGCGATGGAGAGACAAAGAGTTCGATCGGACCACCTCGTCTTGGCCCATCCACCTGCCTATTCCACATGAAGGGAGGACCCAGACCCAAAACACAGCCGAGTCTTGCAGCTTCAAGTGGGCCTCTCGAAACATGTAGTTAGATTTGATCTTGTATCTCTACGGGTAGATTATGAACAGGTGTGTGGGGTGGAGCTTGACGTGGTGAGAGTGCTTGAAGCAGGAGAGTAATTGCTGAAATGGAAGGTAGGGAAAGACCATCCATAAGTACGGTGGGAGCCGTGCATAGGAAAGCTACAGTAGCATTGACGTGGCAGACCATCATGTGTCGTACTGATAAGAGCAAATATGTTCGTTGAACGGGGTGTTTACCTGAACTCAGGAGCTTGCTGTTCTCTTCTGCTTCATCTTTCGCCATCTTCAGTGCAGTCTGAAGATCTTGATGTAGAACGACAGTGGTGTCGCCGATATTGAACACGGGGTTTCCATAGGGTTCCCAGTGCGGTACATCAAGAGGGGTGACATAGGAGTCCCGAAAGCTGATATGCTGCTCTGTGAAGACCTCCTCAATTCGAAAGTCGTTGGTTGCTATACTGACAATTGCTCGCGCGAGTCTCCGAAAGGTAGAATCTGCGTACGTGGACCGGAGAACATGACGCCATTGATCTGCAAAGTTTGAAATAATACGTTGAGAAAAGGCAAGACGTCGTTTGGGTATAGAAATTAATGGTTTGTGGTACGGCGGGGGAAATTCTTTGAGGCTCAACTGGGGCGGGATTTTCGTTTCTACGGGAATGAATTCGGATCGTTCTGGAGGATTAGAGTTGGGCTCCCGGAAACGAGCCAAGGGAAGTTGGATATGGCCAGACACGTCCGTGTAAGTGAAAAGGTCCTGGTCAAGGTCGAATGTACAGACAAATCTCAGATTCTCGAGTCTGACGCCGAAAGGTTTCACAATATCACCACGCAAGAGCCATTTCTCGGCTATGCCTTTGTATAGAGCATCGAAAGTAGAATCTAAATCGGCGGTGAGTGACATGCGTGGATCGTTGTGTAGAGATTTCGCTCAGCAGCCTCACCTTTCGATTGTCCCTGAAGTACTTTATGTGCTATCGCTATAGCGATCTCGAATTTCAACTCCCGTCTGCTGTATATATAGACCCTTCCTATGCACCAAATTAGCTCCTTGTCTACGGACATGGAGAGGAAGAGCTGGAAGGCTGAGCTAACCTTCTATGACGATTTGGAAAGTTGTTGACATCGCAATCAGTGGCCGACTGAGGATCGTACTTGAAAGGCTTGCATCGAAGCTTTTACCTCTCAGATGGTCGATAATGGTTGTGGAGAATGATGGGGTTCTTGAAGTCGCGGTGAAGGTCGGCAGAACAATCAAAAGCGTCATCCATCGTGGCGGTTAGCCTCGCTCCCATTCAGACATCTAGATCTTCTCCAATCCATGCAGGCCCATGCTACGTCTACCAAAGCTGTACACAAGCATCGTTCCTTGCGGAGACCAGTCTTTTGCCTTGTCAGTAATTGGAAGAAGAAGGCTCTTAGTGAGCCTCCCAGCCAATCTGCCGCTGGTCATTGTGTTCAAGCGCTGCGACCAGAGTAGGCACTGTAACCGCGCGCTTGCGTGCGATATTATCCACAAAGGTTCAAATGGTAAGTCTACCTCACTTTCTACACGATCTGTTTATAACTGAAAGACTCTTTAGCTTCCCTAGGTTACGTATAGCTGAGATCCACCAGGCTTGGAAGCGGAGAAAATTGTTTCTCACCCATTCCTTTTGGATTTCAGTACCGAGGATCCTTCCAAAGCTCTAAATCCCTCTTCGGACTTTCTCTATACTTGCAACCCCTTGTTCAATCACTCTGTTCTCGATATCCGCATATCCAGAGAGCACGACTACAACCTCTCGTTTCCAAAGTCCTTTGCATGTACAACCTAGATCCATCATCCCGGCATTTACCTCACTATGAATTCCAATCCTCCAAATCCTCCAACTCTCACCACCACCACCTACCTCAACGACCCCCACGTCATAGCCCGCATCTCAGCTCTGCAACGAATGCCTGAAAGTCCTGATCACGAGCACCTCAGACTATACAAACGCCTGATGTCCGCAATCCTATACTGCCTTTTCCCATCCACTGCCAGACTCTCCGTCCTGCAAGAAAACCTCACCACGACCCTACGTCCCAGCTTCACCATAGCAAAACTCCTTTCGAAGCCCGGAGGAAGTGCGCACGAGTACGATTTCCTCTTGGGCGAGACGAAATGCCCTGGAGAATCCTGGTCGGCATCCGCGGACCAGCTGCACGCAGCGTGTGCCGCGAATGACAACGAGACGAAGAATGTTTATGGGATGCTTCAGATTGGGTTCGAGCTTCAGTTTTATAAACACGAGAATTATCGGTTTGAGGCGCTTGGTGGACGGTTGCATTTGGTAGATGATGTGGATACTGTTGTTGCTTGGGCTCAGCACATAACGGCGAATCCAATGCCTCTTGTACATTACTAGTCTGGTAGCTGTAGTGGTAGGGAACTACAAACATTTGGGCACACTAGCTGCATAGGCTCAAGGGCACGCTGTGCCCTCGTTCTCTCTCTCACACCTGTTGTTGTAGTAGAACAGGTTCGAGAGGCAAAGTCAGGTGAGTCGCAGGTGAGTGAAGCAGAGCCAATTTTAGATATTCGGCCTGTACCACTCCAAATCTCCCAGTTTTGAGTATTAATACCTCATGAACAGACAGTTCTGTTGACACTAATAACCCCTTAACTGCGATTTGCGCCATAGCCTGTGAGCCCTGCCAGCGGTGCCTGTACCACGCCCTAAATTAAGCGAGAGTCACCAGGACTCTAGGTGAGTACAGCGCTGAAGCGAGACGCTAAGGCTGCCTGGACGATAACGCAGCATTCAAATTTCAGCGTTCTTCGCTTAATTACAGGATCTCGCTACAGGCTATGCACTCCCTGTAGGAAGTGTGTTTGATAAGGCAGTTGAGAAGATACCCCAACCACCCAAGACGTCCAAATAACCAACATCGAAGCGAACCAAACCAAACTCGAATTCCATATTAGCTACTCCACCCTCGTTTGCGTGTGCGTGAGGAAAGTAAGTGAACTCCTGCGCCTTGTCTCTTCTCTGGCGCTCCCTCTAACCAGCGACATTCCCTCCCATCCACCTACAATTCATTTCCCTTCCCTCCTTTTCCATATTCTTTTTCCTTTCAAAATGCTTCAATTCTTCCGCTCTACCCCAAGACAGCTACTTCCAAAGAAGCGGCTCCTGTTCCGAACTAGGCATTTCCCCGACACTTACCTATCACACCCGTTGCCACACTGCACCACCTTTCAATTTCATCAATGTTCTAATCTCAGCTATTCCAGATCATTCAACATTCCCACTCATCCGTCATGGCATAAGAGTAGACATGTTGTTCGTCATTCCATTCTTACGTTCTGTTAGCATTGGTGTCTTCTCTCGTCCCTCATTAAGGTCATGTGCTCGTCACCAGACGAGGCACAAACAAAACAAACACCCCCTGACTCAAGCCAGGCGACACAAGAAAGTGGCAGGGAAACATACCATTTTCTATTCCTCCCTCACTTATGAATATCTCAATGGTTATTACTCCTCCACACTTGCTTATTTCTTTCCAGTATTCACATTGCCACTATCGCTGTTGTCGTTATTGACTTTGTTAAAGGCTGCATCGAAGGCTTGAATCTGGGCTGCGGCTGCTTGGGTTCGAACAACTGTCGAGCTCTGGTAATATGTTCGGGGCGTGACAACAGGCAAGGAAGTATCTGCTATGAATATAGAGGTGCGTTGACGAGATAGTGCTGCCTCTGCGGCGATTTGGGCTTGTGTTCGTGGTGGTGGTGCAGTGGTTGGGGAGGGTGCGAATCTGGGGAAACGGAAGGTGGTTAGCGAGATGTGGGATGGCAGATGTGGAGAGGCTATAAGGTAGAATAAGGAAGAGATGAAAAGTGATGAAGTGGTAATGGAGAAGGTATACGAGAGTACGAACTCGTCTGCAGAACCATCAATGGCTGTGGTTGAGGAAGTGCTATAAGCCATGGTGCTTGAAGAAGGTGGGTCTTGGCGAAAGTGATGATATTGATCGAGTACTTTGGGTCCTAGATAGTGCAGTGATTTGACAGGTATCTTTGTTGATGGTCGATAGCTTATTACGAGGAGAATCCTTGCGTAGTAGAAAGCTGACGATGCATGGATACGTGAGGGGAGAAAATATAACTGAGACTAGGTTCAAGAGTAAGACTTTCCAATCTTCTTGGGCGTTTGTGATAGGGTACTTTGAGTTGGAGAAAAATCAAACAGAGAGGGAGATGGGTGCTCTTATACCCAGAATGTATTGCGCTGTCGTTGTAGTGTTGGACGCCTTGAAAGCCATATTCCAAACCTCCTATGGGTCCAATGCTATTCGGTCCCTGCAACACTTGCAAGCAGAATAGCCTGCCAAACAGCAAGCCTGGTCACGAAAGTTCGTGTTTCTCCCTAGCATTCCCGTCTCCTGCCATGAAACGTCCAGCGAGGCCATAGAACGCCTGTCCCCTCCAAGCCACCATGCACTCACAGATATCCTTGTACGCACGTATGCAATTCGGGGGGCCACCACCAAAAATCTTTGTTGGCCGGTTGCTGCTGTTTTGCCCCCAATTGTCGATTCCTCGACACGTTGTGACGCTCTCCAGAACCACAAATCGGCCACTTCCCAGCCTGAGCCAGCCACAAGCTATGCTGCTCTAGCTGCCTCGATGATTTGACTTAAAGAAATCCACCTACCTTTCAGTGATAGGATTTATTGTTCTATGAACCCACAACTAAAATTTAAATACTTAATCACAATTGAATTGTATGATACTAATAGTAGCTATTGAGTTGTAGTTGAATTAATTCAATTACGATGTTAAGTGCTTGTTCAAAGGAAGTAAGACGGTTTTGGAGGGCAGGCGGAGGGATATTCTCGCTTATTACCGGGTATGTATACCTTGGACAAGGATAGCAGGTAGAAATAGGCGTGTGTGTGCTTTTTGGCATCATACCCACCGCTTTCACCGGTATCTTAACGCCCGTAGATGCGGTGCGGCACAATACCTTACTTTCTTTTGCGCATTGCACAGAGAGCTTCTGGAATCTGTACGAGCTTTGGAAGTTCTCCCGGACTATCACGCTGGCTTGATTGCTTGAGGTGATCCAGGCTGAGGGCTCAGCTCACGGACATGGGGACCCCATTGCCCTCATTGTTGAAGTACATATTCGGGGGAATGGCGGTGGTCTGAAGTGCCAAGGATGCCGCCAGTAGCTGCCAACAGGTCGCCAGCAGTGGTTCGCATCTTTTTGCCTGACTTCGAGTTTATTCAAGGTCGCCACGAGGCCCCGGAGCATACCAAAATACCCAGCTGATCCCACCAGACAGAACGTGACACAATCGTGAACAGGCATCATGAACCTCCTGAAGATCAAGCTCTAGGATCCTTTCCTATGTCACGTGGGGGATGGCTGGTTGTTTTTCCTACCTGCATGACGGTTTGGGCTACTGTTATCACCCGCATGTAATCTGAAAGCTTTTAAAAGATTACTATCCAGAGGAAGGGGTTATTCCAAGCCGTACTCGTGTTCGTTCCGATCTCCCAAAATCTCGTGACTATCGTAGAGCCAATCAGGAGGCCGTAGCGGCGAATTTTTATTGTAGCTCACAGGAATGTGTCTGTTCATTCTTTCGATTCATTATTCTATTATATCAACATGAAACGTCGTAGTGTCTCATTTGAGATCCATTGGGCAGTGGGTAGACAGTTGATTTCAAGTGAGTTCGCTGAGAACGATCAATCCTACCCTTCTTACCTCGCCTTTCCTTGCCATATTTACGTCTCTCCTGTTGAAATCTCAACACAAGCTCCAAATAATATCAAATTTGAAATCGTGTCGTCGTACTCTTCAAGCTTCGTGCAAAAGTTGTACGCAGGACTGCCTCAAGGCAAATGAATCACACGTTTCCAAGGACCATACTATCTCACTCGGCACGAGGACACCATTCATCATGCAAAGAAAACACACCCTTGTGACTTTTCAGTCGCGGATTCATAGCTCTCCATCAATACTATGACAGTAAATCAATTAATACTCTGTACAGAATGCGATAATGATTGATGCTTCATTCTCAGCACTAGCTCGACCCACTTCGCTGCTTAGCACAGCCGAAAGTAAACAAAGACCTCAAACCAATTTTGCATCACTCTGGACAGTAAAAGAAAGCCAGCTTTAAGGATATTAAACAATTGTGGGGGAAAAAAAAACTAAGATCTTGTTCTCCGTATAGTACTATCATCACCATTTATTTTTTGAGCTACTTCATTCCCTGTGACGATTTCCTCCCAAGAAACACGCGAAAAGGGAACCTCAATGCGCGCGCCCAAGACATACCCAAAGTTCAATGACTCCTGGCCGCCAAATTAGCCACAACCAAATACCGAGCTCAACCAAACCCCGCATCCAGATTTGCAGTGAAAATGAACTCACTCCGAAGGAGGGGCAGACTCAGTCTGACGCTTGATGGCTCGGCTTCCTGGCTTTCCCTTCTTAACCCTACGGAAACTGGGAAGAGCAACAGGCTTCTCGGGCTCCTTCATCTCCTTGATTTCCTCGACACTGAGACCAATACTATTGCTCTTCTCGGAGGATACCGGCAGCATATCTACTGTTTTCACATGAGAGGCGGTGGAGACTGACTTACTCTATGCGACAAAAGGAGCACCTGTCCGCACGCGTAGAACTCTCCAGATTGGGATTATCATGCTTTAAACAGATTGACAAGTTGCGTGACTGCCAGAGCATTATAAAATGTCCAGATATATATAGGTGGGGTGCGATTGCGAGTTTGTCACTAGACACGCACCACCTGGTGATTGCCTGCAATGTGAACAAACCATACTGAACTGCTGAATGGTAACTTTAAAACTCAATGCCATCACACACTACAAAAATAGCAGGCACGTCTTGCCATATCGTATTGTATCATTCAATCAAAATAAAAGCGTCCAAGAAAGCTTGCCCACGACCAAATTGAGCGACGAATTGAGCGACGCGGAACAGAACAGAGATTTAGAACGAGAAAACCAGTCCGCCGAAGTCAACGCCAATACAAAAGCAATGTCAGGCTTCACAGAGAATAATTGAATGAAGGTAAAAGCAAAGAGTGCAGGTCTGAAAAGCTATTTATATATTGCGTTTTTTGCCAAAAGTTGACTATAGAGCAAACAATGTCGGCGCATGATTTCATCACTTGAACTCATCCGATGAGAAGAGAAGAAGCACTGTTACGTTACCATAGCATATATTTTGGGTCAGGAGGGCGGCAAGTGAGCATCAGCGAACAGGTGCAGAGTGTAAGCTTGTACGGTTATTTGCTTTTGAAGAAGTGCCTCGTGAATGTCAAAAACCAGCATCTCTCAATCGGGGATATTGAGCACGAACCGTTTCATGAGGATGCGCGTGGTCCTTGACGTTGATCTCACGAGAAGATAGAGCGGGAGAGAACTTCCAGATATTATTGATGTTTATTCTGGCTCACTGGTACTCGATATTATTCCTTCCTCTGCTCCTCAATAACCTGCTTCAGCATAGCCGTAGCTCGCTGAGCATCAACCCTCCCATCCGTATCCAGCCTCATCATCTTCCCCAGCAGGAAATTAATCTTTCCAGTCTTTCCAGCAAGGATCTCTTGGACAGTCTTATCATCCAGCACGCTCCTTGCCAGAGCTTCCATCTCTTCGTTCGACAAGGGGCTGAACCACAATCCTTCCTTGTCAATGATAGCTTCGACTGTATCCTTTTTTCCATGCAACCCGTTCTCGAATAAGATTGCCAGCACTTTCTTGGCTGTCTTGCCGGTTATTTTGTTATTGTCGAGGTGGCGAAGTAGACTCGCGAGGCTGGTACGTGGGATAATGCAAATCCCATCGCTCGTCATTTTGAGAGGATGCTCTTCATCGGCGGTTGGATGGGTCATGCCTCCCATCTCATGCAAGACCCAGTTGCCGCAGAATCGACCTGCTGTAGCCAAATCCATGTCAGGAGTCTTGTATTCATCGACAACGTTGCGGAAATATTCAACTCGTCCGCCATCGTCCAGTGATACCAGTGACATGGCGTCCTTGACAGTTAGACCATACTGCTCAACCAGAATAGTAATCTCTTCGTCTGGTAGAACGCCTAGCGTACCTTTGAGATGGTCGAGTAGGTCTTGTCCGATGATAACTGGTCCGAGGTCTGGGTCTGGCATGTATCGGTAATCGACCTCTCCTTCTTTCCCACGTAGTCTCTTTGTCTCCGTGCTCCCAATTGTCCAGCCCCGAGTTTCCCCCTCAATGATGCCTCCAGATTCCAGTACCTCAATCTGGCGGTCTCGCTCGGCGATGATTGCATCCTCAACAGCCTTGAAGCTGCTCAGGTTCTTGATCTCCGTCCTTTGCCCAAGTCCCTTGACTCCTGCATATTCGTGGGTAGCTTCCACATCACGCCTCCTCACAGATACGTTGACATCAGCTCGCAGGCCCCCTGATTGCATACCCAAAACACAAGCATCCACAGCATTTAGCAGGATCTGTACCTTGCGGACAAGTGCAGCTGCTGTGCTTGGGTGATGAATCTGGGGTAGCGTGATGATCTCGATCAAGGGAAGTCCCACTCTATTGAAGTCCAACAAATGCACGCCGCCAGGCTGTGATATGGTCTTGGCCGTGTCCTGCTCCATTTGTATCTGCTTGATCCCTATTCGGATCTGGTCACCGTCCTCCTTCGCAATGCCATCATGCGCATACAAAGTGATGTATCCATCTTTCGCAAATGGTTCGTAATACTGGGTGATCTGGTAGCCGGAGGGTTGATCCCAATGGAAGTAGTGCTTTCGATCAAATCGACTTGTTTTCTGTATATCGCAGTTCAATGCTAAGGCAGCTCGCAAGGCTGGTATGAGGGTTTCTTTTTGGAAGGTGGGCTGGGAGCCAGGCATCGCAACATCGAAGAGTGCGACATGGGTATTCGGTACATCGTTGATGGTAGAGGCAGCCGCGGAGAATAGTTTTCGCGCAGTATTCAATTGAGCATGTATCTCGATTCCAACTGTCAGTTCCCAGTTGTCTAGGGTCTGGTTGTCCTTGTTTGAAATCTTCCCGCCTTCAGCCTTTCGTAGCTTTGCCTCCTCCTTCAACTGCTTTCGAAATGCGACTGGAGGTTCTGCCAAGCTTGAGTCTGAACTTGTTTGCGTCGTGTGATATCTCTGGCAACACACAGATTGTGCAGTCTGCCGAGTATGTCTCAGTTGTCGCAGACATCCTCTTGAGGGTAGTTGGCCCCCAAGGAGGTATTTTCGCAGGACGATTGGCGCGATACGAACCATTGGGTTTCCGCGACTGCCCCAGCACGATCTGCAGATGCTCAATTGGATTCGGATGCGGCACGAGCAGCTGGGTGGCTATATGTTTATATGTCAAGAGTAGGAGTAGGGTCGAGCGATTGTCAGGCGCATGCAGGTAGAGATTCGTAGAACACCCGATTCGACGAGAGGTGCAGATTGCGCGGCAGATTCGGAGCAATGGAAAGTGGTGCTGTGGTACACGAACAATCGAAGCCGCACAAGAAACTAAAGGCTCGAGGAGTATGAAGGAGGTGGCGTAGGAGGTTCGACGAGCTCTGTGGTGATTTGTTTACCTGAAGCAGAGAGAAGCTTCAGTGTTGGAGAAGTGAAGAAATGACGGGAAATCTTCGGATCCCTGCTCGGGCCGACCCTTCTCCCCTGCTGTTGGTTCACCTAAAGCCAGGTATGCCGGCGGCCTCCATGGGATTTATTTATGTATTTCACCAACCAACAACCATCCATCTATTTCCTCCATCAGAAGATTCCTGTATTCTTATGATTATTTCAGCTAGCCGCGGCTGTCACTATTACCAGAAGCAGAATGGAGCTCTGGAGCCACTCCCAGCAGTGCCGTTACTGTATTTCTCACCAGCAAGTTCACCCAGTTAGAAAGGTAGGACGAGGTACGGTTACACGCATCACAACAGTGGGTTGCATCGTCCTACCTCTATCTCCGGATTGGCAGCCATGAAGCCTGAGATTATATGATCTGCCGAGTCATACACATACCACCATCCAGGAGCAAGCCTCCCAAATGCGCCGGAGAAGATTTTCGCCATCGTGCATCATGACTGGTGGTATGTGTTGGGCAGACATTGGCTGTGCCCGAGTGAGCAGGGCAACGCAGCCTGACGTGTCAGTAGAAAAGGTGCCCATCGCCCCAGTCTTGTCGGATCTGGAGTTGTTGGGAAGTGAAAGTGAGTAGTCCGAGTCCCACTGCTGCACTGCAAGATTGTGTTTATATCTTGCTTGCATTGTTTGTTTTTGATTTGGTCTTGTTCTCGTCGTCCCTCTTTTGATCCCCTTGATATTCCGGTTCTCTACGATCACTCGCATCAATCGCACTGTCAACGCAGACGCTGTTCTGGATCTGGACGGAATAGAGTTGAAGTCCACGCTCTCTACGGTTCAGTGTTAGTGGAAGCCCTCGAATCCTGGACCTTGATATCCTTCCTGGCTGGCGGCGATCTAAACCAAGATATCCAACCCAACCCAACCGAGCTTTCAACTCCTGCTTTGGCCCAATCTTCGCCAAAGCCGAAGAAGTCGCCTTCGACTTCCCTGCCCGTGCTGCCCATACGCGAGTACAACTACACCAGCCGTGTCCTTCCGGTCTTGTTTTTCAGGCTTGTTGTTTGTTTTCTTCTGCCCTCGGCATCCATCAACATCTCGGCGGTCTTTCAACAACAAGAAGGATCATACCAAAGTTCAGATACCAACGATTTGATCCTTTGATCCTTCCCGGCGGCAACAAACCAACAGCCACACGCAGATACAATACCGAAATACATTGGTCGTACCGGGCCGGGTTTCTCGTCCGGCCTTCTAGAAGTCTGGTCATCTCTGTCGGCATATCCCAAAATGGCCATCATCTAGGATCTGGCTCACGCTGCTGCCCCGCAGATCTCGTCGCATCCCCCCCCGAACTACCCCCCATTTGTCACTCTCCAGGGTGGCACGGCCTGGCTTTGACACCCCACTGGCCCTTAGCGAATCTCGAAACACGCCTGGAACGGCTGACCACCAAAAAGGGGGCGTCATTCTGATAATAGCACCAGTTCTATATCCTCCTATATCAGCTCGTATACAAAGATACTATTACCCCCCTCGATCATGAACCTCGTCGTCCTCAACAACTCCGCTCACTTTGCATCAATCCCCAGAATTTCAGCATGCACAACCCGCATCTCTAGCTTGCATAAACAACGCACCAACACACCGCCAAACTTACGACTCAGTTCAGGTACGCCCAATTCAGTTCCCCCCAGCTGCTTGCTATCATGTTTGCTTTTTCGTAGTCTGGGACTGACAAGCTGACGATAACAAGATTACGACAACTACCCGCAATGACAACAAAATATACCATTCCAACGGTTGAATCAATACTCGAAGACTCCGAGGATGAATCGCGGGAAGAATTGAGAACCAGCGGAGATTCTGCGGACGAGAAATACCGAAAATCGCGGCCGATGCACGATACAGTCATGAAAGCCAACGTGGGGAGGGAAAGGGAGCGAGATCGGGAGAGAGATAGACCCAGGAGGCACAGATCCAGCAAACATACATCCAAGGGCAAGTCGAAGAATGGCACGTCAAGGAGGGCTAGCGGGATAACAAGAGAAGAATATGAAGAGTCACGGCTGCGGCACAGACATGGACACTCAAATAGAAGCTCCAGTTCGGCATCTTCATCTGACGAAGAGGAGCAAGAGGATCATAGAGCAATATTGGCAGCCAGGTCTCGATTGACCTCTCCATCAATGGTGTCAACCTTCACCACACAGACGACTGCGACGAATAAGTCGAGCAGCTCCAGTGGAAGTAACTCGACTGTAACACAAGCGTCAATTACCAAGCGATCAAGCCTTGGTAAGAAGCCTGAGGTGGAGGAAGCTGGAGAACCTCCAATGTCACCAGCAGTGCCCGATCCACCAAGTGTTTTCCAATTCTTGGACAATAATGGGCCACCAGAGCCCGAACATCAAGAGGAAGAGGATGACCACGAAGTAGAGGGGCATGAAGTAGAGGAAGAAAAGGGCGAGGAGAGCGAGGAAAGTGACGAGGACCGCACACCTCACTGGTCACCAAAGCGCATTCAGAGTGCATATGTTGAACCTCCTTCAAAACGTCTCAACCACAACGCAAGTGTCTCATCATCTGCATCGAGCAGTTTTCACGGTGACGACAACGCTTCTGAACCGGCTGTCGATGTGGATACGGACCGAAGCAGTAGTCCGGAGCGATCTGTTGATGGACATGATGGGGTACCAGAACCGCATCCAACAGACCAAGCATCGGCTAAGATCGCATCCCAGATGGCTGCTGCTCAAGAACGGCAGAATGTACATGTGTCGATGCAACAGTTTGGAACGCCAGATATGCCCCGAGGTAATACTCAATTACCTCATATCCCTTCCTCCGCATTGAGTTCTCGGTATCAATATCACATGCAACAGCGGCCACTACCACGAGCTGAGAAGTTACCAGTGACTGGTTATGAGCTTCTTGCGTCGAGGCTATCTGCATTTCCTGGCAGTGATAATGAAAACGGAGGACGAATCAAGCCAATGTACAGGAAATTCGAGGCATTGAATCATCGACTCCTGCTACACCTCCAAGACGAATTGAGTGAATTGGAAGAACAACTTCACCGTCTTGATCATGCAGATACGCAATCTCGACGGCTAGATCACCATGGATATATCATTCCAGCATCAAGGCGACTAGCCGCGCAAGCTGGCGGGGAACTACAGTGGCACAAAACAGATGTCCTTGGCAAGATTGGGTACAAGTTGAATCAATACAGTACGTCCACTCCACATCTACCAGCCGAGCACAGCTAACAGCCACAGACCAAGCTCTCTCCTCATTCAACAGCACCCAGTCACTTAATCACCCGGACGCAGAAGACATTGAACACTATCGCGCATACCTACAAACCGAACAGCCCATCGCAGAAGCTGAGACGCACTTCCTTGACCCAACTGACGATCTGGTTTCAATATACTCCGAAAACCTCGCACGCCCCTCATTCCTGCGCTCCTCACACGCGCCATCCTCAACGGTATCTTCATCGGAAATTGCATCCCAAGTCTCATCGTCAATTGCGCCTCCACCATCTCCCCCGCTTCATACATCACAACCCGAACTCCAACCTATCCTCCCAGGTCTTGCGACAGCAATCGCGATCGCAATTCTCGTCCCTATCCTTACCTTCTCCGTCATTCCAGGATTCATGGGCAGGCTTACAGTGGCGATGCTAGTCGCAGTGTTCATGGTAGGAGGGCTAGTCCAGAGTGGCATCGTGCAGAGAAATATGTTACTAGGGAGAGAGAGTTTGACATGTGCTGGTATCTATGTTGGTGTCATGACTGTGATTGCTGGTATTGTGGCCTGAGAATTTTACGCACAGCTGTACGATTTCCAACATTTCGGCTTCGTTTCATGTGGCTAGGAAGGATAATAGCATTGGGGAAGATGAATTGGCGTTGGTTGGATTTTGTGATACCCCCTTTTGCAAGCACGTTTGTGTGGATGGAAATTGGTTAGATCTTCTACAGTCAGTAATAATTGTAAGGTGTATAATACTTCTATCTCTCAAGAATGTCCGATTTATAAAACCTGGTCTTAGATCCATGGTGGTTCTCGTTGGTGGTTTGTCACGTGAATGTCGCGCCACAGCCTGACTCCGTATTGCCAAGACCATCTCTCATGCTTCAATAAGTCTTCAAATCGTCTTTCCCGGGACCGACTATCAGTCTCAATCTAAGACGGAATAAATCCAGGCTTCGATAACAAGGGTATCATTGCAAAAGCTGTTTTATGCTTCGTTGGTGGTGTCCAAGAGTCTACCTGGGGTAGATCCGTGACCGAACCCTCCTGTTAAGATTTCTAGCTCGCTTACACAACGGATGTCAACATCAACATAAACAACCTCCAATGCAACATCAATTACAGACGAATGTGAAGATAAGACTCTACTCATTCGTTTCAGCGATTAAAATGTCTGATGAAAGGCTCAGATGTATCGTAAGCGTAACTTTATTGCTCAGTGCTGTCTTTGTGGGTAGAACGACGTCCATCCTGCCCCGATCTTGCTCCGAAATTGCAGTCGAGTTGACTTCACCTTCACCAATCTCCACATCGCGTCCTATTTAATCTTCCTCATCTCCGCATTCACTGCCCACTGCTCACCCGTCTTCGCTCCATCTGCGATTCCTTTCGAATCTCCCTCTTCTGTCTTCCTCTCTCCCAATTTCGGTTACATTTCCCCCAAAACCCCCATCCTCGTCCTAAACCGTCCGCAATCTCAAACTCCTCATCCCAATTCAGCCATCTACCCCTTTTTCCTCATCTCCCCTTCATCTCGCTACCGACCTTTGAATGATCAGGCATCAATAGTCTCCCCTCCCCTCCCCTCGTCCCCGAATATATAAACCCATCCTCCTTCGAAATTTCCTCTCTCCTTTCTTCTTCACTACACTCACGAACCAAGACACAAACACAAACACCTCTTCGATCTCTCTCGTCCTGTTCTGTTCTTTTCCGTTCCAATACGTTCACTTCGATCAAACACTCAACAACTCGAAGTATTTTCAAAGCGCAACCAAGCAAGAATGAAGTTCACCACTTTGCTCACTGGTGTAGTCGCAGGCATGGCTTTCTTACTTGTTGGTGGTGTTGATGCTATTGATGGTGTTGCTACATACTACACTCAGCAGGGCGTTGCTGGTAGTTGTGGGGTTTATCACTCGGTTTGTTTCCATTCTCTTCTGGTCTTGTGTCTTACTTGTTGCTTCGAGCTTGATCAAGTGTTTGAGGAATGGATTTTACTCCATGACCATGATCTTTGTACTGATCCTTGTTCTTGACAGGACACTGACCACATCGTCGCTCTCGGTCCAGCCTGGGGACACAACAATAACTGCGGCCGTACCGTTACCATTCGTCACAAGGGTACTGGTCGAGTTCTCACTGCTGTTGTCGCTGATACCGTGAGCTATCCCTTCCTCCCTTGTTACTTGTTTCTTCACTGACTAACTGCTCTTAGTGCCCATCTTGCCCGCAGACAAAGCTTGACGTTTCTACCAGTGTTTACGAGTACCTCAATGGGTTCTTGGGTCTGGACCTGATCCCCATTGACTGGTATGTTCAATATCACATCACTTTTCGAGGACATTTGATTGACATCCACAGGCATTTTAACTAAGATCCAGCTGGACTTCTACTTTTCGTTTTGCTGTTGATTGGTATGTACTCCGATATTCTTATGATATTGAAAGAGGATCTTGCTGACTGGATGCCCGTGGACATAGGCACTCGGAATCCTCGATCGCTCGTGCGGTTTTTACTTCTCATAGTGGTGCATCCTGGGTGGCTCTTTCCTCTGCTGGTGGTGGAGTTGAGATAGAGAAATACAAGTGAAAGATCTCACGTGATTGTGTGACTTTAAAATGTGACCTGCAACGTGATATGAGACTCGGTGTCCCTCTGGATATCGCTCAGTGATCGTTGAAGATTGAAAGTGATTACGCTTTCTGAGAGTTGAACAACCAAGAACAAAAGTCAAAAGCCTGTGGACACCAGGAATAGCCATCTCACATCTGCACTGATCGAAAGAAAAAATCTGATCAAACAGCAACTTCATTCCCTATCAATCATCCTATCGTTAAAATATATATACCAACCTCCACCACGTCAAAATATGTAAAAGTTGACCAGCCAAATGAATGTTCCGCCCCACTATGCTTTTCCACTGCCAATGCACTGCATTTACATCCCTCCCCTCATTCATTGCGCATAGTCCCACCAAAGAATGCCCAAACCCTCATCACCCTGTGATCAATTGTACCCAGACATAGGAAAATCAAAAAACGCGCTCAATGCAGTCTAATTACAACTTATTCCAATCGCCTATCGTAACAGCACAGTCAAGAGAATCTAGTTCTTCTTGTTCTGGAGGCTGCGTGCCATGCGGCGCTTGGAGAGGTTGTACTCGATGGCACGCTTCTTGGCTCCGGGTGATTGTGTGAATGCTCCGGCTCCACCGAATGGTCCTATCAAGATGTGTTAGCTTGTCTGATTCAAATGGAAAATAGAGGTAGAGATAATGACATACCAGCAGGTGTCTTGTTAGACATGCGGACAATGCAGACGTCTGTGGCGGCGCCAACGGTACCAGAGCAGGTCATGCCAGCAGGCATCTGAACCTTGACTTGATAGTCGGTTGTGGTTGCAGCGGAGAAACCAGCAGCAATACCTGGGACGTTCTGGGTGACTTGCGCCGTCTTGAATGCGGCTGGGTCGGTTCCACCTGAAGTGTTATCGATCTGGGCGTCGAAGGGACCGGCACCGTCCTGGTTGCATTGATGTATCGTCATGGTGATCTCGCCAGAGTCGGATGCGGTTGGGAGTCCTTCTGAAGCACCAAGACCGGCTGCGGCTGCGACACCAGTCTCCTTAGTACCGGCTGGGGTCTTGACACCGGGGTCGGTAGCTCCTCCAGCTCCTCCGGCACCACCTCCGAAAAGCTTGCCGAGTTGACGCTTGTAGAGGTTGTTATTCTCGTGGATCTCGCGAGCAGTAACGTTGGCGGCTAAAATGAATGTCAGTCTATGTGTCTTGGAATGGGAACCATGGAATACTGACCAGATCCATCCATGAAGACAGCCATCATCTTGGCGGCATCAACTGGGCCATCGTTCTTGGTGCGGCCAAGAGCAGAAGCCTTAGCAGTTCCCAGCTCGTTTGTGCGAATGATGGAGGTATCTGATTGAGCGCCACATCCAGCTGAAGGGCAATCACGAGGAGTACCATCGGTGACAGTCAAACCAGGCATGGTAACGGCTGAGGATGTTTGTTAGCTACTGAGCTCGAATCAAGGCCAGAGATCAAACTAACCATTGGCACCCTTGACCTCAGTGATGAGAGCGTGAGACATAACACTTGTGACAGCGAAAGCTGCACAGAGAATGGTAGATGTGTATTGCATTTTGGCGGTTGTGGGGTGGGATCTATTAGACGAAAGAGTAAAGAGTGCTGAAGAGGACGACCGGCGCCGGATTAATGAATGATACTATATAGAAAGTGGTGGAAAGCTTGAAGAGAGAGAAGCAGATGATTGAAAGGCTGATGATATTTTCCTCTGGCAGTGCTCCCCCGAACCTTTATACAGACAAACCTTCCAAGCCCATCATCGCCGCCACTTCACTTGGCAAGCCGGATGGAGAATAACCAGCGAAGGAGGATGATCTGTGACGATGCAGAAACCACAAGCCTTCTTGGTAGAGATTAAAAGTCTTGATTCTGCGGGTACGAGGAGATGCACGGCGGGAGACCACGTTGGAAAACAAGCAGATGTCCATGCAGGAAGTCTTGGAAATCTGTGATCGTGTCAAGGGGCCTTCTTGGCTATCACTTGGCAGCAGCGCTCAGTCACTGGTATTTTTGGTGTTTGTAAATCATTCTGGGGAAAGTTTCCAAGTGTAGAGCCGCCGTGTGAACACCCATTCTCTCGATATCGCGCTTATGGTGTTTATCGTAAATTTGTGTCGCAACTGTCAATGTCACCTGAAGCTGGCCAGTTCATCTCACGACAAAACTATACGAGTACTCCATATACACTCCCAGGTCCATTTCACGAAGTCGTGAAAGCCAGATTCCGCAGACAGCCGGACGTGTCTCCATTCTGGCAAGCGATGCGAGGAACTTGATCGCCAACCGGGATCACGGCAATCTCGAAACGAGATCTCCTGCAGCGTCGATCTCAACAGCGAATCGCAACTCCAAACAACTGAAGCGAAACTAAAAGGTCTGCTGTTTCTGCCCCGGTATGTTTTGTTTTCGTTCGTGCGCGAAGTTTCGTGTTCTGCTGGTGGAAACGGAGGTCGTCAGAGAAGGTTTCGCTTAAATGGTGAGACACCCACGTGACTGCTCTCCTCGTGATTTGGTTCCTATTTGGGGAGCTCGGCTTGTTTACCGAGAGGTGGCTAAGTTGTCTCATCTTGTCAGAGTTGAGTATTAGCTCCGATCGACAAAAGATGCCAACTCTTGGTCAATGCTTGTGTTCTCTTAGGTACTGACTGATATTACCGGAGACCATGTGAGCGAGCTCAGACTTTCATCGGCCGTGGGCAAGAAATGACCATTCTCACTTTCCTCTCCGGTTTGACAGCATACCCACTTGTTTTGGCTGTCAGAAATATTCCGTGCTTCATCTCGTACTCCAATACAGATCAAGGTAGTAAGACTTTACGTCCGATTCTCTAGAAGCGAGAAGAATAGTATTATCTTCGGCAGATCTTGGCTCCCCAGCAGTCCCTCCACGCCTTGCTTCAACGTGATCCATGTAGGCTCCGACTAAAGCTGAGTGCACATCCGTATAGATTCTGACTTCGCCCAGATCACAGTCGCCTGAAGTCCACCATCAAGGCAACATGCACCTCATACCTGTCTTGATAAAACTCAAGAGCCAGGCCAAACGTCGGCCCAATGGCTTTCCACAACTTTAAATGGCGAACAAAACTGTACCCGAAGTTTGAGGGCTAGAGAATTCTCACTCCAAGCCGCTGGCATGGACTGGCCAAGGACCCAAACACGGCTCTGGTTGTCATCTGGGATGTGATGATTATTCTCGGCATCCAATCGGGCTGCTCTATTCATGTTGGGCTTGATGTTCAAGTTCAGATGACTTCCAGCATGCCATTTTGAGCTCTGAATCTGCCAAGGTTCATGCGGTGTCCATGACTACTTTTCCATCAACCTGATCTCCCAGATTGGAAGCTGGGTCATGTTGTTCTCACAGGGATTCTAAGAACTGGTCAGATTATCATCGCAGGGTTATCCAGCCTATGCCATCCGTCACAACGTCAGGTCATGTGAATTGATCTATTTGCCGAAGGAGAATTCAAGTGGTAACATCCTTGTATTCATCAAGTCAGTGATCTGTGTACTTCCGCCTTTGCTTTGGTTGTTACATCATTTTCTATTGGTCCTACCACTGTCTCCTTCACTCCAGTAGCCGAACCAGTGTTCTTCGTCTAACACGACTGTTTGGGTTTCTGTAAAACCCTTGCCGCATATATTTTCAACTTATCAAACGTTATTCTCTCGTTCGATCATCTGGAGGTTCACTGATCATCAATCTGAAATACTTTCACTTTGTGGGACCGTTTTTGTGACTTTTGATCTTACAACCACCCAGTGGTGCTCACATGACTTGGTCAAACGAGCTCCATCTACCAATTTTGAGCGCACAGCAACCCATGATCCTTTTCAAAATGCTTATATAGGTAGTAGCAGACAGCTGTTAACTCTAACGTGTAAGACTGAAGACATGAGATCCCCTAACCTCGGATCCAATTCATCTCCACGTCAATGATGGCCGGACCAAAATACAGAACGTGCAAAACACCATCAAGACTTTGGAAATCGCTTTAGTCGGAGATATGTGTAGCGCCTGATTGTAGATGCCTGGATCATTGAAAACTCCATATCAAATCAATGGTCTTCACTTGACTGAACTACAAACCTCCTATTATGTGACTCCAGACTCTTTTCCAAGTCTACCAATGTATATACACTTACAGGACTTAAAGAACCTACATGGCTGCCTGGACCGATTGAAATGCAGCGTGAATTGAAGTTATACAAGTGGCATGTCTTCTCGTCACCGTGTCGCTGCATCGACATTCGGCTGCGCGTACCTGCAAGATTTACGGGAAAATGCCTTTTTTAACTCTGCTTTAGGAAACGGAGGAGCGCCCATGTTATCTGCTTGAGTGACTAGGTAAGTAGTTCGAACTTGTTGGAGGATCCACAACAGCTGATAAGAAACAGAGATCAGAGAGATTATTTACCGCATTCTCTTCATCCGACCAACCGCCATTGTCCCAGGACCAGTTCGGTACAAATGCAGCATCGGCTGGCGAGACAGACCCGTCGTGCCAATCTACTCGTTCCAGTGGATGATAGGCGCCAGAATGGACACGAAGAATGGGGACTGCCTAAGTACGACGGCTCGTATGGCGGTCTCCAAATCGCATGGCGCAGACGACCAACTCCCGAGCAAGCAAAACTGATCGAAGCTGGTACTTTCAGCACAAGCAGTGTGAATGAGGAACAGCAGCTACCTGGCATGAGTTACAACGAGGAGCTCGATGCCGAAGTTGTACAATACGTCTGCCGCCGTGGGACTTATTCTGTACAAGTCATCAACAGAGCTATGGTAAAGATTGCGGGAATCCAAGGCATCTCTCTCATGAGCAGCTGGAAGCAGATTTTACCCGAATACCGGGCAGTATTTTACGGTGAGAACACTTTCGTTTTTGATACTCGAGGTCAGGATCCCTACACTCATCACCGAGGTGTCCACGCGTCTGATGCATTCAAGAGATACTCTCACCAATGTCCGGGCTTGCCTCTAGCAGATGGTACTGTCAGCCATCGCAACACCGAGCGATCTATTACCCACATGTTCGACAAGGATGCTCGCCATCAATCGTTCATATCCCGAGATCCACTCAAAAAGTTCTTCAGAGAGACCAGTCAAGAGAACGCATCCGCTATTAGCAAAGTCATCATTAAAGGTTATTTCAGACCCGTAGAAGAGAACGAGCGATCCAAATACAAGCGTCCTCTTGGGTTTGGACGCATCCTTCCAATGCATGCCACGATTTTGAAAAAGTCTGTCCCAACCTTCGAAAGCTCACTCTGCACCAAGGTTACAACATTTCCTTCTGGGACGACGACCCCGACGGCACCATGGGACTTACAGATGAAGACCGCGTTGACCAAATTGTCGGAAAAGTCGTTGATTTGCTTCCGAGCTTGCAAGATTTGCAGTTGGGATACTATCATTTTGTACCCAATGGTGAATCAGTTGTTGAGGAGTGGGGACCATCGCTCCGCTGGGAGGAAATTGTTCGGACTCGTCATCGTCAGCGGGCGGATCGATCAGGTGCGGAGGAGAGAAGAGCAAAAGAGGGCCGTGGACATGAAGGAAGGGAGATGAGGTGTCTGAGGAACGGCAATTGGGTCTTGGTCGAGGTGTGTCTTCTGGCCATGGCAACAAAAGTGGTGTCAAGAACTCAGCTGCGGCATCACTTCGACTTGATCATTTACTTCCTTGGTCGACAAGGCAATGGTGGATGCTGGGATAGGTGACGAGGTCAGTGGACATAATAACAGTGGAAAGGCGATGCTCGCCCATAATTTCGAAAAGGAAAGAAGGGAAAGCAAGGCAACGATGGAATGTTTCGTGGGGACAATTGATTCCAGATTAATAGGATTTGGGAAGATCTTCCAATTTTGCAGTCTCATAAATAACTGTGCCTAGTGACTCTCTGAGTTTCGTTTCAGTTTTTGTGTACACGACAAATACCTGGAATGCTGTTCTGGGGGCTGAAGCAGCGGCGCTTGTTTTGGTGAGTTAAAATATGACCTCCGCTTCTCAGCAAGATAGACAAGGAATAATGATAAGATACAATCATGGAAATGGTAATCGCCTCGAACTTCCTACGAAAACATTGGCATCCCTCAATAATGTGGACTCTTGAGACGACGTCAAGCGAGAAAGAAAGGGGGCGGGGTAGCAGAGGGGTAATCCTAGGGTGATGCTGCACTGGGCGCGCTGGGGAATGCGACCACAGCCCTGCAAACACCTGGCAGCGCCCAGTGTAAAATAGAATTGCGAAGTTACCGTGGTCTGACTTCTCCAATGCGACAGCAGTGTTCGCCTAATACCTAGACAGTTCCATTAGACGGATTGGCATCTAATCCATTTCTACCTTTGCCGTCATACCTTCGCCACAATTGAGGATTGACCAACGACCTATTGTCTTCTTCTGTAGCATCATGAGACTGAAAGTTATGTAATGCGAAATGTTGATTGAGGCATCATTGAGTTCACAGAATGAGGGGTCCGATCGGCGACCTAGCCCGCGCTATTACTTAAGTCGGGAGCATCTTCTGATCACAAAGCAGAGCTAAATAGCCCTTCTAGAACTCGAGATGAACACCGAAGTATCTCCTGACACTGCGCGTAGCATCGGGATACAGCTTAGAGTCATGACGAGAGATGCGTTCCAGCGCCGTCGTGCTTTACAGACATGGCAAAACTCCTCCGCTTTTTGAGTCAATCGAATATCATCAATTCTTCAAATTAATATTAACCTTGCAACTTTGTCTCTCTTAAAATTATCAGGAGTAAGGATCGTGAAACTCCAATATGAGGGTTCAGAAAGTCGGTCCTCGAGCCAAGCTCCGATCAAGCCACCATAGTCCTCGCAACCATCAAATGGTCGATAAAGGGTTCTCAGAAATTATCAATAGTGGCCCTGGAGACCCTGGAAGGCCATCACTACGAGACCTTGTCGCCGAGTAAGTGATCCGTTGACAAACATCATGAACAATTTATCAATATGGCGCAGTTTCCTCACAGGCGACGGTCTCGTCGCCTACGATCGAAACCACAGTCTCATCCCCCGCATCAATCGAGACACCCATATCATCACAATCAATGGCTGCGTAAAGAAACAGCTCAATATCACCATCAAAGACCTCGAAGCTCTTCCTCAGCATAAAGTGGTCGCTGCTCTCCAATGCGCAGGTAATCGTCGCCACACGATGCGCACGCTTCAGAAAGAAGTCGTTGGTATCAATTGGCTCGATGGAGCAGCTATGAATTGTCGATGGAAAGGTCCAAGAGTGCGCGATGTACTTGCTCTTGCAGAGATCGAGAGTGTAGAAAGTGAGAAGGAGATGCATGTCGCATTTAATTGTAGGAGTGTTCCTTGTGAAGACGATGAGTACTTTGGGAGCAGCATCACGCTTGATGCTGCGATGAGTCAGGAGAAGGAAGTCATTCTAGCATTGGAGGTGAGTTTGGAAGATTTTAATGTTGACCTTAACCTGACGATATCCAGAGAAATGGGCAAATATTGTCCCCGAGATTCGGATTTCCAGTGAGAATGATTGCTCCAGGTATCATTGGAGCTCGGGCAACGAAATGGTTAGATGAGATTACAGTCCAGGACAAAGAATCTCAGAATGCCTATCAGAGTCGGGATTACAAGATTTTACCCGAGACAGTCCAGACCAAAGAACAGTATCTCGCAAACGACGGCGCAATTTGGGATACTGTTCCAGCCATGCAAAGGTCACTCATCAACTCAGTAGTTGCATATCCAACTCAAGACGACACAGTAACGCTTGATGCAGATGGCATGATTGAAGTCAAAGGATACGCTATTCCAGGTGGATACGATGGACCAGTGGTTGGCGTTCAGGTCTCTGGAGATGGAGGAAGTACTTGGGTGACAGCTGACTTTGTTGGGACGCCAACGAAGTTTTCTTGGGCTATCTGGAAAGCGAGGGTAAAGCTCGAACGTGGTGAAAATCGATTCATATGGAGTCGAGCCACTGATGCAGGGGGTAATACACAGCCCAAAATGTCTGCTTGGAATATCAGAGGTGTTGGGTATAATGGCTATGGCGACGCAAGAAATCTGACAGTGTTGTAAGGTAGCGTGTTGATGGGTTACTGCATTCCTCGGTAATGTTTTTTTGCCGAAAGCGGAACCTGAGAGTCTTGAGTACAACAAAGAATGAAAGGTGCATTGTTACGGTCCATACATGGGCATAGGTAGGAACATCACAATGGAAACAATAATGTTAATTCATATCAGCGATAGATTCTTTCTCAACCAACATTTATATATCATGAATGCCCTCGAGGATGACAAAGGCACCACTCCTGGTCCTTCGGGTCCTCTTCGTACTCTCCGATTACCAATTCGCTCTGCAGCTGACCACATAAGGAGAACAACATTACCACTTCCAACACCTTCAGCATCTCCCACCCCTCCGGAAAGATCAAAATATGGATTAAGTTACAATATTAGGCATTACACCAGAAATCCCATTGATCAAAGCTCTGCCGATCAGGCTCAGAGAAGACTTCACGATGCGTATTTGCAAACACAGCTCTGGGGCTTCACGATCAACGAACTTCAAGATGCAGGCTGCTGGGATGATCCAAATGCAATATCGTCGGATTTGCATAGTGTAGGCTGTATTCATCCTATCTATGGATATACGATGTGGGAGACGGGATAGGGCTGTGAGGATATTGGGAATGGATACCCTGGAAAGTGGGACGTGAGAGGGAACCAAGCGGTGCGCGATGCTTTGACTCCTATCCTGTGTCTTGCTTCGCTGCTCCTGACGTACTCGGCAACTTGGACGTGGTAAACGATTCCTGACCCAATTTGACATGTCCGACTAATATGCCAGGTTCGATGCGCTGCTCTTCTCTCCACGAAAAGAAGTCACTCCCGCGGACCCAAAAGACACCAAAGACGGCTGTTCCATAGATAACACCCTATATCGAACCTACAAGTTCCGTGCTCGAGATCCAGCTTCAGTGCACAGTAGTCAGGGAATGTTCGAGACGTACGCTGCTTCCCTCCAAGCGAAAATCAACCTTTACATCAAATCTGCAGTGTCGAGAGCCCAGAAGGCGGGGAACGGTGATTTGGTCTATGGATGGCATAAACCTTCCTATCGGATGATTGAATCTGGGACAGTGTATACGGACAGCTATACTGGGATGGTGGTTTTGAGTTCCGAGAATGTGTTACCGTTGCTCAGGAATGATTTGACGGTCTCGGAGAGGTTAGTTTAGCAGTTCTGTGTGGCTAAGACTGTACGTGGAGTTGTATCTGCTGCCATGCTCTGGACGAGTCACTGACGTTAGAGAATTAGTTAGTACATGAAACGATGGTAAGATACCTGAAGTACCGTAGTGGACTGAGCGTTGATCGGCTAGGCAGCACTCTTTTGGAAAATACATCCAGGCAAAGCTGCCGAATGTCGTCACCCAGGGGTCAGAACCAGTGAGTTTGGGCTTCCAAAATGCGCACAAGAATTCCACTAAAATTTATGATAGTTCTTCGGGGATGAAGCAATTTGTGAGCTAGGTCAATCCTGGGAAAATGCCGTAAGAGCCTCTCACTCCACAAAACAATGAAAAATTACTCACCTAAGACCTTGCAGTGCTTTGGTGGACAAGTCGACCATCTCTACATCAGAGACAAAACAAACATTTCCGAACCAAGTCTCGGCCAAATAATCATCCCTTGGCCGAGTTGGTACCATTTCGGGCAAGGACAGGTGACTTCCCGAGTAAGACTCCGATACAAATATCACGAGAAATACCCAGTTGGTACAATGACGATGATGTGGGTCATGCCTATGTTCTTCCTTCAGAATATCCAGCAAGTGTCGTTATGGGCGACCCAAGTTTCGAAATATGGTACCGATGCGTTGAAATCAGAGCACATCATCGGACATCGTTTGAGCAAAGGGGGAAAGAATAACGGGTTGGTCTGGGGTCGTGATGCAAGAGTTGATGTTGTGGCTAGACGATTTTTCCCGAAAAGAGAGGGTGTTCCCATTGGTGACCGACAGAATGATTTTCTGGCTGCTATCATTACTGCAAGGCAAAAAGCGGCAGCGGACAACGTTAATGCTGCTTTGCAACAGCAATCTATGCTAACCAATATCAAAGCTGGAGTCCAGCCAGAAGTGGACCAGGAAGAACTGGACCAGCAGATGGAACTGGTCAACAAAATCTTGACAGGGGAGAACTGTAGTCCGGAAGTTGACAACAGTGGCCTTCTTGACGAGCTTTCGATTTCCAGGTATCTAGAAGTGCGAATTCTGGCTAGTCTTGCGATAGTGAGGGATATGAGGGTGGAGGCTTCGAGGAGAAAACACCTGTGCAATGCTGTACGAGTTAATGCCAGAGCACTAGCCGGCCAAGAGGATTCTGATGGGAAGTGGATTGCATTTGAACGAGTTGCTATTGCGGAGTTGAAAAATATCAGGAGGCAGCAGCTAAATAAGCTTAAGAGGAGGCGGGAAGACGATCAGCCGGTATCAAGTTCCTCTTTAAGGAAGGTGAAACCAGAAATCACTTAACAGAGGTCTTCTATCAATATGTCAATCAAAGCTTATATTTCCAATACTTCTTTCACAGTACATTCGGCTTGAGTTTCTCCCCTTTTCAGGGTACCTATGTATATCCGAACGGGATATGTTTCCCTATCAGAGAAAAGAAAAGAAAAAAATGATTGGAAAATTCCTGGGATGCCATACTTAGACAAGATAAATAGAAACTTTCGCCTGCTGGGCTATTAGACACTGGAATTTCTCTGTCGCGCTCCTCAAGGTCATTACAACATACAAGAAAACCTCCAGTTGGCAAAGCTGGTAGGGATTACACTGTAGCTCCGAGTGTAATCCCGCGTGTGGGTCAGACGTCGGTTTTCTCACGCGCCAGGCTTACTGAGAGAAGTCACTTGTTAAAATTACAGTAGCCTTTTTATACTTGCCTCCCTTATAATTACAGGCTATTTAATAATTAGACCAAGATAGTATTTATATCCTTGTGTACTCAGGAAATAGAGTTAAAAAGTATGGCATCTCAGTAACGATCCGGAAAATGTATAGCACCTGATTAATTTGCTTGAAATAACTTTAGAGGACTTCACAGTAGGGTCAAAATTTCTCAGCATCCATACCATCTAAAAGTTCTGAGTGGCTGCTAGTCAGATACTGAACAGGAGGCAAGGCCACAGCTGATATTTTTTTTAAAAAAATAACTGCTGAGTGCTAGAAAAAAAACCAAAAAAAACTGAACGCCCCAATGGCAAAAAGGCAAAAAGATATCAATGATCAGGCTGGGGCTCGATCCCAGGACCTTCTCGGTTTTTTGTTACAGTAAACTGTTAACGAGATGTGATAACCAACTACACCACCCGACCGTGTTTGATGTTTTTGAAATGCTTATTTAAGTACTAGAAATAGAACTAAAAATGTCAGTGTGGTGGGGCGGATTCAGCGATGTTGATTCGCTACATGACCCCACTAAAATCAGAGAAGGAAATTTTGTATTTTTTTGTTGCTCTCTAGCAGCGGGCAGCATTGCCAGCAATGTAAAGGCAATTAGATACAAAGGGCGGCGCGACAAGGATGGCAGAGACAAAGATGGCAGAGACAAAGATTAAGAAGGGCCTCCTTGAAGGGATTGCTAGAGGTACAGTTTCGCTCTCCAGCAAGTGCAGGTCTTCAAAGAACCCGAGAACAAAGAAACCACAATAGGACAATAGAACAATTTGCGCTGTTATGTTCTTGCTTTAAGGTGGTTGTAATTAAGGCAGCTCCTGCTGCTATGAAGCTTACTTTCATTTTCCTTTGAGCTCCATTTTCTTTTGGCAGAGGATGACCAAGCATAGTAAAATATAATTCCTTATGGATACTGTGGGAAGGCTTGAGGATTAAGCAATGATTACTATAGGTATAGAGGTAAAGTGCAACTTTAACGTGGACTTGACCCTACGTGCAGATGTACAGCAGGTCTATTCAAGCACTTGCACTATTCCTCTTTCTCTTTCTCAAAGGTCTTTCCTCCTCCTCCTCTTCAACCTCACTATTGGCCTCCTGCCCCTCAAAATTCCCGAAGCGGATAACACTCTTGATGAAGTCCCGATCCGAGAACTCCTGATAGGCTTCGGGCGCATCATCAATCTTCAATTCCCGATCAACAATAAAGCTAGGCTTAGCTCGTCCACTCTGAATCATTTTCAGGAGCGCGGGCTGGTACTCGCGAAATGGCACGATGCCAGATCGGATGGTTTGACCCTTGAACCATGATTCGCCAAAGGGGATCTCAAAGATTCCTTTCTTGAGAGCAGGTGTTGCTCCACCTAGACACGTACCATCAGTATTTGAACCTCGGAGATGAGCTCGAGAGGTACTTACGAGGGTCGGAAGGAGAATATACGCCAATAACACCAATGCCGCCAGCAACTCTTGTCACTTGAATCGCCTGGGTGAGCACTAAGTTCCCAACATTCTTTCCTTTTGCATCCACACATTCGTAGCCTATGCAGTCACAAGCGCGATCAACACCTGCCGGCTCATGCTTCAAAATCTGAGCGACGGGATCGCTTTTGCTAAAGTCGATGGGAATTGCGCCGATGCTCTTTGCCTTAGCGAGACGTTCAGGAACACGGTCGACGCTGTAGACTTTGCTGGCACCGCGAAGGAAAGCCGAGTAGGCTGCGAGGAGACCGACAGGACCTGTTGTCATTCTGTCAGCTCTGAACACTCGCCAGGACCTCAATTCCGTGACTCTATCCGGATAGTAAAAAACTCTGGAGATCAATTTTAAGATGGGAAAGGGACGAGGCGGGTTTGTCGAGAAATAAGCAGAAACTCACCAGCCCCGAAAATAACAACGACATCCCCCAACTTGAACCCCGACGCATCAAGTGCCCAATTCGCTGTCGGGAAAATATCCGCCAACATCACATAATCCAGCTCATTGTCTGTTCCCTTGGGCAACAACAGCAGATTATCAGTCGCGAACGGCACTCGCACATACCCGGCTTGCCCGCCATTGAACTGGGAGAAGCCCGGGAAAGTTCCGAACCCAAGTCCTCCGATGGATTCGTCGTCAGCTTCACCACCGAGGTGGTCGTCGTTTATGACGGCAGAGACGATGACGCGGTCGCCGACTTTGAGATCGGTGACTTTGGAGCCGAGTGAGTGGACGATGCCGACGATTTCGTGGCCCATTGTCATGGGTGGGTTGACGGGGACGCGGCCGTGGAATACGTGGAGATCGGTCCCTATAGGGAGATCAGATAAGTGTTTATGTTTCATTAAGGAGGACGAGAATGTCAATTTTGGATGAGGTCCGGGCGTGGAGCTTCGAGCCTGGTGAGTTGTGATGGGTAGAGACTTACCGCAGATTCCACTTGACGTGACACGGATGATTGCATCGTGAGGCAGACGAACTTTGGGGATCGGAAGTTTCTTGACAGTGATGTCGAAAGCTTTGCCTTCGAATTCAACAGCCTTCATGGTCTTGTGATCGTGATGATCATGGTGTTGAGACGGAGAGTGTAAATACTTCATCGTGAGGACGGATATGACGAGACGATGCGAATAAATGAGGAAAGTTTTGAAACTTGAATGTCTTGAAAAATGACTGAAGATGGTCTTGAATGAAAAAGGTAAATAAGAGATAGAAAGTTCGGTTGAGTAAGGAAATACCCAGCCTTTATACCTTCACAATCCCTACTTCGTTCTGTATAAGAAATTACTCCCTCGCAACCAGGCCATAATCTGATCTAAGATCAGAACTCATACCTCGCCTCTCCAGCATAGCTATTTCTCGGACAGCCATGAGCTGATTTCCTCATTCATTATCAACTCTGCGCTATCACCAGCTCGCTTAGCAATGAGGGCTGGTATGATATCGTCAGATGCCAGGGTTGTTTACCGCGGTGCTGACAGCCAATGGTTCGTATCCTTTTCAGCCCTCGCCGTACTGCCCAGTAAGATGAGATATGCTTACGCTTATGCGTGACATCGTGACATGGATGTACAGCATAGGCTATTGGCTCCAGTTGAGGAGCATTGGCGGTTTTGTGGCAATCATTTGCCTTGTAGAATTGCAAAGCCATGGGCTGATGGTCGCCGTGAGGGGTATATTTCAGCTGGGGAGCGACCAGGTGTGGATGATCTGAGACAAGAAGGTATATTCAATACTTACTTAGCTCACCAAGACATCAGCTTAGGGAGAGAGTCTGCTGATTAACTTGAAGGAGACGGATCGAAACTCGAACATTTCAGGACCTACCCACACTGCATCAGACCGTCTCCTCTGTCATCCTCTAAGAAAACCGTTTCTCAAAATAATTTGAGACATCAGGTTAGAAGTTTCACAACTCAGATCCATCTTGCCTGCTCACTTCAAGAACGAAATCGTCTACGTCTCAACCCGGCGTCCCGAGCCGTCACCACCCGCTCGCATTCACTTCTCCGCGTGGCAATGCCATCTTATCACGTACCGTCATCGAATTAATATGCACAGTATCACTGCTAATCCTCCTCGCAACACTGACCACCTCACTAGATCCTTTATGAACACCACAGGGCAAGGCCGTTTGCCGTATCATTCGCGACCTTGATTGCCTCATCCTCGTTCTCAACTCTGATAACCAAAATGTTGACCCGAACGAGCAATCAGTGTTATTGTTAAAGCCCATATCAAAATCCTTTCAGGTACTTATGCTTGTCCGTTGTCTCCACAACCTCAAACCTCATCCCCACCTCCAGCTCCCCCTCATTCCTCGGACAGCTCAACATCCCAAAGCAAGGCTTCCACTTGATCCCGTCATCGACCCTCCGATAACTAACTAATGTATCCCACGGCTCCTTCTTATCTTTCTCCGCCGTCTCGGGATCTACATTCGGGACCTGACATCTCGCGCATCGAGCTTGGACATCGATTTCCAGTGGTTTGTTTCCTCCACCTCCAAAGATGGATTGAGCGATTCCGGCTTTTTGTTCGCCATGAGGTAGGATCCGTACTGTTTTCCAGCTGTCTTCGCTCCATGCGCTTGGTAAGCCACCCTTGACAGTTGAATTTGGATCCAAGTCATCAGCTCCCTTGATGATGATATTTGGCCTGAACCTCTCGACCCCAATCTCAGCATGTCCCTTCTCCTTCAACCTCCCATTCAGCTCTCTCAAGCTAGCCTCGTTCGCAATAAGCAAGGGCATCACATCAGGAAAATTCGTGCTTTCTTCCCTCCCCAATATCCCCGGTGCGCCATTGCCCCTCACTATCCGCGGTGTGGGGCCTTTGTATACGAGCTTCACAGGTTTCGAGAAGAAAGTCGTGAAGATAGAGTTTATACTGTCAGAGTAGACGTAGCCGTCTGTTTCGTAGTCCCAGATGTTCACTTGGGCGATGGTGGTGTTGGAGGAGAGCCAGTTGAGGGACGGACGTGCAGGGATAGTGATGCTATGGGGTGTGGAGCGGATGGATATTGTGAGGTTTGCGGAGGTACTGTCGAGGGATGTGTCGATTAAAGTCATTTCGGATATGTCGCGGATGGTGATGAATCTATTGGGTATTAAGAGTCAGCTACGGGTTTGGTATCAGAAAGAGACGTTACATTGCTGCGTTCACAGCACTGATGGATTGGGGCGGGGAAAAGTCCTACTTCATAGTCTCAGCGTCGACAAACATCCACCTCCTATCCAGATCCAATCCCTGCCTCGTAAGGTATGATTTCTGGATTGAGATCCCGCGACATGATTTGATGGGGTATATGCGTAATTCTGTGATCTCGCTGGTGGCAGATGGGCCAGAAAATGGATTGAGTATATCGAGCATGATGTAGTCTGTTAATGTATACAAGATGATCGTGGTAGAACTATAAGAAGTTTGAGAAGTGGAGGATTGGAAGCAAGGGAGCTTCGAAGTTACCACCCAGTGACGTCTTGATGGCGGGGTAGCTTCTGTAAGCGACCTCGGCAATCCTGCACCCTTTTCCCCAATGGCAATTTGTGAGAGGCTGGTTTGTTTACTTAAATAATGGAATAATTATTTGGAGACTCAATTGAAGTTATGTACTCTGCCACAAAACTCCTACCTATATGACAGAGCTCGTTGTTGATCATTAAATACTGAAAACGCCAGGACTCCTGTTCGGATGGAATACCTCCAACCTCATCATCATGCGCTAGTCTTCGTCCACTCAACACCAAGCTGCATGTAATTCCAGCAAACTGTAATGTGTTAGCCGTTTTCACACTTGATATCCTTCATAGTTCAAGCTTCTCTAAGATTGAAAAAAAAAGAGGAAACAAGAGAAGAACTCACTCGACCATCCCAAATCATCCCTGAACATCCTCTTCAGATCCTCCTCCCCGCTCGTCGTCCCCGTTTCCGGCCCATAACAAACGGCCTTCTTCCCAACCGCGATCGCAATCATAGGCGGCACCTCGGGAAACTCAACAAATGTAGGCTCAGTTCCGAACCCCGCTTGTCGAATCACTTGGTGGATATTGGCAGCTGCGATATGTCCCATTGCCATGGCTGCACCGCAGCGTTTGATGCCGGACCAGGAAGCTATGTCGCCGGCTGCGAAATGGGCGCGTGAGCTGGGGGAGTCGGTGAGGATGTTCATGCTGAGTGTGTCACTTTGAGGGCGATTTTGAAAGTCAAGGGAGGGGTAACTTACGTATTGTGGATCTTCACAAAGCCATCGGCATCTAACGTCGACGCCGGCATGAACGTTGTCGTAGGCACACTCTTCGAAACTGCAAAGATGACTTTCCCAGCGAATATCTGCCTCCCACTCGATAAAGTGAGTCTGTACCGGGGACTCCCGTCCGTTGATTCAACCTCGATATTCCCCGTTACTCGTTCATTAACGATTAGTTCCACCCCGCCCTCTTGAAGCACTTCAGCACTACGATCTTTGAAGTCGTCGGGGAGTGGTTCGGAGGAAAGAAGCTTATCGCGGGAGTGAATGAGTGTTACTTTTTGCGTTGGTTCCACCATTTTAATCTCGGCAGCCATTTCAACGCCAACGGCACCTGTCTTAATTCAGATTTAATTCGATGCACCACAGAGGGGGAAGACATACCTCCACCAATAACGACCACACCCTCCTTCGCAGCTTTCACTTCCTCGATATGCTTCGCCGTCTCGGCCAGATACGCTTTCCTAGTCAAGGACTGTGGAACAGCTGGCCATTGTCTGCGTAACCCAGTCGCGATGACCAGGAAGTCGTAACTCTCATCATATTCTTTTCCTGATATCGTGTCTACTATCGTGGCGATCTTGTTCTCTGTGTCGACCCTTGAGGCACTCCCTTGTGTCCAGCTAAGACCAGGCGCTTTCAAGGCAGGCAAGTCTGCGAAACGGACCCAATTCTTGGAGGCGTACTCTGTTGAAGCGAGAGCGAGAGGCGAGCCGATGAGGTGATCTAGTGTTGACTCTTGTCAGTAAACTAGTTGTCCCAAGGCTGAGAAAACCTACAGTAACCGTCTCTCTCATCCACGATCTTGATCTCCACGGGTATCACAATGCCACTTCCTCCAACCGGATCATGCAGTCTCGCTCTCGCTTCTTTCCCATTACAGTAATCGTACAAATTCAACGCAGCCGAGAGTCCTGCATACGAGCCCCCAATGACCAAGACTTTGATGGGCGCCTCGATGGATCCCATATTTGCTTTTCCGTGTATGTAGCTTCGCCTCTGATTCGACGCCAAGGAGAAGTGCGAACTGGCAACTTTTGAGCCACAAAATCGAACACGGGACGAGGAGAGCAAATAATGACGAAACGGAAGCAGAAACGAAAGTACTTGTATCATTACAAGATGAGAAAAATGAAAGACAAGAGTGAGATATATCTACATACTTTACCGACGTGGGTCGTACCAAGATTGTTGTAACTGTGTTTATCGGATGCTATCTACGCGTGCTGGGCAAAAGGTACCTGGGGAAAGACGTGCCTCTCACCAACATGCAGGTACTGACCCAAGACGGGCAGGGAAGCCAAGAATCTTGCCTTGATGCTGCTCAAACATTCCAGGTCCTCCCATGTCGCGGCTGAAGAGTCACGACAGGAGTCCGTGAAAGACCGAAGACCAGCCAAGTAAGCTGTGTGCCGATGTCGCTGTTCCAGTCAACGATTCAGCACTCAAGGTAGTGACACAGAGTACGAGCCAGACAAAAACCCGAATTCTCCGTCCGACAGACCAAAGGTCTTCCCTTCCTTGGACTTGACCGGTGCCAGGCGATCCTTCGCTCGAGGTCCGATCGGGACGCAGCTCTCGGCTAGCCATCTGATTAGATGGCTTGGCATTATTATCTTTTTCTTCCCTTTCTCCAAGCCAGTTCAGTCCAGTCCCAATCAGGTATGGGATGCAGAAGTCAGGAGGAGATGCAGATGTAATGATGCCTGTACACGCAAGCTGAAGAATCTGATAGCGTCGGCCCCGCTATCGCAAGCTATCGCCAGGGTGTGCTCAGGGAAGCTCAGGCCACTCGATCCCTGCGAAGTGACTCTACAGGCTGCAGCACGCCATTGCGCGGGACGGATCAGATAACTTTTTTGGCTTTTTTTCCTCTGGGAAAATTTTTATCTTATCTGATCATCTTCCGAACATCGGATCTCACCGCTTTGGGCTTTTTCTATCCTAGCGGACACGGCATGGTTAGGTATGAGATGATCAGTTGAAGGTATGGAAGTCAGTGGCTTGGTGGATAATCGGTCATGTTTGGAATCTGTTCTCTCTTGCCTCCGGTGATGGCCAAGAGGCTTCAAGACAATACACCACTTATTCTGGACGGCATGTCACAGAGGAGATCCAGCTTGGCTTTGCTGCTGTCCGAGTACGAATGGCCACTGATCATTGGAAGATTCGGAATAATGAAGTCAGATGGGGCGATCCAGCAATTCCAAACTGACGCAACGGCAGACGGAAATGGCAACTAGAGCTGATCAAAACATTCCGAGCTACCCACCTTCCTCAAATTCCTTCCTCTCTTCCTCGGCAAGATGGAAGAGAAGCTACCTTGTCTTAGTGGGTCATATCAAGAGACAAGGGTTCTTTAGTCCCTTCCACCTTAAGCTTGCGTGCCGGATCCATGATCCAGAATGCCATGCTCTTCAGGACCCGGGGACTAAGTGACCAAAGTACCTGCATGTCACAATTCTTGTAGGCTATCATCTTCAGATAGGGACAGTCCAACAGAAATACCAACTCTTCGCTATCTTTGAGACCCGGGAGTTTGGTTGAGTTCTGCCCGTCTCATATATCTCCTCGCGGAGCCAGTTTTTACAATGTCTTCTCAAAATATTTCACTTCAGCGTCTCCAGCAAACGACACAACATCTTGCCGGGACTTTATCACAGAATTCAGATTTAAAAGTCTCTCTTGTTCATGGTGAACTTGACCCACCACTGAGGGATCTCACGTTAGGAAGTCTTCTTGACGAACAAACTTCTATCCGAGGAGATAAAGAATGTCTTGTTGTAGCACATACAGAAACGCGATGGACGTACTCGGAACTTCAGAGGCAGAGCAGAACTCTCGCCAAGGGAATGTTGGCACTGGGATTGAAGAGAGGTGATAGAATCGGTATTTTGGCCAGTAATTGTGAGGAATATGTTGCGACTTTCTTTGCTGCGGGGTATATCGGGTGTATTTTGGTGGTGTTGAATGCGACGTATACTGCTGAGGAAGCGATACATGCATTACAACATTCTGGTGAGCTCGTTTGTCATTGATTTTCTGGAACTGGCTTAGGCTGACTGGCAATCAGGATGCAAATTATTATTCATCGAAGAGAAATACGGACGGCATTCCAATGCAGAGCTTCTCAGCCAGCTAAGCGACGACCCAGCCCAAACGCCAGATCTCAAAACAATCGCCACGGTTCATGGAACTTTCGAGGATTTCAAAACGTACTCAGATATTAAGGATAGTGTCAGCTCCGGAGTTTCAGATGAGAGTTTCGATATTGCTACAGGACTGGTACATCCTCACGATGTGTGCAATCTACAATACACGAGTGGCTCAACGGGTCATCCAAAAGCTGCAATGTTGACGCACCAGTAAGTCTCAACTGTGCCATTGGGGTCTCTCACACGAAAGTCAAAGAATCAGACTCTGACACCTAAGTCAGTAACTTAATCAACAACGCCCGCTTCATCGGCCACCGCATGTCTTTCACCTCCGCTGACGTTCTCTGCTGTCCACCCCCTCTCTTCCACTGCTTCGGCCTCGTCCTCGGCCTCCTCACCTGCCTCACCCACGGCTCAACCATCATAATCCCCTCACCAACCTTCTCCGCCCCCGCAGTCCTCTCCGTCCTCTCCACCGAGAACGTCACAGCTCTCCACGGGGTCCCTGCCATGTTCGAAGAATTCCTCTCTCTCCCTCGAGCTGCATCATTCTCCTGTCCAAATCTCCGCACAGGAATCATAGCTGGTGCGCCGGTCCCGAAACCACTAATGGAGAGACTATTCAAGGAGCTGAATATGACGGAATATACATCCAGTTACGGCCTCACGGAAGCGAGTCCGACTTGTTTCAATGCTACGACATCAACGAGTATTGAGCGGAGATTGAATAGTGTAGGGAAAGTGATGCCGCACATGCATGCTAAGATCGTAGGACGAGACGGACAGATTGTCCCGATTGGACAGAGAGGAGAGCTATGTATGGCGGGATATAGTTTGCAGAAGGGATACTGGCAGAATGAGGAGAAGACGAGGGAGTGTATGGTGAAGGATGAGAGTGGTGTGCTTTGGTTGCACACGGGTGATGAGGCGGTGTTTGATAAGGAGGGGTATTGTACTATCACGGGGAGGTTTAAGGATATTATTATTCGAGGTATGTTGACTCTCATTCTCCTCAATAATGCGCTCTGATGATTTAACTAACGGTTTCACAAACAGGAGGCGAAAACATCTACCCCATCGAAATCGAGTCTCGCCTCACCTCCCACCCTTCAGGCCACATCCTCCGCTCTGCAGTCGTCGGCATCCCACACCCCAAATACGGCGAAATCGTCGTAGCATTTCTCCTTCCATCTCATTTCTCACATTGGCTCGACCGTCCCACGGACGAAGAATTGCGTGGCTGGGTGAGGCAGGCGTTGGGATGGCACAAGGCGCCGGTACATGTGTTTTGGTTTGGGGATGAGGAGGTGGGTATGGAGGAGGTGCCGCAGACGGGGAGTGGGAAAGTGAAAAAGCATGTTTTACGCAAGGTCGGGGAGGAGATTGTGAAGGGGTTGAGGGAGAGGGAGAGGGTGGTGCGGGTGGAAGAGAAGAGAGGGGGAAAGAGGGAGGTGGTTATGGGGGAGATTGCGGAGGAGGAACAGACTTTTTAGACAAGAATTTGCGGATAGAGAGAATATAAATCAGTAGAATTTGTTGAGATCATGTAAATACTGTCATGTTTTGTTTCCGTAAGGCTTGATTCTGAGCTCATCAGGGTTTGTTTATATTTTCGCTTGGCAAAACAAAGATGCGATTTCACGGCTGTCAACTGTTCAAATAACCATAATTGACCATTTTGTAATGATATTTTCGTTCGTCACTTCGGTTGACATATTTTTGCTGCAATCATACAAAAGCCTAGAGCCTTCCCCCAGAGTAAGCCACGCAACATTCACACAATCAGTCGCCCTCCTCACAACCCCAGCATTTGCTGCGCCGCTCTACTACAGGTCGTCGATCACAAGTACCGGCCAAGCTTTAATACTCTCATCGGCTCCATGCCAGGAGTTGGCGCCAAGATGGTGTAGTTTAGGTTTATTCGAACGTCGCCGTGTCTGATCATCCGATCGTAGCCTCGTTCGGTTGCGCTGCCAACTACCTTCCTTTCCAGCCTACCCAAAGTCCTCGTTCCGCTTTCATACAAGCCAGCGACAGATCATACTGGTTTACCAAAAGCATATGTCTTCCAGATGAGATGCTCTACCGCATCCAAAGTGTCGTCTTCGTAGAAAGCAGCGAAGAAGCAGGTGCATTGGATTGGCTTTGCGCCTCAGATTCCGTAGTGCGTATGGGCATTGAAGGCGAAGTAGACTTCTGTGAACTGGAAGCTTGATTTGAAGACTTTTGGGTTGGGATTGTAGCATTTGGTGGCTGGAAAAAGTTGGCGACGGACTTGTGAGCCGGAACCTTGCCTGTGAGGAGGGCGTAGGAGAATAGGTCCATTTCGTGGGCTTTGTGGGCTTGTTGTTTTGGGGGCTGGTGAGTGCGGGAAATATGGTCAATGGTGTACAAGAAGTAGATATGTCAGTTAAGATTAGTTTGTGAATCAAAAATATTTAGAAGTCGTTTACTTGAATAGGTGATGGAAAGAGAGGCGAGTAACAAACTTCGCAGATGAGACTATTATTTTGTTGTCATGCTGCAGAAATCTGCCTTCAGGTTTTGCTCACGAGGTATCGTCGCTCGCAGCTATTCTGCATCTCAAAGCGGGGTCGCACACTTGCCCCCTGCACCTCATAATGTGCAAAGAGAAGGTTTCTGGTATGATGTGTGCAGATCGCCTCGCATGAACCTCCCAATTGACCTGAACCCAATGCTACTCGCTGGATTCCATATCCAGATAACTTTCCGTTCCATGCGAGCAGTAGCCGCTGCAAGCTTTCGTCACAGTAGCATTTCAAGGGATATTTGGGCCGCCAGCAATCTTTAGATTTCAATGGAAGACGATTTACATACTCGACCAGTTGGCAGTCCTACGCACACTTCCCAGGGCATTCGATCCAGGATCTTCAGATCGATCAACATGAAGAACATCTAGACTTTCCCACAAAGAAATGCGTGGGAGACTACTGCGTGGGCTAGCCTGGTGCCCCCACGGCACTGACTCGTGGCATTCACGAGCAAATCGTTCGCAGGAGACCCTTCACACAGCATCGCACTTATGACTTAGCTGCATAGCTTGTAATTACCATGTCGTCAAGGCATGTCTACCATCGCATACGCAGTTGTATTACTGGGATCAACACTGAGAATGAATTGGCAGGCCTGGCTGCTCATACCAGAAAGTCTGCCACGAAATGAGTACTTTTCTCTCTTCATTTTCAAAGATATCTTCACCCGATATCGGGAGTAGCCACAATAGAAGAACGTCACTTCTGAAACATTCTCTTACATAAAAACATAAGGCGAAGCAGGAACAAAAGACAGGCTCGTCCCGTCATCCGCCTCGTCCTCAATCCCACCCCATCAGATTAGATTGCTACCCCACCTTCCACAAATAGCCAAGTAGGAAAGAGAAGTGGACGGAGAGGGGTGTGTGGAGGCAAGGTTGATTGGATTAGAGTTAGAGTTATCAGATCGAGCTTACTGTAAGCGAGCAGGATGGAAGCGAGCGAAATAGCGCAGCCAGGCGAAAATTTTGCCTCTCGAAAAACAAACCACACCAAATCATAACAGCACATTCTAATATGCTATGCAGCGCTTCGGGCACATGTGTGAAGTCTTTGGTTTTCCGTCCTGCATGCGCAACGGACGGGCATGTGGTGGCTGGTGTGGGATTGAGGGTTGAAATCGAGGATTATTGACGCTTGAAGCGGCACCAACTGCTGCCCTAACAATAAACATTCGACATGTGCAGATACCCCTGTTTAAGATGAACCAACACACAACGGTCGATCGTCCCCTCCCGAGAAGGGTCCGGACACACCCACTCACACCATTTCTACTTGGAAGTTGATTGCCTTACCAGGTGATCAAAAGCCGAGGTCACGTTTCTGCAGCTGTCCCGTCCTGCTGCAACCCCCAAGCAACTGCCAGCGGTTCATGGCGCTTGCGATTTCTGTGCTATTGCGTTATACTCTTTATCCATATCCTGTAGATATTGTCGTCATCTATCATTGTGTCTCGCTACGTCGTCTGCATCGGCAAGTATTTATTATCGCAGTGAGAGGGAAGAGATTTTCACGATGGATGATGCCAACGCGCTAAACATCGAGGGTCAGTACCCTAGCGTCTTGACAACCTCGGGTCACATCGCTGACACTGTTGAACCCCAAGGCAAGGATAGCTACATGAACAGCGATAGCATCGACGAACGCAGTGACTACTCCAGCAATACAGAAGATCAGACCGAAGCTCAGCAACAGCGAGACTGGAATCAACACCCCACTCTTGCCTCCAACAGCACGTTTTTCCCCTCGCGCCATCACATGACAGACCCCCAGGCCAGATTCCGGCTCACTCTCCCCACCGACGAGATGGAAACCGACCAGAACCCCAGTGACGATCCAGCGTACGACCCAGTCCAGATACCCATCCAGAAGTCCTGCCGCTCGACGGAGCCAGCAGATATGAGCGACATGCTGCTGCTGGCATGGGTGCTCCTCATGCGCAGATATAACGGTGACCACGAAATCCACTTCTCGTGGGGTTACACAGAGGGTGGTGCAGGTACCGTCTCCACTGGATTGATAGGTGTTCAGAGAGATTGCCGGGTGGCGGATGTATTGGAGAGTATCAGGCTGTTGCGGGATCAGAGTCCGTTTTCGGTAGATTACGTGACTGAGACGAGCGAGAGTTATATCTATTTCAACAATGCTTCGCTAACATCGAATGGGAGATCAAACGTAAGTTATTTCTTCCCTAAATTGGATACGATTCGAAGCTGATCATTGATAGTGGACATACCGTATTGAAGTTCGAGAATGCGAGAGTCTCGAATGTGACCAAACACTCTGGCTAAAACCATCCTGGGATCACCGAGTAATGGGAAAACCGCTAGCCGATGCTCTACTCTCTTCCTTCAAGGGGATCCTGCGAGCTGTCTTTTCAGATCCCAATCAACTTGTTGCAGAAATCCTAGGCATGAACGAGCAAGACGTTGAGGTGTTGAGACCAGACTTGTCGAGGACGTCATCCTATTCGTCGTTCAAGTCTTCAGAATCACAGAGCCGGCATATGAGTGTCGGGATCGAGGCCTGACTTGCTGAGGAAGTACCCGATGTGGAAACATCGGTAGGCGGTTCTCAGCTTCCTTCAAGCAAAGAACACTGAGCGAGAAGCTGGCGGCATTGGTCTCATTATCATTTCATATACCGATGCATGCTGAAGCTATGCAGCAATTTCTCTTTAGCGTTCCCAGAAGGACTCCAAGTCTGTGGAGATGGGATGAAAAGCAGTGTGACTGGGGTTCAGAAGGTTGCGGAAGTGTCAGCTCAACCAAAGTCGAGTCGAGCATGTGTCAGGCGGGGAGTGGCGATGATATGGAGGGATGGGGACGTTGGACAGCAATGCACTTTCCAAAACAAAGGTCTAGAAGACTTTCTACAACGGGGATTTTGAGTGATGCTATATATTTGATACCTTTGTTTATATCACGCAATTCAATTATGTCAGCCTTAACATGAAGACTAATGGAATTAAAATGAGGAAATGTTTATTTTGATGAAAGGAAGTGACAGGTTCTAGATACAACTGGAATCCCCATCAATATAAATGCAGCATCCTGTTACGCCTCTTCAAAATCCGATTGTACCGAACTTCAGACCTTAAGTACCGACAAAAACAAAATCACAACTTGGCTCGGACCTGCTGTTCAACGCTCTCCCTCCCGAACATTGACTGCACCAGCTCGCCACCACGAACCGCCAAGATAGACAGAAGGGTATCACTCAACTGCAGAAAAATTTAGCACTCCATTGACACACTGGGAAGAAGATGAACTTACACCATGCGTACTCTCATTGCAACCTTGCAACCAAACACCGGCATTGGAAGCAACCTTGTGTTCATCAAACGCAATCTTGTAATCTCTCCTAACAGGGAATTTCTTCAACTCCCTCGCCGTATCCGTCAAGAGCCCTCTCGTCTTAATCAACATCCTCTCATGCGCATTCCTCTCATACCCGGTTGCAACAAACACAGCATCAACAAGCAGATCCTCCTTCCCCTCCGGCGTCGCATCCTCAACAACTTTGCCAAATGTCAAGAGCAGCTTCCCATCCACCTCCTTCGACCTCACTACCTTCCTGTTCGTCTTCAACCTGACTTGCCAATCGCGCTCATCTTCACTCTTCAGTCTTTGCATGTAAAATCGTTCATACAAATGCTCCAAGAGACCCAATCTCACAACACCGTAGTTCGTCGCTTTATCGGCCTTGATTCTCTGCTCTCGCAGCGCCGCACCCTCGGCAAAAATACCATCCACACGATCCGGGTCAAAAATCTCATTCACGAACGGCGAATCGTCACTAGGTCTCAGCGCGGTTCCCTTGATTACCAGAGTCACCTTCGCGTTGGGATATCTTGCGGGCAAATCATTAAAGATCTCTGCAGCGGACTGTCCATTTCCGATTACGGCGATGTTGTAGGCTTTGTTCTGGTCTGGCAGTGTTTGGGCGACTTGTTGTGAGTATTTTGAGGAGTGAACGACCTTTGAGTCGAATTGTGGGAGTTCTGCGGGGATTTTGCCCTTTCCACCTACGGCGATCACGACGTGGCGAGCTAATCTGGTGCTGAGTTCTCCGGTGACGATGTCTCTTGCGACGACTCTGAATTGTGCGACTTTGCCATTCCTCAGAGTGAGAACTGGTGATACTTCAACGACTTCCTGGCCATAGCTCACGCGATCTTCGAAGTGGCTTGCGCACCACCGGAGGTAGTCCTCGTATTCGAGTCGGCTGGGGAGAAAAGTATCTAGGTTGATGAAAGTGTTGAGGCGGTTCTTGGAGAAGAGGTAGTTGATGAATGTGAACTTTGAGCGGGGGTTTCGTGGTGTAGCGAGATCTTTGAGGAAGGAGATTTGCATCTTTGCTCCTGGGAGTTGCATGCCTGAGTGCCATGCGAACTGGGATTGACGCTCAAGGAAGGATACCTTGGGCGAGGTGGGAGCATCTTCGAGGGCGATGGCGATTGCGAGGGAGGCTGGTCCGAATCCGATACAGATTAAGTCATCTACTGATGTCTGTGGTGTTGCCTTCATTGGCTTGGATCTAAGTATTGTGTCAGTTCTTTTGTTCTTGACCATAAGGGAGGATCGCGCATTCTCATATCGACTTACATTTGCTCGTTCTGACTCCATGCAAGCTCACTCCCGATTTCTTGTGTACTTGAAGCCATTATGAATTATCTGTTTGATTGTAATCGTTGTGAGATTGTTGCGTCCCGACAGTCTTGTATCGACCCGTCTGTCCGGTCCTTTTCGTGACTGATAGTGGGGCAAATCAGAACGAACTTTTCGTAGAGCCGCTCATCCAATTGGCATCTGTAGACTCTTAGCATTCCAGTTCCCTTCTGACTTATGACCAACTGGCCCCTAAAAAAGAAATTGTAGGAATCCGTTCCAAGAAGCAAAATAATGTCCTGGAACAGAAAGAATCTGCAGCCAAGGAACATCGTTTTGGACAGCAAAGAAACTCTAAACCGGAGCTTCCCAGGCTTGGTTGTCTCATCCTCATAGTATTTCTCCAGTGGCAAAAAGGTAGTGACATACTCAACACAAGATTTGAGGCGCCAATGGTGCGTTTCTCCCCAAAGCAAACTGCACTTATTCGGAACCGAGTCGATCGAGTATGGAGGGTCAGAGCTGATTGTGAAAGACAGCTTTTCGGAAGAGGGCAAGATTGAGACTGCTCGACAACAATGTGTACGTGCAGTTGTCAGAAAGCAACCTCAGGGAAGAAAATAAGTAGCTTGTCACCAGTTGCAAAGTGGAGTGGTCCCGATGTCTGACAACTTCGACTTTCTACAAAGACCAGTGCTAGGATGAGATCCTTGTCATCCCCTTGTACTTACGAGTAGCTGTATCCTAGTCATGCAGGGCTTGCCGACGACGTGGATATAGCCACCAGATACCCTGCTCAGACTCCCTCCTTCGTTGATCATCGTCTTCAGAAATCCACTTCTAAATAGTGTAAAAGAAATTCCAGCTCTGTCCCTACATTTTCCGACTGCCTGTAGTCGACGCTGCGCCTGTAAGATTCGAGGAACAGATCTAGTTGTCACACCAAGCTGTCAACAAGTGGGGGGACAATCCAGGCGCCCATTAGATGCAGATCTCAAAAGGGAATGTGAAGCTGTCCCGCCCAATAGAGTTTCGATGTCTCTCGGAGGAGGAACTAGTGTGGCCGCTAGAAATTTATCAGATCATCGAAAGATTAGATTATTTCTCGGCTCGCCCTTGGTCGAATTACCCCTCCATCTCCACTTTTGATGGGCCCATCCGCTGCTTTATGCCCATAACCGAGTCAATCCCCCTCACGGCACACACTAGAACAAGCAACACGGCTCGGGAACGGGTCGGTATTACTTCTTCAAGCATTTGTTCAGCATCTTGCTTGCGCCTTTGCCGCAAGATGCACCGTGACAAAGGTTCACACAAAAAAAAGTAAGGTAACATCTACCATTCCCATCAACCACAACAGTCTTTCTAATTTCTCTTGATAAAAGTGTGAATTGTGGCGGATGACCCTTTTAGGTAGGTGCTGGCCTCGACGTGGCACCGGCTGATTGTTTCTGCTTGCATTACCGACGGAACACGGCCGATGTCGTGCTACATTACAAGGGATAATATGGACGGCGCATACGGAGCATGGCAGGCGTGGTTAGACAAGCAAAAAACATGCATGCAAAGGCGGGGCGTTGGGCTACAGGTGATTAAGTGTATGTGGGAAAGTGGGGAGAGAAGACTTTTTTCTCCTCCCTTATCTTATTTAATCAGATCATCAAAAGTGGACACCGAGAATTCCGACGGGCTTGGTCCCTGCTTGGGGCTTGGCCGGGGCAGGATATGGACGGCAAAGTGAGAAAGGAGGGCATTGAAGATTTTCTGAGCTGTAGGCTTTCAAAGACCTCTGAGCCGTTCATGCAGATGTCAATGCTGCTGCTTGACCCAGGTAGTGCGAGGAGCCCGAAAGGCATTCCTGGATCATTGGAAACAGTCTTGTGGAATCCGGCGTCAAATTTGGTTGTTAAAAAGGGTTTAAAACTTCTATTCCCAACGATTCAGATCATTCCGCATCCAAGATATTATCTTTCCAGAGTAGGTTAACAAAATTACTCGAGAGTAATCAATCTTAAAATTGCTCTCTCAGATCGCAAAGATATAGAGCGGACCGACCAAAGACCATGACGAATACTGTGTCTTGCAGGTAATCTAGAAATGGAAGGTGCTGAACAGGTCTTTCGGAATTCCCTGCCTTTCGCAGATAGTGGCTTTCTAGGTTCTAGATTTAGTCATAGGATTGCCATCAGGACTTGAGAGAAGGTCCAGGATCTTAAGGCAAGTTCTAAGTCATGTCCATCTCAATGGTTTTGGTTCTTTACTGCTTAGTCCACCATTTGGTACACCCAAAAGTTCACAAAATTTAGCTTTTGTTCTGGACTGCCTTGTGGCCCTGTGGATCTAACGCACTTTTCCAATTTCGTTCTGAATGAATTATTCAAGCAAGGAGGATCTACCGCCAGAACCATGTTGCCCTCATTCTTAGTGTCTCTGGTCTTCGTATCAAGGTCTAGGGAGGGAATGGTGAAGCACTCCAGTAACTTAAATGTTTTTCCTTCTTCGAAGCAACCCAGATAATAATGTACAGCAGGGATATACTGTACCAAGGACGGAAAGCAAGACTTTCCCAAGAGCCTGAATATGCTTGGCCTTTGATTAACATACCCACCATGGGAAGGTTCCTCCGATCTCGGCACTTATTCTTCGAGGTCCATTATCACATGAACGTTTCCATCATTGGCAACAATCTAAGTCGATAACAAAGTGATACATTGTGTCCACTCAGGACGGGAGGCAAAGAGGGCATCCGTTCACAAATTTGAAGTGACCACCCCAAGCAGAATCGTAAATGCCACACCTCAGAAATTGAAAGAAAAAAGGAGGCATGCACGGAAGAGCGAAGAAAATCTTTTCATCATGCTGCATCCTAGATCGAAGGAGGAAAGCCGGAGTTGATCCTGGTTCATGCATACAGACTTCAGGGTTTGCAAATTCCCCCCGCTTGAGTAAGGTCGTCTGATAAGATGGATCTGATTAGATTTCTGTGCCGACCGTGCGTAAGCGTTGCAGGGATCGTGGAGGGACGGCACAGATGCCTTGGCCATTTGCTCGTGAAAGATATGATTAGATCGTCGAAAGTGATTCGATGCGAGTCCTCCGTTACCCTCTGATCTCTGTTGGCATTTTCTTGTCTGATTCATTCCGTGGCTTGGAAAGCGGCATGTTTCGGTTTGAGCAGTTAATCTTAGCTCATCACTTTGGAAGCCATCGCGTTTTCCCGCCCACTCAAGGTTGCTTTTTGGTGGCAACTACCGTCTTGTCATCTGGTGATATTCAGAGAATCATGCTGGCCGCTGTAAAAAAAATCTTGCTTCGCCCTGTGTGCCGTATGTGAGGGCAACGATTCCTGAGGTCAGAGCCGGGAACCAGGGTCAAGTATTGCTCGATGTCGAGGCCGGAAATGCTGCGAAGAACAATTAGTGGGCCTTCTATCCCGCGAACTTTTTCTGGCGTTCAGTTCTCACTGGGTGAAATGACAAAAGGTCTCATGCCGCAGACTCTTTGCCTTTGTCGGAACCAGGAAACTAGTCGAGGTTGCTGGCAGCCGGAGGAGAATATGCAAACTGTTATACTACAGTGGCATAAGATATCTAAATCTAATATTCCTGGAGATGTGTAAACCATTTCGAATTTTCTGATCTCTTCGAGCGCGATTTCCTGCTCTTCGAATTCTTGTGGTATTTTGTTTGGCCCCCTCTACCCGATAATTAAGCGACCGTTTTAACCGGCGGCCGCACCAAGCTGCCCTCACGAAATACTTCACGTACGTAGGCAATAATGAGTATTTCCACCAGCGTTCATTCATACTTTCGTCTAGTCAAACGTGACTGTTGACAATCAATTTGGGATAGAAAACTGCAGAACATTCGGGTCAATCAGAAAGCTGGAAACGGGAGATTTGCATTACTGGGTGAAGTCAGCCCCACCCCACCTTCAGCCACCATTTTCCCCCATTAATCTCCACTGCATTTCTCCACGGTATCTTGAGATGGAGAACCTTGGCTCTCAGAAGTCACAAGTGTAAGAGGCTCTGCAGGCAATATTACAAGAAAGCGTCGATGCAGGAGTCCCCGGGATTGTCGCAGCGATCAGTTCCTCCAAAGGTCTTCTCTGGTCATCCTCCGCCGGATACTCAGACATAGAAACGGGAAAGGCCATCGACACAAACCACGTATTCGGTATAGGCAGCATCACGAAAGTCTTTGTTGCAGTAGTGATCTTCCAACTCATAGAAGAGGGAAAGCTCACCCTTTCAACCAAACTTGGGGATATCCTCACGCCAGAGATCCTGGATGGGATCGCAAATGCATCAGACGCTACGATTGACAACTTGCTCAATCATACATCTGGTGTGGAGAGTTGGGAAGATGACCCGGTTTGGAGAAGGGAAGGTCGAGGCCGTGATCTAGATCCAGCAAGGATCTGGGGAAAGCCGGATACGCTCAAATATGTTCGTCGGCCGAACCCATCAGGACCAAAACCTGGAGACTGGGATTATTCGAACACGGGATACACCTTACTTGGTCTGGTTATTGAGAAAATCACAAGCAATACAGCCGAAAGTGAGATTCGACGCAGGATCCTGGAGCCCTTGGATATGAAAAGCACCTATTTTGAAGGGTTTGAGGAGACTGGAGAAAGACCTGTAACTAGTCGCTATCACTGGGCGACAGAAACATTTATCGAGACGGCTGGGATATGTCCAACTTTCACAAAACCAACAGGTTACCTCATAAATGTATCAGCTTCCAATCTCTCTGTCGAATGGACAGCTGGTGGAATAGTGTCGTCAGCTTCTGACCTCCTGAAGTTTCTCATTAATCTAAGAGATGACCGCTTGATATCTGCCTCCTCTCTCGAATCAATGAAAAGGTGGCGATTGGTGGAGGGAGTTACTGAACAGGGTCATGGTATTTTCAGATGGCCAAGTCAGAAAGGGTATGGGACTTGGATCGGTCATCATGGAGGCGTGCTGGGTTTTACGGCCTCATTATGGTGGAAGGAAGAGGGTGATGTAGCTGTTTGTCTGTTGAGTAATGTGGGGACTATGCATTGCGGAACAGTACCATCAAGCTCTGGTGCAGTATTTAGCAGAAGCGAATTCTTGAAACTTGCCACTGAGTTGTCAGAGCATGGTCAGTAAGATGTAGACGAGAACTTGTACAATAGGCATTTTGGGTTGGGGGGGGGGGGGGGGGGGGGGGGGGGGGGGGGGGGGAGGGGTCAGAGAGTAGATCAATACAAGCAAGACATGATTTAAGAGAAGTCATAGTCGGCGACGAGTATTCCAGAAGGTGCAAGCGATGTTGTGGTATCTCATTCTACATCCTTTGAAAATGCATCCGTATTTAGAGCACAGAACGTTCCTTTTGCGAATCTCATTTGTCATACAAATGCAATAAAAAAAATATCAGATGATACAGCAGAACAAGCATTCTGAGTCTAGTCCTGGAAACTACTTGATCAATCTCCATCGTTGGAACCTTCCCTTGCGCCTTTCGCGAGCTCTCCCCTTTCGCTTTCCTTCGCGGCCCTTACGTCCCTCCTCTCCTTCGGACCCAAGTGACGTCCGATTGTCAACAATACGGCCATTTCATGCTTCTTGTTAAGATTCAATGTATCCACTTCAAGTTACCTAACGCTATGATCTAGGCTGTCCTTCATCCACAAGAGCGCTTTCTTGAAGGATGCCTTTGCGAAATTATCAACCCACTGCACATTCTCCTTCTAGTTGAACATGCCTAGAAAGAACTCTTCGAGTTGGTCGTCCTACACGTAGCCGTGGCAAAGATTTTGGAGCGTATTGAGCCAGATTACCCTGCTTCTCGCTTCATATATGCGTTCTGACCTTGCCATCCGGTGAATTGACCTTGGCTGGTAGGGGTTCGGCATGCGGATTGGTCCAGTAGGGGGCAGAAGCCGAGCAGCAAGTACAATCCCAAAACGGTTGAGATAGTTGTATTTGGGCCATCTCGTTGTCAGGGACATCCACTCTCTGGTTCTTTTTTGCTAAGGAAGCGAGCGAATCTGTCGCCTTGGATTCGGCAATCAAAAATATAGAGAGGATATCAAAGCGACGACACAGAGAGCAGTTCTGCTATAAAGAATATGCGTATTGAGGCTAGCCCACATGTGAGCCAAAGGGAGTATTGGCAGTGAGTGGGCACAGTTTGAATCGGTCGCGACGTTGGCATGGCGTAGGACGCAGACCCGTAGCTTTCGAACCTGAGCAGTTCGCTTCCATGACTTATGATAGCTTCCCGGTCTACTGCGGCGGCATGATTCTTTGTACTTCTGATTCGAGATCTAATATTACTTGGGCTGACCTCACCGAACGTCGAGGCCGGTTCTGGGGATTTTGGAGGGCTGTCCAGAGGTATAATCACTTTCATCCGGTGAGTCTTCTTCCTCCACATATTGAGGGGTTGCATCAACGGGGGTCGAGTGACGTGCTGTAAATGTGTTGCTCGTTTTGCTGCGGGTATACAAAGACATAAAGAATACCGAGAGTATAGTAAAGGCTAGAAGCAGAAATGGCTGACTGGTCTTCTTTGATGTAATCTACGTTTTCGAAAATTCGTGTGCTATCTTGTGTATATTACCTTTTCCAGATTGGCCGTTGAATGCTTCATTGACCTTGCACGGCTTTGAAGGCAGCTAGCAGATGATGAAACAGTTGCGCCGACTTTCACCCCTCCCAGATGGAAAGAACGTCGCTGCATGGTCCCTCTTCAACTCTTCGCAGCCAAAGACATGTCAGATTCAACAGAACCGGTTGAGTGACTCTGAGATCTAGTATTGAAGGCACGGAAGCCGTGTAGGTCGCCCGATTCTTTGACATGAGCATGTTGAATCGTTGAGTAATCCACGACTTAATATGCACTAAAGAACAAATTGACTCCACAGCTGGATGACAGTTACGAAGAGCTCATGATTTCATTTCTTGCATCAGCGGCTTTACCATGCTTGGAGAGCAGTTCTTTACTTCTCGGAGGACAATGATTTGTTGTCCAATGACGAAATGACTGCGAATATCTACTTCACACCTTGTCAGGACGTGAAAGACTTTCGACGACGTCCCATAGCTAGCTGATTCCTCCTGATGGTAACAAGTCCGACTGGGATGACTGCTCATGCTATGGCTCACGAGTCACGACAATGTGCTCCGAACTAAAGCAACTGTCTTCTCAGCAAGCAATTGCGCCTCAGGCGGAAATCTGGCGCTGATGTAATTGTACTTCTGGTCCTCAACCACAAACCTGCTTTTCTGTTAGCTCCACTCCTTTCGGGACCCGGAATACTCACGGGCTCATTCTCAAGCTATTCTTATACTGCTTATCCGGATCATCTAGGCATTTCCGGACCTAACCACATATTAAATCCATGCCATCAAAACACCAACCCCCCCGCTCCGAATTATCCCACATACCGACATCTCAACATCATCACTCCCCGCCCCATAAGTCTTATGATGATCCCCCAAAAACAGCCTCGTCCCCCAAAACGCAGCCTGTTCGAACCTAGCAGGCAAAGCCGTAGTCATACACTCATGTATCACACTCCTCCTCCCACCATCATCATCTACAAGTTTCGTCTCCGACAACACCATGACACCATGACACACCGCGGCAACAGACTTCTTGCTTGGCTTTACCGTGGCGGGGAAGTACGCCGCTAGGAGTTTGTGCATGATAGGAGAGTCGATGAGCTGGCTGACGCTCTTGTCGTGGCCGCCGGGGAGGAAGATGAGGTTGTAGGGGTCGAGTGTGAAGGTTGGGGAGGACCAGGTGAGGGGGTGGAGGAATGAGGGGGTGGTGGTCATTTGGTTGTATGCGTGGATGGCGGGTTGGGTTGCGCCCTGTGGGGGGATTGGGGTTGTGAGTATTGGTACGGCTCAGCTATGGATGTTTGTTTGAGGGGGTGGGGCTTTGAGTGTGCGTACGAGGAGCTTTTGGGTTATTCCCTTGAGCATTTTTGTGTCGCATTCGGGCGTCTTGCCATTTTCGGTTGCGAAGGAGACTTCGAAGCCGGCTTCTTTGAAAGCTGTGTATGGGATTGCGGTCTCTGTTTTTGTTGATTATCAGTCATTGATCAGCGATTGGGGGGAATGAGAGCTGTGTACCTGTTGGGTCGTGTCCATAATCAGACATAGGTATAAGGACTTTGGCGGTGACCATTTTGAGAGATGTCGTTCTGGCTGGGATGTACAGATTACGAGATTTGGCGGAGAAGAGAGATATCAAGGTTCAGGACACTGAAATATACCAAATATCCAACCATCACAGCAGCATGATATCATTGATGTTCAGCTCCAGCACTAGCCTCGGCTCGTCCAACATCTGACTTGCGCAGCTAGCTTGTTTAGCGACCGTAGTAAATCGATCTATCATTTTCAGATTCTCGGGGAGCAACCCATCAATGACACAAGTCCTTGTTTACATGTTCTTCGCTTATTCTCCCAGAAAGCACAATTTGGACGACGAGTTAGATATGAGCAGATTAAAGGCTTGCTAACTCGGATATCTCCGAATCTACATCTCCCTCCAAATATTACAGCCAACATACAATCATCTCCCTCTTCCTCATGCCATCTCCAACTTAGGACCTTTAGTCTCCATCTTAAACTTAACAAACAAATCATGTCTCGCCCACCAGCTCCTCATACGCTTGCCAAAGATATATACCGGAATAGCTAGCAATGACAATGCAATCGATGTGCCTCCGAAGACAAACATGATCTCTTCAGGACCTTTTGCAGCAACCCAGTCATTTGCGAAAGATGAAAGGCCGTAGAACATGAAATTCTGGTCTGGTCAGTCTGGATAATTGAGATTGAGGAAGAGTGGAAATCGTACCTTGAATAGCATATTCATGATGAATATCTCGTTGCTTTGATTTCGGAAGGCGTCAAGACCATATGCGAGCGTGGCAAAGATACCGATCAATACACCCACCATCATCACACCTTGCAAGAAGGCGCACAAGATGGCATTTGCACCGATTGCCATGGTATATCCAAAGAGGAACATTCCAAGGCCCTGATAAATGTGTCAGAAAGGCTCAAGATGTGCAGCTGACTAGACTTACGCAGAATACGCATGCCAAACTCATCAGAACGAGACGGAACTCAGGCTCACTAAGATGAATGTCAGTACAAGACACACATACATTCCGGAGATACTTACTAGACTCCCTTGTTCCTCTTTCCCATATACTTAATAATAGGATCGCTTGCACAACCAACAAAGATCGACCCAATCATACCACCAACAAACGGCCCAGCACCAAGATATCCAATCTGAGCAGGCCCGAAATTCCACGGCGGGCCAGAGAAGACACCTGCCAGGATAATAGCAGACCCAACATACCAGCTATTCAAAAGTCCAGAAGTGATGATCGCGTAGCAAGCCGCTGGGTTCAACAGCGTAATAAACGGTCCAGCCAAATACTTCAAAATATTATCCTCCGAATACTTCCCCGTATAAACCGCCAACTCCTGCACAAAAGTCTTCTTCTTCGGAACATTCGCCGCCTCCACACCAGCCACCGTCTCATGATGCTCCTTCTCATATTTCGCGAGTTCGCCGAGATTCTCATCCATAGCCGTGTCAGTTTCGTAGCGGGTGTCGCGGAGGTAGGCAGTTTCTGGGCAGAAGAGGAACATGAGGACGAATTGGACGACGAGGAAGATCTGGAACATGTGGAAGAGCCAGAGCCAGCCGAGATCGGCGAAGACGACGCCGCAGATGATGGAGGCGAGGGAGGAGGCGGCGTTGAGGATGAAGTTGATGAAGCCGATGCGGAGACCGCGCTGGTGGACGAAGTACATGTCGCCGACGGAGGCGACGATCAGGGACTCGAATGCGGAAGTTGAGAAGCCTTGGATCTGGATGAATTATTATCAGTAATTGTTCTCGAGAGTGTAAATGGGTAACTTACAATTCGTGCTGCGAGAAGGTAGTTATAGCTGATCTTCGCTTGACCAATTGCCGTCCCGATGATACAAAAGAGTGTCGAGGCAAGATACGCAGGTCTCTTTCCATATTTCCGGCTCACAGCGCAGATAATCGGCCCAGACGCACCAGCAGCAAGGAGATTGTAACCAGAGACAAGTACGACCGTAGTAAGAGGCTTATTAACTTGTTGGGATATCACAAAGTACGAAGCATTGAGAAAAGGTCCCTGAAGTGAAGCTGTAAGACATTGTAATGATGGGGTAAAAATTGAGCATACATTTGTTCCAGCATTGAGCATAGCTCCGAGACATAGAATCGCAACAATCATTTCTTTCTTCCACATTGGCCAGTTTAGGGGATCGTTGGGATCCTCGCTGGGCTGCGGGGAGAGCACGATATGGGCGTCCCTGCCGGTGCCATGTTTCAGCGTCGAAGTGATGTTCTCTACATCGGCGGCTTGATCGTTCAGCAATACCGTCCCGGGGACGTGTGTGAGTTTGTTGTCTGCTTGCAAATGAGCACATATCTCTTCCCAAAGAGATCGCAATCTATGAGCGCATACCTTCAAGGACTCCGAGTCCCATCTTGACCAGATCTTGGTACCAAAACTAGATTATATAAGGACAGATTGTTTCAATGGCAAAGAGATGAAATGAAATCAGAACAACAATTCCGTCGTGAAGATATGACAGCACCGGGAGATCTACACATTCGCATTCACATAAGACGTCCAGACAACAGGAAGAAGTAGAGAAGTCGCAGGACATAAATAAATACCACACACCACGCCGCCAACTCACTCCCCGAAGCCCTGCCCCGTGCAATGCCATCCCTCCCGCCAAAGCTACCCCGCCAATAACCCATGGACCAAGCTGGATGCACCACCACAATCCCCCAACGGTCCAGTGCGACGCGCCTTTTTGACTTTGGAAGCGACGCGGTTGGCATGATCACCAATCAGTGTTCATGTTTTGATGGCCTGTTGGCAGCCAGCTGGGGTTCCATGGCCCATGGGGTCCGCTAACCTTCCCCGCACCCGCACTGGAGAGACAGGACGAGGGGGACGAGCCCCTGGCCTGGGGACTGGAGCCGAGCCAGCATCCTGTGTGAGGAGGGCTTGGTCGGCAGATGTGGGTGGATTTTGGTATGGTGTGCAGGTTGTGAGTTGCCGAATTTTGGTTAATATACAGATGCGGAAGACTCTGCATAAAGAGGTACAGAGATAGGGAAAGTACTATATGAGCGCTTCCAACCGCCCTGTCATTTCTGCTTGTGAAAGATATAAATTCATAGCGATCTGCAATGCGAACATTTGCTCATCAAGATCGATCTTCAACACAGCTAGCTAGGTAGTGATCAACATTTTCACAGTCTCCTTACAGATACGATGCGCATTAGGTAAACCAGCTCCTTGGGATCCGATTTAGAAAGGAAGCATTGACATCGAAGTCTATCAGCACTTCCCCAACTTCTTCGGGGAGGATTTCCAAATGCTGATGAAACTGGGGTTTGGGTGGGGGTTTTCCTGTGAAGATGTGGCAGATGTGGCAGATATATTGAATAGTGTCGAAGATAGTTCGGGGAGGAAGAAGGTCAAGGGACGCGGCACAGTGCGCCACGGGTATATCCCAGACCTTTGAGGCGTCGAGGAAATATCGGGGTTCTGATGACAGTGGATCGAATTACTGGTCAAATAATGTCTGGAATGCAGATATTGGAATAATGGTGGAAGTGCTTCGAGGCCATCTTTAACTCAGCATGATTGGTACATTTACGAGCGAAACTTCAACAAAATTATGCAAGTGAGGATGAAACTTTCAATTTCGGTATCGACATTTCAAACCATAACTCCATCCATTTTGCACCTAACCTCAAATCAAAAGAACGAATCCTCCCCACCTCTCCCACCCCTATGCGTGGTCCTCCCAGGACTCCTCGGCGGAATCTCAGGTCCTCCAATCCCTCCTCCTCCACCACCACCACCCGCATTACTCGACTGCCTGGACACAGTAGGAGCAACCTTATACTCCATGCCATACCCATCGTCTTTCTTATGGATCGTTCCTCCCTGAACGTAGAAGCTCTCCATCGGGCTTGGCGCGCTGTCTCTGTTCGGTGGTGTCATGAGTGCTCGCCTGGTCTTTTGCTTGCGTCTGCGGATTAGACAGCCTGCTATGACGGCTAGGACGGCTAGGATGGTGAGTCCACCGGCGCCTGAACCGACGCCGATGGCGATCTTGGTCCCGGTGGATAGGCCGCCTGAGTTGGCTGAGGTAGAGGGTTCGGATGTGCTAGGTGTTGAGGCTGGTTCGGAAGCTCTGCTTTCGCTTGTCGCTGAGGTTAGGTTGGAGCTAGAAGTTGAAGTTGGAGTTACTTTGCGAGGAGAGTTGTTGAATCGATCGAGGAGACTGTACTGATCAGTTTTGTTCTTGGTAAGAGGTAGATAAGTATACTCACTCATCGATCACATGTATAACCCCATTCGCAACGATATAATCCGACGCTATGATCTTCGCAGAATTGACATACATGTCACCATCCTGCATGGTAATCGTCAAACTTGATCCTTCCTGTGTCTTCAATCTCATGCCATCTTTGAGCATACTACTGTAGCCGACGAATCCGGGAACAACATGGTACTGGAAAACTGCTTTCGTCTCCTCCGCTGTCGAATTCGCAGCCTGACGTGTGGCTTTCTCCAGAGCAATGGCTGAGTTGGGTATGAAGTATGTGACATCTGGAACGTTCAAGATGCCATCCACATATGCTGAATTGGCAGTATTCAGATACCCTGCAGTATTGAGAATCGAGACGAAATATTGCATTTTCGCAGCGGAGACTTGTAACACAGTCTGAATCGGAATGGAAAGGAACTTGTCGATTATATGAACGATGCCTCCGGTACATATGAGTTCCTGTTGAATGTCAGTTGAGAAACTGGCTACAGAGCTTATAGACTTACATCTGCGACACCTGCAGATACTTTGTTTCCAGACACCACTTGAGGATTCCCAATCTCATCAGTCACCAGTTCCACAGTCTGCCCACCCGTAACATTCGCATATTTCGGACCCGCCAAATTCGTTGATACAAATTGCGAATTATTCGAGAACGACAGCGTCGGGAACCCACCCTTCACCATCCCATACTGCACACTTGCCAACAGCAAGTCCTCAGTCAACGTAGCATTCCCCTTACTCTGTATCAACGCCGAGATGGCATCATTGTTCGGAGCTAGGAACGTAAAGTTGTTGCTGCTGGCAAGGAAGTTCGCCGCGTTGGCAGATCCATTGACATAGCTGTACAGCGTGCTCAGTTCTGGAGTGGTCCCAATCAGCTCGAGTAGAGTGATAGCCAAACTGCTGGGGACCAGAGCGGCTGTGAGCCATATACACCTCATTTTCATCATTTTCTGTTTTTTTTTTCCAAGATGAAAGGATCGAAAAACGTGTTTCACTTGCATGGGGGTTTCCAACAATTCATATATCTACCGCTGGAGGGGTAAGGTTCATAATCGCCACTCCCTTCCTTCCCACCCTTCCCACTGCACTACACTCCAAACAAGGCTTTACGGTCCGTACAAAAGGATATACATTGCAGCACGATATGGATGGCCGTCAAGCTCAGCAATTGGTGCGATTACCAGTCACAAGCACAAAATGCTGACAAGATACACAATCTGGCCAGGGCCAGGGTATCTGGGGTATTTTATCTCCAGCTAATCCGCATGGGGGAGGTCGACCGGAAGAATCGTTATTTACTGTACAGCGGGTAGAAGCGAGCGGACCGCTGTCCCTTCTGCAGCTCTGCCCTCCCCTTCTATCGGCTGAAATGCTGAAACATCCTTCGGAGCTTCCTCTTCCTCGCTGACTGTGGTGCATGTGTGCACCCCACCTATCGCAAGGAAGGATACATATGTATCTACCCCGCGTGACGGCTTTTTCTTCTAGAAGCTGGGCTGGAGTGGCTGCAGCAATATATGTGAGAACCCTCCAGTAATGAGGGGCTCAGTGTCCTTTTGGGGCTTTCGTGCACTGGACTGGTGGCTGCAAAGATGACTCGGCTCTCACACAGCCGTCTCTGTGTAGAGAAGAGAGAAGGTAAGTACCGGCGGCATTTCTTACAGGTTGCTTATCGCATTATGAATTTCTTTGTTGAAGCTTGTGGCATCCATCACGACAGTCTAAAGGAAGTTCAGGAACGCGTTCCGTACCAGTCACATGTTGAAGAATCTCAGTCTTCGGAGCCAAAATCCTGAGCTTAGGACCCCGCTATGGTACAGACGGTTGACAAGAAATCCCGTCCATGCCGACACTTCAGGATGTTTACCTTTTATCTCCACGATGAAAGAAGATTCTTATAAGAAAAGATAAATTGAAGTGTCAGATGGAAAGGTTGCTATGACGCTCCAATTGTCAGCAAAAGCAGCTGTGAATGGTGGGGGCTTCGAGGCGACGATCCCATACCCCCACCTCTATGCACGTGGTTGAGTAAACACAAGTTCGATTAGGATCGCAAGCATGGAAGAACGAAACTTGAAGAGAAGGATGTCTGACTGTTTCTCTCAATGCTAAAGGTCAGATGTCTCGTTCGACAATAGGCAAGGCAAACAGTTGGTTGGTAAGCTTAGGGATGGTGTCAATACGATGCCGCGAAAACATCTCCGAGTATTTTACTTGTATTGTTGATTTTCAGAAGTATTTGGAGCAGTTTCCGGACGAGTGCTGAGATACCGACCGTAGTGTGTTTGGAAGTGGTCTGGAGAGCGACTGGATGTGGAACGAGATAGTTTAAAATTTCCTTGATGCTCTATCCATACTCTTCGCCATGCAAAATTATTCCAAGCTCACAGATTCAAATCTATGCATTTACAATCTAAAAGTCCCCCTCCTCTTCAAACAACGAATAAGCCTCCACCTCCGCAACCATCGTCCTACAAGGAATCGTAACCGCAATCGGGAATCCACCATAATCCGGCTCCTCATTCGGCATAATCATAAACTCCCCACTCCTCGTCTCATCACCATTCAACACCCTGCCCCTCCTCAAAACCTTCCCTCCCTCCCCATCATCCACGACCTCCTTCTCCTCCGAGTACAAGATCCCCGTAAACGTCGCCTTCGGATCCGGACTCGAAAACACAACTTGGAATCCCCACCCAATAAGCAAGAACTTCCCCTCGCCTTGATGGATCACCATTCCTGCTCCTGGGCCGGGCTTGCCGAACACGAAGGCCCGCTCGATGGTTACTGTGAAGGAGCCGAATGTGCGTTGCCAGGTTGGTTCCACGGCCGTGTCGTCTTTCTCGTCGAAGAAGAACCCCATGACGTCTTCGGGACGAGTGGCTTGTGTTTCGAGGATGAATGAACTCATGGAGTTGAGGAGGCCGTAGTGTTTAGTGATGGACGAGTCCTTGGCTGGGAGAGAATCGATGCCGAAGGGACTGGCTCCAATAGCAGCATACGTGCCATACGCAAGCCAGACTCGTCTAGCGCCCCGCTCATCGCGGCGCTGTTCGGGGATGAACAGTGGTTGGCCGGCATGGGTGTATTGTTTGCAGACTTCTTCGTAGTCGTGGAAATACAGATCTGGTGCGAGGAAGTCGAGAGCGGGGGTGTTGATCTTCCAGATGTCGAAGGTGTGGGGGACGGGGCCACCGGAGGGGTAGGCGCCTGCTGAGGAGCCGCCGCCGACGATGGGTGGGAGGCCTTGGAGGTCGAGGACGGTGGGGTCGTCGAAGTTGAGCCAGACGTTGGTGTAGAAGGGGATGGGGTAGGCGGCTTTTCCGGCGGTTGCGACTTGGTTCACGTAGCGCGAGATGTAGTATGCCATGAATGCTTCGTCTGCGTCTGGGCCAACTGGGAAAGATTCTTTCCATGTTGATTTTCCTGGCACGAGAGATGAGAAGTGAGGGTGGCGTTTTGAGAAGCATGGGTGAAGATCTTCTGTCCGGATTGACTGGAGTTGAGTGATGAGGTGTGCTGGAACAGGCTCCTTGAACAGTTTATTGGCGATATTAGATCGGTCTCGGGAATCTCCCAGCAGACCTGTTTCGTTCTCTACTTGGACCATCAAAACTGTGCTGTGTTTGCTGTCAAACTCCTTCAGATGTGTCATCAGCGCCGAGAAGGCTTTGGCGTCAGCCGTCCAAGCAGCTTCACAGAAAGGTGAAAGTAATTCTTCTGTCCTGGTCACCGCACCAGCTTCAGAAACATGCACTCGTGGAAACCGCTTAACATCTTTCTTCACCCAGCGAGGCACATATGTGCTCAGAGCATTCTTGAAAGATCCAAACCAGAGAAGCACCAGATACATGTTGTATTCTCTAGCACCGAGGATTACTTTGTCGAGTTCCGAAAAGTCAAACTGGCCCTCGACAGGCTCGATCATCTCCCAAGTTACGGAACCGAGGAGAGTGTTGATGTTGGCATCTTTCATGTTTTGCCAAACTGTTGACATGAAATTCGCCGAGCTCAGCGAGGAGTTATGAAGCTCTCCGGCGAGCATGAGAAATGGTTTGCCATTGACGATGAGCTGGCTTGAGTTCTTCGTTTTCCGGAGATAGGGGATAGATGGTTCTGTCATGATTGGGATCTCGTATGAGTTGTTGGATGTTGAAGAGCGAGATTCTGCGTTGATGACCATGCTGATAATAACGAATTAAGGAGGTCTAGGGGGAAGCGGATGTCGAGTTGGTAGAGGGGGATATGGAGGTAAGAAAAGAACAATACTTCCTTTTAAGCAGTTGAAGGAAATCAACTTACCTAAATAGCCACTCCATATGGAATATGCGTAAGGTGGTGCCCTAAAGTCGTTGCTACTCTAGAATGCTTGTAAACTTACGTGTGCGTATAAAACTTCGCTGTTTCGCATGATGTTCGGAAGTCATTCCACAGGGCCTGGGAAAGATGGGGGTGGTGGGGTTTTAACCGCACGCACTGTTGGCTCGGATAGGTCCCCGGCTGTGGGCGTCATTACAGGCGGGGAAAGCCTGGGGAGTGGCTAGTGGTTCACTTCCCCCAAGAACCGCATAATTCTCGGAATGAACGGTGGGACTGTCAGCGCAAATGCATGCGTATATTCTCCGCATATACCAAGCCCGCAAATCCGGGCAGCTTTCGGTATGCGATCTATCGCATGTCAAATGTGGCTTTTCTTGGTGGTAAATTCCCATTTATGCCAGTTGAGTACTGTCAGTTGTTCGGCAAATTGAGCAGGTCATGTTTACATTCCTGAAGCTCCAGAAGCTATGTATGAACGCCTCTGATAACTATCGTCCCAAGGTCTAAAGTCAAGCCTTTCCAATTTCTCCAACAGTCTTCTCAGATCCATACTTGCTTCCTGGGCACTAAAAGCTCCAGTCCCATCCGTCTCGCTACTGTTCAACTGACTGTCACCGACTCTCATCTCGTCTAACAAGGCACTACCGATATCTCGGACTTTGGGTACTAAGCCTATGGTAGAGCCCTGATCAGTTTTGTGGTTTAACAAGAAGAGTTGAAACTTACTGTGGCCATTCGACTCTAGTGTTTCCTCACTCATATGATACAAAATCTCGAGAAGGTCTTTGACAATCTCCGCTCGTTGCTTCCGAATCTCATCTTTGTGTAAGTTCAAGCCTTGAGCCACATTACCACCGCCAAGAGCTGGACTTGTGGGGAGAGACTTCGACAAAGTATACATTTGTTCCAATAGAGATGATCGGATGTGCAGTTGAGTTATGTACAGATTGGCTGTCTGGACATCTGTTCCGAAGTTACTACCCGGTGGCCTTGACAATCCTCCTCGCCAGCGCAGCTCGGGCGGAAGAGTATCGAGTGCTCGCTGTATGTACGTCATGTTTTGCTGGATATGAGGAACCGACAACGGGGAAGTTTGTTGACTCGAATGCCAGAGGTAAAATAGATGTGTGAGGTAGTTCAGCCCAGGCACATATGTCACTGTATCACCGTGCCATAGATTGGAGAGGTCGATATTCGTGGGATCTAGTTCTGTGTCATTCAGATCCAGAGGCTTTATGGCCTGGATGTTGTCTTGGGCAGAAATCAATCCGATGCACGGCCGACCATATATTGACCAGGTACTGTTCCGTCAGCAATGAAGGTTAGGGAGATGGGTAGGACAAACCAAAGTCCGCAAAGCACTAGACAGTGCAAGCGCTTTGCAAGCTCGGCATCAACTCTTGACATGTTTGGCAGTTCGTAGCCTACCAAGTACTTGATTCCAGTGGTGACCTCCCCAAGCAGACGGAAGGAGACGAGGCTTTCCTCTGAAACAAACGAAGTGCTTAGATGGTATTTCGCCTGGCACCACTGCAAGGAGATACTTCTGTAATCGTCCAGTAGACGATGATACTGAATCACCTCGAAGCATCGCTTCACCGTGACATCGGGGTAGTCAAGTACTGCCTTTCGAGGCAGACTCGAGACTGTAGCACAGCAAAGTGAGATGACCACAGCCAGAAACTCGGGATCATTGTCCAAATTGCCATTTCCAAGCCTCTTCAGGAAATTGGCGCGGTGATGGATTGGGCAGACGGAATGGATGAGGTTGAACCAGTCGTCTATGATACGCCGGATGGTTTCTGGGGGCGCGATTTGATCTAAGATTGGTAGTGGGGGCAGGTATGTTGATGTTGAATTCGGAGTGATCGCTGTTGTTGACGTAGATGTCGGAGAGGTAGAAGGGAGCTCGCTCTCAGGCTCAGTTAGGCCTATCACATATCTGTATAAATCATTAACAACAGCATTTCGAATGGGAATCAACCATTCGGTACCGATTTGGTGGGCCTCTCTTCTTTCTGGGTCTATTCCGCGTGCACGGAACTGCAAGCTCAATACATGCTTGACATTTTCCGTCGCCTTCGTAAAGGCACTAGCTCAAACAAAGTCAGGGATATTCAGGAGAATTTCAGATTAAGCATTATTTCTCTGAGTCAATAAGGTTCCCAGTACCAACAATCACGCACCTTGACCTTTCTTGCACGACAGGCATCACAAGCATTTCGCGAGCGGCGTTGTATCTGCCGGGGTGGTGATTCTTGAGGTGGATCCGGCGAAGGTGCAAGAATGGGCAGGCCAGGCTGGTCCATGAGGATATATCTCGGATGAGAATGATAGATACCAATGTCAACTGACAGAACGTATTTTACCGAGAAATGGAATCAGATTCTTCACACACCAGCTCAACGTATGAATTGAGTTCAAGATGTCTGAGCTGGAAAGGAATTTCCTCGGAAACAGATGGGGTGGCAGCAATCCAGATGGTGGGGATTTCCTGGCACCCCGCATCCGACGAGTCATGCCTTCCTCTCCTCATTATTCCCTCTAACCTCGGCCATCCTCCCGAGCTAGACTTTACCACCCCATGTTTGGCTTAGAGAGGCGGAAATGCCATTGAGCGGAGACAACTGGCAGAAGTCGGATAGAGGCAGGTCGGGACTACGGATTTCTATATTCGCATATTTCTCGGATATGCTTCCAGAACCACTCGAAGGGCCAGCAGCTGGAGAAATACGCCCTGCTCTCCTGGTATTCGTGCGCATGCCACATGGTGCCTGTACTCCTCCTCCACAGAACCCCATAGTCTATTAGACCCCCGCAAAGTTGACGATTCTTGCGGAGGAATCGACCCAGATTTCAGACTCTCCGCGTAGGTCCAGATCCCATTGGGCGGGTAACCCCTCGCCAAGTAGCAAAATCCTCGGATGAACTAGTCGAGCTTCCACGATTGCTCTCATCCGTAGCTCCTGAATCTGGGGATCATGGAGAGCATCGATTCCAGATGCATGATGATGAAGTTGTATAAGTATCGCAGGATATCCTGAAAGGCAAAACAAGCAGCGATCGACAGATTCATCTTCTTGTGCTCTCAAGAACAGTTCAACAGCTCGACAGAAAACTTCGAAATGTCTTCTAAGGAGATGACTGCAACTCACGATGAGTCCTCTGACTCGGCGAGAGAGTTGGTTGTGAAGCCTGATATCCCATGGTATCAACAGACTGAGCTTCGAAAGTTGTATGCTCTGATGCCGTTCCTCTTTCTTGGGTCAACCACACTGGGGTACGATGGCAGCGTCTTGAACGGACTGCAAACAATGGATACATGGCAAAATTGTGAGCACTCAGCAGCCCAGAGTCTAAATGCCAACTAACAGTCTAGACTTTGACCATCCAGTTGGGTCGAGGCTAGGAATATTTGGAGCAATGCCTGGATTTGGAGGTCTGGCAGTTCTTCCTTTCGTGCCATATATCGCGGATGGGTTTGGAAGAAGACATGGAACTGCCATTGGATGTCTCTTCATCTTGATGGGAGCTCTGTTGCAATCTTTCCCACCTGCTTCTAACTCGGAGCCGATGTATTTGGCTGGTCGTTTCTTCATTGGGTTCGGATCCAATATCGCCAACGCCACTTGCCCACTTCTCATCACGGAAGTCGCACATCCAAGACATCGAGGGAAGATCACAACAATCTACAACACTCTTTGGTACCTGGTATGTGGAATTGATAGAAGAGATTTGGGGGAAATTTGAACTGACATTATCCTGCAGGGAGCAATCATCGCAGCATGGTGCACATACGGTACACTAACCAATCTCTCCGGCAACATGCAATGGCGTCTTCCTACAGGCCTCCAATGTCTCATGCCAGGCATCCAACTCCTCGTCCTATACACTGTCCCCGAATCTCCTCGATGGCTGATCAGCAAAGGGAAAGATGATGAAGCTCTCAAGATCCTCACCAAGTACCACGGCAACAACGTCCAAGACGACTTCGTGACATTCGAGTACAACGAGATTCGCGAGACACTTCGTATGGAGAGAGAAGCTGCTTCGAGCAGTGGATGGGCTGACTTGGTTCGCACGCCTGGGAATAGGAAGCGTTGTATCTTGATCATACTCACTGCAATCTTCTCGCAATGTTCTGGCAATGGCTTGGTATCTTACTATCTCTCATCCATCTTGAAGACAATCGGAATCACCAAGTAAGTCATCTTCCCAACATCTTCCTTCACAAGACCTCCTAGCTAACACTTCCCTTCCAGATCAACCGACCAAGCAGTAATCAATGGCGGCCTCACAATCTGGTGTTTCCTCGTCTCCCTCGGCTCCGCATTCCTAGTCGACCGCGTCGGCCGACGAGTCCTCTTTCTCTTCGCCGGAATCGGCATGTTAATCTCCTTCTCAGTCTGGACAGCCTGCAGCGCCGTGTACGCCAAAACCGCCTCCCAGAGCGCCGGGTCCGCCGTCCTCGCCATGATCTTCCTCTTCTACGGAGCAGCTGGTGCGGCATGGCCAGGTTTGACTGTTTCCTATACGGTTGAGATCTTGCCGTACCAGATTCGTGCGAAGGGGTTGACGCTTTGCTTTACTTTCACGGCGCTGAGTGGTGTGTTTAATCAGTACGTTAATCCGATTGGGTTGGAGAGTTTGCAGTGGAAGTTTTACTTCTTGTATATTGCGATTTTGGTGTTTCAGTGTTTGGTTATTTACTTTTATTATGTGGAGACCAAGGGTCCGACTTTGGAGGAGATTGCGGTGCTGTTTGATGGGGAGCATGCGAATGTTGGGGGGAATGATGTCCATCGGGACGAAAAGGTTGTGATGGGTCGTTCTGCTGATCACAAGGAGCATGTGTGATTGTGATTATGATTGTACTTTAGATTATCAGTATTGAAAACAGAATAGATTTTGACGACATAATGAAATTAAACTTACCTAGAATGAGCTTGCTCCTCCACGAAAAACATGTTTCTTTGATGCCTCGCTTACGCTGTAAATACAGTAACCCCGCAGTTTCAGCCCCCAACCACACCGTTATCAACCCCGTACCTCTCCCCACCAAGCTACTGGCTCAGCTCCGTCAGCATCCTCAAGAGATCGATTTTTTCCTTCTTCGTGCCGTATGAACCTCAGCGACAACTGTTGGTTTCATTTCGCTTGAATATGTTGCTATAAAAATCAAAATTCTCAGGGCACCTAAACCGAAGCATCACATATGTCTGCGTCTTGCAATAATCGAAGAAATATCATCGATCAAGAGCACAGGGCGGTGGATGATACTATGAAGTTACAGGGGGGCCATAGTTTGTCGCAGCATTTCACCCAATCTGGGTAACAGACCGGGGCGCGTATCGTAAGCTGACGAATCGTTGCATCAGTTTCAAAAGTGATCCTGTCAGCATCAAACCTCCTCACAAGCAACTATGGATATATAAACATCCGTACTTCCACTCCATCCCCTCCACAGGTCTCAAGTCTCCAAACAATCCAATTCGTGTCAAAATGGGCGGTTTCATCAGTCTCCTAGCCCGAATATGGAAAATCAGTAACCCACCAGAACCTCCAAAGGATAGAGACGCACTTCGTTTTGGGATTTTGGGAACGCCGTGGACGGGGTAAGATATACTTGACTTGAGTTTAAGATGGAAGACAGGACTGATTGGTTCTAGGTCCCCGTCTTTTATCACGCCAGCGAAATCTCATCCTGGGGTCATCGTCGCTGCAGTTGCGAGTCGGGATTTAAATCGGGCAAAAGCGTATGCGAAGAAATTCAACATTCCGAATGTGCATGATTCTTATCAAGGTGAGGCTACATCCAGATCAGCGCCTTGGTTTGAGCTGGAAACAGGACTTCAACAACAAGCAAAATGTTGACTCCTCGTAGCACTCCTCGATGACCCCACCATCGACGCAATCTACATCGCTCTCCCAAACGGCCTCCACTACGAATGGACCCTCCGAGCCCTCAAAGCAAGGAAACACGTCCTTCTAGAAAAACCCTCCGTATCCAACGCCACCGAAGCAGCGTCTCTCTTCGCGTACCACGCTTCCCTCCCTGAAGCTTCAAGGCCCGTCCTCTTAGAAGCTTTCCATTTTCGTTTCCACCCCGCATGGCATAAATTCCTTTCTCTGGTCACCTCGCCCGAGAATATAGAAAGCGTGACTGCGCGATTTACTGTACAGGCTGGGTTCTTTCCAAGGGGGGATATCAGATGGGATTTTGAGCTTGCGGGGGGAAGTTTCATGGATATTGGGACTTATGCTATTGCTGCGCTTCGGGGTATTTTTCGGACTGAGCCGGTGGAATGTATTTCTGCTATGCCCGGACTTCTTCCTAAGCCTGGTGATCAGAGGATCGATACGAGGTTTACTGCTGAGTTTAAGTTTCCTCATGGAGGGATTGGTAGTATTGAAGCGGATCTCGCGCGGAAGACTTGGTTTGGATTACCGAGTATCAAGATGCCTAAAATTGTGGTGAAGTATAGAGATGTGGAGATTGATGATGAAGCGAGGGCTTTTGGGCCGCCGAAACATGTTATGTCGAAGACGGTTACGTTTTGGGGGTTTCCGCTGGCGCATTTCTGGCATAGGATTCAGGTGCGGGAGAGGCATGTTTGGCTTGCGAGTGGGACGGAGAAAGTTGTTGAGAGGAGGGAGGGAAAGAGGAATTTTACGACGTATTTTTGGGATGGAGAAGGGGAGGAGGAGGAGAAGAAGAAGAAGGGTGATTTGCATTGGAGTACGTATCGGTATATGCTGGATGAGTTTGTGTGTAGGATTCGGGGGGAGGAGGGGACGGGGGCTTGGGTTAGTGGAGAGGACTCAGTGAAACAGATGGAGGTGATTGATTCTGGGTATGTGAAGGCTGGGTTACCTCTGCGTCCGACAAGTACATACAAGCCGTAGTGTAAGTAAGATTCCGCATGCGAGAAATACGGTATGTTGTTGGCCAGCTTTTGGTGAAATTCTGCTTCAGAGGCTGGACAGGAACCACAGGTCCAAGATCTCTTTATTTGCAAATAGTAGCGTCGCTTTCTTGCTCCTTTACCCAATTCAAAGTGTAGTAATGTCGACCATCAGCCTGTGTTGGACCGTATCTCTGCTGGTAGGGGACGATCGATATCGGAAGTTTCGCACATGTTTCTTCAACAATGGTAAATCGAAGCAACGCTAGTCTTCGAAAATACAACCTTAATTCGACATGAAGTAAACAGATTTGACTAGAAGTTGACAAACATATGAATAGCTCATGCGGTTGCCGCTGACATGCTGCAGCTGCCAAGTTCTCGGCAGCTCGAGTCCACCACCAAATCCACATCAACTCACCGTAACCCGCCTTTCTTCTTTTCTTCGTTTCTTCTTTTCTCCTCCTCTCGTAATCCTCACCGCAACAAATAAAAACTCTGCCACAAATAAACTTCCATCCTGTTATCCTTAGATCTGCTCAACTACAAATGATCGTGTGCAACCACATCAGCAACCTCAGCTCGATGATTCCACCTCCGCCTGATTGGGCGAGGCAGCTGAGGGTGGGCATCCCCATGTCTCAGCGGCTGAGGCAGGGCTGTGGGCAGCCGACCCCCCCATAATGACCGTCCCAAGACCTATTAATGACGCCCAGGCGGATGCAGGCAGTGGCTGATCAGCCCTGCAGGCAGTCGTGTGTGGAACGGTCATGATCCATTCCCGTCTCTTTATAACGCCTGGTCTCGCGCCTCAGATTCGAGATCGGCTCCGCCTTGCCTTTTATTTCTCATGAACTTTTTTCTGTCCGCTCATTTCTTTGATAAAACGTCAGTTCTGAGGTTCGTTTGAGATCGAAATAATCAGCAAGTGTTGAGTTTTTATTTTGTTTTGTGATACTGTACCTTGACCGTCTCACCACGGTGCCTTGAGCTTCTTTCAGCTGTGCTGCTCCGTTCAAATATTCAACTCACTATGTCTTCACAATATACCAGATTTTACGGCTCCCAAGTCGGTGGAAAATCAACAACACCTCACTCATACACCAGCTCGCCTCTCGAACTCCTCAAGCATGACATTCTCTCAGCGTTCAAGTTGTACCTCTCGCTCCCGTACATCGTGTACCCCTTCACACCACAACTATCAGGACCATTATGCGAACTGTATCTATCTCGTTCAAATTGTTACGATATGTTCCTGCACCTGATCCTAGTTATCATGCAGTTACCTTTCGTGCTGAGCGTACCGTTCTGGCTTATGCTGCCGGTCTGGACGGTTGTGGGAGGTGTCGTGGTGTTTGTTATGATCAACCAGAGTATATGTTACTTGTTGAATGGGAGCGAGATGGAAGTTGAGAGTAAGAAAGAATATGCTGAGAGGAAGAAGGATCATGAGCATGAGCAGTGGATTTTCTTGAATGGTGTTGCTGTCGGGTTTGTCTCCTCATCTCGAAATTCATCCTAAGGCGGAAGTACACTTACTTGTACACAGGCGAAATTGGCTACAGAGCAACGTTGACAGACTAGCTCTCACATTTGGACGTCCCGTTCTAGGAGTCCATAACAAAACGTACTTCCCATCCACCCCTTCTCGCAACACCCGCTAACATCAATCAGAAACGGCATAATATTTGACGTCCTCCAATGCTTAATCCAACGCAACTTCACCTACGCAACCCAAGATGTGCGGGACTGCTACAGGATCGTAAAATCCACACTCTACCAACCGCACCTTACCAAAGTAGTCTTTATTCTCCACTCCCAAGGCGGCATCGAAGGCGGCTTAATCATAGATTGGCTCCTCCAAGAAGTCCCCCAGGACCTACTTGCCAAACTCGAAGTCTACACATTTGGCAATGCAGCAAACCATTTCAACAATCCGCATTTACATCTACTGAGCCAACATGCAGCGTTGATGCATCCCACAACACCAGCGACGACAAAAACAACGACCAGTGTGCATTATCATGACCCCATCCATCCCGTTCCAAATCCCCATTCTACACCTCTCCCTCATCCCGAGTCCAACGGCATAAAGCCCAACTCAACACCCAGTCCCAACCCAAATCTCACAAACGGCACACCCCTCACCACGTCATCCTCTCCAACCCAACCCAAATCAATAACCCGACAAATCACACGCCAAGAATCCACCTCGGGCAAAACAATCCGCTACATCGAGCACTACGCCCACACATCCGACTTCGTCGCCTGCTGGGGCGTCTTACACTTCACGAAGAACTTCGCTTTAGGTCCTTCCGCACCGCGGTTTATGGGCCGTGTGTTTGAGAAGGGTGGGCAGGGAGGTGGCCATCAGATGAATATGCATTATTTGGATGGGATGTTTCCGCTGAAAGCTGTTCCTGCTCCGTCTTCTTCTACGAGTTCTCCAGTTTCAGGCTCGGACGAAGCTTCAGCTTTGAATGAAAGTAACGGGATGGACGAGAAGAGATCTCTACTCACCCAGCTAACCTCCCGCCTCGGTCTCCCCACCTCCTTATCCTCATCCACCACTGCCTCCCAAACCAAAGGCGGAATCGGCAACTCCGGTTTCCTCGGCGCAAACGAAGACCCAGATGGGAATCCCTTTATGGAAAGTATCCTTGAACTCGGTCTCGGCGAGGATGATACGGATGATATCCAAGAGCGGAAGGCTGAGCGCGAGGGAATTGCGATGTCGTATTTGGGGGCGCATGGGGAGGGAATGGATGGGGATGGTGACGGGGAAGGGGATGCTGGGGTCAAGGTAAAGGATATGAGTCCGATTAGTGTTGCGACGGTGGGGAGGAGGTTGGGGAGGGGTGGGGTGTTGGGGATGACTTCTGCGGAGAGGTTGAGGGGGGTGGATGGGAAGGGAACGAGGAAGGGAAAGGTGGGGGAGGTGAATGGTGAGGGGAGGGTTGATAGGGAGGGGGAGGGAAAGAGTGGGAACGGAGAGGGGGATGGGGGTGAGAAGATACGGTTTAAGGTTAAGGACCTGAGTCGTTTGTGGTTGTATGTTAATGGGAAGAGTCCGAGGATGGACGAGACGGATGTGGGGATTGCGAGGATGTCTACGATTTAGATGGAGGTCTGGGAGGAGTGAAAACGTGGTTGAATAAAGAGAGTTCCATCATGAGATTCATGAAATGCGAAAGGAAGGAGGAAAGACGAAACTTATATGCGTCTTTCGAGAGGATGGAGACTGATGCCTGGGCAGATGATACAGCTTGCTTCTTATATCTAGGTAGCCTCATCAAGGCTGCTCTAACTCATGCTCGTCTGACCCAGCAGCTACTAACCAATGCGATGCCATGATATGATATAAAAAGATGCACGCTACCTATGCCAGAACAAAATCTCGCCCTTCCCCTTCCCTGCCTGTCAACACCAACAACCCCACCAACCCCAACACCAACACTCCATTTGCCTTTGAACTCTCTTGTTTAAGACAACGCATCCTTCGCCCTCGTACAAACAGGACACCCATCCGTAATCCTATCCCTCAACAACCTCGCATGCGTAACCTTAGCACCCACACTATGCGTAGCAGTCCACTCCCCATTCTCGTCCAACTCTACCTCCGGCCGCGTAATCGTCCCATCCTCCCCAGCCCCAAAATTCAACAAATGGCTCAAATGAAAGACATGTCCACACGCAAACCCGACTAAAGTCTCAACCTCAAAATCCGAGAACGGCTGCCTACACCCAACACAGTGGCCTGGCTCAGGAGGCGCAGGCTCACTAGCGTTCTCGGTGAACTCCCTTGCGACTTCTGAGGCGGCGGCGCCGTCGGTGGTGGTTGGGATGTCGGAAGTTTCGACGTCGATGTGGTGCCCTGGTTTACGCACGATATCGAACTTGACGCCTTTGCGCTGGCCGGCACGCAGTGTCGTCTGGGCCGTAGCGACTTCGCCTCTCAGGACTCGAGCGACGCCAGAGGAGATACTGTGCTGGATTTCGTACTCCTTGATCATGCGGGAGAGACCCTCGCGGAGACCTTCGATTTCGAGACCCTCGGGGATGCGGCGGACGAGGGTGATGGGGTTGATGGCTGTGCCGACTTCTTCTAGGAGGCCGCGGATGAATCGCGGTTTGTCCATTGAGTAGTCGAGGAGGTCGTTCCAGAGTTCGGTGTCGTCTTGGGATTTGGCGAAGACGATTGCTTGGGAGACGTCGCGGAGGCGGTCGATGATGAGGGTGAGGGCTCGTTTGGTTTGCCCGGTTTTGGAGTAGAGGTAGACTAGTTCTGGGATAAAATCTCGTTCTTCGCACTCTTGCGTTGCCTGCTGTTGTTAGAAAGAGAATATAGATTGAGGAGGGGAAAGTACCTTTTCGAACGTGTAAAATGTCGACGACTTCAAGAACTCTATTAATAGCTCTCGGTCATACATGGCGAATAGATGAACAGCAAGATCGGCCAAATCGTCGACGAGGGATTTGCTCTCCGCGATGAGCTTTTCCTTGCTCTCTCCTTGGTGCTCTTCAATACCATCGCCTCTCCAAAGTGAGCTGACGTAGAAGAACAGGTATAAAGTCATGCTCTTCTCCTGCAATTGAGATACAACAACTTGTGGACTGACAAGGCCATGTTGAGCTTCGTCAACAAGCAATGATATTGCTTCCGAAGTCAATTCGCGCAGTTCAGCAATTGGGGCGGTTCGCTTCTGCTCCTTCGAAACGTGAAGCATAATCAGCCCCGGAATATCGTCGGCGACAGCATCCACTAAGTGATACTCTTTGATCAAGTTCATGGAGGTGTCTGCATCTTGGAGTTGGATGTAGCACTTCAAGGCTTCTCGTGGTCGTCCAGCAGCAACGTGAAGCTTGCCCAAACTCTCCATAACTATCCTCCAATCTCTTCCAACTTCGCCGTCCTCAATGCTGTCTTGGCGAACATCGCGATATTTGAGCTGATTCTCTAGCACTGTAGTGACACTCTTGACGTCAAAAAGATCAGGTGGCCACTGATCAAGCAGCTCTCTTATCCTAGGTCTGTTGCGGGCCGCATAATGTCCCAGTATTACTTCATAGATCTCCGACTTCAACGGAGGTCGCAGCTGTGTCGTTGGGATATAGTTTGTTATTTCGTCAAACTTGCCAGCGCCAACGAAAGTGTAAACGTACTCTTCCCACTGCTGTGCAGTACCGAGAACTTTGCCACAGACTTTAGCTGCATTCACCCAGTCACCGGCCTTGATCAATTGCTGGATCCAAAGCTCACCAACTCTGCGCTTCTCTTTCTCTACAGCTGAATTTATCAGCTTGCTCGCAGAGTTAACAGTCGAGGCATCATCAAAGAAGTCGTCAGTGCTTCCTTGTGCTTGATCTGGTACGCCTGGTCCAATCTCGGCAAGTTTTTCCGGTGACGCGGAGATGACTTCTGGATGCTCATCAATCAGTTCCCATGCCTCTTTATTTTTCTCGTGTTCCAAAAGCCAAGAAAGATGGTCTGAAAGATCCCTTTTTGTTGCCAATATACAGTCGTATGGACTGTGTATGAATATCTTCATCCCCGGTACAGCAATATTCGGATGGGCAGCAGGTGACCGTTGCCCAGGCTTCGTTCGAGCACTACTGGCAGCACTCTGCTTTACATCAGAACCTTTGCTCCCATTGCTGTGGACGCTGGCTCCAGAGCTGAGAAGCGTAGTTGCGTTAATCGTGGCGTTCCACATTCCACTTCCCATGCCTGCCAAAGCCTCCAAGGTGCCACGTGATGATTGAGAAACAGGTGCTGCGCGTGCGGCTGGCAGAACTCCGAGATGATAGTCAGTTGCTGAAAGTCGTTCAAACCGACTGACGGTTAAAGTATCGGTGTCAATCTCCTCAGACGAATTTAGATCGATGAGACGCAGCTCTGGTGATTTCGCATTGAGCCTTCTCCGAATGCCACCTCGCGGCTCACTGCTTGTAGATGCGGTCGAGGCTTTGGACTTGTGTCCTTTCGGCAATTTCTCCTCTTCTTCTTCATCCTCATCATCATCCGGTGTAACGTAAGCAAGAACAAGAAGCAAAGTTGGGGTATATAACGACAATCCAGAAATAATGCAATCCATGTGTAAACTAGTCTGTTAGCAATTGCAAATATGGTATTTCAAGTACTTCAGAAACCCACATTTTGATGAGCTCGGCCTTTCCCACTGATCTTTCCCCGACATGTTTACCAACACCAACGCCGCCTGGATGCACATTCATGATCCAAATGGTTCCTCCCCAACCCACAACGAGCTTTTCAATCTTTTGACTGCCCTTCGATGCCTGCTGTTTCAATTTTGCAGTCGCGGGAGACGAGACAGACGTTTCTCGAGCTTTATCATCATCGTCTGTTTCGAGACTCCTTTCATCAATCCACTCTGCCCGACCTTTCCATACACCTGCCATTTCTTCCCATCCGTTGTCCTGTGGCCGGTCACGGTGCCCTATTCTTTTCCATGCAGAGTCAAGGTCGGAGCTGTCAAGATGTAGATGCGACCTCATAATCTTCACTCCATGCTCGTTAATCCAGACCACATACTTGCCTGATAGTGACCATTTAATGGTACTGATGGCTCCCTCTCCAGAATGGAGAATGCTGTCCTTTCCAGCATTGCCTCCCAAACCAATGGCGCCCAACCAGCCCGACGCTGTAGCTGCTGCTGTCCCGGTTGTTGTCGACTGAGATGCTCCCGCTTTTCCGCCAACGGTAAGTACTAGATTCCCGGCCAAACCTCCTGATATGTATGTCCGATCATTCTTATATTCTGGCGATAAAGCCACAGCCTGTACAGGTCTGCCAAAATTCCGTAACTGCACATCTTTTGGATCCACCAGAGACTGGATACAGACGTTTCCATCAATCGAGGATGTTCCGATATATATCGCATTCGATGCTGTGTTCGGGACGAGATGGACTCGGGGAGTGCGAGGAGAAGCCGTGGAAGCTTCCGATTTAATGGAGGGACTTCCTCGAGTTGTTTGCGCTTGAGACACTACTCTACTGACTCCCTCTGGGACAGGGTTTGTCACTGGTGGAGGGAATGGAGATATCGATATGCTCGAGGTAGAGGCGGAATGGGCGTGGTATACTCGCAGAGATTGGAAGGATGGTAAAGACAGGACGTGCTACATCCATAGGTCAATGGCTATTTATTTTATTGTATTGTGAAGACTTACAATGTTTCCATTATGCGTTCCGATAATCTAAAGAGTGCTCAGCACCAGTTCAGCAACAAACAGCCATTTCCACTGAACTTACCATCTTGTCCCCGCCCACCAGGAAGCAACTTGTAGCATCTCCATTTCTATAAACCGGTGCCAGTTGGCTCGTCATCCGAGCATATTTCAGCTTGGGCTCGTCTTCCTCTTCATCATCGTCATCGGACTCCTCCTCTGCGCTGTCCTCCACGGTCTCTTCACCCTCGCCGGTATCCTCTGCATCGCGACTCCCCTCCTTCCTCTTCGAAGATTCTGTGTCGCCTTGATCCGTAGATTCGTCGGCCATGGCGGCGCACTGTGCTGATTACATCTGGTGGTGACAGCAAGGGGGTGGGTTTGGAGTCGTTCGACGTCAACTTGGCCTAGCCAGCTGTCCTGGAGCTTGAGCTTAGCCGAGCTCTTGAAGCTCGGCAGGCCGCCACGATTTTCTGGAGCCCAGCGGAATGTGGAAAGTTTATTAATCACAACACTATGGACTTGTATATGTCAACGACACGTCTCCCACCACTCCTACGATCGTTTTGATTTTTTTATATGAATATGCAGAGCTTCGGACGACAATTAAGTTCCTCCAAAGTCCGCCAAACTCTTTATAATAGCAGTACACGACCACATCCATTAAGATGTCTTCATGCAACGGCAGCAGGACAAGCTCCACGGAAGCGCAACTTCTTCTCTTCTAATGCCACTCTTCAGCAAGAATCGAACTCGAACGGAGTAGTAGAAAATCTGCCACCAGCACCATCACAAAAGCGTAAGCCTGTCAGGTCACCAGCTGGGAAGACATCACTTCGACGGGTCGCTGTGGAGGCCCAAAGGTCTCGAGAGAGTACTATTAGGCGGCAAGATGTAGGGGCAGATGGAGAAGGAAGCAATAGAGTTACTGCGATATCAGTAGCAGACCAATTTGACATGGAGGCCGTTGCGCGGATTCTCCGATCACACGGGTTTCCAATTGATCCAGATGCAACTGGATTCGAGATGGACCAAGTCATACATACCCGAGGCGTGAACAATGGAGACATCTTCGTCTTTCCCTCCGGATCCGTCGTAGCTTGGTCCCTACCAGAAGATGTTGTCTCTGATCTGGCAACCAAGACTCTCCGGCCAGCAGCTGTCACCCCGCATACTGGACAGGTCGAGATGGAAGATTTGGAATATGCTGAGGATCCCAAACGAGAGAACAGTACGGTGAAGGGAGATGTTATTGTTTTGGGAACAAAGTCGGCCCTGCAGGAGGAGAACCTTGAGTATGATTGCCCCCTCCCAGTCCCCAAGACGGTGGTTAACTTCCAAGCAGTTCCAGAGTTGATACGACCCTCGCAAAGATCGCCTTCTCTTCGGGTCTGGCCCGCTCTACAAAGCTAGCAGTATTGGAAACAATGCTGGGGAAATACTTTGAGTCTACACGAACAATACCGACCACTCTCTCTCGAGGCTCGAAGCTACCTTTCAATCGAAGATTTATGATGCAGAAAACGGGCGAGTTGCTAGAACTGAGGGCTCAGTTAAATCACTACTCCGAGCTGACCGACTCCTTACCAGATCTGTTTTGGGACAGCAGACATGAGCTCGGATTGGAAGGATACTATGACCAAGTTGGGAGGGCTCTTGATGTTGGAGTTCGGATCAAGGCCTTGAACGAGAAGATGGACTACGCCCAAGAAATCGCATCAATTCTGCGCCAAACGATGAGTGAGAAACACAGTATCCATCTTGAGTGGATCATCATCATCCTCATTGCGGTGGAAGTTGGCTTTGAGCTCCGACGTGAGTGGAAGGAGAGGAAGGAAAGGCTGGAAAAAGCAGATACCGAATGATATCAGAGCATTTCCTCGTCGGATTTTCGAGTACCAGGAGACGGTAGACGACGTTGAGTTCAAGCATTGCAATTGGCGTTCAGTGGAATATTGGCATTTTTGGTGGCGTTTGCTTTAACGATACCCCGCTCCATATCGAGAAAACACCTCGGCGATCCGGACATTTTGAGAATATCATATTGGTTGAACCAGCGACCAAGGTGCTATCAAGATCTCTTCTACTCTCTTGGCAGAATCTTTTCTTTGTTTGGCTTTCGGCCAGACCGTGACTACATGTCTTGATTTTAAGTATCCCTGCCGGTCCTTGACTCGAAATCTGACGGAACAGGACATGACTTCCGCGCCTCCAGTACCCCACGGCGACTCAATCTGATCCCATGACAGCCTACCAAGTTCACGATCAGTGTCGTGACTTTGAACAATCCATCCCTTGTTCTATATTTTATCTTGGCGGGAGATTGACACTGTCAACAAAATTTGACGCATTTGGGTGTCAATCAGTCATGCCGATCTCAACTCCCGCGAGAAAGTCGAAACGAATAACTTCAGAATCCCCCACACCACTCCGCCCCCCGCATAACGCTAAGTCTATCGACCACTACCGCTCTGTCCAGGACATTTCCAGGCGCTTCCCCAGATATCCACCTACTTTCCATTGGACTCGAACAAAGGAGGTTCCACCAGTTCCCACAAGTATCCGAAACCTTTTTCTGGATAAGGAAGCTGGGCCGCCAGAAGCCGGCTGGCGGCGATGGCAGATTTCTCCCGACCAGTCAATGTCTCCACTACCAATGCTGATTGACAAGCAAAGCAACAGGGTCGCGTACGAACAACAAGTCTGTCCGCCTAAGCCAACTGATCTTGTCATACAGAATGCAACGACGGTCATGTGGTGTAACGAGCATTTGAGCTCGGATATGCCAAAGGATGGTAGTCTTTGCTTCAAGAGTTCGAAGACGAGCACATTCAACAACGTCATGCTTTTAAGCTTTTACAAGAACCTTGACTCGCTCAAGACTTGCTACCAATTCTTGGGACGGGAGCTTGAAATTAAGTTTTGAAGGGAAATTGTGCCTCGGCGCCAGAGTTAAGAGCTTGAGGCTCGGTCTTCTCCCCGAAAACGCCACGAACATCCCCCAGCTTCCCCTCTTTCCCTCCACCTTTGATATTGTCCACCCGCAATGTTGAAGCCATCCTTTCCCAACAAGGAAACCCAGCATTAGCGAGCCTCAGAGTCTGTGTTCAGCATATCGGACCTTTCGCTGGTTGCAGAGTAGTGGGAAATGTCACAACGATATCATTCGTTACACTACACTGCCAAGTTCAGCCTCGAGCTTCTCATGCACTCTTTGTGCAAATCTTGGATCTAGTGATCATGATATCCCACAGTTGTGGTGCCCGCTATGCTTGGCAAACATTGTTGAGCATGGGATACATGGAGTAGGTTCAAGGGTTTGTTATCTGTTTCTGTTTCCCCGCATCGTGTCTTGCATATATATGGACCTCCTGTCCCCCTCATTTCTCTCTTTCTATTTCCTTCGCCTTCTCCATTCCATATTCTCCCTTTACTACAAGTGTCCGATATTGCGTTTCAGAAGCTCTACATCAATCTTCTTGATTCATCATGGCTTTCGATCCTGAGAAGGTGTCCGTCGACCAAGTCGAGCGGACTGTCTCGCAAGAATCTAACGATGCTCGAATTGCACAATTTACACCCGAACAGCAGCGAAAAATCATTCACCGCGTTGACCGCAGACTTGTGACAACGCTTGGTGCTCTGTACGCCTGCAGTCTCATGGATAGAACCAATCTAGGAGCTGTAAATATTGCAGGGTATGTCCTGTACCACTTGCCGCTTTTGGGTCTTACTAATGCATTCGCAGCATGTCGAAGGCGCTGAAGCTGCATGGATCGCAATACAGCTTGATCGTCCTGATCTTCTTCATTCCCTATGTTCTCTTCCAGCCGCCGGCAACTGTCGTTCTACGGAAAATGGGACCACGTCATTTTCTTACTGCCATTGTTATTCTATGGGGAGGCTGCATGATTGTGAGTAATCAACGCCTCGATTCCAACCACCCGTCTAATAGCTTCAGGGGTTTGGCTTTGTCAAGAAATGGGATCAGATGCTTGGTCTCCGTGTTATTCTCGGTGTTCTCGAAGCTGGTTTCTTCCCTGGGTGTGCTTATCTCCTCTCAACGTGGTACACCAGATATGAGCTGCAGAAGCGAAATGCGGTGTTCTATCTTATTGGCAGTATGGCTTCAGCATGCTCTGGTATCTTAGCATACGGTATCATGCAAATGAACGGACTCGCCAATCTCGCAGGCTGGCGATGGATCTTTATCGTAAGCTCTCATCGATCACCATGTCAACGCTCATAACTAACAAACATACAGATCGAAGGCCTCCTAACCTGCGTTCTTGGCATAGTCGGCTACTTCCTCATCGTCGACTTCCCCGAACACGCTGCCACATCCTGGAAGTTCCTCTCCAAAGCCGAGTCCGACTTCATCGTCGCCCGCATCGAGCTCGACCGTCACGACGCCGTCCTCGAACCGTTCTCCCTAAAATCCTACCTCAAGAACGCCCTCGACTCCAAAGTCTGGGGCTTCGCCTGCCTCTTCGGCCTCACCACCACAAACACCTACGCCATCGCCTATTTCCTGCCCGTCATCCTCCGTCTCGGAATGGGCTTCTCCATCGCTAAAGCTCAATGTCTCGTGGCTCCTCCTTATGTCGCGGCTGCAATTGTCATGTTTGGATGTGCTGCTTTGGGTGATAAGTACCATATTCGTGGACCCATCATCATCGGCAATGCGATTCTTGGCCTGATCGGCCTGCCTCTCCTCGGCTACGCAACTAATAACGGCGTCCGCTATTTCGGTGTATTCCTCGCAACGATCGCTTGCAATGCCAATATTCCCGCCGTGTTGACATACCAAGCGAACAACATCCGCGGGCAGTGGAAGCGCGCCCTGTGTTCTGCCACGTTAGTTGGGTTTGGTGGTATTGGTGGTATTATTGGGAGCACGGTTTTCAGGGATGAGGATGCGCCGAAGTATGGCCCGGGTATTATGACGACTATGATTAGTAGTGGGCTGGTTATTGTTATTACGTGTTTGATGACTGTGAAGTTTCACTTGGCGAATAAGAGGGTGGATAGGGGTGGGAAGGCGATTGAGGGGCAGGAAGGTTTTAGGTATACTCTTTAGACGTGTGTAGTTTGAGGTAAATGGCAGAAGGTTAATTATATGAATCTCCCATGTCCCATCTTTCCAGTAATTATGATACGGAAAGCGAATTGGAGGTCTAGACTTCTTCATCTCCTCTGATACAAATCTTATACTCCTCCGAGGGTCTGAATAAGAAAAGCAGAGTATCCAATGGAAGAAGAAGTCCAGGGGGACAGACACATTAAGACTTCCCCAAATTCAAAGCATGGTTGGCACGTGACATAATGCCAAGAACTGGAGATATCTGTCTCACGCACATTTGATCAACTTCTACCGTTCGCACTCAACAACGCTCATCGATGCCGTCGCCTACCAACCTGTCAGACTTTGAATTGCAATAAGATAAGCAAACACAAGATGAGCGGGTTGAATCCACATTGGCCTGCGTCAAGGCTTACTAGTGCTTCGTTCACGATATCGCTTGCCAGAACCGCGGCGGCTAACAACTGACCTTGTGAAGAAGGATCGGAAATAGCTTCGCGAAGCCGCTAGGTGATGAACGACACGGATGTTATTCTCCTATCTGTTTTCGAAGTTGTGGGAAGAGGATATCCTTGATCCTCTCCATGTGGACAAATCGCCGGTCCAATAGTAAGGTCGGCCTCCGGATTTGTTGGTTTTACCTAATACTCCACGGGATCTGTCCCACGCTCTTGTGCGCGTCAAAACTTGTTCTGTCTTATGAAGCTGCAAGGGAGAATGGAAATAGACCACCTTCGAGTCGAAACCCAGATCGAGACCGAGTTCAATCCCGACAGTTCGGAGACGAGGCTTGAGAGGAGAACGAATTCAACTCTGGATGGTCAGCCAAAATCCAGCACTGCAGATCTTGGCATGTTTCCCCTCTTTATCATGCACTACATTCACACAGATCACAATCCATGAGCCAATGGTGCTTCCATTTAGATTCTGTAAGCGCTTTATCGATACGGACCGTTCCTGTTGCGCGCCTGTCTCATGCTCGCTATTCTGGTCAACGCTTGAGTTGAGGTGGAGTGGAATAACGACTTAGTTCTTGTGATTGGGTACTTCAGATGTCAAGAGAAGGTTTCAAGTGCTATATATGTATATCTCTCTGTGCTTCGAGCGTCCCTCAATTTTTTGTTAACATAGTCTCTAGCTCGTTCAAATTCGCCGCTATCTTCTCCTCAGATATACACCTCAAGGTCTGCAAATCAATCGTTGCCTCATCAAGTGGAACTCAGTCAAGCACGCTCAATGAATCATCCGTTTCCAGGGCCCTTTGTGAACATTTCACGGCTCACTCTGGCTCAACAACAGGCTGCCGCGCGTCGTCAGGTAAATCCGGCAGACGTAGGCTATGATATGTACCCTCCACCTCATAGTGGCGGCCCTGGCCCTGAATTACAGAGGTCGCCCCCGAACCACGGACAAGACCAGCGATCTGCCATGGGTCAGCTTCAAAACAATCGGGGTAGGCCCGCCCCAAATCCCAACACAAATATGAATCCGAGCGGCAACCCGTCCACGAGCTCCAGAGGTCCAGCAACGATGGCTTCAAATGCCGAAGTTTTTTCTACTTCCGTAGCTGACATGCTGAATATGATTCGTGAATCAGAAGAACAAGTCGCCAGCCCATCAGAATCTCATATCATGGACTCTACGAGCAAGCGAAGAAGGCTTTCGTCAAGCTCAGAGAAATTTGATAGACCAGACTCACCTTCAGTGACGGAGAATACACAGTTATTGGAGCAAAAGATTCGGGACCTTGAGAAACGACTCGAGTCGCATGTGGAAAAGTCCGACCTGAGTATCAAGTATTTACAAGAAAAGCTCATAGCCATACTGGAAAGCCTCAATCAACGACATTTTCCCGGCGACAATAATTACTTCCAGGCTCCGACGGTTCCGAATCATCCTGGTGATAACACTCATGTCTCTAGCGCCCTAACACCGCTAACATACCATAGATCACTGTCTTGTACTCCTCATTCCCGCCAATGGCACAGTTCCTCGGATAGTCAACATCCCCTTAGTTGATGCACAGCCCATCGGAGACGGAGATGAAGGTCTGAACCGCTTGCCTGATATGTGTCCACTATGGGGCAAGGAAGGGTGGTCTTGCCGTAAGGTGATTGGAACCAGCTTTGTCGACATATCCCTCTCGTCCTATGATGTCAACGATTTTTACTTTATACTCAAATCTACCGACGAAAAGAATCTACTGCGGAACCCACACTTCGATTCTGTCTGGGGTGATGTCTGCATCATGCGACGGGCGAATTTCTCTACTGAAGAGGACTCGACCACCTTCGCCCACATGTCTCCAAGTGTTCTACTCGTGGGTCTTTGGAGGACTATGTTCGGAGGATCCATTGAAACGGGATGAGGTCCCTGAAAATGACTGTCTGAGTAGTTGTTTCCTCTGGAATTGTTCCTCTTGAGTGTTGTCAGCTCGTTCTAAACAGCATGATATTTAGTCTCAAGATCTATGAGCTTCCTATATTCTATTTTTCCCGCAACTGTTCTATCCTGACTTTATTCCCTGGTGGATCTGCTGCATCAAGAATCAATTCTATTGCTCGCAAACTCATTGTAATGTCTGCTGCATCGCGGGTGACAAGTCCAACGTCAGGTAGTAGCCCTGAGCAAGTTGAGCTTATGGCCAAGATGCATTTCAACAACATTAACCGACTGGGCACCAGTCGTTCTACATTCCTTGCCAACATCATGAGCATGACCACGGTACGACCGACCGACGTGCGAAACCTCAGATCCTCGACAGGCATATCGGCTGTGCTGCCGAAGTCAAAAGTCTCAGTTGTTTCTGGGCAGATATAAGCTCTGTCATGGCGCACTTGCATTGGCTGGTATTTCAGGTTTCAACGAATGCTTCGCCCGATCTATCGAAACCAGAGAAGATCCCCTCCATATGATCGGTAGCCCGTTCCGAAATTGGTGTGGTTTCGGTACTTTCGCATCACGAGGCTTCTATCATTGCTAGATGCCAAGTGGAAAGTTTGTCGTGCTCTCAGGCACAACTCTGTTTGATCCCCTGGATTAATTGGGTGATCCAGGGGTCAATTCCGTGAAAACAGTTTCTATCGAGTTCTATAAACTGCTATCAAGCCCCCGACATGAAGCCCTATATGGACCCAAATAATATCTGCAGTGGTACAGATCTCCACACTAACATATTTCGGTGCTATTGGTGGCTGCCGGCAGTAATCTGGGTGCTGCTGGCCCCAGGACACAAACGCCTCATCTGCGTCATACAACGCAAATACAATAGAATACCTATCTCGAGATCCCACGCACGCCACTGATGTGGTTATCCCATCACTTTATGTTGGTTGTCTCACAATCGATCGGCACCTAAAGCATATATCACTAGTCAAACCGGGTAAATTTGCGGCTCTCCGGCCTTCCGTTTCCGTTTGATGTTTCTTAGCGTGGAGGACTATCCTTGGTTTCTTGATCCTCGTATCTCCAGAGCCAGCTTCGAGATCCTCTCATCCGGGGTAATTTCTGGGTAATTAAGCCTCTGCAGATTGGCTAAAGAAGAATCGGTCTGCCGGCCCCCCACATGTCACATGCCGAGTCAGTCCTGAATATGGGGTCAATATGGGTAATAAGCGAATTTCCTGGGAGTTTGCCCAAACGGCAGGTCGAGAGTCACCTGAACGTAGCCGCACATATATTTCATATAGTGGCAGCGCTGGCTGAGGCCAGCGGCAGAAACACGATCGTTTATCGGCGTCGACTATGATTCTGACACAGGCGTTAATTCTTCCCTGGTAGGCACGACGGCCCCACCGGTACATGAATTTCTCTACACATCACACTCTATCTGCGCCCACCGCCTTGATCATGGAGGTCTCGTACTGGTGTGATCTTGGTCTGAGTGGGCCCCACCATGAACCTTTCAATCAATAGAGCCAGTAGTATGAAAATTATCTCTTTCATGCTCGGCTTGTTGGAACCGTTGTATACATCATACCAAGCGGCTCCTGGCACCATCTTCCTCCACAGTCGCTATATATGATCAGTTCCTACTCGGACTAGCTGTCCACACGTCTCTCGCTTACATATCAACGGCCTTTTCTCTCATCTTAGCTGGGTATCCTTCAGGACTTGACATGTCTCCAACATGGTCTCATGGTGATGTTACCCAAACTGATAGTCCCAACCGGGACTTTGATGACGCAGAGAAAGGCATGTACGATGGTACTCCCAGCTTGCCAGTGCGACCACCTCTCGCCTGTCTGGATGGCAGGCCACCCAATCGTATCGATACAGCACTGTCACCAACGTCACCAATTCATGAGGGCATAACGCCATTCTCGAGCGTGCCGATGCTGTCCCTGTCATGGCCAGAAGGAAAGCCACCGAAGCTCACACCTGTTGCCCCTAGGAAACCAGTACGGGAGAGTCGGTGGATTCGTTGTCAACTGTGGTTCAACACATACCGGAAGTTCTTTACATTTGTCACATTGCTCAATTTGGCTGGTATCATTATGGTCTCCTTGGGCCGGTTTCCTTATGCGGAGAGCCATACCGGAGCAATGGTACTTGGGAACCTCTTGACAGCGGTGCTGATGCGAAACGAGTTGTTTCTGCGCTTTTTGTACCTCATTGCAATTTATGGTCTGAGGAGCGTATGTACACCTTCATGCCCTACTTTGATGATGCTCATAGATTGAATAGTGGGCTCCCATATGGATCAAGCTATCAGTAACATCAATTTTGCAACACGTTGGAGGGATACATTCAGGATGTGCGCTTTCTGGAGCCGCGTAGGTCATGCCGTTACCCACGTAATGGCAGTACTGATACGAAAGAAGCTGGCTAGTGTACAAGATCGTCGACATCGTGCGGCATCGCTCTGTACAGCACCGCACGGTAATTGCAACTGGTATTCTCACCAATGTTCTTGTCATAATTTCCGTGCTGAGTGCATTCCCATGGATCCGCAAGTCAGTACAATTACCACCCTGTATCTCACGGCAACTGACTTTACAAACAGCTACCACCACAACGTCTTTGAGAGGCATCATCGATTCATTGGATGGCTGGGTCTTACTGTGAGTATTCACTACTCGGCTTCTGGCTGTCAATCTGACACTAGCTAGGCGACCTGGTGCTTTGTGATCCTTGGAAACACTTACGACATCAAACGAGGGGAATGGAGACATGATGCCAACTCGTTACTGAGCGCGCAGGAACTGTGGTTCGCCGTGTTCATGACAATATTGTATGCTTCATCCTACTTTCATTCTCAACCTCAGCATGACTAACAGCGGCAAGTGTTCTCATCCCTTGGCTCACCCTCCGCAAAGTCCCCGTCGAAGTTGAAATCGTGAGACCACTTATCTCTTCTTAAATTTCTGTCCCTAACATCAACGCAGCCATCTCCTAAAGTGGCGATTCTCCGCTTCAACCGTGGTATCCAGCAAGGTCTGCTGGGAAGAATTAGTCGGACTTCAATCATGGAGTATCATGCGTTTGGGATCATCAGCGAGGGGACAAGGTCTCCGCATCATTACATGATCTGTGGCGTGCAAGGTGACTTTACCGAGAGTCTGGTTAAGAATCCGCCGAAGTTTGTGTGGACACGGGAACTGAAGTTTGGTATGTATCAAACTGAGAAATAAAGTTTTGAAAGCTAATATGAGATAGCTGGTGTTGGCCATGCTTCCGCAATGTTTAAGCGCGGTATTCGAATATGTACTGGCACAGGTATTGGAGCAGCGCTCTCCACCTGCATTCAAAATCCTAACTGGTAAATACAGCCACCCAGCTCCTTCTGTTTCTCAGTTTCTATCAATCTGCTGTATCTAACATTAAATCAGGTTTCTCATCTGGATCGGGTCTGACCAAGAACGAACCTTCGGCCCGACAATATCGCGGCTAATCCATGATAACATCGAGCCGGAGCGCATGATCCTCTGGGACTCTAAGAAACGAGGTGGCAGACCAGATTCAGTTCAGCTGCTGAAAGATACGTGGCGCAGCTTTGGGGCAGAGGTTATTTTTATCACGAGCAACATGAAGGGGAATGATGAGATGATGCACGGTTGTCATGCTGGTATGTCGAGATCTTTTGTCCTCGTCCTTCTCTCGATTGCCTTCTGGTACAGATGAGTTCCTTGCTGACATATAAATGCAGCTGGTTTGCATGCCTTTGGCACGCTTTGGGACTTCTGATACAAATAACTTCTCGTCCAGACCAATACAAAGAATCCGAAGGTGTGACGCAGGTGAGGGGGAAATTCGATAGACGCAGTTGCATATACGCATGGCATGGTAGAAGGAAGCATCATTTGTGCGCAGCGAGCATGGCTGGAATATTTGCATAACCAGTACTAGCGATACTTTTTTGAGACAACTTAGATCAATTAATCAAAAGTTGAAAGAAACACCGCTTGGAGCCTTCTAATCTTGTGCGTTTGACATTGTCTGGCCTCAGTATCGTCCGTCTTCTTGCTGCCAAGCTGGTAGCTCAGCTCAAGTCAAGAAATTATATTGACTACTAAAATAGGATATTCCAATGACGAAATACGTTCCATCAATCGTGCTTACCCTTGGTGGTAACCGACATGTACCCCAAGGTGTGGCTTGAATTGAAGACTCACTAGGAGGTGTGGGGGTCAGATTAGCGTAGATCCCCGGCCCGAGAATCCTAGGAGCATGCCAGCGCTGTGCCAACATCACCTGAAGATCTGGAAAGAAAGCCAAGATAATATAAAGATACTGTCCCTTAGCGAGCTCCGCTTATGCTCTCTGAAAAATCGACTTGACCTTGTTCTTTTGTATGTCTAGAAAAGTCACTTGACTGGAGTACTCTACGGGACCTGGCGGTCGCATATTAGGTTATGATCTCGAATTAATCAATTATCATGTTGGATCGTGCTTATCTTAATAAGTCGTGTTTGACAAGCAGCTGCTTGGATAATAACCACAGGGATGAAGCAGAAGAAGCTGATAGGGAGAGGGTGGTTTTGCTTGGTATCACGTTCATTATGAAGAAAGATTAGGGCTATATCTTAGCCTTGAAGAGCAGTATATACCAGCTACAGAAAATTCTTGTCCTGAATACCAGACCATCTGACAACATCTCATACTTTCATATAAACATCACCTGACTTTTTCTGGCTCTAGTCACTACTTCTTCGTGTATTCCTTGGTAAAGTCATATTTGATTCTATTTTGTCCCTATCAACCGGTATTAGAGAACTCGAAAGGTCGAGGTTTTGGAAATATGACTCACTAGTTGCATTTGCCTTGAATATTCAAGATCAGTAGCGGTCCGCTTACACATCTTCAAGAACTCGTCATTCTCCAGGGCGGAATCCGGATCTTGATCGAAAAGACGTCGGATGTTTTCACTCGATACGGGGTCGATGATTTCCTTGTATATTTTGCTTCGGATCTCCGAGTACTTGTCGAGTATTGATGGGTCTGCCTTTCCGTCGTATATCCCAACCAAACAGTCGTACAGTCCGCCAACATCCACGATTCCACCTGTCAGACCTAAGCCGCCACTATGGGGGAGTCGGTTTAGATCCCATTTTCAAGAAGTTGCGGATACAGAAAGGGATTGGAAATCAACTTACAATGGGTTGCACAGGTGAGCTGCATCAGCCGCCAAGAGAAAACGCCCAACCCGTAATTTCTCGGCCAATCTCTGGTGAACCTTATAGGGACTGAAGTTGACCACACGATATTCCTCTGGTTCAGGATGGCCGGGAAACATTGCTTTGAATTTTGCAGGCAACCTTTGGAGTAACTCATCTCTGGAGAGTCCCGGTTTCTCGCCGTACGTGACGCGCCATAGACCGTCATTGCTGATCCTAGCAACCATATGCCAGTGTTCCGGGTGGATGAAGAAATTAGAGTCATTATAGCCATACTGCTGAAAGTCATAATATGTCTATGTGTTGGAATATATGTCAGCAACTCGAACAAGAAAACCTCCGCTTAGCATCAAGAGATAAAGAACAAGAAGATGAGGAAGGAAAATAGAAAACTGTATAAGATAGCCAGGACACTCACGTTGGTAGCAACAACCTGCTCGTCCCACGTTCTGCCTGGAAAGCTCTTTCCGAATAGGCATCTTCGCACTTGGCTATTTGCTCCATCACATCCGACTACATAGTCGGCCTCCACCCGTTTCCTACCATCGGCCCGCTCGACTTCAACCCATGCCTTTTCCTCATCTTGGCCAATATCCACAACCTTACTCCCCCACTCCACTCTCGCAGTCTCCTGCCTCTCAAGATGACGATACAGAATAGCACCAACTTGATCCAGCGGTAGACAGGTCACCCTATCAGGCACGCCTTCGAAAATGGTAGCATCTAAGCCGGCTAGAACAGTTCCATCCAGTTTCCTCCAAAAGATGCCGTCAGGGTGAAAGCCAGCGGCTATCACATCGTCCATCACGCCAGCACGGATGAGCTCTTGGACTGCGGGTGGCCCATAGTGCGTTGCTCGAGGTTGCTTGTCCAACTCGGCTGCACTTTCTAAAATGGTGACTTCGATCCCTCTTTTTGCGAGCATGAGTGCAAGAAGAAGACCGGACGGCCCAGCGCCGACGATGATGACCTGAAAAGTAACAATTAGTTATCTCGACTTGTATCAGACATATAGTTGTGGCTGTGATGCAGAAAAAGTAAGGAGACGAACATTTTTGAACCCATGGGTTTGGACTGCTGAAGGCATTGTTGGCAATATTAGCGAGGCTTGCAGTGGAGACAAAATTTGAAAGGGTTCAATGTGTATCCGAATTTGTCGGTGCGAATCGTTGGGGAACGATCAAAGATAAATGCCAGAGCTATGTAGTATTTATAAATGGTTGTTCTCTCTGGGGAGGTGATTATCTAGGCCGTCTGGATTGGGGGGAAATCCGAAAGCGGTTCTCGGCCGGTCTGGTAAGAAAATTGATGTTTTGTATTAACTTCTTAAGCGAGCCTACAAGCGACAGCGAGGAGCGAGCCGGGAATCCCCCTGGTATCGAGAAAATGAGGGGCATTTACCCCATTGCCCCGCACGGTTTCGATAGATGAGCTATTGAATAACACAACAAGGCAAAAAAATAGATTCAATGCTTAATGCTTGAATAGCTAAGCTAGGGTAGCAATTGATCACATGAGTTCTCGATTCGTTTCTTGGTATGATTGCTCTTTACAGCGACGTGGTGCATGATTGTCACAATGGACTCTATGAATATGGACAGTTTCTCTGAAATATGGAGAATTTTTATAGAGAAAATTTCTTTATTGACAGAATCCTGCTATTCTTATTTATACAAGACTTGTCTGTAGTTATAGCTGAAGTGCTATACAATAATGAAACATTGAAATTTCTGCACTCATAGAATCTTCGTCACAGAAATTGAGAGCCTTGAATCGAGGGATTTCAAGTTTACAACTACCCTTCCTTCCTCTCAGATTTTCCCTTCCCTGCCTTCGGCTTTTCCCTTCCCTTGCTATCACTTCTCTCACTGTTGCCATGGCGTCGTAGATTCTAGAAACGACGCTTCCGGAATATATCTAGTGTCACGATTCTAAGTCGAAGGCATAGGGTGAATATTGGAAGCACTGTCACGGCCCGTCTTCGCAAGGACGATCATATTCTTATTTCTTTAACATTATTTGATTATTATGTCAAAAAAAGTGTCAATCAGACTATTCCTAACCTCAAGCTATCGATATCATAATTATCAAAGAACGGTAAGAAACTCAAAACTTGCGGGGCAACCGCACATCCGAGTTCTCCAGGAATTGGCATAGTTGCTTTGAATTTTACAATACTCAATCTTGGTCCTCCATTCGCACATCCTTTGCACGCTGCCGTCGCGACATAAGTCTGGTTGATTTTCAGCGACCGGCCAATAATCTGCACCATATCGAGTCCTTCCAACTCCCTGAGAGTGAAAAGAGCAGTCGCTTTTGTGGAGTTTGTTACAGAAATCAAACGATTCTCGACTCGCTTTCCTAAGCCTTGACGTCCTAGATTCTCCAATCCTGACGTATTGGACCAAGTTGGAACGGCGCCGGCAACGAAAACTAAGGCTTGACTTTCTTGTCCGACGGAAAGGGTGGAGACAACTCTCATTGTGCTCGTGTCGAGTACATCGACGGTATCGCTGTGTTCATTGACCCAGTACATGAACTTATTGTCCGGACTTCCCCAGATTCCATGTGGTTCTATACCGGCTGCCGGAATAGACCTTACGAAAACAGGGACGCAGGATGGAGTGTCCTGGCGGTAAATTTTGGTCTCGTTTGAGGCGGCGACAGTAATGAATCCAAAGGTAGTCCCGTTCATGATCGCAAAATTTGGATGATTGCTTTCAAGTCCAGTATCTAGGATTATAACAATTTTCCTGGCCTCCAAATCGATAATGCTTGTTGTCCCAACCATCTTATGGACAGCCCAAAGTCGTGCTCCATCCGCAGATATCATCATATCTGACGAGAAGGTATCTCCAAGACCTGTGATTGTATCGACGACTTTCCGTGAGTTGACATCAATGACACTGATCGTCGGTGATTTAATATGATTGACATATGCCAGTTTCCCATCAGGGCTGAATAGGACTTTGCTGGGACCAGGAAGTGTTTCGATACGATCAACCACCCCGCCTTCCCAACCATCGACTAAATCAACGAAATTGGTTCCACGACATGCAACCCACACCGTGCGACCGTCATGTTCGAAAAATGCTTCATGAGAAGCCCGATCGACAGAAGTTTGTGAAACGATACTGTTATTGGCAGTACGAATCACAGTCAGCGTATTTGTGGTAACGCTGACATGACTGAGAAATTTCCCGTCAAGAGAAAAACCCAGCCCGTGACTGTTGACGACTTGGAGATATTGCGGATTCAGGATGTTGGTCAATCGAGGAAGGCCAAGGGCAATCGTTCCAAGGACCTCGTTTGTCAAGGGCTTGATGACGGTAATGGTGTTCGACGTTTGGTCGGCTGTGTAGATTCTATCTGCCTCGGTCACAGCTTGGGCTCCGGGCATCGCGGGGGCTTGCGATAATGAGAGGGTAGTTGGTATCACCACTAAAAGGCAGAATACAGATGTTAGAAACACCATAGTTGTAACTTAATCAGCAGGATACTCTACATTAAATTCATAGATCGTCTGGGGGCATGGGCTCCATCTTTATAGCATCAGCGTTCGACACTACAGGACACATCAGTACCACCATACCATGTGTCCAAGAGCTTTCGGATCTAAATGTGAGATCTTTGACGTCATGGGAAACTTATGGTACAGCCACAGCCACGTCCGTAATGAAAGTACCTAGCTTTAATCAGGATGGGTGAGCCCCACGATCTCGTCTCGTCCTTAGGTACATTTGTACGGACCAAATCTTTGAACTCGCCTCGGAATACCAAGTCTGAAGCACGTATTTATGTGAAATATTATGAGAATTAAATTGATCGTTACCAAGCAAGGTATCGACTTGAATAATCATACAATATGTAATATCGTGGTTGTGGAGATATAAAGGGGGGTGAAAAAGACGGGTTCGTGGCTTTGTTTAACTTTGAGCTTAAAGAAATCGCCAAGAACTACTCGATGGTACCCAATTAAAGACGTTTTCTTTAATTTGAAGCTGTACAGCACCTGTAAAATATTTAAATAATTGAAAGCTGGCAGAATGCACGATTATTGGCTTCATGTTTAATCAATAGCCTTAGGGTTGACAACGTCAAAGGGCGGTGAAATCTGACATCGTATTCGTACATCTTAATAAGGCGGAGTTAAAAAGTGCTCGAAAATCGCGGAAGACAGGTAGTTACTAACATGACTGTAAGTCAGACGGAGCATGACAAACGATGCAGCGTGATGACTTGGGTGAGAGTTCGTCATTGGATTTATGTCCTGTCATCTTATTGCTCGCTTTCGCACGCACGCTCCAATGTCCGCCCGTTGCCAGGGTTTCACGAAAGTGCCCTCTGATCGTTTAGATACCTGTATCTCACACCACTTATTCAAGACCAAGTTTGAATTGCCCATTCAAAAAGAGGTAAGCTCGGTACTATTGTTTGTTGATCTTCAAATGAGCACTGTCACTCACTGAAATTAAGCGAAGGCGGGACACTGGTGGGGATGTCATCCACCTGTTGATCTTTTCTTTTGTAGTGTTTTAAGGTCCCAAGTTTACACCACACTGATGTTTAATTTTCTAGATGAAACTTTATGCGGTATGAGCTATTGGCTTGAAGAATAATCTGTCTCGTCGATAAGGATCAGCGTTCGCAATATTGTGGGTTGATCACATGCGCTTTAACGGCCTAGACTACTGACACAATGTCTGTGATTGGCCAAACCTTGCCTGATGAAGAAATATTTCCGATAACGCCATAAGTGATGCCTCATCTGAATGGTCGTATCTTTGATCAGTTGCAAAAAAAGGAAAAAAGAGGGGCCGGGCCGATCAGGACCTCAAAAATTGATATTGTCCATGGTGATTTAGTCTGTAATGAGCGAAATCTTCCTTCTTCCTGAGACTTTCCCTAACTCAACAAGTAGAAATAACATGTTCCGTGTCCTCAAGTCTCCTGTCTCGGTGCTTTATCGATGTCAAGTGAGCCCTCCCAACCAGCTATTGGCGCTGCAATACAATCAGAATTGAATCGAGAACATTCCAGTGTTGCATTTACCAATCTGCACAATATCAGCATTGAACTCTTCAAAAAATTATTTTCCGCATCAATTGGATCCCATTGATGCGGGAGTTTAGACATTTTCTCAACTTACAACATGGCCAATCGACCCCAGCCTTTCTCCCTCTCTCTAATTAAGCATTGCACCAAGGAGTAGTATAGCCAGCCGGCTTCACACAAGACTGGTTCCTGCAGGATGCGGCGATGACCCAGCGACCTTGACTACAGACGCAGATGTTTGCGAAGTTCTGGCAGCAGGTGTACGTTGCTTCGGGGCTGCATGGCTGGCCCGGGGTGTTTTGGGCGAGAACGGTTGCTGAGATGACTGCGAGGGCAGAGAAGATGGTGCTGAGCTGCATTTTAAGAGTGGGTGATGGTGAGATTCGTTTGGAGGTTTTGAGAATGGAGAGTATATTGGTGAGATAAAGTGTGGTGAGGTTTGTTTGATGGGAGACTGGTCGACTTGCTCGAATTTATAGACTTTGCTCTCAGTCGAAGTCAGCCGGATTCGGGGTTCGCAATTGACCAAGACACTTCTTTCACGTACAATCCCCTTGGTTATCTCACTGTATTCATATGAAGCAGCCAATCTGAGATATTAGTTGAGTACTTGGCGTATGCAGCAGAGCAGTAAGTAGTACGGAGATTCTTGTAGTGCTGAGAAGTTGTTGATCCTCTGGCAATGAGCACATTGACATGCTGCCAAGTCCAAGTCAGTAGATCATTGCATAAATAGCTCAAACTTGACGAGTTGATGTTGGATATTGCAGATTTGATGGCTTGGCTGTAATCTATGGAAAAGGTTGATGGGGATCGGATCTTGCCTATAGTCCGAAAAGCTTGTCCTTCTAACCCCCAAGCCACCGAGAATGCTGCAGTATGTATGTCAGATCTGACTACATGATACACATAATACGTGGCCCCATAGTTTCTACAGAATCTACTATCTAGATAGGAAATTGATGATCTCTCTAACTGGGGCTATGAGACTTCATAGACGACAGGCATGGAGTTTTGCACATTCGCGAACGGACTATCGTAAACACCGAATGGTTTTCGACGTCCATCAATGCATGAAATATTTATATAGAATGTCCAGGAATATTCTAGAAATAATCTTTGATGCTTTAAGAGTGTCCGTGTGCCTTGGAGAGAGTTGAGAAACAACTGAGATTTAGGAGCTTTCACACATGTCTTTTTTTTTTTTGAAAGTGACGTGGAAGGTCATTTGCAGGAATGGACTCTTACGACTGCTTGGTCTAGCTTTACGATGTCATTTTGTGCGTCATACCCAAGGTCTTTTGACATATACAGCCGGTCGGCTGGTCGAATAGCATTCGGAAGATATCCTTGAGAAGAGGCAGGATCTTTCTCCAATTCACCACCACCCACAACCTCCAAAATACAGCTCCGGTCAACCTAATCATCAATCCTTCCTCTCCAACCACGGCTCACACGCGTCATAAATCTCCTTAAAGCCCTTCACACCAACCATCCTCTCAAAAGTTCCCTCGTCCACAACCCTCGCACACTGCAACGCTCCCGCAACAAAGAAATCCGCATAACTTGGCACCTCACCCAACACAAAACCCCCCTTCTCCCTATTCGTCAAAAGCAACTCCCCCACCTCCTTCCACCCCTCCTTACTCTCCTCCCATGCCTTCTCCTCTTTCTCCCCCTCAAGCAACTCCTCCATCCTATGTCCTAGGGTTGCCTCTCTCGTGCGCCTGAAATAGTCCTGTGATTTCGGAGACAGGATGTGGATCTCGCGGGGGAGGAGCGAGGCACGGAAAGTAGAGGAGAGGAGAGAGCGGGCAATGGACTGGATTTGCGTGCCGAGGGGGGAGGTGAGTGGGAGGGGTGGAGAGGGGTAGGTGGTGGTGAGGAATTCGGCGATGGGGAGGGAGTCCATGAGGTGGGTGTTGGTGGGGAGGTGAGTGATTGCGGGGACGGTGTAGAGGATTGGGGGGGTTGATGTGCTGGGTGGGATACCGCTGTGATCAGATTCAGTATAAATTTGTAAAAAAACGGTGTTCGAAAGTCTGGGTCATCTTGCTGTAAGAGGACCAGGGCGAGGAACGTAGAAGGTGGGATGGGAGGATTGGGATGAAGGAGAGAGCAGGTTCAACTTACAGGCCCTTGAGAGTAGGCTCGATATCCGGGAACTCAAGAAAGATAGTCCTGTACGGGACTTTCTTGTAGTTCAATATCATCCGGATACGCCAGACAATAGGCGAGAAACAGACGTTCTTGATACATGCCAAATCATATAATATAATCTCAGGTTCGGCTTCGGAGGCCATGCTGGGCAGGAATTTGAATTTCAGGATGTTGAAATTGATTGTTTATCTTTTGGTAGCTGATAAGATTTTGGGGAATCTTAAATAGATAAATCCGTCGATACGAAACTGGCTTCCATTTAGAAATGTTCACGTGATGACGCGTGATTGTTGGTGCCTGCTGGTGTCCATCCATGCCTAAATCGTTACCGATTCAATTGCAAAGTCTCCAAGAACAACGCAGAGCTCGATTTAGATGATCGGGTGTACTCGTATTAATCCCATCTTGTTCACCGTGAAAAGTGCATGGCTACATGTGAAGGGCGTAGATTGATAAGCTTGCATCCGAGCAATGGTGGTCGGATAGATTGAAACCACCGACGAGTAGAGAGTGCAAATCAATTAGGGATGAGAAGTGAGCCATCCGTATCCACAAGGCCCATTGTATGCAATTGCGGTGGTTCGGAGAACAGTTGAAGAGTGTTTGGGTTGAGGGGAGAGGAGGAACGCGTTGACCCTGTTGGAGGTCTGAGCACGAGATCACATGATCTCCCAAATTTCACTTCCTCCGCCTCCATCCTTTCGCCTTCACTTCCTTTTTCACCATTAACATCATCAACTCTCTCCTTCTGCGAATGCATAACTTCACTTCCCCATCCATGGGAAGAACAGCACACCGGAGAATCTACGATTAGCTTTCTACATCCTCCTAACATGAGATCCATGACAATAGAGCTTTGCTTTTGAAACTTGCGTGGCTCGTTGGATGAATGTTCCTGCCGGGAGAGCCCTGAATTCAAAAATGAAAGTTTCGAGCACCCACATTCTATGTCTTCCGAAATTTCCGCCTCCTTAAATTATTTTCGGGTTGATCATTACTTCTTTTCGCATTTCTGCATCGTTCGATCATTTCTTCGACATTGACGTGTCTGTCTTACTTTTTCGTCTCCTGTACATCTTTGCGGATTGTTTCATAGCTTTTCTGAGCGAGGACAATGACGATTTCAAAGTCCCCGCTCTTTTATTTTGTTTTAACTTCCATTCAACGCAATTCCCGGTTAGCATTTCCGAGTTTCGTGTCGTCATGCATCACCCATTCTCAAGTAACGGGGAATATCCACAAAGAAAAATCCCATCACAGGTTGACATGTGTTCTGACCAGTTGGTCGGAGTCAGCTGTGTTTGAAGCGTCTGCTTAAAAGCATGGAACGCCTGACTTCCCCGGATTGCTATATATTACTGCCGAGACCCAGCACACACATACCAAAATTTCTGATTTGTCAATGCTTCTCGTTTCTTTTGAGAATTGAGTATCATCTAAGCTCATCTTCCCGTGACAATCGTACACAGAAGATTGTGAGGATATCTCAGAAGGTCGAAGAGTAACGATGAACGCCATTCAAGCTTGGAAGATCTGGACGAAGAAGGTGGTGGGAAAGATGAAAAGGGACCCGCAGCAGAAAACACAATCTAAGCCACAAAAGAGACCTGCATTGCGAATGAGAAGGTTCAAGAGGATGGAAACAGAGGAGTCGATAGATAGTGTGTAAGTATTGCCATGCAAATGCCAAATTTCATGGACGCATAGCTGACTGTGAAAGTGCCCAATCATTGGTGCATCGCAATAGCTACTGACGATGCGAAGTGAGACTTAACCACAAATCGTCATGGAAATACGTGTCAATGAATCAACTTCGGACCACAAGCTGCACAGGCGATTGCAGTCAGAGACTCCTGCGTCTTCGGATACTTTCCCCAAGAGGGCTCTCGAAATCCAAGACCACTCGCAAAGGACTCAATGGCTGACATGCTCGTCGACTTTCTCTAGCTCAGCATAAAAGAAAAGAATAATATCAAGGAGTTGACGGGCAATTGGAGGGCCTAATTCCGAGGCTACAATAAGAAATGCCATCGCAGAGATGCCTGCTGGTATTTAAATGCAACAAGCTACGACGTCCGTCGGATGATTGAATTCGACTGCCACTGGAGCATTGCAAAGACCCAGTAAACGGCTGTTTTCACTCCACCAAGATCCTCGGTACAAGCTGGCTTCTCTGGGGACTTCATTCTTGCCCGAGGTCAAGAAACTCGACATATCTGACGAGTGGCCCTCCAAGTGCTCGCCGTTCGAAGTGCTGAAACACAATGATTGATTCGCGTGGAAGTCAACATCAAGAGAGCATCCGCCCAAAAGAGGAAAAACCTCGGACTAGTCAAGCCGTCATCTACAACCGCACCAATCAACACCTCAAAATTCCTCCTACCCCTCGCTTCAGCCTTGTGTAGCCTCGCCCCACGTCAAAAACCGGGAATCAGCCGCGAGTTAACACCCCACTACTTTCAAGAACAGCCTGAATTGGAGGTGGATATCCTACTTACATTACCTCACCTCACTGCACTTATTTTTCCGTTCCTGCGTCTTCTCTTTCCTCCATTTATTCACTACATTGAAGCTTCAAACGTCCAACAACCACAATTACTCACCTCTCACTAAGGCAGAGAAGATAATTCTCTACCCCGCACCTCACCTCACACATCCAATTCAAGCAAACCATCTACACGCAGCACTCGTTAACCATGTCCTCCCCCGCATATCTCGAATTTCTGCCTCTAGGCGCCATAATCCAATCCTTCCTCGTCGGAAAATCCAACCTGAACATCGTCCAAGGCTTCCCGAAACAAGAACACTACGTCTCCTACAACGGTCCCTTCTTCGGCGAGACAATCGGTCGAGTCGCCAACAGAATCAAGAGTGGAAAGATCGATTCCCTGAACGGACAATCCTACACACTTGCGAAGAACAATGGCGCGAATGCTCTGCATGGAGGGGATGTTGGCTGGGGGAAACGAGTCTGGGAGGGCCCGGCGCCGGTTGGTGTCAGGAGTATACCTGGTGTTGCAGGGCTGGAGGGAGGAGAGAGTGTGAAGTTTACGCTGAGGAGTGAGGATGGGGATGAGGGGTATCCTGGGACGGTGGATGTTAGTGTTGTGTACACAGCGGGTGTGGTGAGAGGGGAGGGAGGGAAGGAAGTCAGGGTTTTGGGGATTGAATATGAGGTGCAGCTGGTGGGGGATGAGGTTGAGGAGACGGTGGTTAATGTTACGAACCATTCGTAAGTGTCTTTTTATTTTTTCTTCCCTTCTTGCCTCCTTAGCAGTCGCTATTCTAGAATTCGGCCTTTCGAGCCCAACAGGAATGGGAGTAATAGCATATACAAGGAGAGACACTGACGTCCAACCCAGCTATTTCAACCTCACCGGCTCCCCAACCATAACAGGCACCGAAGTCACCCTCACCACAACCGCCTACCTCCCCGTCGACGCAGGCGGAATCCCCACCTCCTCCTCCACCGCTGCCTACCCAGCCCTCACCCCCAACCAACCCTTCACACTCGGCACCTCCGAGCCCGACATCGACGACTGCTTCGTCGTAGACCCCTCGCTCGCATCCTCCATCCCACTCGACACGCGCTCCTCTCCTCTCAATTCGCTAGTCAAAGCGTATCATCCAGACAGTAAAGTGCATCTCGAAGTGCTGAGCACAGAGCCGGCGTTCCAGTTTTATACGGGAAAGTATATTGATGTGCCTGAGATTGGGAGTGGGGAGAATGGGGGACAGGGGAAAGTGGAGAAGAGGGGACCGAGAAGTGGGTTTTGTGTTGAGCCGAGTAGGTTTGTGAATGCGGTTAATGTGGAGGAGTGGAGGGGGCAGGTTGTGGTGAAGAAAGGAGAGGTTTATGGGAGTAGGGTTGTGTATAAGGGGTGGTGTGATGAGTAGGTGTGGATGAGCTGGAGCACAAGGGCGAAAACGATGGAGAGTGACAGAGAAGTAGGAGAGTCGTGGAATCATGGAATGTATGTCCCAGAGAGGATCAGAAAAGCTATGAAGTGAAATGAATGAACAATCGACTAAACGATCAGGTATTGGTAGCGCATCGCATGTCCAACTCGCATAATACAATACAGCCCTCGTGGTATGCTTGCTGGACGCTAACGTAATCCGAAAGCTGCTGTGGATCTGCCTCTCTTTAAGTGCTAGCTAGCCATTTCATGATTTTTGAAGCGAAATGTCCAATTAACACCAAATTTCCATAGAATATCTATGGAGCGTTGCTGGACGACGTGCTTAAGTAAACACATCTCCGCAAAACAACCGACCACCCAGTCCAGCAACTTTGCTCTTCGGCGCTTTTGCGAACCTCCCTGCTTAACGGAAGCCAGAATTTACCTTTACCAACAGTACCGTAGCATCAGTCAACGAGCTGCTAACCAGGAAGATATTTATTGTAACTCGGTAATTGCAATGTTCTTATAATCAACCATACCCATACCTTTCCCACTCCCTCTCCATGCATGTGAGAATCAACAATGGAACCTGAATAGAATATCGTGCAAATCACATGACCTTTCTTTCTCTTACCTCCACTCCAGCTCAACCTCGGCATCTTCAAGGTTCCCACGCCGCAAGCGTCATCATGCTCAATCCAGAAACCCCAGATCCGTTCCGGCAGTCCAGGGATCTCAACATCCCAGCCCACCTTCACATGTCAAATCTCACCAGTAGTCATGTCAAAATGCAACAGCTGCATGGGAATGCACCCAATCAGAACACATGCAATCATAAAATACACATGCACATGACCTTGCTGTGGGGTCTTCGGAGACTCGTTCCTGACGCGTGAGGAGGCAGGTGATGCGAGGGATCTGGGGTGAGGACGATTCAGGTTGGGTCTGTCTGCCTGGGGAGGGAGGCAGAGGCATGTGAAAGTGCTTTGGTGCATTTTTATTTTGAGGATTGGTATGGGGGCCATTGCCGAGGGACACGAGACTACCTACTTGTACTTTTACTGACAGTAGACTTCCTCTCTTCTGCTTCTTCTCCTTCTTCGATCTTGTTACTTCTACCTTTTCAATACATACTTTCGCAGTGAATTGAATATTGGATTGCTTTGTGCTCTTCCTGCCAGATTGATTAATTGATTGAGCGATAGACTGGAACTTGCTCTGCTTGCCTGCATCCAAGCCATTGTTTGAACGTCCACTACGACACTGCGACTCGACTCCATTCTAAACCACACACACCACACCACAGCAAACACAGCAGACAAGATGGGAAAGACCTTCACTACTGCCGACGTCGCGGCGCATAATACCCCAAAAGACCTGTACATTATCGTAGATGAGGATGTCTACGATTTGACGGCATTCCAGGACGAGCATCCAGGTCAGTTCCCTCCTCCCTCGAGTCCCCTCTATCTGCCCCTCCTGCGACTCTGCCCGCACAATCTTTCTCCCTCTTCTACTCTCTGCAGTCCTCACACCCCCTCAAACCACCACTTCCACCTGCTTACAACCAGCTAATACCCCTCTTCCCAGGCGGCAAGAAGATCCTCACGCGCGTCGCCGGAAAAGACGCCTCCAAGCAATTCTGGAAATACCACAACGACGGCATCCTCAAGAAATACAAAGCCAAGCTACAAGTCGGGTCGCTAGACACGAAGAAGGCATCCGAGCCAGAACCAGCACCAGCGCCAGAACCAAAGAAGGAGATTGTGAAGCCGCAGGCTGAGAGCGGGGTGGTGGTTCCAGTGCCTGCGAGTGAGGCTGAGGCGGCGGAGGTTGAGACGCTGGAACCGTTTGGGGAGTTGATTCCTTTTGCGGATCCGGCTTGGTATCAGGGTGTATGTTTTTCTTTTGATTTATACGCACTGTATCTATACAGAGAGGGTGCTTGGTTCTCTGAAGTTCGAAGCAAGGAGCTAACAAGGCATTTTCCAGTTCCACTCCCCATACCACAACGAAACCCACGCCGCCCTCCGCGAAGAGATTCGCGAATGGGTCTCCACCGAAATCGAGCCCAACGTCGGCGACTGGGACGAAGCCAAAAAAGTCCCCGAAGAAATCTACAAAGCGATGGGCACACGCGGCTACCTCGCGGGGCTGATGGGCATGCACTACCCCGTGGAATACACCTCCAACCGAATCAAGAGCGTGGCGCCCGAGAAATGGGACCTCTTCCACGAGATGCTCCTCACTGACGAGCTATCCCGCGCCGGCTCCGGCGGCTTCGTCTGGAATGTCATTGGCGGATTTGGGATCGGGTGTCCGCCTCTGGTGAAGTTTGGGAAGAAGGAGTTGGTGAAGAGGATCCTCCCCGGGATCCTGAATGGTGATAAGAGGATCTGTTTAGCTATTACGGAGCCGGATGCGGGGAGTGATGTGGCGAATTTGGGGTGTGAGGCGGTGCTGAGTGAGGATGGGAAGCATTATATTGTGAATGGGGAGAAGAAGTGGATTACGAATGGGATTTGGTGCGATTACTTTACTACGGCGGTTAGAACTGGTACCAAGGAGAGTGGGATGAATGGGATTAGTGTGCTGTTGATTGAGAGGGATATGGGTGGTGTTTCGACGAGGAGGATGGATTGTCAGGGTGTGTGGAGTTCGGGGACTACATATGTTACGTTTGAGGATGTGAAGGTTCCGGTTGAGAATTTGATTGGCAAGGAGAATAAGGGGTTCAAAGGTTTGTTTACATTTCCCGCTTCCCCCACGTCAACCTTACCCCCTCCCCTCCATCCCTCCCCACCAAAAGTCCATCAAAATCCCAAATACTGACCTCCCCCAGTCATCATGACAAACTTCAACCACGAACGCATCGGCATAATAATCCAATGCATCCGCTTCTCCCGCGTCTGCTACTCGGAATCCGTCAAATACGCGCACAAGCGGCGCACCTTCGGCGTCCCCCTCATCCAACACCCCGTCATCCGCCTCAAGCTCGCGCACATGGCGCGCCAGATCGAAGCCTCCTACTCCTGGCTCGAGCAGATCATCGGCCAGATCTCCAACATGCCCGAAGACCTCGCCATGTTGCGGCTCGGCGGCCCCATCGCTGGTCTCAAAGCCCAAGCTACGGTCACGTTTGAGTTCTGCGCGAGGGAGGCGAGCCAGATTTTTGGGGGGTTGAGTTATTCCCGGGGGGGACAGGGAGGCAAGGTGGAGAGGTTGTATAGGGATGTTAGGGCTTATGCTATTCCGGGGGGGAGCGAGGAGATTATGCTGGATTTGAGTATTCGGCAGAGTTTGAGGGTGGGGAAGGTTATGGGTATGAAGTTGTAGGATTGTGCTCGTGGGACAATGGCTCATAAGGAAAAACAAACCCATTGAGGAGAATGAAAGTGTATTCTAGATTCAATTTATTTGATTTTATATTGTTCTTCTTTTTTTCTCAGCTCGTTTAGTACCCACGGCCCATAGCCTTCTCTTTTGGCTCCTTGAGTCAAGGATACTTACTACTGGATGTCTGCTCTGCCTATCCTGAGATACGCATTTGAGTTCAGGCTTGGAAAATTGCATCGCTTACATATATATACCCTTCTTATAAGCCTACTTCTCATTTTCATTTTCATTTTCATTTTCCTAAATCACATGTCAACTCATCTCATGCCATTTCATTCATTCTTACCCATTCCACACCATACCCGCGACGGGCTCCTTACTGAAGCTTCTGTTCGACATGTATGGGTCTTGGTATTTCTCATTTTCAGTCTGATTCTGATTCTTATTCTGATTCAATTGGCTTTTTGTCAGTGTTTAAAATGGGTTTTATATGTATGTATGCTACGCGGACGGAACTTTTTGTTACGTTCTAGTGTTGACGATTTGTGATGGATTATTGGGTTGGTCCGGTGTTGATGCTAAGGAAAAGAACGAGTTTATTTTAAGCTCGCATGGGTGCGGTGCGGGGTTACTGTAAGGTAAGAAGTACCCCGCGATTTTAGGTTACTGTACTGTAGCGATGTTTTGGTACTTAGGTAGGTAAGTAGATAAGAGTAGCAAGTGAAATCATACACCTTACCTCCGTAGTGAAGTATGGTTTATTGCCTGTGTATGATATGATATGATATGATATGATATTATCTTTAATACTGAAGTAACTTAATGTATAACTTATGAGCTATCCGTAGCTGCTACTAGGTACTCGCTACCTGTGTTGATTTTGCGCACAGGGACCTACCTACCTTTAGTACGCTGTTCGAGTCACGCACAGAAAGTCAGCCCTTGGTGGCAGCTGGATGGATACATAGTCGCTTTGGTTCATGGACTTTGAAGTCTTCTTGGAGACGTTAAGGAGCTACGTTCATGTCCTTAGAATCATTCATTGTCTAGTGGGGAATGGCAGAGCGGCTTGGCGCTAGACGTGGCACGAGTACTGTGCCTTCTGTGGATCATAAATTCGATTTACGATTCCTCGGGGCATCAGAAGCGTGTATTGATTGATTGAGACTCAGTCTCGGGTCGCTGACCTTGAAGCATCCATCAAGCACTGTTGCAGCATGCCGTCGCCCAGTTGCTGGAGCGGGATTCATTGTGGCTGTGTCTCCCTGCAGCATCATGCAGAACATTAGTGCGGACAGCACCTTTTGATACATGTATTTCAGACTTGTCGGCACTCGATTTTCCTTTCAATCTCAGCCGCATGTCAGCAGTCGAAATCCCGATAAAATGGAAGAATCGTCTTCTTCGAGTGGCAGAGACCAGCAGTCGACACGTCCTAATGCTGAACCAGGCGCTGGACGAGTGTCAGAATCGTCCAGATCCAGTCCTCCCTCGCGTCAGCGCAGGTCGGTACCAGACGTAGACTCTGAAGCAGATTCCGACGACGACGCTCGGGGCTTGATCACACAGCTGATCGAAAACATTGGTTCCGAGCTCTTCGAGCAGGTCAACGAGATTGATCCGTCCATTTGTCCACCTTGCGTCAACATTATCTGCGCTTTCTCAGAAGGCATGGAACCTATCAGAACGCCAGGCAAGGCATCCATATCAATGCTCATGCATCACCGGTCTATGAAAGCACTGTCTGAATGTTCCATGACATGTCAGATGTGTCGGATTCTCATCCATCTGCTGAAAGCAGGCGGTTCAGATGCAGCGGTTCTGGGACAAAACCTCTCGGCGAATGAGAGGAAGCTAGTCAGACTTTTGGAGAGGGATCGAGGGATTTTCGACCATACAATCACAGCACCTGAGGCAGGATGGTGGGCAATGAGACCTTGGATGGTGGTATTGTATTCCACGACGGCATTGTATGAGATGCGAAACGGGCAGCCGGGGAATCTAGTGGTTCCGACGATGGAGGAAGATGTTCATTTTGAGTTGCCGATGGAGAGGGCGAACGTTTTGGGGAGATGGGCAAGGGCTATGATCTTAGGACATGATGGCGACCATCTTTCTAGAGAGTCTCCATTGGCCAGATCCTCTTCGTCGTCCTCAGAAATCGAAGCAAGCCAAGATGATATAAAGAAAGTTGAGCGACCTTCGGATGAGAGTCAACAAATCCCCAAAACTTCGTCAACAGTGGCTCTCGAGCCAGTTGGTGAGGCACCAACTCCAAGCTCTGAAGGACTAGCGAGATCTGAGTATTTGGCTGCGAGATCGATATCGCGACATGTGGATCGCATACTCGAACTACAATCTGCGGCGTGGTCTCTGAATAAGAGATACATGTTTCACAGTCTGGGATACAGTCTGAGAGAAGTACGGGGATATAAAGGGCAAACTGTAGAACTGCAGTTAGCCTACGCCAAGTCGAGATATCCTGCTCGGGTATTTACTACTAAAGGTTAGATACAATAGCCTAACAGGACGCTAGCTGACTATGACCCTAGATGACCAAACGTCTGGCAAAAATCTGGGAAGACCAGTATTCCACAACGCTAAGTCTCCGGAGACGCTTGAATTGATGAATTCTTGGTTCTCTAATTGCTTGGAGAACCATCCTGAATGTTCATGGTCGCGTGGAAATTCTGACACGGACCCAATCCTCCCATCGAGGGTCATTGATCTGGGTGAAAGCTCATCGCCAGGCTTTGTCCCATGCCTCATTTCACCAGGACACAAAAGAGGCAAATGGGCGACTCTAAGTCACAGATGGGGCCACGGCGATATTCTGAAAACAGTTAGCCGGAATGTTGAGGAGTTAGAAGCCGGAATCGACGTCTCAAAACTCCCTGCGACATTTCAAGATGCGATCTTCTTGACAAAGCATCTTGGTCTTCGTTATCTCTGGATCGACTCTTTATGCATCATACAGGACTCTCCTCAAGACTGGCTGAAGGAAGCGGCTAGTATGCCCAACATATACAGAAACTCACATATCACCATAGCAGCAGCCGCGACAGAGAGCAGCACAGGTGGCATATTTGTCGATCGATCATGGCTTCCGACATCTAAGCCCTGCAAACTTCCCGTGCAAGTCAAATCCGCTGAATCCTATGGGACTGTTCATTTCGATATTCCCTTCGATTCAAACCCTCAAGGTATAGAGACGAATTACCTCCGCACTCGAGCATGGTGCATCCAAGAATCTCTTCTCAGCCATCGCCTCCTCACATTCGACACTCTCCAAATGTCGTACATCTGCGTCCGCGAAAACCGCATCGAAAGCCGAGAGTTACCTCCCGCTCTAGCCCGCGAAGAACGCAACAAATTCCTCGAGCAGTTCCAAGCCGGAGCATCTACCACACATCAACACGACAGCCAAACCCTCCGTAGCATGATCATTAGCTGGTACGATATCCTCTACGACTACACACGCCGCGACCTTACTTTCTCGAACGACAAACTCGTCGCTATTTCAGGGATTGCGAGTATTGTCGGGACGTGTATACAAGATGAGTATTATGCTGGATTGTGGAGACACGATATGCCGAGGGCACTGCTCTGGTCGCCGTATGAAGAGGAGACGCTTCCAAAAGCGCCGCATAAATCGAGTTTGCCACCTATTTATAGAGCGCCTAGTTGGAGTTGGGCGGCGGTGGAGAGTCCCATTTCGTGTTTTCTGTGCAGGGAGCGGTTGCCGAATCCGCCGATTGCGGAAGTGCTGGATGTGGGTACGAAGCTGGTGGGAGAGGATGTCTATGGGCAGGTTAGCGAAGGGAGATTGGTGATCAGGGGGCCGGTGAAGCGGGCTGTTGTCGGAGTTAAGTCTGAGGTTTGGCCGGAGCAGCCGTTGCTGAGGTTGGAGGGGTGGGAGGAGGGGGATATTACGCATGGGGTTTTTGATTTGGAGTGGTTGGATGAGGGGACGGAGGTGTGGTGTTTGCAGATTACGGCTGCGTATGGATTGATGTTGGTTAAGGTCGGGGGTGAGGAAGATGTGTTTTCGAGGATTGGTGTGTTTCATTTGCGACATACTTGGTTGTCGAGCCCGGTATGGTTTACAACGGATGATGTCAAGACTATCAGCATCATATGAGGACGGACTTTTCGGCATTCTTCGTCAACTTCGCCTGCTGATCAATAGTCAATTGGTTGCTATATGATAGGGACGTGTTGCAAATATCACGCAGAGATATTGGCCACATGATGGTTGAGATTTCGACTCGAAGCCCGCCATCGTTAGTGACTCAGCTGTCTAGATACCAGGATACGAAAGTTTGGCAATTCAATACTCAAATCAGAAGCAAATATTATTCATTTGATATTGATTATTAAATGTTACGAACATTATGATGGGTGTAAGGCGCAGGTGAATCTATTTTTCCCACTCATTATCCCTCCTTCTGAGAAATATCTCCACCATTCGCACCTGGTTGATAATCCGTTGGAACAACTGGCCAAGCATCATAGCCGTCAAGAATGGCGACACTGAAAAGTATCCAGTTAGTTCTCAGTCCACTACTAAAGGGTTTTAGAGAGGGAGCTTACCTCATCCCGCCAGTTAAATGCGGGTTGATATGGCAATGCAACAAAAATGGCTTGAGGTTTCGGTTAGTTTGTTTATCTTCGGTTGCCAGCGGGGAACGATGGGGACACTTACGCCGGGATTCTCAACCTTGTACCGTACAGCCATCCATGTTGAGTCTGATTGGATTGGGAGGGTGTAGAATCCATCTCTGTAGGGCGGATTGTCGAGATTGAACGACTCGGGGATATATTTCATTGCTTCCGCCACGTCGGTGTAGTTGAATTCGCCGGTGCCGAGACCCTACAAAGAACGCATTAGATCATTCTCATAATATAGAACAGATGATCTTCTTCAGGATAGTGGATACTCACAATGATATGCGCTTTGTTGGAATGCTTATGTATCGGATGCCCAGGCTGCAATCCGGCTGTGTTGGTAACGAGGAAGATCAAATCCACCCATGTATTATTCTTCGTCGTCAACGTCAAGCCAGTGTTTTGAAGTCCATTGGGATCATAAAGCAGCGGATTTATATCTTCATAAGCCACGTCAAATATATTGTTCTCGTTCAAAGACCATTGCCAGACAGCACCTGTGCGGTTCAAAAGGAGTTTGATGGTCTGATCGACATGCTGAGCTGGATGGACAGGCGGAAACGGGACGACGATCTTGTCGTCAAGAAAGCGAACACTGCCGGTGGTGTTGGCGCCGGCGTAGTTGATTGATGCATTAGGGACGTTGGTGTGATCACCGCCTTTGTATGAGAGAGTTCCTGAGGTGAAGACTTTCTGGTTGAGACCACTGCTAGCCACGCGGATTGTGTAGTCTCGAGCGGGGTGATTGAGTTGCACCATGACAGAGTGACGACTACCGTGTGAGAAAGTCATTGCCTAAGCTATGAGTCAGAAGTTGCAAAACTTGGTGAGAATTGAATCTTACATCGACCAGTTGGGGCTCCACATAGCGACCGTCGATGGCGTAGAGCCACATTGGATGATCATCGATGGAGACTAACAATCACATCAGTGTTTTTCTTCTCCAGATGCTCGGAAATGGCTGGACTTACCCACGAGTTCCTGAGTACTTGCAGTGCTGATGAAGTTCAAGCCAATCCATCCGGCTCTGGGATGAGCTTCAATCACAGCCAGTTCCGTCGTCGTGGCATTGCAGCCCTCATACATTCCAGGCGGAACCAATTCGAGGTTCTTAGGTTGCGTTGTTTGTGCGAAAGTGTTGGAGAGTGGTATGCATCCTTTGTCGGTCAAGTTCTCCCCCAGCAGAATTGGAAGAACGGGCGGTGGGATCAGGCTCATTAAGAAAGGTACGCCTGGGCAGTTGACTGAGCCTTTCCCGTTGATTAGAATGGAGTCTCCGCATCTAAACCAATCATGTTAGTATCGCTGGTGATATCGGCCTTGATAAGTCTCGGGATTATCTCCTTACAGTTGATCGATATTCGCGTCCCTAGCTACCTGTGTGAGTTCCTCGCTTGTGAAATGGCTCCAGTCTGATAAAAGCACAGGCTGTGCATGTTCCAATGCTTTCTCGAGTTTGTGCAGCGCTTTGCTGGAGTTTGTTATTTTTGCGAGGGGATGGACAGTTCCTTTCTTGGGCCTGGAAAGTCAGCTTCCTGTAAGAATTGATTTTATATCGAGACTTACTTGATCTCAATGGCCCCATAAAGTCCATCTTCGAGCTGCCCTCGGTAATGTCCGTGATACCAGTAAGTGCCATATTGTGTTGCAGTCCACTTATACACGAATGTCTCTCCAGGGTGGATGCCAGTTTGTGTGAGACCGGGAACACCATCTATCGGAAAATTAGTGAAGACCCAGGACACTCCTAGAGTCGATTGACATACCAGACCATGGCGTATTCAATTGTCTAATGCATTTAGTATCAATCAGGAATGGTGAATAATGTTACTTACTCGATACCGTGGAAGTGGATTGTTGTGTTATAAGGGAGCTTGTTGTAAACAACGAACTATTTTATTTTAGCAAGATTATAAAACACAGTTTTCGCCAACGTACTTCAACGTTATCTCCTTCCTCGATGTTCAAAGTCGGTCCTGGGTATTGTCCGTTCATGAATATCATGTCCCTCTCGAATCCATCAGGAGATCCCTTCTCCCACGTCAAGGTGATCGGAAAAACAACAGTCTTCTCGCAATCAACGCCATCCGGGTTCTTGTAAGTTGCCAAGACAGATGATGCCAGAGATGTGACCAAAAGGCCAAAAGAAACAAACGAGCACTTCATCTTCAAACGAAAGTGACAAAATACATTAAGCGATGGATGGCGAGGGATATTGAGGGGAATTGAGAGAGAATTGATAACTCTTATGTGACACTAAGAACATGATGCCCAGACAGCCCAGAAAGAAGATGAGAAATTGACCATCCATCTAGCTGGAGTCTAATTCTAAGAATCTAGCATTTTGGGTAAGACTGATGGAATTCACTTACCTCGTATGCAACGCCTCACACGCGTGAGCCAATGGGAACGGTGTTTGACCTCAGCCCTGCTGTACAAAACGCCATAAGGATAACCAATCTTAATTTAACGTCGGAGCCACCGTTTGAATGGTCAAGAGGAAAGCCCGAAAATTGGGGCTCTCATTCAAATCTGAGGTAATCATACCGAAGAGGAAGCTTTAGCGAGGCTTAGCGGGGGCAGGATTACCATAAGCGGCTCAGCCCCTGATGATATCCCTCTCTCGCTTGGACTCTCGATCTATCAGACATTCACACGTCAAGAATCTCACGTGTGTTTTAAGTGGCCATATCTCACGTTCTCCAGAAGTGGAAGTTAGTCCGTGGAGGATTTGAATCGATTGGCGGCCCATGTCCCATGAATGACCAGATCTTGGAGTGGAGATGGCTGACCCGCGGCAACAAGGTCTGACGAGACGAGTAATACGGATCGGATGATTCCAAGGTTACGGCTGACGAGGTGATTGTGGGAGCACTGTTTGACGGCGAGAAGTTCGGGTCCGGGTATGACAGTATGAGGGACACTGTGCATAGCGTTGGAAGTAAAAATTCAGGGTTGGGAAACTCTTCCTCAGAAAGCTAGCCACAGCTTCCCCATAGCATGATGATCCCTTATTGGTCTGTATTTACGACGTCTATACTTCCTATTGTTGAAGCCCAAGTTGAATGTTATGCGGACGAAGCAAAGTGGCTTGTCAGCCTAGCATGAATTGTGACTTGATTGGGGCGAAGGATCGGCAGAATCATTCAAGATAATATCTTTGCTGCGTAGCCTAGGATTCAGCGCCCTATCAAATTCAAAAAAAAAAAAAAAAAAAAAAAAAAGTTAGGCTAACTTACATATGAAAGTATTCTTCGCAGGTTATCTGTGAATGAGTTTGGAATGAAGCAGTGCCATGATCATTTATATCAAGTTTAACTAAACCAAGCAACTAAGATGTGCGATAGTTCCTGCATGTTTTTAGTGGTTACGTGGGGAGTTGAGTATAAGTATTCATTCTTGTGATTCTGTGATCTCTATTACTGTCGATTTTCATTCTGAGTCTGGGTCCCAGAGCTCATTCGGCTGAGACTGCTCTCCATAACGTGAGATCAGGTAGCTTAGTCATTTTTCCTTGGTCGACTTTGCCTCCCTCCTGCTTTCTGAAACGCTGAAGAGCCCCCTTTAGTCCCCTTCCATCTCGGTCTCAACTCATCCTCTGCAATTCTCTTTTCGGCCCACCTCAGCCCATCGCCAGACCCAACCGTAACGTCGATCTTGTACACTAACATGCCCATGTGGACAGCAACTTTGACCGAAGCAGATACAGACAGACCGTTCAACAGCCACTTAGAGATGCGGTCAACTCTGGGCCCTGCCATCAAGGGATTCAAGTCAGAAATATCAGGAAACGTTGCCATTGGCAAGTTTTGGGGATGATTGAGAGGTTTTACGACGTCGATCCAAAGCCGTTTCTCATGTAAACCAATCTCCAATGCAAACAGACCGAAGTCTTCGTTCGTGAAGAACAGCTCAGCAACTTCCCCAGCAGCGACGACGTTCCTGACAAGAGGCGAGTCGGCATCTTCTTGCTTCCAGCAACACCCATCACCCAGATTGGAGCGCTGTGAAGGTGAGAATCCACACTCCAGCAATGTCATTGTCGGAACAACAATTCTGGTCGGCCCATATTGACGCATCATGGCGCTTGAGGACTGCGTCAGTAGTTGTCTGAAGAAAATTACTCTTCGTTGCCCGAAAAGTGGTTTTCTGCCCGGATATGTAACGATCGTATTCAACCTCTTCCCTTCCCACTCAGCCATCTGGAAGACACCTTCACGTGAATATCCAGTGCCTGACTTTGTGATCTGAAGGGTTACGAACGAATTCTTACTTCCTTCCCGAGTACAATTCAGCGGAGCGAGGTAGTGAGTCTCTGATTCAGGGTCCTGCGGAGGTAAGAGAACCAATTCCATCCTCAACCCCTTGTTGGTCATGTAATGATGTGGTCTCGCAACATCGAAATATTCTCTCCTCACATCTCCCGACTCTGCAAAGAACGATGGCGAGTCCGCTAGTAATCCACCTCTACCAAGCTGGTGGCTCCATGCAAATATCGATTCATCATCCGTCTTAGTGATGATTTCTTCCTGCAACCGAATGAAAGCTTTTGTTCCTCCCTCGCCGTACAAAATCGCAACATTAACATCAAACAATCCCATCAAGCAATACGCCTGATCTTCCTCCCTGGTCGTTTCTCGATTCGCCGCCCACGACATCTTTTGCGCTACACATGCATTCTCGTAATGGAACAAATTAGTGATCCCCGTAATCACTTTGATCAAGTCCTCCAAGCTCGACTTTGTGCCAAACTCAACCCAATCTTGCGAATAGAACTCCGCTCTTGCCGGCGCGAGAAGTTCTTGGAGAGTCCAACCTCGACGAAACCACTTACTTTGCCGGAAATTCGAGTCTGGGGCAAAATGATCTTCGTCGGCTGAAGGAACATCTGAGAGGTAGACGTAGCAAATTTGAGCAGATCTGTACCAGGCGAACATAGAATTGATGGCTTCAGAGAGCTCGGAGCTACTGCTTTTGTCGATGCAACATGAATCGATCCACTACCTCTGATCAGTATATAGCATCACCAAATACTTCGAGCAGTACTCACGACATACTCCCATCCATCCCTTGCAGCTTGTGAGCAACACCCCGTAACTTTCCTCCACCCGGCTCGATCCGGACCGTTCCCTCCCCTCAAATCCTCAAAAGTGACTTCAGAATCTTCCCATCGATGAGACAAAATCGCATACAGAGGTACGTCTCTGCCAGAAAACTCATGAAGAAGTAAAGTAGAAGTATTGATTAATCGCATGCTGCTCGCGTTCCCAAATCCGCAATGGTCTTGGCCCAAATTGTGGCCCAAACAACAACCTCAAACAACGAATGGAAGATGAACAAAAGTTTTGGTGAATAAAAGAAAATGGATATGAGTGAGGTTTAGGAGGAATTAGAAATGTTTTTGATGGTAAACTGGGGGAAGTGGAGAACACGTCGTTTGCCATGCATACTGCAGGGTGAAGTGAGTTGACGTGTACGAACTGCGGGTCAGGAGTCAAGCGAGAACCCCCTTATTGGCGGTGAGTGTCACCACGGTGATTGTTGTGCATGATGCATTACAGGATTGAGAAAAACCTGGAAATAGAGAATTACCATTCCTCCGTGTCTGGAAGTCTCTACGGATGAATGTTTACCAGGTTCTCGGAAATTAGAATAGATCGACTTCGATCACGGGTCGGGTGCACGTGACAATGTCAACAAGTCCAGTTTTGCCATTGCTGTATTTATATTTGACGACCCTGTCCTAACGACATCGAATCACTGAAATTCCTCCAAATTATAAGAATGAAATTTTCAATAGGAAGACAAACACATGCAAAGAACTGGTCTTGTACGTCAACAGCAAGACTACTTGATACAGCATTTCCTTGTATTCCTCCAAAACCGAGAAGCCCAGGGATACACAATGAATGAGCTTTCGAGACAAAATTCGCAAAGAGGGAGTCGTTTCCTCTCACAGCTGCGCTCTTCATGCAAACAAGATATCTTCTCCACTATCTAAGCACAAATTACCATTTCCGATTCTACATGAAACTCGGGAAGGACAAGAGTCTTCTACTTACTTAGACGCAACATCCTCTGGCCTCGTCCCATCATTGTTGCACCAAATCCAACGCGCTCCATCCGTTTGTCCCAGCCAGTAGAGCCCCCACAGAACTGAACATTGCGGCCATGGTAATCGATGAAGTTGTTAGTGTTCTTTGCGCCTCTGCCTTTCCTGGCACCAATGTCTTCTCTGTGATAGTCTTGACTGAAGTTGTATACGCGGTGAATTCGACCGTCATAGTCATGCACGCCATAGTCGTCAGGAGCACTGAGTTGAGGTGCTGTGTAAGGGAGGTGCGGTTATTGTCGGGTGGCGAGCCTCGAGTTTGCAATGGTGGCGTGGCTTGAAAGAGTGAGTTGGAGGTCTAAATAACTAGATGTCATTGAGCAGCCTATCAGGAATCATTGACGGATGTAACAGACTTATTCATATGTGGGGTATGAGGAAGTGATATGTGACAAGTCTGGTGGTGGAGCTCCCTCGAAGTTATGAGCATCTACACAGCTGTCAGCTCCGTCTCCCTAACTGCGGAAACCTCAAACATCCTATCAGACGTTGATGTCAGCGCAGATTTCGCGAATGCTGCTGTATCATTTTTGGTTTACAAGGAATGAAGTTCTCGGAATCAAATACCTAGTCAATACTAACTACGACTCAGAGGCCAAGAAATGCAAAAGCTCAAGAGAACCTGGCTCTGGTCAAGGGTGATGTCATTGATACCGAAAATCCAGACCAATGAATTTGAAATATAGACCATGTAGCATCACATAAAGACTTTTTAGAGGTCAGGTGAATCAAAACTTGTCGCGAGTAGGCCCACCGTAGTGCTCCATATTGTCTTCCGCTCTCTCTGACTTCACCCAGAAGCTTGTACTCCCCACATGAGGTATGAGTTTACACGTGGGACAAAGCGCCAATCCCCCATACCCTCTGTCCACCCACTCTTTGCCGTGACATGAAATGCAAGCTTCTTCACGAGGCTTAAATACTGTCGTCGATGTCGAAGCTTGTGCCACCTGCTCACCCGTTATGCTTCCCTTTCTGTTTGATATTCTCAAGCGGCGTTCTTCCCTCTCACTCTCACAAGCCCTGTCGCAAGTAGCGCAATTCCAGCCATCACGCTCGACATATCGTCTCTCAAGGCACCTGGCACATGTCCACCACCTCGAACTAATCTTGCGAGATGCAAGCCACCTCCTCTGCTCCTTCTCCCATCTTCTTCTCTCTTCATCCGTCCTTGCTAATCTCTCCCTTCTAGCAGCCCCAATATCCTCTTGGTGGAAATCGCGGAGGTGATCACGCATATGGTCTTTTCGCGAGAAGGCATTCCCGGGTAGATGTCTGCCGTTGATACACGGGTCGTAAGGACAACGGAATGGTCGTTTCATTTCTTCCGGGCCATGAATGTTTTTGAGATGTCGCTCTAGATCAGCTCGTCTTGTGAAAGGTTCGTCTTGGCGTCTGCAATAGACTGGCCAGGGGCAGGAATAATCTTTCCTTCTATAGGGGAACGTGAGTACGGGATCTTTTGGTTGATGTAGAAAGGTGTATGGACTCACCCGTCTTCTGACTTATCTAAGAAGACCTTAAGGGGAGTGTCTTTGCTGACATTGGCCTCGTTTAACAACTCGAGATAAGGGTCCACATTCCAAACCATAACCAGCTTGTACAGGTTTACTAGATAGGAATCAGGAGACCAGCCGAGGCTTGTGGGAGTAACTCGAGTTTGCTGTTCCGCATCAGTAGATAGCGGCACAGAGTTTGCACTTCTTGGTCCTTCTGCGTCATAATTTGAAGGGACCTCGCGAGTAGTTTGATTCCCACTAGTAGATGACAGTCCACGTTGTTCGTACCTGGAGCTCTCTGCATTACCGATGTTGAGACTATGCAAGCCCTGGCTCAAGCTCGGAGTATACAAGGAGAAATCTGCAGAGGTGACTGGATTAGGGTTAAATCTGTATCCGAATCGTTCAAAGGTGAGATCATCAATATCACGAAGATCCGCCTTCTTTGACTTTGGCAGATACCCAAGACTATCCCAGCGGACCCTATGCTCGTCTATAGCGCGACTATGATATACGTCACGAGGACGACGATACACATGAGCTCGAGGAGAATTCTCTTCATCTGATACTGGCATACACGCGGATCCGTCGCTATCTTCATCGAAATCGTCGTCAGAGGAATCTTCCTCGCTGGACTGACTTTTGGTAGTCATGGGCTCCCCCTTTACTTGCATCCCTGCTTTATCTGAGCTGGAAGGCGACAATATCGAATTTATTACTGGTTCGGAAGAGCTCTGAGGGGATCTCTGTATGCCTCGGGATGCCTGGCCCGGTGGTGGAGGTGGAGGAGGAGGGGGAGGCCTTCGTGAGCGCGCCGGTGCTGGTTTGTTGTCTTCGAACGACAGGGTTTTCCGCTCATGCCAGGGCTCTTGGCCTGCTCGTTGTTTTACTATATCCATGATTCCGATCATGCAGTCCCCGAATCAAGGTCAGTTCTTGTCACGACTCCTGAATGAATGTAAGAACGGAGTCGGTACCGGCAGGGCGAAATGAACCTGTTTGCAACTGTGGAAAGATAAGAGCTGAAAGAAACTAACTGACATTGTATTGTGCACGATGGGTTCTACCGGAAAGAAGATGTCAACCCGATGACTTGCATGGCGTGAATGCATCAAAGCTAAGGTTGGGCTCGAAGCACAATCCGCAAGCTGGTATTCTGATGCTGCCCGAATCACGCGTCAACCAATAAATGGAGCTGATCGCAGAAGTGCATACATGTACAGTTTTTATGGGTTGAGATAACCTTAAGTGCCGATAATTGCTTGGATGACATCTCCCAGCCTTGTGGTAATGGTTGCCAGCTTGCATTAGCGACCTGTCATGGGATTCTCCGGACTCGAGTCAGATGTGAGAGCAACCAAGGGGGCGGGAAGACGTGATTGGCAGTTGGTGTGGGGGTTCTTGCATGATGGACACTACTCACAGGAAGACCTCAGTCTACCTAACTGTGGGGAAGGATGAAATAAACAATGTTTATTTGAGCTTTCCACCGCGGTGTTAGTAGCACCAGAACCATGGTCTGGTGAATGAATAGTCTGAACTTCGACCATGTCGCACTACTCTGAGAACTGCTGGGGCTTTGCTTCCCCAACTTTTGCCTTACCCAGCACACCCCATCCCCTAACCCACTCTTCGACTTTCTTCTTCCCTTCCTCATCAACCCATACAAAATCAACCACTTCATCCCCTGCATTGAATCCTATTCCGGACTTCACCCCCTTTGTAACCTTCAGTTCCCTCTCGACCCCACATATCTCTCTCACATGCTTCTCATCCCCAAGCACGCCACCTAACCTCAACAACGTCCACCTCTTCCATTCTCCATCAGTGACAACACTACTCTGACTCCTCAGCACATCGACCAGTAATAAGCTATGCTCGTATGCTTCACGATCAAAGCCAGCTTTCTCACGGTCAGCGCGCACAAGTGACCAGTGCTCGTCTGAGATGGGCGTGCGTGTTATGTCGGAGCGGTGCGTGATGATTAGTGCGTTTGCTTCGGAGGGGGTGTAGTTGAAGAGGTTCACCCAGCGGGAGATGTCGGCGGTTGTGGGGATGGAGGAATTGAGGGACGAAGCGTTGGTGGCAAGGCGGGTGAGTTCGTTGAGGAAAAGGATGGGGTCGGAAAGAGGGTCGGTGGACATGGCCTTGATATTTTTGATGGTATTGGCAGATTCCTTGACTGCTGAGTTGATCTAAAGGTGTTCAGGCTGGTTTTCGTCGGGCGGATCAGAAATACTCAGTCGTAGGGTTTCAGTGTGTGGGTTGAGTGATTGACGTGGAGCTGAGAATGACCTGTCGGAATGATATACTGATCGATAGCTATAAAGAAATGGCGGCTCACATCTTTGAAGTGTTGGTGAGGAGAAAGACTGTGGAGTGGAAGGAACGACTGAATATAAGTATCATCTCATCCGGTAGTCATGACTCACTCGGCGAACTTCTGTTGACGCAGGAGCTATGAATCCAATACCCAAGCTCAACACTGCCATGTGCGAGCAATAGGATAAGACCGTGGAATGGGATATCTTTCCTGATGGTCCTTGGTTACCCAGCATGGGTGTCCAAGATCGATTGACAAGCTTTCACCAAGCGAGTCTATTTTCCTCAAGCGATCCAATATCCGGTATTCTTGATTTCGCTGAATAAAACACCGGCGGTTCACTAGTACTGGGATCATCCATCCCAACAGCAGAATCCTGAGTCCCAATGGAGTGTTGTGACGGATTAACTTGCATCGGTGAACTTGCTAGGAATGGATCGTAGGTCGTGTGACATGCGCGATAGTGCTGAATTACTTCGTCGAGGGTTTTGAAAGATTTTGAGATTCTGGAGAAACAGAATCCGGGGTACTGGCATGTGTGAGGTCCGAGGAGAGAGCGTCTGGCAATAGTTAGCAGGAGGGCATTGACGGCTAGACAAGGGGAGATTAACTGAGACTTGTCCAAGTAGACTCGAGAAGGGAGTAGCGAGGACGCATCGATGCTTGGTAGGAGCTGGAAATAAGGCTCGTCTTCAGTCGAGACATTGAACTTGTATAATTTCAATAAAGCTTTTGTATCGTCTCCCCAGCCAAGCCTGGAAGGTGTCGTTTTCTGTACCGACTCCTTCGAGTGTTCTTTCGTAGGGATCGACAACACTGATTTAGTAACCAAATTGACGTCCGCAATCAAATTTGGAGATTTGATGATGCCAGCGACCGAAATCGCAGGATTAGCTGGTAGGTAGCACCACATGGCAACCGGCAACGAGACAAGTAGAAGAGTCGAGAAGCTCGCAAAGCCAGCCTCCACCTTGACACTTTGGGCTAGAACAGGCATCATGCGTAACCATTCCGAGAATAAATCAACCGATAAGTCAGATTGCGAAAGTGTTTCCTGAAGCCGGATCGTGATCGCCACCCTTGGATAGGCGTCAGGCTCAGAGCTCACACTTGACATGGAAGATTCTCCTGATTGTAAAGACGACGGTCCACCTGCTATGGACTCGAGAGAGGACGTAGATGTGCTGAAGCGGTTTGAGTGACGAGCTGGTTCGCGAATGGGATATGCCGCTCGACGACATTTAGTGACTCTTGGTGGTTGAATTCGTCGTGCTGGGGCCTGGGACGCAGGTGCATGTGACTTGCTTGACGAGTGTTTCGTTGTCTTCTGCTGCTTCCGTGGACACAATTGAATTCCACGGGGTAGCTTTTCATTCCGTGTCAATACAACGTGTAGAGGTGCTTTTTGGACTTCCCTACCGCTTGGCATCCAATTCTGAAACCTACATAGAATCCGACTGTACAAAGTAGCTATGGTAAAGGAAGGCGTTCTGCTTAGGAGACTGAGTTCGGTAATCAGAGCGCGAGTGAAGGAATCCGGCCCAACTGGATTGGCGTTTGCGTTGAAGCCGCAAGCTGCGATGAGCTCTGTAACGCCATGGCCATGGCCTCCGTCCAGGCTACCGGGAGCTGTTCCAGATGCACAGCAATCGAGGAGCAACAGGACGTCAGACTCGGCTTCTTCTAGTGCATGTTGGATGCCATTCCACTTGACGCTGCGATAACGTGGATCTTCAGGATCAGGACGACTGCTGCTGTAAACAAAAGCCCTCTTCAAACATCAGAACAAATTACCTCGCCCAAGATAGCTGCCTATTATGGACCAGCATACCGTGGCCACCGTAATAAACAATCTTCAAATCATCCTTACGATCTCCACCGAAAGACACAAAATCAAGGATCTTGCGGTTCAGTTCATTGTGACTGCTTTCTGCCGGGATTTTCCAGACTTCTACATCGAAATCATACAACACCTGAAACAGACTGCGTAATTCTTGCACTTCAATTGGGACAGGAAGTTTGGGATCTTCATCTTCCCAACACAGGAGCAGTACATAGACATTTGAATAGCGAGACCTCTGGTCATTAGGAAATGCCGCGTTCGCTGCATCCTGTACTTGTCTTCCAAACTCTTGTAAGGAAATATGGTATTGGAGGTGGTCGATATCTCTTGATGTTGGTGGAGGACGGAATTGCTCCTCAATTGAGGAGGGGGGAGAATAGGGCTGCCGATTGTGCTGGGAGGAAATGCTCATCTTTGACGATGCCACTGGCGGGGTAAAATATTCTGACGTCTTGTTCAAGATCGTATCTTTGGAAGCCTGATTTTGAAGGGAAAATCGAAAAATAAAACTTAAGATCCCAAATCAACGCCCTGAGGCTGGCTGACACGTGAGGGGCGCACTCGGTGAACGATTTGGGATACCTGCATATCCTGATTTCAGGCAGCAGATCCTTATGATATGGCTTCATATCAGAGCAAAAACAACATCAAGCAAACTTGCAGAAGGATAGGGATATCCAAAAGCCCAAAAGGTCCAGTTATGAGGTCTGTGGACAGCATCGCAAAATGGTCCGCCGGCCCCATTCCACTTCACTCGAGCTGCCGAGGCATCAGCAAAGCGCGTCAATCACCCACTCTCTGGTTCTCATGCATGGCGGCAAACCAAACAATTGATCCAGAACAATTTATCAAGAACACAAATACAGGTCAGTCTCACAAACGAAGGAGTATCACACCCCACCATGAGTCAACGCGTTTATCTCGCGTCGTGTCCTAGCCAACCATTCCCTTCGCGTCCAGCATTTCTGTGGCGAACCCCTGACCATACCCAGCGAGTCGGCCACCGTAGCGGTCGCGTAGTCCGGAACCGGAAAGGAAGTAAACAAAACCCCTGTGCGATCCATGTTTACATTATTTTGGGTCACTGTTGTGGCCTGGCAAGTGTAAGGTTAGACGCGCTTCTGGGTTCTCTGTTATTCTCCTTTCTCTCGATATACTTCTTGTCCTTTCAACATTCAACTTTTCTGCCAACAAGTGTTGGGAGATTGATTACGATTTTCGAGTCCCACTTCCTATTGTCAACAAACAATTTACCCCGCCAAACCCACCAAAATGGCTGACCTTAACCTCAATCACGACTCAACAATCACCATCGACGACGACAGACCTCTCGCGGTCCGCCGCCCACGACGCAGCAGTGTAGGCTCTCTCTCAAATTCTCGAAACAATTCTCGACCTGCAACATTACATCCTCACGGCATTGCAACACCTCCCGAAACTCCCAAACGCATCAAGAAGAGAGTCCGCTTCTCGGATCCAGGCCCAGCAATTGAATCCGAATATGCGTCATCGGGGCTCACGCCATTCATCCGCCGCACTTCTCTATCTACACCCAAATCAAAACGTCGACAATCGACGCCTGCAAGACTGTGGAATAGAGCGGGATACGATGTCGAGCCTGCGTCCGGCACACTACAATTCGCGCCCCTGCGGCAGGTGCTCGATGGAAGAGTCAAGAGGCGAATTAAGAGGAATGGATTGAGCGAGGAGATAAATGTTATTGAATTCGATAAGAGGGTTGAGGCTCGTGGGAGGAAAGCGGAGGTCGAACGTCTGAAGCGTGAACTCGAATTGAAGGATCTGGAAGTCCAGAGTATGAGGGATGAGCACGATGTTGCAAGTCAAATCGAGGGAGAATCGGGGGCGTCTATAACAACGACCACAACATTGAGCAATAAAGTCCAGGAATTGGAGCGGGAGATTAGGGATCTTAAGGAGGAGCTCGGAAGGAGAGAGTCCGATTCAGATACGATCGATGATCCTAACAACTGGACAATGGCGGCAAGGGATCCATACAATTACGAAGACTACGACGATATGATGATCACGAATTACGATGCAGACTTCGAAGACATGACTGGCAACGACGAATTAATGACCACACCCACCCGCCTAAATACATCCTTCCCCTCTCCTCCATCAACCATGCCCAACACGCCCTGCAAATCTACACATTCCACCAACGCTGGCATCCAAGCCAGCTTACCCATTTCGGATCCCGAAAAGGAGACTCTGAAATCACAACTCCAATCATTGCAAGCCGAGATCTCAAAACTCACTTCAGCGGTCGCGCTCAACGAAGATAACGCTACTCGACTCGCTGAAAAACTATACGAGTTCATCCCCATTGATGAATCCCGCGACCATAACGCCCTAGACTCCGCCCTCGACACAGTCCTCACCCAACTCGCCCTCACACAATCCCAGTTCCTCGAAAACAGCACCGCTTTCTCCGCACTCTCCAACGAAATCACCGCTCTCGGCTTCAGCGCCTCCAGTCCCGACGAAGCACTCGAGACCATCGCCAAACAGTTCCGACAAGCGCGCCTCGATCTTGAATATCTCACCCCAGGCGAAACAGCCGAGGGGTTTGAGAATGAGAAATTGTTGGGCTTGCTGGTAGATAGAATAAGAGTGTTGATTGAGAAAGTGAAGGATAGGGATGCGAGTATTGACCAATACCATGAACAAGAAGTCTTACTCCGACAACAACTCAACGATCGCGTAAGCGTAATGGAGAGCCTACGCGGCGATCTCACACTCGCCAGCACCGTGGTCGGCTCTCTCCGCGAAGAAATCAAAGACAAAGAAACCGACAGTGAGAGGTTACGTGCCGCGCTAGAAGGCTACCGCAACGAAGTCTCTAGTCTCGAAGCACTGATCTCGCGCGTTGAGGAAGAGGGCAGGGAGAAAGAGCTGGGTTTGAGGAGCGAGATGGATGAGTTGCAGGGGAGATTGGAGAATGAGGTCGCGAAACATGATGTTACGAGGTTGGTTAATGAGGGGAATGAGATGCTTTTGCCGGAGTTGGAGAGGAGGCTTACGGCTGCGTTGGAGGCGGCTGCTGAGGTGCAGACGCGGCTGGATACTCTCACTGAGGCAAACGCGACTATGACAACTGAGCGCGATGCGGCGCTTGCTCAGCTCGCTACTCTCTCATCCTCTATTTGTTCTGCGACTGAGGTGGAAAAACGAGATGCTACGATTGCATCTCTCAGATCCACTATCCAAGACCGCGAACAAGCTCACGGCTCAGCACTCGCTCTCCGCGATGCTAGAGTCTCTGAATTGAGAAGCGAGATCGAGCGCGTGAATGAAGCGTTGAAGAGCGCGCATAGCACCATTCTCAGTTTGAGAAAAGAGAATAAAGAGGTCAAGGAAAGAGCGGAGAGGGGGAAGTTTGTGGTCATGGATATGTTGAAGCAGATCGGACGGGCGGAGGAGATGGGAAGGGGGTGGGTTGAGGTGGAAGGGTTGGATAGCGGTGCTAGCGGGGTTGGGATTGGAAAGAGGAGGGCGTCGAGTGTAGATGTAATGAGTACTCCGCGAGTCGAGAGGGGTCAGAGTGCAGGTGCTGGTGGTGTGGTGAGGAGGGGTGGGATGTTTGATGCTGGGCTGGCGAGGAGGGTGAGTGTAGGGAAGAGTGGGAAGAAGAGGAGGAGGTATGATAGTGGATTGGGGTTCTTGGAGGAGGGTGAGGAAGGTGATGATACGATGGTTGAGATGTAAAGATGGTGTTTTTATCACATAGTTTCTATTTATTTTGTCAGAAAGGGGCGTCGGTGTGGTTTTGGCGTTTATCTATTTCATTGAGACTTTCAATCGAGTCTTTATTCTTCATATCCATCATCCATTAAACACTCGTCGTCTTCGATCAAGATCCACCCGTGCACATCATCCACATACTCCACGGTGACCCACAAATCCACTGCATGCATTTTCGCTTAGCGAAAAAAATCTCTGCGCCACTAAACTTTCATCCCTTCTATTTACCCAAATAACCACATCATCCACATGTCACGGGCCGGATAGTTCAGTGGTAGAATACGTGCTTTGGGTAATATCAACGCTTGTACGTGGTCTTGGGTTCAATCCCCAATTCGGCCCCTCGAAAGAGATTATTCTTTTGCATTTATTTTGAAGGTTTTGCCGTTTTGATTGTTGATTCTTAGCATTTTGATTTGCTCTCTTTCTTTATTTAGCCTTTTTAATTTGTTCTCGACGGGTTGCCAAGCTGGTCAGATTTGAAGGGCAGGAATCCCGAAATGCTGTTGCGCTATCGTCTGATCTTCCAGTAATGACAGGCGACTAGGGAACAACAGATGATAATGAATGGAATCTAACTGCCGTAGAAGCCACCACAGGTATTAGTTTGATAGCACCTGGAGGCTGAAGCTGATTGAAGGAGGAGGGATTTGTAGGAAATATGAAACAGCTAAGGCAATCTACGGTCACAGACTTCAGGGGTCAGTTAGAACACTTCTTCGACTGGTTCAGTCTCCTCCCTTGGCCCTGTGGAAATATACCTACGTATCCGGGTTTTGTCCACAAGCGAAAATAATCCAATCGAAAAGGATCTAAGCGCAACGCTCTGCGGGTACTGCCGCCCTTGTGGGGCCGATGGAGACATATCGCTTCAATGGAAATGTCAACAAAGCTTTCTTGTTGTTGTTTTACTTGTATAATCCCAAATCTCATCCCACGTTTTATATCAGATTTTGTAGACTAGACTCTTTTGAAAGAGAGTCTAACTGTATGTATCCTAACAAAATCGAACAACGAAAAATTGTAGATGAATCTGGGAAAGATGGAACAAGTATTATAACAAGTGCGAAGGATGTACAAAATGAGGTAAGGGGATGAAGGAGCTTAGAAAGGCTCAAGAGCTTCTGTGAGATATTTCCTTATATAGTACACTATAGATATAGCTGTCTACTGCATGTAATTACTGACATTGCTTTCACACTTTGCTAGGGAACTCCCCACTCAACTTCCCTATCACACAAAAAATGAAAAGGTAAAATAGGGAGTCAATGAAAGCCGCTGAATCGGAATTGCACGGGAACTGAAGTATCTGTAGCGACCTGTTCAGTGACCATGTCTTCTTCCTCCATTACAACAAGCAGTTGCCGAACAAGCTCCTCTTGGCTTCGATCCTCTCCGACTTCCCACGGTACATCATCTTTTCATGACTCTGATTCTCTCCGACTTGCCCCAGGATATTAGTCTCATCTGATAAGGAAAAGGAGAACTGCCCAGCTTCGCCAAGTCCAACTCCGAATTCAGCGAGCTCCGAACCCACACAAAGCGGGTTTTGTAGCCACCCTGGCGCTGTTCCAAGTCTATCGTCTAGAAGCTGTTCCTCGGGTTGGATGTTTGGAAACGAATCTTCTTGAATGGTCGATAATTGATGACTGGTGGCTGCTGCTACCCCTGGATCGCCGAATTCGAGAGAGTGGTTGGCGTCTGGAATTTCCTCAAGGTTAGCCGGATATTGTGTTGAAAGTCTCAGTAGCGACGATGCAGATAGCCGATCTTGAGGTTCCTTGTGAAGCATTCCAGCCAGAAGGTCTCCTAGCATATCTTGATGGCTGGCAACTCGTGCGATGATTCTCCTAGTCCAGCTTGAATGGTCCCACGGTTTTGGTGCACTGGGTAGTCCGACTGTGTATTCCATACCAAAAACACCAAGAGACCATATATCAATCGCGTTTGTGTAACCTTTCTGACGCCCACTTCGTTTCCTCCCTTTTTGCTTCATAACTTCTGGTGCACAATACAATGGTGATCCACAAAAAGTCAGCAGCAAAAGCTTCTCGCTTGACAATCCGAAGTCAGATAGCTTGGTAATAAGGTTCGGCAATCGTTGTTGGACAAGAATATTCTCTGGCTTGATGTCGCGGTGGGTAATATGTAAGTGATGTAGATATTCAAGAGCTAACACTGTTGATAAAGAGTGATCGACACCTCGTTTGGAGTTGGTGATAAGAGCTGAGAGAAATTGCCGCCTGCCATGTATTCCATCACGATTGTCGATTCCGGGCTATTGAAGGCATCTATGAAAGCTACGATGTGGTCCTACGTGGACCAGTCAGGTATCTGTACCACGACTAGGGTTAAAGATACTTACGTGAGAGGTTTTCTGTAAAATTTCGACCTCCTGTGGTGAGTAAGAGGATGACACTGTTTTGGCTGCATACACTTGCTTGCTGTACCGATCAAAAGCTTTGTAGACTGTCCCGAACGTCCCAGACCCAAGCTTTTCTTGTAAGACGTATCGACTAGCATAAGCCTCCGCGGGAGTGTCTTCGATCGGACCACCATGGAATTTGAGTTTGTCGATCCGAGGGACAGCCTCTTGAGCTTCGCGATAGCATGCTTCCAGGTTAGCCTCGTACTCGCTCCGCCACTTGCCACGCACCGCATCGCGTGGGACCTCGATCGACACATAAGTCTTCCCTGTATCAACTGTTGTCCTTTCGTCTGGGCGTATTCTCCAACTCTCGTTGCCAGTAATCCGCATTCCCTCAAAGCCGATAGACTCAGAGGTCAGTCTGGTGCCATGCTGGGATATGTTTGTCAGGATTACGGACCTCGAATCCCTATCGTGGTTGATACTAAAATGTCTACGGCTGACGCCGTTGCGAGAACTTGTGTCGAGCAGAATGTCACAGGACTTCTTATCACTTCCGAAGACCCAGCCCAGGAGGGGGTCGAATGGCTTTCGGCTCAACGTCAATACGAGCCAGGTCCTGGGAACACGAGTAAACGGCGTCCCTTCCCGGCCATGCGTGGAACCTTCCTCGTCAGAAATCTCATTATTGCCAATTCGAAAACTGGCATTGTGCGACAGTGTAGCAGCTGGGTGCACCTCGCTGACAGTGATGATTAGGAAAACATTGGTGTAGTCGACGGCATTCATTCATAATCATTCATGGTCATAGTATTGCACTGCATACATTACGAGCTGTTCCTGAGGGTGAGGCATCACTGGCTATTTGTAGGACGTCAGTTGGTTACCTATCTGCCGACGCCCGATCTAGGTGGTAGAAAGAGAGTAAACAAGCGCTGGGAGTCTTGATGCCAATGGAACATGTGGGAGCGGAGCACGGCCTCCAATCAATTCTCCGCTTCAGGGGTCGGGAGTAACCGTAGTTAGGTCCAATCATTCCGTACATCGCCCGCATTAAGTGGGGTAAATTACCAACAATTACAACCTTAAATACCAGGATGTGTCAACCTCCACATATATCTCATGCTCTGGCTCGTCTGGCTCGTCTGGCCAAATATTTTGGAAAGGCCCCTTCGCTTCATGACAACGTACACTATGTCTTCCTTCCTTGATGCCAGTACTCGGAATCAGCACACCAAGGCTGAATTTGCCCAGGCTGCCTTCGCCCGGGCTGACTTCGTCAAGCTACTTCAGATGAAGCCGTCCCCAACGTGGTCGATAGACTCGAAGGAAAGCACTCCTGAGATCCGGCCACATATCGTTGACGAAACAACCCACTGGAGGAACGCTTGCGAGTTCAGCCGCCAACGCCTTCTCGATATTGGCATCACAGCAGCCCAGGTAGAGGCAGTTCGCTTTACACATAACGACCCCAATTATTGGAAAGCAGAAAGCAATCTATACGACTCCGAATTCTGGAGGGTTCAGCAAATACGGCAGTCGAAGATAGAGCAGAAGAAGAGACCTGTACCATCGTCCTCCGCAGATGCCCCAATCTCTTCTAGACTTCGTAGAAAGACTCGAGAGGCGAAAGTCACAAAGAGCTTAGGGAACGCGCGAAGCAGTCGGCGTCGAGTGAAACCACCAGATTCTTGAGTAGGACTTCATCTATCTCTGTGTACCAGCGTCATACTGACACGTACTTAGCATGTGTGCCCTCGCTATTTGGGCTTCGACACTGGGTATGCGGCTGCGCGAAGGCGACTTGAGACCAGACTATACAGAATTGATAACGCTGCGCTTGGGGAGATACTGGTCATGGTACAATGAAATGGATAGAGCGACGCCCTGAGGAAGATTCCAAGCCAGCGGATTGATATCTCGAAGTCACAATGGTCTACGCAATCAATAAGTCGTCGAAATAGGGCTGTTTTGGCACCAGTTCTCAGCGTATGCTGTCTGCGAGGGTTCCCCCGCTATCCAGTATGGGTGTAGCTACACCAGCCGCCCAACAAGTCCCCTCATCCAGCGCAGGCCTAGCCAAGATGTCGCCCTTCCGGTCTCGTTCAGTCAATGGCCAGAGGATCTGCACCGCATGATTCTCCCTGTCCAAGCCCTTTTTGCCCATTGGATGGGGCACAGGCTTCCATCGAGGGGTAGTATATCTCCAATCAGCTTGCCCATCGGTCTCACTGCCGACCAACTAAACCAGCGCTGACCTGGCAGTATTAAAAAAGCACAAATACTGACGTACCCAGCGATGTTCCAACACAACTAAATGCAATAGCGGCTACGAAAGCAGCTGGCTCGTACTAGAGTATCAAACGCTACTGAAGGTTTAACCCATGGCTGCCTCAAATGATTCTGGTTGGACTATTATCATTTTGCTCTGTGGATGGAACATCCGGGATGATCAAACGAGGGCCTTCCATGACCCCCACCGCAGTCAGCCGGGGAAATGGGTCTTGTTCCTACTAAGAAGTCTTGTTTGCTGTGTAACAGTTAATCTTGGAATTCTCGGCGAACTTATGTAAATGCAGAAGACTGATTGACCGTGACCCAGGGATCTTTCTGATGTTGCTGATTCCGACCGATCTTCTCCTTGATCTTCTCGTCCAAAGAACTTGTCTCATCAGCTTGGTGTGTGCATATTAGTGCTACGCTTTGGAGACTGTGGTCGGTGAAATTATGATAGAAAGCCACGAGTGGGTGGCTGTTTCTGCCTCGAGGTTGATGTCACCAGATTCTCGTCGTTTGTCTTCTGCCAGTGGCCAATTCAGTATACTCAGCTTTCCCCATTCCTTGAAACCACATTATGTCGAAGTTTCACCCAGCTAGGGCTGAAAATTCGGGACTTACGATTTGAAATTTTGTCGTACACCAAGCACCGAAGATCAGCATGACTGTGTATACATTTTAGTACCCGTGTACCACGACGATAGAGCCACAATGTATACACAGTGGGTGACTTTGAGTACCGTCGTGTGTTCTTTTTCAAACAATGATCATGGTTGAGTGTTACATGGATTTTATAATCGTCCACATGTGCCCGGGCACAAACTTCATTGCCTTAATTGGAAGAATGATGACAAGGGCAAATCACCATCGATTATTTAAAATATGATAGCTGCTTTCGTCTGGGACAGTATACCACAGCCTCGGGATCAAACAAATCAAAATAGGTCTCTGTAAGTAACGCCATTCAACAAGCATTCGAGCATAATGTATTCCACTGAATCCTTTCCAATTTTCCTTTCTGCCATCTACCTCGCCTCGGCCATTGCCCTTGTAGTCACAAACACGCAAGGCATGATACCTACCTATCTCACCCAAGTGTCTAGACCTGATCCAGGTTAGTTCCTCTGATAAGCGAAAAATTAGCTTTTCTTTGACACTGCTCACTTCCCAACCCCGCATTTCTCCAAGATCAGCATCATAACCTTTCAGTCGTTACCCACACCAGACCTCGCTACGGCGTGTTTGTTTACATTAGAATAAGCGAAAGTAAAGCAAGATGCCCGAAGTTACCGAGGCATCCGACACTTCTGAGACAAAGAAGAGCAAGCGTGAGCGTCTGGGCGAGTACCTGTGAGTACCTGAAACGCCTCTCTTGGCAGCGTTGAGTGGGGTCTGATCGCGCACAGGAACGATGAATGGGACAAGGGGAAGGAAAAGTCCAGGGAGGGGTTGCTAAAGGGATGGGAAATAGGTAAGGAGAGAGGCAAGGCTGAGTGGGTGAAGGGCAAGACTGCGCTGCAACACGCTGTTGGCCTCGGTGCTGTTCCCAACGTCATCCCACCAGGCGAGGCTCGTCTCGATGGAGAGCGTCGCATGGTCGAGATAGGATGGCATCCTGTCGCTGGAATGGGTGGGAAGTGGCTCGCCGAGCAATCTGGTCTCGGGAAAATGATCACCAAGAATATCGGCACCTATCCCGACCCGACGCAGCACTGGGCTGTCCTGGTAGGCGGTTTTGTGCATCAACTGTGGATGGACGAGGAACTTGACGTCATCTACAACAATGAGGTACTTGTTAGAGATCAGTGGCGTACCTTCGAGGTTGGAGAAACGAGGTTCACAGATGAAGCGCTGAGGCAGGCAGGTGAGTCCTTGACATCTCAGGATATATGAGTTTCAACTGAAAACCCTCAGCTGTAATGACCATTTACAAGATGCGGCAAGAGCGAGCTGCATATAATATCATCAGCAATAATTGTCAAAACTTCGCTGTCCGACTTCTCGACGCCATTCAGGTCGGAGCTCATCACCAGTTCGCAACGAGTTTTGCTGTTTATCAAGCTGCTACCGGAGATGGGACTATCAAGGACCTCTTTGTCGATGCCCATCCTGAAGAGCAGAAGATTGATCCTGCTGAACCTGGGATCCAGCGAACTGATACAGTGCAAAACGCGCAACACGTGATGGATGAGAATACAACGAAATTGGACAATCATAGATGGAATGGTTGGTTCAAGAGGGGAAACTCAAATTCCTAATGCTGATACGCTCTTTCTGATATCTCTCAACGACATGTACTTAGATACCCTGCTTTTTTGCCTGATTTAAAGCTAATGACCGATTGCTGAATTCATTGGACATTCTTAACTCCACTAGTGATAGGGCCATTAAACTCACAGAGACAGCCAGACTTAAGATAGGAGAAAGAAGATCTCGATGGAAGTCCGATAGTTACTTTCTCGGATATCAACTACCTGCATCTCTAAATATAGGTATCGAAGTATGGACCCACTGTCGTTTATTCGTACATGCGATTGGTTTGCTCGCTGGACCCGCAGCACTACCTACTCCCGATCGAGAACAGGGGGTGGCGCAAGTATATCCACGCACTGGACAACGGGTATCCAGCTTCAGACTTAAGGTTGACAATCGTACTCATTCGTACAGACAGAAATTTGACTGGCTTCTCATCACTTTCCCGGTTCTCTGCGTGTCGTGATCGTGGAACAATTGTCACTACCTAAACTCACCGATAACGAATCACGGGATAGCGCAAACGAACTTGAAATCCACTTCTCGTCAAAATCGATAGACATTAGATGAACATTCAAAGTCACAACATCTCCGGTCTATCCGCCTACACCTAAAATGGCTAAACCCGGTAGTGAACGGCCTGCACGAGTTCGAGCCTTCAAGCCAAAAGTTTCTACAGGTTGCAAAACCTGCAAGTAGACAACCCTTAACTCTAACTACCATTACGAGCTAACATCGTCCAGGATACGGCGTGTTAAATGCGACGAGGCTAAGCCATCATGCAAGAGATGCTCATCAACCGGGCGCAAATGCGATGGCTATTTCTACTGTGGCGTCCCCTCATCGACAACCCCTCGCTTACTCCCACCAACCAACAACACTCGAGATGTCACCACGACGAATTCTACCATCGATGTATGCCCTTCACTGAACTTCCTTGACTCAAACTTAGAGCAAAGAAGTTTCAGTTTCTTTCATCAGAATACCATCCCTCAACTTTCAAGCATCTTTGGATCACCTTCTTGGAAGCAGCTTAATCGTTTGCTTCTCCAAGCAGTTTACCATGAACCCGCTGTCCGACATGCCGCTGTCGCTCTAGGAGCTCTTCATGAGCAATTTGAGCTCAATTCTCGGCCACATCTTAGTCAGAATGAGCAGAGTCTAAACACGCAATTTGCGGTGCAACAGTATGTGAAGGCTCTAGGCTATCTAGTGAGCCCCGCCAAAAGGCGTGGCAAGCCAGCAGCAGATGTAGCACTGATTACCTGTATTCTATTTGTCTGTTTTGAGGTAGGTGACTATCGTCCGGAGCCATTCTATATATGCTGATCTGTGTAGAATCTCCGAGGGGAATACGCTATGGCACTCTCGCACATCAATGGCGGAGTTAAGATCATCGAAGAAATTGCACAAACATCATCTACGCCAATCTCCCCCGACAATTCAGAGAGCTCAACACCATCGCCTCCAGTGGGTTCTCTCGAGATATCACAAACGCCTTATGTTCCGCTGTCAACGCTCAGCCTGATTTTCATCGAGTTCGATGTCCAAGCATCGGGGCTTGTAAGCAACCGAACGCGAGCACTCTCCGCCCGCAAATTCGATATGCCATCTTCCGGGTACGGCCCTGATATACCCACGCTATTCAAAAGTGTAGATGAAGCTTGCCTAGCTCTCGATTATATCCGCACGCATGGAATACGTATGCTAGACGCCGCTCTAAGGAAGAAGAACCCACCCGACTTGGCAGAAATGCGAGTCACTCTCGATCTCATCCACAGCTTCTCCTCGATCCGTCTAAAGCAATGGAGCCAAGCTTTTGAAGCATTCTTGACACGAAATCCACATTCGGTGAACGATCGAGGAGTGCTGATGTTGAAGATGCATCGTGTTTTCATGGGTGTTAATACTGCTATTGGACGGATGGGTCTTATTGCCGATGAGACCATCTTTGATCAATTCCTACCGCAGTTTAAAATCGTTGTCGAGCTTTGCGAGAAGATTGTGGCTGTTGAGGCCGTGATGGATAGGCCACGGCCGATATTCTGCCTGGATACTGGAATTGTCATTTGCCTGTTCGCCGTCATTTCGAAGTGCCGAGATGGAGAAACAAGATGGAAAGCTCATGATCTGATGACACGAACTGATAGGCAAGAGGGATTGTATCACAGTAGGCTGGCTGGTTTGGTAGCGAAGCGGATCATTGAGATTGAGGAGGAGGGATTGGTTCAGCCTGTTTCATTTGCGGATTTGCCGAATTCAAAAAGACTCGCTGGAGTGGAGGTTGAGTTTGACTATGGCCATAAGGGAGGAACTGTGTGGTATATTAGGAGACCGCTTGTGCATGGCCCGCCCGGTCCGGGTGAAGTAATTGTAGAATATGTTGAGTGGTAGGCTGTCTTACATTCTGCCTTCGGTCTCCTGGCTAAAGAAATGCATGAGGCAATTGAGGTCAAGTTTCTGTCTTACATCATGATGAAGCACTTCGTGTAACTGCCTCAATCCCGATCCAGATGTATCGGAAGTAGACTGGTATTCTTTCGCGGGCGTCGTTCTTCTCTTTTGCCAAGGAGCCTCCTGAAAGGATTGATAATTGTGAATGATGAGTGTCTGAGGATCCGACTTAGTGGACCTGTTTGTTTTGTTGAGGAGTCTCAAATAGCTACCTAGATGCTAGCCATTCTACCAAGAGACGTTGTAAAATAGCCGGGGTTAATGGGGTGCTCGCTTATCTGAATTCGGCCTGATCGAGACATGCATACAATGATATAATCGTTTCTGAGGATAATGTAGTGTATCTCAGCCCTCAAAAGAAAATCCAAAGCAGAAAGTGTTGGGAGGCTAGTTAGGTGGCTTATATATAGTTTGCATAATACCTGAGTGCAGGACGCGCTCTCAGGCGCTCAAGGATATGAGGTCGGGATTGTGATCAGCACCTTGTCTTAGATCACGTCAACCGAAACTGGCGGCTCCAGTAAAAGGTGGTGATAAAAGCCTCAAAGGCAAATTACCCGTCACAAAAAGAGCTAATCACTGACGCTTCGGGCCGCTCTCGACTACTGAACTCTACTTTGGTTCCTTCTGCTTCTCTCCAGGAAACACTCGCAAATCCTTGCCCCGACGGAGTCGCCGGCATATATGCTCAACGCTGGGTCGAAACATTGCAGGAATACCAACCTGAATACTATCATTTTTATTTCAGATATTACCAGACAGTGTATTCAAAATTGGGTGGCTTTCAAAGACCATGGTCGCGAAAGGAATGAACACGTGCTTTTGATCGTCCAATCTCTCGTCTCCCCTCAAGTGCTACACGTTGTATCAACCAAATTAGGACAATTGGCAGAGCCAATTCGGTATTACCAAGTTCTGACTACCAATTGTTCAAGAGACTGTCCTAGCAGGACACCGACATGGGATAATTGTAGAAGTCTGACACGATGATAGGCTTGGAGAACGATCATTATATTGGTTTGGGCTATCATATTTAGCATCATCTTGACTGTTGTCACAAGTATGCAGATATGCTAAGCAAATGAGGCTGTGAAGTTGGCACAGCTCTAGCTAGCTGCTGATGAGCATGCAGGTTGATCCACTTACACTCATGCGATTCCTTCAGGCAGTGTTTGATGTGGTCTCAGTAATATGACCTCGACGAATGGCAAACGAGAACAAATGAAACCGACTACCCGCCCTGAGGGCTGATCAACCATAAAATGTGATTATGTTACACGATATCGGTCGTGTTCATGTTGCAATTTCCCAGTCTCATTTCAGGGAACCAAACTGGTCGTACAATGGACCCGACTGAACAAATTTCGCAGATTGTCCCCGGAGAATTGGTGTTTCTCTTTGACTCCCATGAGTGTCATTCATGAACATGTCACTTGGCATGCTCATAATGACATTTAGAAACTGTAGGAATTTGTGAGAAAAAGAAAATAAGCCAAAAGCCCAAGTTTCCTCAGCTGTACGCACCACAATTGGCAAATCTACACTATTTTGACCCAATATCATATTTGAAAGCTCGTTACTGCACGTTATGCGCTTCTGTCGCATTAATGCAGCTGCAATGCAATTGAGGATCTCCATTTGATCACTGAACTCAAACGTATGGAGGTTCATTCCGTCTTACACGTCATGAGTATGTGTTACCATCACCAAATGATCGAATGATCGACAGAAGCACCAACTCGTACAAGTTAGATACCATTCAGTTGCAGAAAGTACTCAGCTGCAGTAGTTCTTGGTTCCTCAGAATATGGATCCAGTATATGACTGCTTTGATCTTCATCTTGCACCATTTCAAAGCTCCAACTGCTCGGTGTCTGCCTTCACTGCTTTCTATTGCAAATTCCGTCATCAATTGCATGAAAATGAGGTCCCAATCCCTTGGCCTCATTACCCTGTCGGCACTTGCTTGTTCCTCAAGCACTGTGCTGGCAAAGTTCCAGTCCAGAAACGAACGTCTCAACAACCTGAAGTACAAAGACTTCGTCTACCCTCATCGAGCAAGAGCCCAAGAATTGAAAGAAAACCAAATCGATCTTGGGTATGAAATTCACGAGGGAAAACTGGTACATATGTCTATATATCATGCTGTGCATAAAATCTTCATTTGCTAATTCTGAGGTATTAGGAGAAAGACAAGTTCTTAGCCTTCCGAAATATACCATACGCTGAGCCGCCCACCGAAAGTGACCTTCGCTGGTTTGCGGCAGTTGAGCCTCAAAGTATACGGGAAGAGGTGAACAAAGGACTAGTTGACCACAAGTGTCCACAAGAACAGGTCGGAGTAAGTAAATATCCACAATTTCTTTTGGAAAAGAACAAAAAGAAAAAGGATATCCACGACTCGACTCTGAAAATAGATTTCAAATCTCGACTGCATAGAGATTGTAAAGCCAAACCTTTGAGAGATGATAAAGCTGAATTTGGTCAAGTGGGTGCCCATTGCGAAGGACTTTCTAGGTAATTTCAGCGAGGGCATTCTCCCACCAAGATGGAGAGATGAGATCAAACCGGAAGACTATGGCGCAATGCCTGAGCCTATTCCAGGAGGTGAGCTTCTGTTTGACTCTTTCAACATGCGTGTATATTCTGACAGTCAAAACCGCCTCAGTCGACGAAGATTGCCTTACTCTCGACGTTATGGTCCCAAAAACAGTCTGGGAGAAGAAAGAGGAAGCTTCAGGTAAGAATGGCAGTACTTTTCATTTCATACATAAACTGATATCTTCAAGCTGCAGTAATTGTGTGGATATACGGAGGAGGGTGAGTTGTATACTTTGGAACTTACTAGAACTCGGACGTGCTAAATTGGACGCGTAGCTTTGTTTACGGGTGGAAGGATCTTCTTGGTAGTCCAGCTGGACTTTTCGAAGCCGCAGAAGGGAGTCAGCACGATGGGAATGTCATATATGTAAGTCCATGTTTTCAGTTATCTCAAAATCATCCACTGATTGATTATTAGGTGGCAATGAACTATCGTCTCGGAGCGTTTGGCTGGCTGGGTGGACCCAAATTTAGACAAGACGGTGGCCTTCCTAACCTCGGGCTCCACGACCAGAGATTCGCCATGAAATGGGTACAACGATACATCCAAGCGTTTGGAGGAGACCCTGAAAGGTAATACTCTCCCGTCTTTTCCCTACCACCTGAAATTCTATTGACTGGCTACCTAGAGTTACGGTCATGGGACAGAGTGCTGGAGCATCTTCGATTTTGCACCACCTCACAGCAGGAGGAGGAAATCGAGATTACAAACCCCTCTTCGATAAAGCTATTGTCCAAAGCGCAGGCTTCTTTCCCCAACCCGATCCCGCACACGACGATCGCATCTATGAGAAATATCTTGAGTTGACAGGAGCCAAAAATCTAGAGGAACTCCTAGAGAAAGACACCGAAGTCCTACAAGAAGCAAATACCAACATGACCTTCAAATCCCCTTATGGCATCTTCAACTTCGGTCCCACTGTGGATGGAGATTATGTGCCCAGCCTTCCTGGCAAGCTTCTTAGCGGAGGTTCGAGGAAGACTTATCATCAAGGTATCTCCTTGATGGTTGGGCACACGGCGTACGACGGATTGCTATTCACTCCACCATGGATTCGCTCCCCTGCCCAGCTTCGTGAACACAGTTGGAAGTTATATCCCGGGATCCCAGAGTCAGTTTTGCAGTTTATTGACGAGCATTATCCGATCAAGACGAGTCCATTGATCTTGGCCCAAAAGAAAATTGCAAATGTTTCCGACTTCCTTGACGTGAGAGTCTACCGCCCCTCCCTAGAAAGACAGTCGCTGACGGTGTTGTGGACAGGACATTGCCATCCAGTGTAACTCTTACTACTTGACCGAAGCTTTTCTCACGTCATTCATGCGCGCCCCTGTGTATCGATATTCATTCAATACTCTCCCAGCAATTCATGGCTATGACACTGGATATACAGTACGCTTCCCCGCCGCCCTCTCTATTTCCCCCCATCTTTCTTATTTTCTTCTTTACCATCCACATGCACGTCCTTGTCACAAAATATCCCACTTAGCTCACTCAAAACAGTACTACCCATCCCCATCGCTATTGGGCCCAGCAGACGAGACCCTAGCCAAATTTTTTCAAAAGTCCATCGTCAATTTCGCACGCTTTGGCGTCCCCGACCCAGATAACGATGTAGACGAGTGGCCGATGTACACTTCTGAAGAACGTGAAGTAATGAATTTGGGTAAGCCAGGCCAAACAGAGCAAGACTTTTCTTACGGAATGGGACCGGACTTGCTCGATCGGGAGAAGTGCGCGTACTGGCAGTCTGCTCCATACTACATTGGCAAAGAGCCGAAGAATGTCAAGTTTGTTCAGCAGGAAAGGCTTTACAAGGAGGGTCTGTAGAGGAACTGAAAGGGGGGAGTGAGACTCCGGGGGCTGGATGTTATGGGGCATTAATTGCCAGGGAGAGAATCTACTTCATACACTCATTTTATCAAGATATTTCAAGAAAACCTTTTGGGATCAGCCTGTGCGTAAGCTATTTTGCTGATGCGCTGAGCTCTTCCCTCCTTTCCATTTGACCTTGATCCATTTCGTTGTCCAAGTGCAGTGATGTTTTGAATAGCAGAAGTGTTGCGATTGTGACTCGGACGTCTAGGGTTTAAACTTCTAGTCCGCGGCGGCTTTCGTAAATCGAATAAATTTGTTCCAATTTTCTGGTTTCAGTTTTCGACGGAATATCTGGCAGCTGGCGATGCGGGGTTATCACGCGAGTTATTTCCATGATGTATGGACAAGGCAGATTTATCGGCCACGTAGTACCAAGTTCGGGCTCCAAATCTCCCACAAATCCCAAATGAAGAACAAGAACATGACAAAAGATTAAGTTCTCGCTTCAGGTTTGTTTACATTCGGAAATAAGAGATGTCAGCCCGAACAGGGAACTAAACTAGTGCGCTCCATTCCCGAAACTACTTCTACCCCTCCTGAGCCTCAACCGAACTCAAATCCAGCATCACCAATACAGTACTTGACCATCTTCAAAGAAACATCGCCAAGGTTTCAACACATCTTCAAAAATACCCATCGCCGACCCGTACTTTATTCTCAACAGCTAAGACTCACCTTCATCACCATCAAAATGGCTTCAACTCAACCCTCCGCCAAACGCCAGAGGACCAGTAAAGAAGATACCCCTTACGAGCTAATATACTGGCCTGGTCTCCCCGGCCGCGGTGAACACATTCGCCTCGCCTTCGAAGAGTCCAACACACCCTACACGGACACCGCCCAAGACCCCAAAGGCATAGACCTAGTCCTCTCCCAAATCTCCACCTCCAACCACGGCGACGCCCTCAACCCACCCATCTGCGCGCCCCCAATCCTCAAACACGGCTCCCTAACCATCAACCAAACGCCCAACATCCTGCTCTACCTCGCTCCAAAGCTGGGCCTCGTCCCCACAGCTGAAGAGGATGAAGGTGGGGTGTATCACGTGAATCAGCTGGTGCTGACGGCGCTGGATGGGCTGAGCAACGAGCCGCATGATGTGCATCATCCTGTTGCTTCGGGGCTGTATTATGAGGATCAGAAGGTCGAGGCGAAGAGGAAGGCGGGTGATTATTTGGAGAATAGGTTGCCGAAGTTTTTGGGGTATTTTGAGAGGGTTCTTGGTGGGGAGGCGAGTAAGGGTGGGGAGTGGCTTTATGGTGGGAGGTTGACGTATGCTGATTTGGTGCTTTTTCGTGAGTTTTCTAATTCATTTATTGTGAAATTATCGATGAATGTGTACTTGGTTCGCTGGAAGTCTTGATACTGATGTGGAACAGAATGTATCGATGGAATCAAACACGCTTTCCCAAACGCTATGAAGCGGATCGAGAAAGAGGACAAGTTCACGAAAGTCTTTGCACTTTACGAAAGAGTCAAGGAACGTCCAAATCTCAAGAGCTACTTGGCAAGTGATAGGAGACAAGCATATGGTATGGGAATCTACCGCCATTATCCCGAGTTGGATGAGGAGTAACTGGAGCGAATATCGCTAAGTACTGGATTCCGAAAAGAGATTGAGAGTCAATCTTGAATAGATTTGGAGACCCCTTAAATTTTCATGCTGTTTATAGAAAGTTCTGGAGAAGATTTCCCTGAAAACGAGGGACAAAAGTTACAAGACAATCATTTCAAGAGTTGTGTTCGTGAGCATAACCAGCTCGCTACACGATGGTAGCAACTCTATTTGTGAGCAAACGAAGTATCAAATTAATATGGGCCTATACCACAACACCTACATACTGCACACCATAAACTAGAAACGAGCCTTCAGTACATCAAACCTCGACGGCTCTCTCACACCCCCCTACCATCATTCTCCTCCCACACAACTCCCAATTTCATCCCCTCTCCATCATCCCCTATATCCACAACATCATCAGACATAACCGCCAACACTCTCCCTATACCACCCTAAAGTCAAGTCAGCAATCTGTTCTTCTCCCATATGGTAACAACATCACAAATGGTAACAATATCACAAAACAAATGTAAAGATGGGATGATTATAATGATAGGCGGAGAAAATTGGGACGAATTATAAGATATGATACATAAGTCCCCTTCCAACCCCTCGAACTCCCTGACCACACTTTCCCAAAATCTTCGGTCGGATCCGCAATACCAACATGTGAATCCATTTTAGCAAACAGTCTCGCGCACTAATTCCAGATGCGCCGTCTTTGATAAGTACTTTTTCCCCCCCAACGAATTGCTTTTCGTCTAGTGGAGTAGTGAAATCGATTTTGGTGTCTGGGCCTTGATCGGATCGGGACAATTTGAAAAGCGATTTTAATTTTGTGAGGAGTTGGGATGGTATTGGTTTCTTGAGCTTTATATACTTTCGATGTAGGTGAGTGATAGTCGACGATGGGAACTTGCCGGGTGAAAAAATAGTGAGGAAGTGAGATCTGATCGCCTGCCTTCGCTCGCCGTTTAGGTTACGCCTATTCTGAGGGTTGCGTCACAAAATCAAGTGAGGGTATAGCATGGCATGAATCCCTATGATGGAGTGATGGAGCAATTTTAGTTTATGAGTGATTTATTTTGAAGTTTTCTGTTTATTGGACTGGTGGTTGTTTGTGACGAACGATCGTGAGTAGCGCTGTACATGTGTCTAGTTTCCTTTCCCCATTCAGCGGGGTGCATGGCATCAAGGGACACGGAATTTGGCAAGTGAGTGAGTGAAATGATGGGCCGGAGCCGAACAGAGCCAGCCATCGACTATTCGGTGAAGCTGTACAGTATTATAACTATTGATGTCTCGGGCACGTACAGACTGTTCAGATAATTATTCCAGATAATCGAAATGTGCCAGGAACGAGGAGGGAAGTGTTGTCTGGGTTTCCTTTAATTCTCTCCGCCAAGGCAAAATCTTGTGCCTGCACCCTCCTTCCAAGAAGCATGTTGATCTGTGTCAGGTAATGAAGATAAGTACTAAAACCCTCTTTTCCAAGCATGCATAACCTCTTCTATGTCTCCTATTATTTATGTCGTGTCGAGTCGAGTGCAGAAATACTGAATCATAGCCAAAACAGCACGGTCCACCAGGTCCCTCACCACACCCTATCCAAATCCCCTCTCTCCAATTGGTCCATCCTCTCCTTCCCGCCCAGCCTCCCCGCCCCTTCCCAGTGGGGGCCCCTCCCCCGCGACGCGCCCCACTCTTCGCCCCTCTTCCCCGCGTCCCCATTCGCTAAGGGAGAGTCCCCTCCTCCTGATTCTGGTCCCGATACAGTTAGACTCACTCTTCTCGTCTCACATGCTCTCCAATCAAGGCGCTGACCCCGCTTCGTACCTGCTACAAGAGCTGAGCTGAGCTCACTACTCGTACGACCTTGATTCGAGAGCTTCCCTCTTCTCTTCTCTTCATTCATCCATCAACAACACGAACAGCTTCAGAGACTGCGATTGTGAATAGCTTCTTCTTCTTCTTTGAAACGAACGGATAATTAGACGATTACCTAGCAACTACACCGATACATATACGCACACAGTATAAGCAAAATGCCTCCTCTCCCAGCCGCGCGTACCTTCACTCTCTCTCCCGGTCGTCTCGGAGGAGCAGCCAGTACGTCTATCTCTCCCATCTCCTCTCTTCCCTCTTCCTTCTCTCTCCTCTTCCTCCCTCCTCCTCTCCTCTCTCTTCCTCCCTCCCTCTCCTCTCCTTCCCTCTCCCTCCTCCCTCCTCCCTCCTCCCTTCTCCTCTACCTCCTCCACTCCCTTCCCTCTCACATCTCCCCTCCTCCTCCCATCCCTCCTCCTCCCACCGCAAATTCCCTCCCATTTACTGTAAGCTAACCTCCCCCTCCCCAACAGTCGGCGTTTCCTGCGCCGTCGGCAGCGTCCCCCTACTATGCCTCATCCCAGGCGTCGAAGAGCGCCTCGCAGCCCAAGCAGCAGTCTGGGGTCCGAGATGGAGTCGTGGTTTCGCGGCCGTGACGCCGCATGTTTCGAGGCAGGCGGAGAGGGTCGAGCCGGGGATTAAGAGAGGGGTGGAGAAGGTGGAGCCGCCGCTTAAGAGGGCTGCGATGTGAGTTTACCTGGTTTTATTTTATTTTATCTCGCGCTTGGTTATGTGTGTTTGTGGGTGTCTGCTTTTGGTGGGGTGTTTGTGTTTGTGTAGGAGATGGCTTGGGAGAGGAGAGGAGGGTTCGTTGTTTGGAAACAACCTGGGAAGAGAAGGAGAAGATGAATGGCCGCAAGTGGCCATAGGAGAATTGTATCGGGATGTATGGCTAACCTCCTTCAAACAGTGCCGTCGACCGCAACATCAAGAAAGTCATTCCCGAGAAGAAGGAATAGACTCCTTCCCTTCCCCTTCTCACACCTCACGCCTCACACGTCTCTCATCATCGATTTCGATTTCCGAATTCCAGCATTGCATGCGGGCTACTAGCTAGCTACTTGGCGGAGGATATACCATTCTACCATTCATTGAATCGACCGGATAAGTCATGTGGCACAATTGGAAATTACATCACATCACATTGCATTGCAGTTCCTTGCCTTGTCTTGCCTTGCGTAGCATAAGCGAAAATTGAATATAAATACAATTGCATAAAACTGCATATATACACAAGATGAGAAAGAAAGACAGCTAGATCATAGATCTTATATCGTGTATCGTGTGGTGGTGTTTTCTTGGAATTGAATTGAATTGAGTTGAACTGTTGAGTTTGTGAATTAGCTTTGTTGATTTGGTGGGGATTTATTTACTTGCTTGCTTGTTTACTTGCTTGCTTGTTTACTTGCTTGTTTGCTGGCTATGGATATGGATATGGATATGTTGTTTCTTTTGAGGTTGGGGATATTGAGGTGGAATGGAGATATATGTGGGGAGAAGAAAATAAAAAAAAACATCAAGTTACATAACCCCAAGATCTCTATGACCATACAGCATGTTGCTGTAGTGATACTGCACAATAATTTACCCTTCACACCATTTTACTGAAGCTAGTAGTATTACTGTAGCAAGCTTCACTTGGCTAGCTCTGGACGATCGAGTCCGGCGAGCTATTGACATGTGAAGAATGAGATTTCTGCTGTTTATGTCTATTCATTGTTTATTCTTCTGCTTTCTTCTTTTCTCCTTCTTTCCCCCTTCTTTTCTATTTGTAGAGACTACTGAAATACAAAAACAGTATGAGTATGCCTAGCCCATGACTCTATAATCATCTATCTCGAACCGCACCCTCCTCCTCCAGGCCGATTACCCTCAAACCCCTCTCACCCTCCCTTCCTTCTTCCTGCCCTTTAGTTCACCCCTCTAATTCACCCCGGCCCCTCTTACCCCTCTCCCCCTTCTCCTCCCTCTCCTCCCTCCTCCCCTCCTCCCCTCACCTATCACCAATCACCCATCACTCACTCCCCTCCTTCCTCCTCACCAACAACAAACCCCCACCTCACACCCTCCCACCCCCTCCTCCTCCTCATCCTAACCCTAACATCCCCCTTCGGACTCGTACTCCCATCCCCCAATTTATTCGTCGCCATTTCCGGCGCTTTAATCACCTCTCCCCCCTTACCAGAACAACCCTCCAAATCAAACCCAAAAACCAAGACCGCCACAAACGCCGTAATCTCAGTAAAAGCGAGATGTCTCCCCGGACAAAGATTCTTCCCGCCTCCAAAGGGGATATACGCGCTATTCTGGAGTTTGCGCTTTTCCTTTCCCTTGAACACGTTTTGCGCCAGATCCGTGATCCCATTCGTACCACTTTGTGATCGAGATTTCCCTTTTATCGAATCTTCATCCCCATCAATCCACCTCCGAGGATTAAAAACCCCGGCATCCTCCCCCCAAGTGTCAACATCAGCTTGCAAGACACCCGTAGGGATCTGCACAATGGCGCCTTTCTTGAGGAGATACCTGTCTGCGAGGAGGGTATCTTCCAGGACGGTGCGGATCACGAAACCTGTTTTGACGAGGCGGAGAGATTCGTGGAAACAGGCTGTTAGGAGAGGACAATTCTCTCTCAACCCCTCGATATTAAGGAACATCTCTCTCCCTTTTTCGCTACCCTCTGGTTCGCCATTCCCCTTCCCCTCTTTAACAATACCTTCAATCTCATCCCTGAGATCAGCAACCAACTCAGGCCGTTCGAAGATCCAACAAAGCATATAAAACACATTCGGGACTGTATTCGTCACAGCCGCGAATAATATGCTGATGTCTGCTTTGCAAATCTCGGTGGTTGTGAGGCCCCATTTGCGGGCGCAGCGGGCGCGGCCTTGCACGAAGGCGCTGGCGTTGGAGAGGAGGCCGCGGGCGTAGTAGGTTTCGAAGGAGGCGGTTATGGCTTGACGTGCGAGGTGGCCTTTGCGGGCGGTGATGGAGGGGTAAGTGTCCAAGACTAGGAGGCCGAGATCTTTTTCGAAATCCCTGGAGAGAAAGAGGGTTCGTGAGTAGTGGGTAGGTAGGTATACCATATAGAGTTGGTCGAAGATTAGGAGAGAGGCTGGGGGGGGGGGGGGGGGGGGGGAAGTATGTGGAGAGGTGTGGGCGAAAGAGGACGGGATTGGGAGGCTGAGAAGAAAGGAGGCTGAGAAGAAAGAACTTACCAGCCCATTTGGATGAACCGCTTATCCCACTTTACCGGATTCTCCTCACCATACAACGCCGCCGCACTAGCCGTTGTATAAGAGTCCCTCAACCACCCAAACAACATCATCTCCTTCCACCCATCCCCACCAATCTCGTTCAAAATCTCCACCAACCCCCCCAAAACCTTCCTATTCGTATCCAACAACTGCTTGCCCTGCGCCAAAGCCCCATACATCTCCGTATGCAAGTCCGTCATATAATTCGACATTCTGCCCGGGACATGCGGGTCAGGTAGTAATGGAGCATTAACGATATCTATACCGTGCTGATCAAACCCGAGGGCTTTGACCGAAGCGTTCTGCTTGATGGTTTCGAAATCTATGGTTTTGGAGAGGCGGAAGGCGAGTTGAGCGAGGGTGGGTGAGGAAATGATGTAGATGCGTTGGGTGAGGATGAGGAGGGTTGTTATGGGGGAAGGTTGGGTTTTGCTTGAGAGAGTTAGTGCGTGAGTTTATCAGTGGTGTTGGCTGAGGAGGATGGAGGGCTTGGAGAATATGAAAAGTCGGATAGCTCAGACGCAGCTGAAAAAAACACAACAATATTTCCACATTAAAAGAATGTAGAAATCAACTCACTGCAAAATCCTAAAATACGTATTCTGATACCACAACAAATTCATCACGTGACCAAACACCGGAATCCTCGACTTCGCCAGCGGCGGCTCCTTCGGATCCAATTCCTCTCTTGGAAGAAACCATAGCGAAGCTATCAAGACAGTTACAAGACCAACTGCAACGACCGTCGACGTCGATAGCGCGCTCCAACTCGAGAGGAGGAAGGACGACATTTTGCTTGGGCTGGAACGACGGATCCAATTTCCGCCGTGCCCGAGCTATCTTTTGGGACTTGTACACCAAGTTTGGGTTCTGGGGAATTGTGTTAGCGATGCATTGTGCCAGCAATGGATGAAGAGGGGAGTAATTCAGGCTTGGACATACACGTCAAAGAATCTAGATCGGTTTAATGAAGATCGCGTGTTTCGCGTTGTGCAAAGAGAAAGGTGAGGTAACGGTGGGAAAGTGAGATGAATGCTGTCCCCAATGCGCTAATTCCATCACGTGTCTAGCCGAGACGAACTCAATTAACCCAGTATGAACTCTAACTCTAAACAAAACGCATTGTTCGGAGAGGCGATGAAAATAAAAAGCCTTCTGGAGCTTTGAGAGCATCTGAAGACGAACTTTCGGATTTACTCTATGGCGACTTTTGATGCATTTCTAACCGACAAGCGAAGCGATCAGCCTGGGAAATTTGCGCGAAAGCATGAAGAGACGCCGTCTGCACACGGATAAAGGAGATGTACTAGCGTACAATTTGGGAGGATCAAGACATGAGAAACGCGAAGAGGAGGGTTATTGTTCATCGTATGTAATATCGTTATCTACCTATGTACGCAAACTATGCAGCGCCATGCCTATCATCTAACGCCAACACCGACAATAACCCAAGCGAGTAAACAAACAAATGCAGCTAGACTCCAAATCCAACCCCAAGCAGCACCTCCCACCAAGCGCCATGTCCAACATCCATCACTCTCTTCTCATCTCCCCTATATTAAACCATCTAAATCCCGCCAAGCACATCCTCAACCACCACCCCCAACATCCTCAAACCCCCCACCCTCGCCACATTCCCCATAACCCTCAACCTCCTCACCAACGCCTCCCTATCCACGCTCTCCCCCCAAGCCCCACTACAAGCACAATGCTCCATGAAATCATTAACCCTAACACTCTTACACTTCACACACTTGAGATCCTGGCCCGCCCACTCCCCAAGCATAGCTTGAACGCTAGCAATGAGCCTCTCCTCGAGTTGTAGACGGTTGAACTCCGACGAGCAGAATGTGCATGTCCATGGTCTAGTGGAGGCTGTTCCCGATACGGTTTCTCCTGCAGGGCCAGAACCAGAAGTGGGATCTAGAGGCATGACGTCCTCGTCACGGCAGAAATCGATGTCGCGGCTCATGGTGCAGTTCTCGCAGATGACGCCTTGGATCTTCAGACTCTCGCTGGGATTCTCGAAGCGGGCTTCCGTACTGAATTCTCTGATCTCGAATAGAGCTAGCAACTCCTTTCGCAGAAGTCTAGCTTCCATGGTGATATTGCGGTCCAGACTGAGGACCTGCATCAGAGACTTGACAAGCTGCAGAGCCGGGTTCGAGAAGGTGAGATGTGAGCCCGGCAGGACGGGGAAGCTGTAATCGGATGCGAGTTCTGGATGCAGCATCTCGTCTTTTTGGCGGCGGATGAGGCCTGCGATCTGGCGCTTGAGGGGCCTCTCGAAGTCTTTGCCGAGGATGATCTTGTCCTCTTTGTCGTCGCCGAGTTCGCGGACTGGGATATGGGTCGCCCGGGGCGTAGACGTAGATCCGAGTGTAGGACGCTTGAGAGCGTGCATCTTCTCAACGAATTCGACGACCCAGTCGTTGAAGATTGGCTGGAGCGGAATTGGGAGAAATTTGCTGAGTTGCCAGTGCATGATACAATCCAATGTTTGATTTTCTGCTTCAACGACTTCTGTTGTGGCTTTGCCTCCATAGTTGAACTCGTCGTACCATACAAGGTAGTCCCAGTATTCCTTGATCTCCAAATCCAAGAAGTGGAAGAGTGGTTTCGCCTTTATTGACTTCAAGATATATTGGCTGTAAGCGTATGCATTCCCGACTTCTGACTTTGTTGTTTGGAGGAGCAGTCTATTAGACGAGGCGAAGACAACGTGAGATCCAACACGACGAAAGTCAGTCATGAGCTGCTGGAAAGCTTTCCGGGACATCATCTGCACGTAGTAGTGCAGAGATCGGTCGTACAAGAAGGAGTCGGGATTCTCAACCCATCGGACGAGATGTTGGACCATGATATCAGCCATGCTGCTTCCTTTACACGCCTCTGTCCACCAAGCTTTGACCATCTCTCGAAGAACAGTGACACCAGCAGTTGCAAATGCATTATCAGAATACAGTACATTCGTGCCATCGCTCGGGGAGTCGTCTTGGGGTGCTGCGGGGTTGAAAGATATGGAGTCGCTTCCTTCCAGCTCATTAATGAGTGACGAAGTGAGAATCGTGTTAATTGCCAGATTCCGTACATCAATCTCGATACAAACAGAAGGGTAGGTTCCAGGATTGTTGACGGACGGCATCTGCACCGTGTCCAAGGGTCCCAGAACATCATCCTGTTCATATCCAGCATGATCCGGCCTTGGCCCTCCAGACCACCATAGAACCACATTATTCTTCTGCAGCCGTCTCGCATACGCAATATCGATGAGGAATCGTGGATCATCTCTCTCGAGATTGCAAAGTGGTACATCACCATATCTTGCAAGCTCAGTAAGATGCACAATCCAGGATCCGAGACTCAGATAATTATTGACCAGGCGCTTGGCAACAAAAGCCTGCCATCCAAGCGGAGGGAGATTACTGTCTGCAATCTCGTATTTCAAAGGCAATACTGGGAAGTCGGCCAGGATTGGAATATCGTGAATAAGCATGCGTCGTTGAGGAGATTGAATGACGAGCATTAGTGGTTTCGACTCATCATTACGCATCTTCTTCACGATATCACCAACCTCAAGCAAAGCTTTCCGTCTTGTGGTGACCTGGCTAGTCTTGAATTGCAGCTTCTCTTGGTATGTGAAACAAGTCTGCCAATCCTGACCGTCTGCTTCTTGCTCTCTCCTTGCCAGCATATCACTATAAATCTTTCCGATATTTGGTAGGTCCTGAGCCGAATCTTTCGATTTCTGGAGAATAACAACATTTGCTTGTTCCTTAGCAGAGGAGAACAGTGCAAATACTTGACGATCGCCAGCAACAACGTGGTACAGGTAGAGATACGCCATAGGAGACTGGGTGAGATACGGGTTCTTCGAAACAGCTCGTCGAAGTCCAGACAGATCGAAGCCAGACTCAAGACCTTTTCCGAGAACACCAGGTTGAGTTTCATCAAAAGTGCACAGGCTACCCAGCTGAAGCACAGCTCGAATGCTGAGAGGAACCTGCTTCTCGTATACGCCTTCAACACTGGGATGATTGAACAACAGCGAGAGCTTCTGTGCATCATTTACATAGACCGTTTCCGGCATCGTGAGCTTGAACAGATGCACGGACGGGTGACCATTAGGCAATGTATGGGTGACCTTTTGAGCTTCACAGCCATCGACCTCAATATCCGGAAGTTCCTTGCCCTTCAAATTGAGGAATACTTGACGCGGAACTTTGACCTTTAGAGTATGGATTTTCGAATCGATGAGCACGAAGGCTGATACCACTCCCGGACTAGTCGTACCTCTCAACTGAAGCACCTGCCAAGTGCTCTTATACGTGATCTCCGCCTGGTTCTGGAACGTGGCTCCGATATTGTTCTGCGCACTAACTCGAGACTCTCCAAACAGATGTCTTCGTCGAAGTCGTGCCTGTTTTTGGATCTTCCATTTCTGTTTCTGATACTCGAGGAACCCTTCGTAGTCTTCCGTTGGATTTGGCATCTTCTCCGGTAAAGCAGCATACGGATTTGTCGAGACAGCAACAGCTGGTTCAGGAGATTTTCGTTTCTGAGATTTTTGTGTTGCTTGTGAGAGCTGAGCTCCAAGGGCTTTTGGTTTTAATAGCTTGACTCCAAAATCCTCCATATCGCCAGCTCGAGGGTCCATCAAGTTTGTGATCTCGTCCAGGGGAGCTGACTTGAACAAGTCCGTCATCTTCTTCTGCTTCATCTTGTCTTCCTTAACATTGATCCTCCTTTGCAGCCACTCGGGATGTGGGACTCTGGGTACAGGATTCCGGACTTTCTGGAGTGCAGCTGGGATCGTGATAAGTTTCTGGATGACTGAACCAAGACGCTCAAGGTAGTAATCCCAATCAAGTAACGCTCTGGGATCCATGTTTGTAGGATCTTCCTTGAGCCATTTGCGAAGGAAGTAGCGTTTCACTGTAGTTTCCGCTGAGAAGATAGCGACTGGAATGGCTCGCTCTGTGACAGGTGCATTCTTCGGCCGCGAGCAAATAATATATTTGCAGTTCAGACCCTTATCCTTGACCATCTGTTCGCCCAAAAAATCGGCCAGACGTTTGGCAGTAGTGATGGATGTCGACTTTTGCGTCCCATATTCCTCCAAAGTCTTGGACATGCTTCTGTTCTCGCAAATGAGGTCGATAAGTTCTTCATCGGCGAGCGTTTCTCCCTTCGAGTGGAGAACATCCAACCATTGATTGGCAACCTTCGCTACCGCAGTGTATGTCTCTGTCAGGGTCGTGCCTTCCAAGAAGAACTTGAAAATCTGCTGTTGGAATATTTTGATGAGTTTCAGCTCTCCTCTTCGCTTGACCTCGAACCCTTTCAACTCTGCCAGACTTCCATCATCGTTGAAAACAGCATAACGTTTCTTCAAATTCTTGTCTTCTTCCTTAGACGTAGGCAGAATCATGGCGCGGTACGGACCGTCAACTTCGAAGAAAATGGAGTTGTCGCTATGTGTTTCATATCGGAAAGTCTTCGGATCCTTGAGAGTCTGGTATTGGTGATTCGTAAACTTGGCATGAACAAGATGGTTCAACATGACGCAAGGATATGAAATGGCGAGCTTCTTCCCGTTCTTGAGAGTGAAGCCGTAGTTTTCAGGGAAAGTGGCCGGCAACATACACCAGATACCGTCCGTGTCCAGTTCCAGAGGCCGACCAATTCGTTCAACTAGCTGACGTGCCATTTGAATGATGTGCGCACCAGTGAGACAGGTAACACCAGCCATCTCCATAGAATACCAACGAGAACCTTTTCGCATGACATAACCATAGAACGAGTTCAGAATGACCTTGTGAGCCAGTTGAAGCGAATCGAAAAGCACAATCATCTTCTTTCCACTCTCGATCTCGGCAGTCGAAGCACCGGCTGCTTTCATGGCTTCTGTCTTGCCTTTCCAGAGTTTCTGCTTCCCTTTGTAGTCGTACCGACGATCTCTGAATTCTGACACAGTGTCGATATAGAAAGGGTTCTCTCGCTGGCAGATGATAGCCTCCCGCTCAATGGTTTTTGACTCGTGAATCTTGTGATAGATTTTCTGACTGTAGACTTGAAGACGTTTCCGAACCAATGTGGACTGCTCGTCAGCAGACAGATCCTGGAATGTCCGGGCAGGGCTGTTCGGCCACTTGCCAGGGAAGCGTTCATTCTCGAGAGAGTGCCGAATCATGTTGTATTCATCTCGTTTCGCAGGCAAATACTCTCCTCTCCAGGCCCAAGGCATTCTCCGATCACAAGTCTTTCCAGGTCTGTTGAAATCACAAGCCGCACAATCCGATTCCTGGATCATAGAATCCGGTTGTAATCGATTTGTGGTCATGATATTGGGATACATGGATGCAACATCCAAATGGTAGATTAGGGGCCTCTCGCTTCGATTCGCAGTCTTCTTTAGACTATTGAGTCGATCCGCGATTTGCTGCTTTATTTCGTCGTAATTCGTAACATCATCGAGCGACTTCTTTTCTTCGACCGTGATACTGAACTTCAGCGCCGCATCCAGATCCACGAGCAACTCATCAATGGCAGTTGTATCCACAGCGAAATTGACAGGGATGTCGGCGCGGAAGACTCCAGCTTCAATACTTTCGACGTGACCACCCACATATGTTTCCGATTCCAGTAAGTGGCCTTCCCAGAAGGCCTCCTTGGGTGAAACGTGTTTGTTCGGCAAGACGATTTCTTTCTGGTATGCCTGCACCATGAGCAACATCTCGCACAGAGTTCCTGTTCCTTTCCTCAACACTGCATCCGGACCCAGAGGAATAATTGTGCACAGTGAGAAAATAAAAGGATGAACGTATTTCATGTACAGGTAGTATGTCGCCACCGCATCGGAAACGGAATACTCCGAAAGTACCTGGGGCTTTTCGCTCGCATACCGTAACATCAATTCCGGGTCGATTTCATCTGGATCGTATCCAAGCTTGGCTGTCGTAACGGCTTTGAGACCTCGACTTCCTTGCGGTAAATAACTGTCTCGGTTGACCCAGTGGAAACAATCCATATGGGCACTGTAGTCGCAGCAATATTGATCTTCTGGACCTTTCCGCCATCCAATCTCCTGGTACATATCGATTCCATTAACACTTGCTCTGGCGTCCACAAATGGCCAATCGAAGAAGTCTCCGTTGTAAGTCGCAATTACTGTCGGCCGTGCTTCCTTGATATGTAAAAAGAACCGCTCGATCACTGCTTTCTCGTCCGGCTCATTGAAAATCATAAACGGGCCCTCATATTCCGGTTTTGGTGTATATTCAAAATCCTCGATATCTTCCGAAACAATCTCTCGATTCGTGATCAGGAACCCTTGCCCATCTATCATGTACGATATCATCATGATCTGATCGATTGTAGCGTCTGGGAACTTCAGAGGCAGTTTCGTCGTCTCGATATCGTATGCCATTACCACTGGATCCGCACGCTCCAGTCGCTCTTCTAAACATTTCATTGTTGTAACGCCGTGTTTCGCCTCGACCGAATACCATTTTCCAGTCCGTATATCTAGGTATGTCAGCGATGCTTTCATGCGTGTGCCCAGGACCTTCCATACCCAAATCTATCATTACTCGTACGTGATATGGTACATCCCATTCCCTAATATCCACAATAAAATCGCTTGCATCTGCCACAGAAACATTAAGTCGTCGTTCATCGTCTCGGTCATCATCGAAAAGGTCAAAACCAGCATTTGCGCTGCACTGTATCAGCAGTGCTCCCTCAATCATTCCCCAGAAACAACATACCTAGCAACCTCCGCATACGTATCCATCGCATTCATATTCTTCTTATTCTTCTCGGCAATGGGCATAATATCCCTCCTCGCCGCCAGCAAATCACTCACATTCGCAAACCGCAGCTCAAAAAACGTCCTCCTATACCCAAGCAAATGATTCGGCATCTGCAGATCCTCCTTCTCAACTTTCTTTAAACTCTTAACCACCCCTCCACCAGGCGCACGCTTCAACCACTCCTCCGCCTCGGCCTCGTGACCCCTCTTCACAGCCACAAGAAAATACGGGTCATATTCCAGCGTCGCTTTGAACGTTCCCCCATCATCTTCCAGGAAATAGCAATCCAGCGCCGCCCGCCCGTCTGCAATCTTTGCGTCCTCGACAGATGTAGCTTTGACGTTTACCAACCAGCCGGTCTTCTTCTTGCCTGATTCGTAGCGTGCAAAACCTTGTGCTTCATCTATGGAGTGTGCAAGACGGACTGCTTCGCGCTTCTCGTCAGAGTACGTAGCTTCGTTCCCTCCTTTGGATGCTGTGAAGGTTTTGGCTTTCCGAGGGCCGTGGTAGGCTTGTTTTCCGCCGCGACGGTAGCCGTTCTTGGGCATGCGGGGGCCGGGCATGGTGAGGGTATTCGCAGATAGGACTGCGTGTCGAGATCAAGTAGGATAGGTAGGTGGTGGTGGGAGGATAGGGGGTTTTGCAGCTCTTTAAAGAATTGGCATGGAACCGGGCAATTGTGAAGTCCAATTTGAATTCGACGAGAAATTCCGGACCCGAATTAGTAGAAATCGAATCGTTTGCCTCGAGTTTGTGGCTTTGAGGTGAGTTGTGATGTTGTGGTGTTGTAAGGTTCAAATGTGGTATGGAGTCTACAAGCCGGAGCTGAGCGCGTAGCAAAATCGCGTCAGACGCGTAAAGAAAGTCTGAGAAGTCGCGTTCAGCACTTAAACATCGGAAGCGAGACAACCCCTGGCTTTCAGCCTTGCATCCACCAAATGCCAGCCTTACACTAAAAGAACTGCGGGAGCCAGGAAGTCTCTCTCCGCACATTGATATCGCAGATCCACCACTCCTGCAACATACTCCCATTGTCTGTATATTAACAACCACAACAATGGCCGGTGATACCAGAGATACCTCCTCCTCCTCTTCTCCCTCCCAAACACCGCCACTCCCACCACCCAGTGCAACTTCCCCTCCACCGCAGATAACATCCTCCTCTCCAAAGACTTACGAAGTCTTCAACTCACCACAGTCGCCTTCAAAACCACTAGCCGGTCCAGTCTCTGCCAATGCTTTACCAGAAGGTTCAGGGCAGAATACTGCAGGTGGGCAGAAAGAAGTGCCCACGCTAGTGAGCGCCATCAAGACAGTTCGGATCCAGGATTTCAAACAAGTGCATATGTATCCCTGTGTGCGGGAGAGTCTGTTACTGGGAATTGGTGGCGCATTTGGCATGGGAGGTGTGAGGGCACTTTGGGGTGGTAGGTCTATTTCTTTAGTAATATCCTTATAGCTTGAGGTATCTCCAGCTTTGTGGAATTGGTGTCTCGAGTAGTACTCGTTTGGCAATTCTATTTGGGAGATTTAGGCGACTTCATGAACTTCTTACTTTCAAAACATTTACTCACTCCCCCATAGCACCAATCCCCAAAGCCGCCAATTGGGCCGTCGGAACCTTCGTCTTCGCCTCCTTCGCCAACTACGAATTTTGTCTGTATCGCCGCCGTTTAGAGCGACACCACATGAAACGCGCAGTTGAAATCATAGACCGCAAGAAAGCGGAGAAGGAAGCCGCAGCAAAGATTAAGAGAGAGGAGAGGCGGAGGGCGAAAGAAGAAGCGGATAGAAAGGCGGAGGAGGAGAGGAGGAGGAGATGGTGGAAGGTTTGGTAGAGGGAATAGGGGGGAAAGAGCTGGGGAAGAGGAGTGTACTACTTTATGTATCATGATGTGATCTTGTAAGTTAACCGAACGCTTGCGGATTGTGTATCTGCTGTATATAAGCCATGTGTTTGCAAGCGCCAATGCGTCCATCTGAGTTTGATGCCCGCCAGACAGATCGGCCCATCTCCACCCTTCCTAATCAAACAAAGAATGGCCTGCTCTCCTGAATGAAGCAAAACTAAATCACCCAACGAGCCAGCTCCATATTACTCAATCACTTTTCTCTTTTTCTCTAGTCATTTCGATATTCAAACAGCACCGCACCGTGAGTATCAGGCAGATTAGAACTCCTAAGCCGCTCTCTTCAACCCAGCAGTTTCCTTCCTCGGTTTCCTCCAGCATGCCGCCTGACCCAAAGATGATGATCTGGTCTGGTCTAGTCAGCGTGAAATCAGCCTAACGAACAGTCAATACCACTCAACTACTCCACAGAAACCCTCGTCAACACTACAATAACTTATGATTTGAGATGCGTCAGCGTCAAAGGAGCGTGCGTACCATACACACATATGAATAAGAGCCGAACGATTCTAGTTGTCATAGGCCAAAGAAAAAAAATATATCTCTTCCAGTCGCGCGCATCAGCCAGCAGAAATACAGTTGTCAAAAAATATCTCCGATCTGAGCCTTGGTTGGTCAGGTCAGGGTAGGGTGTGTGTCTGCGGCCAGTATTAGCGACTCAGTTTCTCGCTTACCGTGTTTAGGTGCGGTTCCAGAAAAAGGAGCCTAGGTTCCTAAAAGGAAGAATAGTATTTCAAGCATTCAATCAATTTCGTGGGTATCTTATAGCTTCTAGTAATCTTCAAAATACTAGCAGTGTATCATTAAAACATATCAACGCCCTTCTCTTCCCCGCAATTCCGACGGAGCGAAGAGTCAAGCTCTGCAGCATATCCAGCGCTTTCCCATAGGTATCAATCCCAATCCATGCTCCTCAACGCCCCGCCATGCAATCCTCAGACCCATCCCCACCAGTAAGTACTATGAAGTCGAAACCACACTCTTCACCTCCGCCTCCATAAACCTCACCCTCCTCGCCGTCTCCTGCTCCTCCTTACTCGCCTTCGACATCTCACTCCCCCTCCTCCTCTCACTCCTCATCTTCCTCGCCTCTCTCGCCTCCCTATTCCGATACTCCGCCATCTGCTGTCTCCTCTTCTGCGTCCTGGCATACGCCTCCGCAGGCGTAGGTTTAAATCCAATACCATTAATGCCTTCCCCATCGTCATCTGGGTCCGTAGGATTATGGCCGGTGATTTCGTCGTCGTGCCACGTGAGAGAAGCCCTTTCATTGTCTATCTCAGGCTCAGCTTCCATGTCCTCGCTTGAGAAAGAGCTCGTTGGCGGTGGTGTGCCGGCTCTTTTCTTCCGGGATTTTGATTCCGCGAGGCGATTTATTGAGGGATATGTCCCTTTTAGATTTCCGTGGCCACTTCTCGGCTTTCCACTCCCTGTAAATACCATCTCGTCCACACTATTACTCAACACCACACCCCTCGCAGCTTTCTCCAGCACCGGATCAACGATCCTCTCCTCGCCTATGAAAATGCCAAATTTTCCCTCCTCGCCCCGGCTCCGCCCAGTCCCAGCACCAGCCGCATTGCCTACATGCTGTGGTGTCTCCGGGACCTCAACCCTCTTCTTCGGCTTCACAATCTTGACTTTCTTCCTCGAAACTTGCTGGTCTTCTTCTCGATCCACATTTCCATTCCCATCCATTACCACATCAGCCTCGTCATCAAACGCCCCATCTTCACCAAAACCATTCCCTTTCCTCGGCCGGGGTCCATCAAGTTCAAAGCGCGAAACCGTCCCTGCATCTTCTAGCCTCAGTCCTTGGAAATTATACGCAACTTTCGTGCGCGGACTTCCTGGTCCATCTTGCCCCTCATCTCGGGCCTTTTCTTTGTTTGCAGCGCTCTTATGATTCACGATTGTGACCCCAGGTATCTCGGTACTAAGTCGCATATCGGCGGAGGAGGAAGGTTCGAAATCTGGAGCTGGACAGGAACGTGGTGGTGTAGGTGGAATGGTTGATATTGCTGGGAGGCCGCGTTTGCGTTTGGGGGAATGTGAGGTTGAGCTGGAAGATGTGGATGTGGATGTTGCGGAGAGGAAATGCGACGGCGGGAGGGATGACATGGCGTGTGGTTTTAACATTGGGACGTGCGGAGGATGTGGTCTGGAAAGAGGAAGGCGAGGGGATGTGGTGATGCGTTGCCAGGTTGTATGCCTGTATGCCCTGGTCTGTTTGCTCAAAGAAGACGGAAACGGTCAGCTGTGATGTCAGGCGGCGGGACAGAAGCAGGGTTCTATTCTCGTCTTTGATGGTCGAGCTCTGGTGATATTAGCAGCTTGTGACTCTGGAGTGAAGAGACAACTCCGTAAATTTGTGAGGAATAAATTGAGGTGAGATGAAATGTGTGATTTGATCAGTGCCCGATTGCTGTAGTCAAGTTGAAGTGGAGTGAAGTTGGGTTCATGCTCGATGGTGGGGTTGATTGGAGCTGTGGGCGGTCTGGCCCATCGGCGCATTTCGGCCCGCCTGACAGCGGGAATATAATCACGTGAGATCACAGTAATGGACGCGCGAAGGATGGCCGGACGGCCATCTATGTTATGCGGTAGATGACTTTTTACATAGTACAGATTCAGAATTATTTGATGTTTGATATACGCTACGAGAGATTCGGGTATTCTAGGCGAAAGTATCGTATGTAGTGATCCGCAAACCTGTCAGCAATCTTTCTCATGTAAAAAGTGGAAATCGTCAGATCGTCGCTGGCCAAGACTGAAAAGCTGCGTAAAGAGCAGGAGTATTGCAGTTTACTTAGGAGAACTGAGACTTCTACACCTTTCGTACATTTATTTGTTGTCATTTCTAGAACTAAGTTTCGCTTGGAACCCCGTTTCCGCTCGCTTGTTGGAACTAGCGAGTAAACATCAATAAATAAAGCTTGCCGTTCCTTTTTGCACACCAAATACCTGATATGAGGCCTAGGATTTGGTTTTTCTAGAAATAATAAAGTTTCCAAGTAGGTGTCAGTAGACATACAAGATATTGGACGTCCATACTGTCAATCATCGAGTTTTCACTATTCAACTATTTGCTGAAGCTAACCATAAGATTCTTTCCTGTACAAGGTAGCTGCTGTATGACATCCGACTATTTAACTCCATAACTCCACTCCATTCATCACCATCTCACACGTAAACTAATACGAAAACCCCTCCTCCACAAAATCAACCGACCCCTCCCCCATCCTCCCCCTAACCGCCTTCCTCACCCCATCAGCCAACCTCCCCGGCCCACAAACACCCACCACCATCGCACCCACCCTCTTCTCAAAAACCTCTCCCACAATCCCCTCAATCTCACACTTCTTATACTCCACCTTGACCCTCGCATCATGCACCCACGCCGGCAAAGAAACTTCCTCCTTTCCCTTCTCAACATCCTTCTCCGTCCTAACCCTCTTCTCACTAACAAAAACCTTAATCTCCAAATCCAAGCTAGTAACCTCTCTAGCAGTATAAAGAATCTCCTCCACCCAATCATCGACCCAGCTCAACGCGTCAACACTCGCAACAGCCCATGTGAGAACCACTTTCCTCGCGGAATTGTCACCACGTCTAGCTCGAGAGGCGATTTCGAGGATTTGGTGTAGGACGCCTGTGATGCCTATCCCACCTGCGAGGAGTAAGACTGTGCCGTAGGAGTTGAATGCATTGCGAGTCTCGCGAGAACTCCAGGAGTATGGAGACTCAATGATGCCAAAGGCAGTGTAGAAGGGTGAAGTTGGTGTAGCGTTGTGCCATTTCGCGCGATTGTGGAGCTTGCGAGTCATGCCTTTACGGGAATGGACGAGGAGTGTTATGGTTGATACACTACTCGGTTGGTCGTCTCTTGTGTCTCGTCTGAGCTCAACGACTGACTGTCTCTCCCCAAGGGTGTTGACGCTGTACACCGAAGAACTCGACGTGCAAACAGTAGAAGCTTCCGAGAACTTCGACTGACTTGGGAAGAATTCCGATCCTGACCGCAATATAGAACTGGACTCGCTGTACCAAGAGATGGAGAACGGATGAGATGTCCAAAGTGCCAACGAAGGAATGTAAACATGTACAATGGCTCCCGGTCTCGGCTTCCAAGGTTTCGCCAACGAGATCGTCACTCTGCTGATATTCCCAGGTAGTGCTTCGACACTAAGCTTCGTGAATCGTCGTCCCCGAATCGAAACATTGTAAGTCAGAACTCCCCAAACCCTAGCGAGATATTCGAATCCAAGAATCCCAAAGATCGCATACATGAACGGAATCTGTCTAAGACCATGATAATACAGATGGAGATAAATGCAGACCAGAGCCCCATACACCGAAATCCTATGGAACGTAACAAACGTATCATAAAACGCCCGACGAACAGGCGACCAAGCCTGCACGAGAATGAAGATCAACAACCCCGTCGCAACAGCCGCAACACGATACGAAAGTGCATCATCCAGCGATCCTCGAACACCAGCCCAGTCGCCTGCGATATATGTATTGACCAACCAGCACAGGGTATGTATAATTGCTTCCACGGCAGCAAGACGAGCAATCCAGCGATGAAAAAGCATGAAAGTGTCATAATTGACGTTCAGGATCCAGATCAGGGGGTTATTTCGTGTGGCGAACAGAATGCTGGGGATTAAGTTAAATGTGGCTAGGACACCGCTTCGGCCACGGAGAGCGGCGATTATGGCGTGGCCTTTCTCCCGGTTCCACGGGAGGGCGAGGCAGAATGCTAGGTTCCAGAGCATGTAGATGGTGAGAATGAGAGTGTGGTTTCGGGTTGGCAGTGTGCCGAGACTGATTCGCTTGGTGAGGTGGAACTCCTCGTTGTGGCGATGCTTGAAAAGAGGTGCATCGAGAAGACGTCTTTTGAGGGTCGAGTAGAAAGGAAACATGTTTTTGGACCAGATCTGCTGATCGTGGTGGGTGTGACCGGCGGTAGAGATATGACGGAGGGTGGTGAAGAGGAGAAGTGAGATGCGGCGGAGGAAGATTGTAATCAGGAGAAAGGCAAAGATGTAGCCGATTGCGGTAGGGTAGAACCAGTCTGCCCTTGGATCGGTTCCCGTCAGTCCGTGAGAGAATCGGAATATGTGTGTGGAGTTGTAATCTGCTGCCACATTGTTCCAGTCTGGAGCTGGATCTGAGGAAGATGCTGGTGAGCGTGGAAGGAAAGATTTGTACATGTTCAGTGCAACTTGAGATATCAAAGAGTATATTTAGAAGAAGAATGGTGATAGTGAATTTGAGTTGCAATTGAGCAAACTGAAAAGAAGGGAATGACAGATCGAACTGCTTTGAAGGATGGTGCTCAGTTTCAATCCACATTCGATATTTGGCATCTTATATACAGTATCTTTACATTTCACAAGATCAGTTCAGAGCTTTCGAGTCTATCTTTGGCAAGGCAGAGTCTAAGGAGTAGGGAGTCAAAGCTCAAAAGCCATGTTAACGAAGCCTTTAGGATCATATAAAACTCGCCGATCCAGCCACTGTTTGATCCCAAGGCCGTAAATGATCATGAGTGTCCTGACGAAATACTTTCAGTATCACCGGACTTCAAGCACACAACGGAGGTGGAAGGAAGTGGAGTTGAATACGAACGCCATCAGTTCAAAAGTTCCTTCCCGAAAGTTTATTTTGTAGTTTAGTATCGTCGGAGCCATACCTGTGCCCACAGACCTTCAAGCACTAAACTGTGAAGGAGGAAGCTCTACAAGCTTTCTCAATTGAGAAGTGGACCGGACCCAAGAAGCGAAGTGGAGTGGACTGCAGTGGCTTGGAGAGGCAGCACCCTCATGAGTGAAGAGACGAAAACCCATCGTCAAAGTGGATAGAACATCATTCCAAAAACAACTTTGACTTGCGGCTCTGCCATGCATGGCTTCCCGGTAGGATGTGGCTTGAGGTGCAGCGTTCCACAAAGATTGACGAAGCGAGCATTATCGTGAACCAAGAGGCTGAGAATAGTCTGTCCACACCATGTGGCTCAAGTTTCACAGGGTTCGGTGCTGCTCCTCCAGGCTTCTAGAAGATCCAGCCCTTCGGTCAGGAGTAACTCGGTGTGCACAGAAATAGGCGACGCGCCAAAATTGTAGAACAAGATCCACTTGTTTGGTGCCGACATTACACAAATCACGCAGGAAGCAGGACAGCCGTACCTGATAATAGAATACGGTTAGGATGAAACTGGAGGCTGAAGTGAGTTTAAAATAACAAGCGCAGGCATTACGTGGTACAACTAGAGTTTGTGTAACTGTCGGCGTCAAGCTGCCTTGCTGCTGCATGGCATTTAACTTCACTCTAGCAACGAATGCGTAACAAAAGGACCAGACCTTTCCCCGAGCCTGGTGCTTAGATGTGGTGGACTTGGAACGAGTCTTCCGACGGTTCACTCCTACCTGGTTCACAAGTTTCGGAGATAGTAAAGTCAGGTCAGAAGTCCACTGCCTAGTCTGTCACTCAGCTGACTTGTAGGCTGTGATACACGCTCTGGGGCGACTTGATCGGAGCGTGACTATAGATCTGTTCATTCCAATCGCCGGTGGCCTAATTTGGGAATACCAAAAGCGAAGCACTTCGCGCGAAAAAATGTGGATTGGTGGTAGCTTTCAGCTCCCATTCAACAATTGCGACGTATCTTGGGGTCGTGGACCACGAATTTCCTGTTTTGGACGTTAAACTCAAGAGCTAGGACATATAAGTCAGTAAAATCCCTGTGCCATACGCTCTGACTTACCATTTTTAATAAGCAGGCTAGACATCTGTTTATATCCAGATATCACACAGTAATACTGGAGTCAGAAGTATTGGAACATGATTCATCTCGAGCCTTTAACATGCCTAATCCGTCACCTGAGCGTGATCTTGATCAGGATACAAGCTTTATTTGATGACGAATGGTGAACGGGCATTGGAGGCATTTCCAATGCGTGATTATTCTAACACCTGCCTTTTCTACTTTCTTACCAAGAGGCATGGAGCTTATGGTGAGTAATGATGTCATTTTGTCATACTGTGTTACACCATTGAGGCATTGCTAGGCATTTATCTACACCTAGAGCGCTTGTGCAACCACCAAATCATCAGCTCAACCTACACATGACCTCTAAAATTTGAAAAGACAAGTCGAGACATACGAGTGACTTCTTGCTGAACGGTAATTGGACAAGTCGTATACAATGCTGGATGTTCTTCGTGTGAAGGTTTGTGGAAAACATGTATAGTAAGCTATCAACGATTTGCCCGACAATACAGTCAGCATCAGTTGCGGCGCTCCATAAGGCTGAACTCAGTCAACAGCATGTGATGCTGAAATCTCACACGAGAGCTGAGCTTTCAGAGAATGCTGGAGCCTCGTTCTCAGTATGGGTTGCGAATGGGTGGGCAGGGCACGGAAATCTAAGTATAAAGGGCAGGTCAATGAAGGGAGCAAATCTCATATTCACATATCATTCATCAATTTGCCAGATACACAAGCACAGTTCTCAATTTTAATTCATTCCTAGATCGCATAACTTGTGCAGGCTTGTCTTTCCAAGCTGCCAAAATGGCGTCCACATCTGGCCCAGTCATTCTGCCTACAACGCTTGAGCCAGCCGACTTCAATCTCAACTATGTTATGTACTGGAACAACGTTGCACTTGATCTCAATCGTATCACGCACTCTATCGCCGGACCATACACAGGACCACCTTTGAGTGCTCGTGCACTTTCCATTCTCCACCTTGCTATCCACGACTGCTACTTCGCTATTCATCCTGATATGGCCAAGGGCTTCTCCACATTCCTCGACCCCAATAGCACTGATCCTCTTTACCGACTTCCACCCGTCGGAAACGCGACGGATGCCAGAAGTGCTGTTGCCGCTGCATCAATCAGAGTTCTTAATAGAATTTATGCAACTCCAAACTCAACAATTGCAACTGCAACTACGGAAACCATTTCTCAATTCATTCAAGATGCCACTGCGAATTTTGCGGGCATCGAGGCCATCTCACCCAGCTACCTGTTCGGTGTTGCCGTAGCAAACGCCGTCCTAAAACTCCTCTACATCAGCCCAGACGATGATTCCGTAAACCAAGGATCATACCGACCTGTCCCGGGCCAGTTCAAATTCGACGGAGACCCATCCAACCCAGTCCGTATATTCCCAGTCAACCCCAATGATCCCAACGGTCCAACAAAAGCCGTGGCAGTGTTCCATCTGCCCTATTATGGTATCCTCGCCAAGCGAGTTGCAGTACAAATGAACATCAAAGGCCAGCCAACCGAGCACATTCTTGCAGACCCCCCAAACAACATCAAGCGTCCTCAAGATCTCCCAGAGTGGGAAGACTCTCTGAAAGACATTATCCGCATGGGAGGCCCGCCGGACAGCAGCGCAACAAAGCGTCGCCCTGATCAACGTGCAGGGGCAATATTCTGGGCTTACGACGGATCCAACTTGCTTGGAACTCCACCTCGTTTCTACAACCAGATCCTGCGCCGCATCGCCATTCAAAAGATGCCTGATAACCCTACCTCCGAGAGAACCAACGCCGATTTCGCTCGCTTGTTTGCACTCGTCAATGCCTCCATGGCCGATGCAGGGATCCTAGCATGGAAGACTAAATGGTTCTACGAGTACTGGCGTCCCGAGACAGGAGTTCGCGAGACTGAAAGTTCATTGGCAGATCCCTTCTTCCTCTCTCTTGGAGCGCCAGATACGAACAGCAACCGCATCTCTTTCAAACCTCCCTTCCCGGCATACCCATCTGGCCACGCCACGTTCGGCGGTGCTGTCTTTCAAATGATGCGTCTCTACTACAGGCAGAGAGATGGATTGATGTTCGATGATAACGCTCCTGATACCATCGCATTCCAGATGACTTCTGATGAATTGAACGGAATCAATCGCGATCTTCGCGAACCATATGACCGTGCCAAGCCGATTCAAGAACAACAAGGCATTGTACGCACGTTGCGTCCACGTACTTTCAGCAGCCTTTGGCATGCCATATTCGAGAATGGAGTCAGTCGAGTCTGGCTTGGCGTTCACTGGCGATCCGATGCCTTTGCCGCCAAGGATGTGCTTGTGCCTTCTTCCGATCCGGAAAAAGATTTGTATGCTACAAATGCAGATGGAACAACTGCATATATCCCGGTGGATCAGATCCGTTACCAGACTTTGGGTACCAGAGATGATAGACCAGGGCAGCTGTTCCCGATTGGAGGAGTGCCGTTGGGAATACAAATTGCTGAAGATATCTTCTATTCTGGATTGAAGCCAACACCTGCTGCAGAACAGCCAGCCGCGACTGTGTAAGTTGCGTGATGGACATTGTTGGGAATTCCTTTTGTATTACTTATCCTGTCGTCGCAACGTGCTCTAGTATGGTCACTGTTTGTTTTCTGTTTTTCTTGGCAAGTTTGTCTTTAAGCGAGCTAAATAGAGAATAATTGTTTCGCGTGTCGCTCAGTCTCGCAATCTCATTGTGCTGAACATTTCTTTCACTTACCACTCAGCGATTCTGTTAATATCCTCCCATGTCTTGACAACGGAACATGTCCCAAGGGCATGAACTTGGGGTCAATTTAATTTTGATCCTAGTTCTCCACGGCTCTACGCCCAGCCTTAGTACCCGTCATGTTGGTCATGATCCATTGCAGAGACAGAAGCCTGAAGGGCAATAAACCCGAGAACCAATTTGTTTGATCAATTAATGGCTTATCTGACTACATAGCCTTTTGTTAATGCAAGTTAGAAGAGAAACAACCCCACCCGGCCACCACTCTGCTCGCCTGTAATACATGTCCTCCATACTTCACTTGCATAGTCCAGCAGGAAACGACGTCACGCAGACATTATTCTTCTTCACCACATTTCCCTTCCCAACTGAGTCAACCTCAATATCAACGTCTGCTGGGTCCACCGGGTTCGACAAAGTGCTAATCGTATTCTTCTCAATCACATTCCCAGTAGCAAGCACAGCACCCTGATCGAGGATCCAAACACCATATCGATGCATGTCATTGATGACATTATTCTTCACCAACGTGTTCTTGGCTCCGAAAAGGCCAATCCCAAAGCTGAATTGGTATCCAGGAGCATTGCCAAAGATAGGATTATCCTTGCAGTTGGGTCCAACATGCTCGATCACGTTGTCGTGAACTCTGACGCCCTTGATATCGGGATCGACATAGGTGCCAATGCACGTGTTGTGAACTTTGTTGTTGTATACGTTCATGCCGCTCGTTTGCACGCACAGTCCAAGCCAATACCCATCGATGTCGTTGTCGTGAACACTGGCGTCGTGTTTGTCGTCCATGCAAATACCGATGACCCGGATGAACGGGTTGGGCAGTGGTGTGGAGACTACACCGTTTTTCTTGAATTCGGTATCTGCTGAACCGACTGCAAGCAGCCCATAGAAGTTGTGATCTATGACCGTGTTGCCCGAAATGACAGTGTCGCGCGCACCGACTACGGCGATACCAATTCCAGAGAAGTCCTTTACCGTGAAGCCAGTGACGGTTACTCCCTTAACACTGCTGTCCACGGAGCTGAATTTGCGGTGTTCTGACCCAGGGAAGTCACCTAAGTGTACGCCAGTGCCTGTGACACATATTCCTGCCTGCGGGTTACAATCGGGTTAGCAATTGTTGAACCTGAGGCTTTTTGGGGAGAAAGAGTCATTGCTTGAAAATTGATTGCTTCAAAGGTGTAAACAGAATTCTGCAAATACGTACTTGACTGGGAACATCGGGAATGTTGTCAGGATCGGGGTTGACTGCCGGGCCAGCTAATCCGGAGCAAGTGTTGTTTACTGGAGCATTTGGAGGCAGAAGAGTAGCTTCACGACCAACGAGCGACAAACCTTTCGAGATAGTCAATTGCTCGTAGTATTGACCCTTCTCGACAACAACCCTGTCTCCAGGGTGTGCATAGTCGATCGCTTGCTGAATTGTCAAAGGACCATGTTCCGTAACAGTGATTGTTCTAGCCGAAGCAAGGGCAGTAGAGCCGAGCAGAAGCGTGAATGTAGAGACCTTCATATTCTGTGAGGATTGAATTCGAGATCGATGGCGAAATGATGGAGGCAATTGAGCTTCTCTTGGAGGAGGGAATGGAATGGGCATTCAGGAGTCTTTATGTTCTGTCATGAGAATGCATGATACCAACAACTCCTAAGAATGTGGAAGCCATGGCGTTCACACAACACATCAGGTACTGCATTCATCCAAAGAAAAGACAAAAACGATGCCAAAAGCTCCCGTCCATATATTGGAAGGAAGATGCCGAGGATTAATCACCACAGGGTCGCTGCAAGGCGTCGGAATACTCACGTGATGTTTACCAGCCTTTGATGGAGGTGCAACTAAAATCAAAATAACATTACAACGATCTCCTATATCTCCTTTTAAAGGCTATCTACTGCATCCAAAACCAAATTTACTCAAACTCTCCCTGTCTTTGCGAGAGAGTTGCTCTCAGCTCGATCATGGCCAGCAACTCAACTTTCAAGTCTGATCTCCTCTACGCGAATGCCGACTTATTGACGGACTGCTTACCAGAACACAAAACAGAAACCAGCAAGTCATCATACAATAACTGCAAACCACAGCTGAAGCCCGAAATCCGATATATGCGATTATCGATAATCTTCGCTTAACTAGGAATCTGAGGACCACCATCATTGCAACATGTCAACGTTCAGCATTTCACCAGGACTCACCCTGAAACCGAGTCTGGCGAAAGGAAAGCCAGGTGCAGAATACCGAACTGGCGCTGACCAGAGAGAAGAGCATTGGGCGGAAAGAGTTTGAAAGAGACCAAGGAGATATGCGAGAGTGTGCTGGCAGCGACGGGTAGGGACGAGTGCCTTGGTGTGAGAGCGGATAAGCTTGTGAAGAAGCTCTGTGTCAGCATCGCCGCCTACCATGTTTAGTGTTTACATTCGAGCGGCCACAAGTGTCGCAAGGTCGGATCCGACAATTGGCGGATCCTCTCCCACAGTCGGAACCGATGAGCGGAAGTACCCCACACCCCGCGATCCGCGATGCAGGGATATTTCAGGAACCGAGCGGAGCGGATGGTGAGTTACATGGATGGAAGTAGAATCCGCTTCACTCAGGATCTGGATCTCTTAAGACACGCAAGGTATTTGAAGTTCTCTCGAATCTGTCCTACATATTTGCAAATTGTGAAGTCAGACTACCAGCAAGCACAAAAATTCCTACTCGACAAAATGAAAGGCACCATAAATGGCGATCACAGTGCTGTTGCCCAAAGCAAGGTGAATGGGCATATTGATATTGTTTCCAAGGTAAACAAAACTTCTCTGACATTACTGCTACAAAGGGCTTACTTGAAGGTAGGAGAATCAAGTATTCGTGCTGCGAAAGAAAGGAGACTTCGCGTACGAAACTCGGAGAACACCAAACCTACCTACAAATCGGCATGTGTTGGTGAAGATACTTGCGACAGGAATATGTGGGAGTGATGTAAGATCTTCTTTTGAGTGTATAGACAGTGTATATCTAACGTCATCCTCTCGGGTCCATTACTGGAAACACGGCAAGATCGGACCATTCGTCGTCGAGCAACCGCTCGTTCTCGGACACGAATCAGCAGGGATAATCGTGCAATGCGGATCAGAAGTCAAGACTCTCAAGCTCGGCGATCGAGTCGCCATTGAGCCGGGCGTCCCATGTCGGAGTTGCGAGTTCTGTCGAGGCGGGAAATATAACCTCTGCGACGAGATGAAGTTTGCTGCGACACCTCCAGTCGATGGGACGCTTGCAACATACTACACGGTTCCAGAAGATTTTTGCTTTATCCTTCCACCACACATATCGATTGAAGAAGGTGCTCTGGTGGAGCCCCTGAGTATCGCGGTACACTGCACGAAGCTGGCTTCTGTGTCAATGGGCCACAAGGTCCTCGTCATGGGAGCAGGACCAATTGGTCTCCAGTGCTGTGCAGTTACGAGGGCATTGGGTGCTTCTGTAGTCATCGCAACAGACATAGTTGACTCGAGGCTAGACTTCGCTTCTCAGTATGCGGCAACTCACACATCCAAGATGCAGAAGGAAGTGCCTGAAGTCAACGCCAACAACATCATGTTAAATTGCGGTATTCCGACCGGAGCAGATGTTGTGATTGACGCAACAGGAGTTGCTGCGTGCATATCGGCTGGGGTATTTGCCCTGAAGAAGGGTGGAGTCTTCGTCCAGGCTGGTTTGGGAGCTCCGGATATACAGTTCCCAGTTGGCGAGCTGTGTTCCAAGGAAGGCGTGTACAAGGCTAGCTTCAGATATGGCCCAGGAGACTATGCTCTTTCCATCAAGCTGCTTGAAGGGAAGAAGGTGGACCTCAAGGCTCTGATAACCCACACCTTCGACTTTGGGTCAGCGGCAGAAGCGTTCGCATCAACAAGCAGGCAAGAAGGAATCAAGACCATAATATACGGTCCTAAGGGCGACGCGCTGCCGGTTGGTTCGTAGGATACAGTTGTGGCTGTCGAACCTCAGAAATTGAAATTTCCAGCATCCCATAGCCAGAATTGTCCTAGATCCTCGACTCTCGTGAACATGTTATCATTTAGTCCCATATCATGTGTGTTTGCTAGCTCGCCGGCCGCTTCTTGGCCGTTATGTTGAGGCATATAGCTCATATAATCCTGGTTGGCTGCCATCTCATCGAGTGGATGACGCATGGCACTGCTGTCCTGAAAACCTCTCTGAAGAGTCAGGAGACTTTGTGTAAAGTGAGAACCATCTGGATTGTGACCGCCAGAAGCACCAGCAGCTGTTGCATCAGCGAGGGGGCCTGAGATGCAAATTGCACATCACCTCCATTTTGGACTCCATCCATTCTATTACCCAGCTGATAGGATCCTGCTTCTAGATTGCCATCCACGCCTGCTGAGTCGTCGCGCAACATTTCTTCCATCTCTCGTTTCAAAATGAGCTGTACCAAATCTTCCAACACCATACTATATTGCAGTGATAGCGATGCGTGATTCGACAGTATCTTTTGCATCTGGAGTGTTCGTTTCAGGCCCCGCTTGGCCTCTTGTGCCGTGTCGGACAATGTGTCGGATAGTGCGCAGATGAAGAGAACAACTGAGGCAGTAAAGAGATTCATTCCCAGGAAAGAAACCAGGTGACTTGAACGAGCAAGGTAGAACAGGTTCTGCTTCCGCTGAAGATTTGAGATACGTAAAGCAGAACCGAGACACTTTTTGAAGCCAACCTCTCGCACATCGTCCGAGAATTGGGAGCCTGGAGATGTTCCCTGTCCATCTGCCATATGCTCGGATTGCCCTTGTCCAGCAAGCAACGGCTCATGTATAACAATGACAAGGTTGTCATATGTCAATTGTAGCGAGAGCGCTTGAAGGGCGTGCATTTTCTCCTCGGGTGAAGATTGAGCTGTCAGATCGTTGAGGTGGTCAAATGAGAGATGAGGCGGGAGATCCTGATTCCACTCTAAAAGTTCTCTGTTTGCTACAGACACTTTTTGGGGAAGCTCTGAGGACGAATCTAGATTGTTTGAGGTGCGCATGCCATAGATGTCTTCCAGTAGTGGTGAGGCAATCCTGTAAACATGGTTCAGATAGTACTGATATGAGGAAAGACACACCAGCGCCGGAGGGAAGGCTGGATCGAAATGAATATTCTCGAGTATTTCAGATGGCATTGTTACATTGCAGTCTTTGGCATTGATGCCCAGAGGCCTTCCATAGGTGATAGTAGCAAATCTGATTACGAGATTAGCTGTTACTGATAAATGAGACAGTGTCGTGGACCTCTTACCTATCCCATGTGTATATGGTCCACCAAACGCGTTTTCTTTCTTCAGCATCCTCATAAGACCTTTTCGAGCTTGTGTCGCGATGCAGGTCCATGGCTTGAGATGTTTTCGTAGCAGCACCGAGAATAGAAAAAGACGATCTGGGCCGAACGTGATACAAGTACAAAGATCCAAGCAGAGCACAGACCTGAACAAATTCCAGAGAGTCTTCGTCCATTAATTCCATGAAGTCTCGTTGTACGACTGCCAACAATCGGCCTCTCAAGCTATCCATGACTTGAGGAGTGAGACCATGATCCTGAGTTTTGTTCTTTGAAGTATATCAACATCCCATAATCAGAACCATGAGCAAAAGTAGCAAGAATCCATGATCGCTGCGGCTGGCAAGTCCACTGCCCACAACAGCAGTGTATCGGCCTCTGAACTTTGGTTCGTATATCACAAGCGAGAACCAATGGACGGATGAGAAATACGTCTCCAACAACTTGTTACAGACTTCATGGTCTGGAAGCTCAATGCCAATAATATCGAAAACTGGGATTAGCGGCACAGGAAAAATGTTCGAGCTGTTGGTTCCATTCGTATCCCGGCATCCTCCTCCAGGAATAGCAGAAGTCGCTCGGTCCCTGAACGCTTGTGACTTTTGGGACCCAAAGATCTAATCGTTATCAGTCAATGTAGCAAATATACACCAAGAATCGAGACCTTTCGAGCTGTTGCTAGGGCAGAGTCGGCATCGAATCCAGGTAGACTAGAATTCTCGCGCGGGACTTGAGCCTGAGGTGGCCGAGGAGTTTGGTTGTCACTTGCAGACGAGGCTGTTCGTGCACTCCAGACCATATCATCTTGACCGGCATCTGTCTGTCTGGGAGTGGATTCGCTCGTCTGTTGTGAAAATGGTCTTGGAGGGTTGTTTGATTGCAGGGGTGATGCTGGCGTGGGTGTATCTGTTTGCCTTCTTGCCCGGACCTTCCTGATAGCGAATGAGCCCTTTTCAAGTGGATTTGTTGATGATATCCCTTCTTACTTAACAGTTTCCAATGGCTGTGTCCTACATTCCTTCTGCGCACGAACGCAATGGCGGCATGGACGCTCAAGATCGCACTGGATAGGAAGAGAGGTCAGTGACAGTGTCTAAGTATTGGACCAAGAACTGCGATACTTACGCGTTTTTTCTGGCTTTTGCACCTGTCGCAGGCTTTGCTGACCCGTATATTTACCGGACCTTATCATGAATTAACAAGACTTACCAATCTGAGAATGTAGCCAGAGCCATTCCCTTGCTTCGTGCTCGGAGTGGGAAGATCTCAGCTGGCAAGAGCCAAGGCATCGGTCCCCATGTGGCACCGTAGAGAGAGTTATAAATGACAACGAAGCTGAAGATACCATTTGCGCGAGTAGTGACGGTAATTCCATTGACTTGGTTGAAAACACACATGATGCTCAGAGCAATGGCCATCGCTATACCTCCAAAAATCAGAAGTGGTCGTCTGCCCCATCTGTCGGCCAGCCACCAAACTGGGACAGTCGCAGCCGTGTAGATAAGTGCATTGGCTCCAGTGAAGAGAAGAGATCGTCTGTTGTCGAAACCAGCTGCGGCGAGCGAGGAAGGTAGATAGAATGAGATGACGTTGATTCCGTTCAGCTGCGCGAACTAGTGAATCTGAGCCGTGATGCCGACTATTGTACGCTTGCGATATTTGGTGAACATTTCCTGGAAACGAGTCAGTATGTAGAAGAGAATCTCAGATGATCTTGCACTTACGCGATATGTAGCTTTTCCCATGGTGGCCTCGTACTTGACAGCTTGTTGGATTTCCATGAACACATGTTGCACGCTCTCATCGTTAATATCGCCAGCAGAATGAAGATCTGCCACCGTCTGGAGAGCCTCTTTCTTGAAACCATTTCGAGCGAGCCATCTGGGAGTTTCGGGCAGAAAGAAGGACATCGAGAACAAGATGAATGCCAATCCCATTTGGACGAAGTATGGTCCCTGCCAAGAAGTGTCCTTAGGAAGGAGGAAGTTGAAGCCATAGTCAACCCAGCATGAAAGCATGTAACCGCCGATCAGCCGATCAAGAATGTGTATTCGACGCCGACCATCAAGCCACGCTAGAAGAACACTTGTCAGCGCGACCATTAAAAATCATCAAAACATAGAACTCACTCTATGGGGAGCCGCAATTTCAGTCTGAATCACTGGTACTGTCATCGAGAGAAAGCCAACACCAAGACCTTGGATGGTTCGTCCAGCAATGAAGCAAGCCAGGTTTGGAGCGAATCCTTGAAGGAAAGCCATAGCGAAGTATATGAATCCACCGATACGCACACATCTCTTCCTTCCCATGATATCTCCAAGGTAACCAGAAGTAAGAGATCCAATAGCTGCGGAAAGCTGCAAGCAAGAGACAGTGATACCTAAAGAATGTTAGTTTAACTCAAATAAGTCCATCGCGGATAATGACTTACCAATCAAGTTTGGGTTGATTCCCTCAGTTGTTCCGTCAATCCCTCCATGGTCGCTGTAGAATCGTTTGATGAAAACCTCATTGACCAAAAGACCAGACATGATACCCTGGTCATATCCAAACATCGCATCTCCCAATGAACCAAAAAATCATGTCGCCCATAGCAATGGCTTTCCTACCATCCATTTCGGATACCGTGGAAGATAGATGGCTGGCTTCAGAGCTCGCTCAATGAAATTTTGTGGTTGAGGAGCGATAGCTGTTAGATCTTCAGAGGAGCTGATTGACTCCTGCTGATCGGCACCAGAATACTCGTCCTTCGTCATTTTGGCGATGCCGTTCGTCTCTGCTTAAAAAGTGAAAATTGTTGTTGTTTGAGTTTGATCGAGATCAGTGATCAAGGAATGAAGATGAATGTCTTGAATGAGAAGTAGATATTCAGGGGGAGATCTGGGGACATATATATATATTCTTGTCAGGCGTTTCCCCGTCTAGGGAAGGCCATAGAGAATGTAAAACCTATCATAACCTACCATGGAGAAGAATCAGGGCCCTGGCTAGGCCATATTGGCGTGGCCACCAAAGCACCCGTCAACGCCTTCATGCTTGCTCCAGCTAATAAGCAAGTCGGTTCCGACTTCTTCAGAGAGCCATCAGTGGCTCAAGTGAGCAGCGAAACATTTCGGCTTTCCTCCGCCAATGTCGCTAGTAGTGGTCGGTAGGTCTGCAACATTGCATTCCGACACTTAGCCACAGCTGTCCTTTCCGACATTGACGGTTCCGACAGCTCTCCTACCCAACAGTCACCGTTAGTGAAATGTCGGCTGTAGAGTCGGCACATCCTACTTCGATTCTTTTAAACAGGCATATTCTAGACATTTTAGTTTCTCAGCTGAGGCATGTAATGAAACTCAGTTGGTTGGTCTCTACTCCTTAGTGTACTGTGAACCTGGTGCCCAGGCAGGTCCAGAGGTCAGACCTCAAAGTCGCAGATTGCTCGCGGGCAAAAAGCAAAAAGATTCAGGAACTACATTTTACCCGAACGCATTACTCCGTTTCTCAAAAAAATCCGCATTATCTGCTATTATGAAGTTCTAGTAGAGGATCACAACAGGCGATGCAACTTACCTCCCGTCGTATTGACTCAAGGAATAGGGGCTCGGTTAGATGATGGAGTAGCAATAACGCAGACACTTGACCAGGCTCTAAAGGTTTTGAACACTGAGATCCCCTTCATATCCAAGAATGAAATGGCACTGCCATTGTTTTTCAAGCCCGCTACCAATTCCTTATGCATGGTAGTTTCATTCAGATACGTTGATTGGCCTTGTCATAATTACAGTTGCATAAGGAGCTACTACAGAGAGAGAGAATCTCCTATATAAAGGGGTAGCGTACTCAGTAGTACGGCCTATAGTACTAAGTCTACGCCTACAATCCCTATATTTCTAATAGCCCCCCTATTCTCTATATCTATAGTAAATAGAGCCTTCTAAAGTAGTATAGCGCTGAATATTCCTGAAGCAACGCTAGAGTATCGCCGAAGTATTACTAATAACTTGTATTATATAAAGAGCCTCGATTATACCTTATTAACTCCTGTAATATACTAGTATATATATAGTACCTACGTCTCCTGTTTTCCTAGGAGTTCAGCAACTTTACAGTATTAAGGCATATAAAATAGTATAAGAGTACACCTAAATCGCTCCCTTATTAATAATCTCCTGCTCCTGCCGCTCTTATTTACCCTTCTTTATAGCTACCTCGCACCTTCCTTTTATAGCTACTAAGATATTCCTTACTAGCCTTCTCTCTAGCCTCTAAGGTATATAAAAGTCGTCCTCTTCTAGTTCTATTTTCTTTCCTTCTTCCTTTAACTACGGAACAAGATTCATCTTAACTATTAAGTATAGTAGTTATATATCATGTTTTACTTGATTCACAGTTATATATTATTATTAAGGAAGATATTTATCAAAGGACTGATTTTCCGTGAAGAATATTCTATTTTTTATAGGTTCCACTACTAGAAACAGCCTTAATTTATACAGGTCTATTATTAATTAGCTAACTATTATTAATCTTAGAGTTATTATCAGAAAATCAGTTATTACTAGGTAACCTTATATATATCTTATATTATTTAAACGATTCTAAAGGTAAAGCCTTCATAAGAGTATCTACTATATTATTATTACTTAGAACATGTTTTACTACTAACTTATTATATAAAACTATATCGTCTTAAATATAGAACTAGTAGATATTAATATACTTTACCTTTAGATAGAATTTCTGTTCTTTTAAGAGAGATTCAGCTCTAGTGTTATTAAGATATAGCATAAGAATTCAGGATAGCTTTATATTAAGGTCTTTCTATAGCTTAAGTAACTAGGCTACTTCTCTAGAGCTATCACTAGCAGCTATTATCTCAGAATCTAAGCTAGAGAGAGCTATAAACCTTTACCTATTAGTAGCCTAAGAGATTAGACCCCTGTAGAACCTTACTATCTATCCTTAGAACGATTTCCTATTATATTCCGTCCCCTATGTAGTATCAGTCTAAATATTAAATATATTATTATCTAGCTTTCCCCTGTATTCTATTCCGATTCTAAATATTATTCCGTCACCTTCTATATATTATAGATATCAGAGAAGAGGTTTCGTGTCTTAGAGGTGAGATTTAAGGGGATTTAATATATACCGCGCTAGCTAGCTTATTATATAGGTAATATCAGGTCGTATAAGGTTCAAGAGGTATATTAGAGAGCCGATAATCTACTAAAACAGTAAGATCTCTTCAGGGGAGGCTAGTATAATACCTTCATCTTTAGCTAACTCCCTTAGTACTATTCCAGCAGCTACAGGTAAGGTATTACCTCCAGCTGCGGCTATTCTAAACCTTTCTAGTAGCTTTTATATATAAGCTGTTTAATAAATCCGCAGAGTCTTATTCTTCCTATCCCTCTTAACTTATAGGCCTATAAACGTATTAATAGCTCCGAGGTCTTTACCTTTCCAGGTCTTTAAGAGCTATTTCTTAAGATATTCGCAGTTAGCAGGGTTACTTATAATTAGTATATCATTAATAAAGACTAATACATATACTCTATTCTTAAAGATAAAGAGATTAGGGTCAGCCTCTAACGCTTCTAGACCTAGCTTTTCTATCTTATCTTTAACAAGAAGCTACTATTCCCTAGGTACTTATTTCAAGCTGTAGAGAAAGCGTAGAAGCTTCAGATATACGTCTTTCCTTCTATTTAGCTCTAGGTAAAGCTTATTCCATATCTCCGGTATCTTATTGTTCGGAATCGTTATATATATATCTTCTTTCAGGTACACGTTTAAGAAGGCAGTATCGATATTAATATACTTGATCTCCAGGTCTCTTTTAGCCGTAATAGTAAGTAGTACTTATAAAGTGGAATAGCGTATAACGCTTGTGAAAGTATTGAAGTAGTTAAGGCCGTGTTTTTACTCAAAGCCTCTCACTATAAGCCTAGCCTTTCGCCGTGCTATAGAGCTATCAGAGTTAATTTTATTATATAGAACTAGTCTTAAAGATATTAGTTTCAAGCCGGAGGGAGACTTACTAAAGTATACTCTATAGGTTCCAGCGCTTTATATAGCCTGTAATTCCTTAAGAATAGCAGCCTTCTATTCTACTAGATTCTCCCTTAGAGCCTCTATAATAGTTATAACCTTAAGAGGTTATATAAGTTCACCCTTTAGCGCAATTAGCGCTATTTAACAGGTTAGTACCTTATCAAGGATTTACTAAGAGTATAGCTTCATAGTTATTACTTAAGCGGCTTACTCGAAGTGTTATTTTCTACGCTATTTCCTACTATATCTTAATAGTAGAGTATTATCAGACGTGTTTACTAGTTAAGTCTATTTAGGGAGGCGTTAATTAGACGCTCCCTTAGTATCTCCTACTATATTTTCTATAGCTAACCTTCCCCTTAAAGGATTTTCAGCTTCTATAGCTAGCCTCTCTCCTAGAGGTCTTTCAGCTTCTATAGCTAGCCTCTCTCTTAGAGGTCTTTCCAAGCCTTCAGCACCCTTAGCTAGCCTCTTAGCAAGTGCTAGACTAGTAGCTAGTAGTAAAGGTCTTTCCACTACCTTATTACTGCCTTTTAGTATAGTTTCCTTACTACTAGTGTATATAGAGTATATCATATACTCGTTAAAGCCGTAGTCGGCTATTTCTAGTTCCTTAAAGGTTTCTATATTTAAGAGCCTATAAGTTAAAGTATTAGCTATACCTACTAATACAAAATACCCCGGAATCGTCCTTTACTTTATTTTACCCTAATATAGCCCTAGTGGATATAAAGGGTACGCTATAGAGCTAAATACTCTTATTTTAGAGAGGTTTATAAGCCGTCCTTTATATACTTCGATTAAAGTAAGTCCAGTAGCTATTTTATATAGTAAAGCAGTAGTTAGGCGTCTATTCTTTAGCTTTACCGCCTACTTAATAGCGTAGTACTATATATTCTCAGGTATCTTTATATCGTAGAGGATTAAGCGTATAATCTTAGCTAGTTTATACATCTATCGCTCTATAACTCTATTCAGAGAGTATTTATATAGAGAAAAGGGTTCAAGAACGATTCCACTCTCTTATAGCTAGTTAACAAACTCAGGACCGAACTCTCCCTTACTATTATCAGTCCTCTAGTAGATAATTATACGGAATTTACTTTACCCTTGAGTTTTAAGCTGTAGTTTTAATTTCCGAATAACTAGTTAAATAGTTAACACAGACTTATTAACTAAGAGATCTACCTAACACGTCCTCGTAGTATTATCTACTACTAAAAGGAAGTATTTATAGCTGCGAATTAAGCGTAGTAAGATACTAGAGATATCAGCGTATAATCGACAAATAGGTATATTAGTTCTACTATCTGACTTCTTATTAAAGTACTCTTTTATACAGCCTATAAGGCAAGCCTCGTAACACCTCTCTCCCTTTAGCTCCGGAACAGAAATCGGTCTTATTCTATAACTGCTATAAGCAACTAGTTTCTTCAAATAAGCGTAATTTATATAGCCTAAACACCTATAGAGTAGATCTGCTTTTATTTCCTCTGTGCTAAGCTAACTCTCCATTTATTCCTTCAGTAGCTTTAAGTCTAACGGAATTACATTATATATAACTTAATATCAAGGATTCGTATCCAGAATATATAAACCTCTGTTTCTTATACCTATAAAAGCTAGTTTACTATTCTAGTATCTATTTACCGATATCTTAGTTAGTTCTGTATTAATTTCTTCGTCTAAGAGTTAATATATTAATACTAGCTTTATAGCTCCGAAGTTAGGTACATACTATATATCTTTGAAGGTTAACCTATTAATAGTAATATCTCTATAACCTTTAGCTATTAAGTATAAATTAGTCGCTGTTTTAACGTATTTAGTATTACGCTAGCGCTTAAGTTACTTGAACTTAGCTAAAACTCTACTAAAGTAGCGAGTAGCGCTAGAGTCGATTTTCTAAACAGATTCTATAATAGAGATTATTAATAAAGTATATTCTACGTCTTTAGTGTAATAAATCTCTTCTAAAGAGAACACAGGATAAGTATTATCATCTTTAATTTCCTCTACTTTATTAGCGCTATCTCTCGCGTAGGTATTCTTAGCTTCCGTGTAATCTACGTACTAGTAGCTATAGCCTTTACACTAGGCATACTAATTTTAGCCTAATTTAAGGCGATTTCCTCTTTTTTCTATACGTTCTCCACGTCTCTATTAGCTACTACCCCTGCCATTATTATTCCGTCTTTCCTATCCTCTCTTATTCTCACGTATATTACCTCTCCTATATGAATAGCCTCTACCCCTCTAGCCTCTACTATCTCTGCTACCTCTCCCTCTATTATAGCCTCTATTCGCGTAGTTTATAGCGTTACTAGTAGCTATAGGTCGAAGTTATTCCCTCTATTAAATTTAATATTCGTTAAGCTTTTATATAGTATCTCTAAGATCCAGGTCTTACGATTTTAAGGTAAGCGCTATAATAATCTAAGCTCCGGACGCTAGTAACAACTGTAATAGCTTAAGACGTATATCCTTATTAGTAAGAGGTTTACTATCGCCGCTGAGCTTTACTTTAAAGAGTAAGAGCCTTATAATATAGTTCTGAAGTATTTCCTCCCTCGGGATAAACTTTATCTTAAAGAAATCGTCTCTTATATTAGTAAAGGTAAGACTCCCTTAAACTACTTTACCTTTATCTATATAAATAGCTTCCTAGAGAGGCTTAGTGTTATTTAGTTTAATAATATCTCTATACTTAGGAAAAAGAAGCTTAGAGATTAAGTTAATAACTATTTTAAAAGCTTCCTTCTTTTCCTTAGCGTAAGTATTCTACTAATTAACACTATTCGATACGCTAACTTCAGTAAGAATATAATAAAGAACACCAGCCTTAGCTAGCTCTTATTCAGTCTTAAGCTCCTATTTAAAGAAGTTATCAAACTCTAGTAGAGTTTTACCTTTTAAGGCTCCAGCGACATAGGGAATTAGTACTTTTAATTAAGATAATATTATAGCGTAGTAGTAGATATACTAAGAGTTAATAAAGTGGAGATCTTAATAAAAATAAAGTTTTAAGGTCTTTTTCAATTAATTGGAATTACTACTATATCATAATTACAGTTGTATAAGGAGCTACTACAGAGAGAGAGAATCTCTTATATAAAGGGGTAGCGTACTCAGTAGTACAGCCTATAGTACTAAGTCTACGCCTACAATCCCCATATTTCTAACAGGCCTGGGGATTACTTTCGCTAATCTGGACAACAAACCTAAAATTGGAGATGCTGGATGGTTATCCAAGTGTGATCCCAAGCCGTCGGGACCGCCCAGTCAACAACAGAACCTTTCACCACGACCTATCTCATGACCAGATGAAGGTACTTGTTAGTCGTGGGTGTAGACAAATTACATGGCAAATTCTTGCGATACAAGGTGCAGCTTGCATATTCAGTACAAGCATCAAGGATTTCGATTGGTCATTCGGGTTCGTTGCTGCTAGGCGTGCTACGACAGCAGGCTTCCCGCACCTGGACAACAGCACAAAAGATCTGGCAAACTCTCTGCTGTACGGACGACGTCTGCCAAAGTGATTGAAGGCTCAGTTCGCTGATGCCATTTTCTAGAGACCCAGCAAACACATATGAAGGTGTATGCACACGGCGCATCATTGTCCTATCCGGGCTCGCCCCGAACTTCGCGCGCATCATGTCAGCACCTAGGCAGGATAACCCCGGCCGCTGACGTCCAGGGACATGGGACCTTGAACTGCATTCAAATTCCCCCCAATTTCAATGTAGACCTACATCTTACTCAGGTCTTCTGCACCCTCATTATGTCTCTCGACATTCTGCTGAATTATGGCTTCCACGACCGACAACATCCAAGCGCCCATTGCTCAATTCCATAAGCATGGCTTACAGCTGCGGTCTGGCAGCCCATTATTGCAAGATGCGGTGGAGGATGCGCCGAGGAAGAGATCGAAAGTTAAGACGGGTTGTTACACTTGCAAGCAAGTATCGCGATTCGTCCTGCAATAAACCCTTTCTAACCTCTGCAATACAGAGCCCGACGAGTGAAGTGCGATGAAGCCAAACCTTGGTGCAAGCGCTGCATCAAATTTGGAGTCGACTGCGACGGCTACCCCGCGCCCAAAGGGCACCCTCGCACAGCCAAACATCTACGACCACGAGTTCAAGCTGCCGGTTCTATAGTTCCCTCAGCAGGACGGACTGTCATATACTCCATGGAACCTGTACGACTATTTGAAGACGAGCAAGAAGGACGATGTTTCCGGATATACTGCGACGAAATGGCATATCAGCTCAAGGGACCATTCAAGACATCTTTATGGAGCCAATTGATCCCCCAAGTCAGCCATGCCGAACCGTTCATTCGACACGCCATTATTGCTCTTGGGGCAATGAGGAAGATCACACATGGGCCGGATAATGCAGGTGAGGGTTTCCAGCTGAGCCCGGCGAATGCGCCGGATTTCTTCTATGCGTTGCGGCAGTACGAGAAAGCTCTCCAGGGGATGAGACAGACTATTGCGGACGGGAGGAAAGATATACAGAAAGCGCTGATTGCGTGTATTCTGGTCTTCTGTTTCGAGACTTTGACGAACAAGATGAATAATGCAGTGGTGAATGCAGAGAGTGGACTGTTGCTTCTGCATTCTTGGATGCGAGAGAACCTGCCCAACCATGTTGGGTGTAACCCAAGCAAAGAGTGGCAGGATCACCGTATTGAAGAGGATCTCATGATTGCGTTCTCGACTCTCGATTTACAGGTCCTGTTCTTCCGAGATGGAAGACCGGCCAGGACTCACGAATATGTGATAAATAGCGCTGATGGATCGATCGCGCAAATGCCAGCTGAATTCGGTACACTCAAGGCAGCGCATAATTTCTGGATGTTAATCATGAGGAGAAATTATCACTTCATTGTGATGGTTCTCGGGCAAGGGAAAGCATCCGAAATGTGTGGGCCACTGATGCACGGCGACGCTCCTTACGAAGACTGCGTGAACATCTTTCCTGGAGGTAACATCTTCAGCACACCGAAAGAGCCACCTTTCGAGCTGTTCCCTGCCTGTATGAGGTACTGTGACGACGTTGCGAGGTGGACAAAAGCCTCTGCACAGGTGTTCCGAGACATGGAAACTACAGGGACAGAAGAAGAAAGAGTTTTGATCGCTTTGCTGAAGATACATTCTATTATGGGCCCTATCATGCTCACAAGCGCATTCTTCACCACACAAACAGCCTACGATCAATACCTCTCGGAATTCCGCAAAATTATCACGCTTTGCGAATGGGTCCTCCCACGACTCATGGGCCCCGCCGGCGGCAAGGCAGTCTATCATTTTGACCTTGGGGTCTTGGTCGGTCTCTTTCTAGTCGGTGCTAAATGTCGAGATCTTACTCTACGGAATAGGGCTATTGATCTTTTATTCGGGTATAGGCTTAGAGAGGGCTTCTGGGACTCTGCTGCGGCGGGGCTGTTTATTGTATGGGCGAGGGATCTGGATGAGGAGGGGAGAGACGAGAATGGCGAGATACCGGAAGAGAAGAGGTGGTTCATCACGAGCGCATATGTGGATATGGATAAGCAGAAGTGTTTGGTGAGTGCTACTCGGAAAGAGTTGGATGGATTGGAATTCAGGCACAAGGAGATATTTTGGTAATACTCATGGCATGGAAAGCAAAGAAACACAACCGAAACAAATACAAACACAAACTAGATACCCATTATATCACAGAATCTCTGCTACCAGATCAAATATGCCAGCCATGAGCAGACGGTCGACTCAGATGATTTGCCCTTGGCAATATCTCGAGTTTAGTCACGTGTGTTCTATTAAATTCCATTAGCGCGGAATCGCGTCTGCCACGCGAATTTTCAAAGCTTCATGAACGGCAACACCTCACATTACCTAGCTCTCCATCTCCCCACCACGATCCCAAGCACCATCTACTCCCCCTCCCCGCTGTAGACTCGATACCTGCGACCTCGGAACTTCTGTACAATAGCTTCTACATATCTGCAAATATGTCGTTCGGTGGCCAAACCCCGACGATTATTGTGTTGAAGGAAGGTTAGTCAACAGCGAAAGTTGGACCAAGGAAACAGCAGCTGATGGAGCGGAAATATAGGAACGGATTCATCGCAGGGAAAGGGCCAGATCATATCGAATATCAATGCGTGTTTAGCTGTGCAAGCTACTATACGGAGCACACTGGGACCTTACGGAGGAGATTTGTTGCTCGTGGATGAGAATGGCAGACAAACGATCACAAATGACGGCGCAACTGTTATGAAGGTTTGCAAATCATTCCCGGTCTTCTGAGAGTACGGAGCTGACGAGGAATAGCTTCTCGAAATCGTACACCCCGCCGCACGAATCCTGACCGATATTGCGAGATCACAAGATGCTGAGGTTGGCGATGGAACGACATCCGTTGTGGTACTGGCTGGTGAGATCCTGAAGGAGATCAAAGAACACGTTGAGCAGGGTGTGAGCCCGCAGACGATTATCAAGGGTCTGAGAAGAGCGTCGAACATGGCTGTTAATAAGGTGCGGGAGATTGCTGTTAATACCAGTGAGGGCAACCAGAGAGAGACTTTGGTCAAGTTGGCTGGTACGGCTATGAGTAGCAAGTTAATTAAGAGAAATACTGGGTTCTTTACGAAGAGTAGGATTTCCGTTTCGGCATAGGGGTATATTTGCTGACATCTTCTAGTGGTTGTTGATGCTGTTCTTTCACTTGACCAAGACGACTTGAACGAGAAACTTATCGGCGTCAAAAAGATTCCCGGCGGCTCCCTTACCGACTCACTGTTCGTCAATGGTGTTGCATTCAAGAAGACCTTCTCATATGCTGGTTTCGAGCAACAACCAAAGACCTTCAAGAACCCTAAAATCGTCTGCCTAAACGTCGAGCTCGAGCTCAAGTCGGAAAAGGACAATGCCGAAGTCAGAGTCGAGCAGGTTTCTGAGTATCAAGCTATTGTCGATGCGGAATGGCAAATTATCTACAACAAGATGGAAGCGCTCTACAAGACTGGTGCCAAGGTCGTTCTGTCCAAACTGCCCATTGGTGATCTCGCAACCCAATACTTCGCAGACAGAGACATCTTCTGCGCAGGACGTGTTGCATCCGACGATCTCGAGCGTATCATCCAAGCCACAGGAGGATCCATTCAATCCACCTGCTCTGACATCCACCCCGAACATCTCGGAACATGCGGATCCTTCAACGAGCGCCAAATCGGCGGCGAACGCTTCAACTTCTTTGAGGACTGCCCCGAAGCCAAAACATGCACCCTCGTCCTCCGCGGTGGTGCAGAGCAGTTCATCGCGGAAGTCGAGCGATCCCTCCACGACGCCATCATGATCGTCAAGCGCGCCATCAAGAACAACACCATCGTCGCCGGCGGCGGCGCGTGCGAGATGGAAGTCTCCGCCTACCTGCACCGCTACGCCGACAAGAACGTCCCGCACAAACAGCAGGCGATCATCAAATCCTTCGCCAAGGCACTCGAGGTGATCCCCCGCCAGCTCTGCGACAACGCCGGTTTCGACGCCACCGACATCCTGAACAAGCTGCGCGTTGAGCACCGCAAGGGAAATACCTGGGCGGGTGTCGATTTCGATAACGAGGGCGTGAGGGATAACCTCGAGGCGTTTGTGTGGGAGCCGGCGCTGGTGAAGATTAATGCTATGCAGGCGGCGACCGAGGCGAGTTGTTTGATTCTGAGTGTGGATGAAACGATTAAGAATGAGGAGAGTGCGCAGCCTCAGGCGCCGCAGAGGGGTCTGCCACCTGGAGCTGCACAGAGGGTGATGCGTGGCAGAGGACGTGGTATGCCGAGACGGTAGAGTGGTCGATTTTGATGTGGTGTTAGCTGCTTGAGATGAGAATTCAAAAACAGAATTGAGAGAAGCTTGATTTGGGTCTGGAGTGATGCGCTACAGTAGTCGAGACGGCAGAAACGAGGCGAGATGAGACGAGGTTAGGTTGTTTGATGTATGATATTATACATGAGATAGATGATAACTACTACTTGTAGGAGCAGCATTGTCTGCTACCTTCCAGCCTCTACCCTCCAAGCTGCAAACTCAGCTATGTGCAATCTCACATCACATCCCCAAAATCAATCCGAAAAGTCTGCTCGCCTCGCAGCTACCCGCTCATCCCTCTTCCCCCTCCCGTCCCCCACTGTCCCCCGCTCTCCTCTACCTATCTTACAAAATGCATACGTACACCTCTCTCCTCTCATCTCCTCTACCTAACTCTAATATCTTCACACCATCTATCCTACCATTCCAACAAGGCCCTCAATTTTTTTCATCGCCTCACCATATCGCTGTGTTGCTACTCAAGATTGATTAGTAGCCCCTAATAAGTTTGATTCTGAACATTTGATATTCTCTCCTACCTAGAGAAAGGAGGAGATGCAGCTTAAAAAAAAACAAGGGGGCTGCTTGAGAGAGCATCAAGTTGTTGTGGAAGAATGGATGGATGGATCGAGTACAATTGAATCGATATTGAGTATGTGATGTGCCAAGTGTGCAGAATCTCAGATTCTTCTTCTTTTTGAGCTGAATATTTGATGCTGTGATTCCCCAACGAGGAGACTTCACGCGGAGGATAAAATGGATGGGTATACTGAAAAGGACGAGATGCGAACTCCTTCCTAGGAAGACAGACGGTACGATGCACATTCCCACTTACCACCTGTTCTATCTCTGGAGTCTAGACCATCATCCAGTGACATTCTTGAAAGTTTGGTTTTTGATTACTATCACTGGGGTATCGATTCCGACTGAGCCGAAAGTATACAGATATACGTGGACGTGAGGTAAATTTGACTTTACTCGATATGGATGGTATGGATGTGACAGCTACGAGGGCTAGATTGGGAGTTCTGAGTTCAGAGCTGAGAGGTTGAGTTTCTCGTCTTAACCTTGAGTCTTTAGGAATTACTACTTGATTCCGATTGGGCCCCGGATTATGCATACGTACAAATATGGTACATTTGACTTTTCTCGACACGTAAGGTACGGAGGTGACTGCTGGTAGCTAGATTAGGAATTTCAGGATCGATAGAGTATTATAAGGTTCTGAATTTGGATATAGCTCTAAGGTCTGAGCTTGAATTTGACTTTGGGATTGGGACTGGGATAGATGACTAGATTGGGCATTCAGGGCTGAAAGATTGAGTTTGAGAGTTTGGGATTGATGACTGGATTGGGAATACAGGATCGATAAAGTGTTATAGGATTCGGAACTCGGATATAGAGCCAAGCTTTACGTTTGCTGAGTTTGAGTTTGCGTTTATTCGCTGGTGGCGGGGTAGTCTGGGTGGTGTTATTGGAACATAAACATAAGCATAAGTATAAGTATAAGGTTTCCCCTTGCCCCTAACTTTGTTTCCTGACATTAAAGAGAGAGACGGGCGAAGAAAGTTTGAGGGTATGGAATCGATGGAGCATTGCACGGAATAAACCTGAATGCAGGTCTGAATTTGGGTCTGGTTTGGGGGTTAAGGTTGAGTTTGCAGCTTCTTTTCATGATGGCACTGTGGTGAATGTGGCAGTATTGGAGTATAGGTATATGTATAAGGTTTCCCTAGGGCTGGAACTCAACTCAAGTCAATGGAGATCTGAGAGGGTGAGTTGGAGGTTGAGTGTTTAGCTGACGAATATAGCGAGTTCTCATGTTGAGGCAATTTTTACCTTAGTTGGGCACCATGAGAAGGAATTTATGGGCTTGGGCAGTGACAGATCTGTGGGTGAGAGAGTTGATTATTGTGGATTATTCTGTCAAAGAGTCTTGGCGCAAACAAACGAAAGTAAATGAGACAAACATAAATAGCTGTAAACATACGTAAACAAAACCCACTTCGTTTCTTATCGAATCCTTCCCAACCGGGTCCCAAGTACAGAGGTACGCAGTTTGCTCTGACCTTCTCCTCGGCTAAAGTCCGTGAACTGGATCAGTAGATCCGGATGACGACTCAAACATTGGTCTCCATCCAGCAGATCCTCAGGGCGGGACAAGAAGCGTAGGGCAGGATCGAGATGTCTCGAAGACGAGTTTGTGGAGTTGATGAATGGATTCTAGATTGTTGGATTTCAAGTCGTGCGTACTGACATGTGCCATGGTGAAGTTGTCTTGGTGTGACCCTGTGCTACTCGTCTGATTGTTGCCGATGTTTTGCTAAAAATACTATAGCCATATATCAGGCATTTCAGCTTGTGAAAGTCAATCCGTGCTCTGTTTGACTACTTCCTCATAGTATCATCCCAACAATAAGACGAAATTCCCAACGAGGCTTTCAAAGAAGTTTTGCGCTTGTAGATTTCCAACACACCACGTCTCGCTAGCTCGCTTGTTTTCCCCAATGAGTTCTTGGGCTCGACTCGCTTACGGTCCACCTGTCACTTTTGGGGAGGCTTATTTAGATTGTGCAGATTGTGGCTGCGTCAGCCCCCCGGACGAACTTTCTTCCAGCGATACAAGAAACTTCTTGGGATTCCTCTCCCCTGGACCTGTACAGCGATCTCAGTCTGTCATGCGATCCGTGCCCTGTCAACTTCTCCGCCTCAATGACTAAAACGGACATACAGCCGTTCTCGAGCTGGGGAAAACCCTACTGCTGGAAATCCGGGCCAGATTCTCCTGAAACGTAATCCTTGAGGGCATGTCCCATCTATGTTAAAAAGTGCTATGAAGCGGGAATGGAGCGGGGCCGCGTCTGATGGGTTTGCTGTGTTTTGGTGGACCTCTGTGGTGGAAGATCTACGGGAGGAGATTGTCTTTTCCATGGTTTAACAGCGTGGCCTCCCTGCTCAGCTGGGAGATCAAGATACTGTCCCATGGTCACGCCCACGTTGTTTCTTGGGAGGGTCCTGTTTCGTTTCTTCCTTCATTTGTTCTTCCATCTACTTTCCTTGCCTTTCATTTCATTATTTTGGTGGTGAAATATACCGTTGAGTTCCCTTCATTTCACCTGTTGCTTTTTCCGGCGGTCGTTGGTTTGAGAAGTGAAGGAGGATGTAAGGATGAATTCTCCGCGCGCCGACGATGTTGTGTATATCTCCCCAGTGAAGGAAGTCAATGCTGGGCTGTGGACGCTTTTTACCGGTGCGACGGTATTTCTTGGCTTGAGACTTTATTGCAAGCTCTCGAGGAGGACGGGATTGTGGTACGATGATTATGTGTTGATCCTGTCGTGGGTGAGTACTTCTCAAATGATCCTTCGTTGCCCACATGAGAAGAAACCTTTCCTGACATTGCGTGTAGTTGGTGCTGTTAGCCAACGACATAATTATCGATATTGAGTGAGTTCATCCGAATGTTCAGTGTTCCGATATTCCGACGTCTGATCCCAAATATCCTCCGAAAAGTGATCATAATTGTGGAATTATGATCAGCTCAGGGCACACGGGAAGACTATCCTCGATTGGAAACTGTCCAACTTCAAAACAAATACTGACATCAAACTTTATAGATGGTCGACAGGCTATGTGAAAGGCGACTGGGACGACCGCATGCACATCCTCATCAATATTTCATCATGTGGAACCTTAATCGGACAAGCCTTGTCCAAAACGGCCCTCGGCATCACACTCCTCCGAATGTCGAACAAAAAGCAATCGGCCATCCTATGGTACTGCATCATATCCATGAATGTTTACATGATCATAAAATGCTTCTTCCAGTGGGCGAAATTCTGCGGCAAGAACGACTATCAGAATTGGTACAACATCCAAGGCCCCTGTCTCAACTATGATATCGTGCAGGATTTCGAAGTCGGTGGGAACACTTACAATATTGTCATGGATTTTGTATTTGCGGCTTTCCCTTGGTGGATTACATGGTCCTTGGAGATGAGGAAGGTCGAGAAGATCGCGCTGTGTCTGACCATGAGTTTGGGAATGTTGTGAGTGTTGGAGAATTGAATATCCCATGGGAAAGTTCTAATCGGAATAGTGTCGCAATCATGTCTGCTGTAAGGACATGGTGGAAAGACCGTCCAATCATGCATGTACACGACGAGTACTACATATGTAAGTCACACCCATTCTCAATCCCGGATATAATATCTAATATCGGCAATAGGGCGAAATGGCATGTCCAATATCTGGTACTCTGCAGAAGTAGCAGGCACCATAATAGTGCAATGCATTCCCATCCTCCGACCATTCCTCCGCGACATCAAAACCTCCATGTCCTCCAAACGCGACCAAATCAACAGCGTTGCGCGCCAAAGCCGCGTCATCAGCACCCCCAACGCGGAATTCAAGTCCAAACACCACTTCGACCTAGAAGACCAAGATTCAAAATACAAAACCAGCTTTCAAACGGCCTCGGACAAACACACCACCGAAGTCTTTGCGCTAGATATCATTCCTGAGGAGCCAGGAGAGAGGCGGAGAGGGAGTCTCAATTCACAGAGTCCGAGTGAGACTGGACGGTTAACGCCTATGCTTCCTTCGGGCCCGTTGTTCGCGGATCAGAGTTGGAGGTTTTCTGTGATGACAGGAAGTGATAGGACGGAAATGCTGAGTCCGTTGCCGAATACTTCTTGGATTGATTTAGAGCAGCAGAAAGGGCTGTCACCTGCGCCGCCTAGGCCTACGCCGCCTTGATGAGGATGGAACTTGTATGATTCTGGTGTTTGATGTACGGATACCAAAAATGCATTGTATCACTGGGCTGGAGGGGTGTACATGGAGTTCCAGGCATGTGGATTCAAATTCAATAAAATTCTTTTCTAAAGGTGCTGGTTCTCAGGGTGTGATTGATATTTGAGATCATCAGGTTTGTCCAATCGTGTGGTATCTGGTGTTACACGAGCCTTATGCAAGGCTGGGGTCTGTTGGATTGGCTCTTTCAAAGATCCACGTCTACGTGCATATTGATCTGTTGCTTTTGGCTTCTTGCAGATGCAAAGCCCGAGTCTCCGACTTCAAGAATCTTGCAGAGACATAGAATGGCTGCAGCTTCCCGCCCAATAAATATCACGACTTGATAGACTGAGAGACAGTTTTGCGATGGCGCTCTCGATATCAATGAATACACTATTCTCTGATAGCTTTAGCATCCAGGCTCGTACGCCGAGATCACGTTGGTGTATCATTGATCATGAGTGTCCCAAGTTCAAGAGAGGCGAACATTCCAGAGCTGCAGGCTAGGATCGCCCTTCTTCAATTGTGCAACAAGACGCCATCACCTCCGACTGAGCATCTTCCGCATGACATAGCCATCAATTCGAGCTCTCGTATCTTGCCATTTATCAAGGAGAAAGAGCTGGTGAAAACATTAGCCTTTCTAGCCAGTACTACTGATGACCCGGGGAGAGTGGTTGCAGTATGTGTTGAAGAGGGAAGAGATGGCCGATCGATGACCATCAAACTGGCTATTAATAACGGAGGGCTGGTTGATGTGGTCAAAGGGTTCAAGAAAATGGGTGAGATATTGCAGAGAATCGCGCAGAAAGGTTACAGCCTTAGAAGTCCATCTTGGTTCTTCTCGCTAACCACAACGCAGACGACATCGCAGACATTAGCGAAAGCAATCTTCTTAGAGAAGCCGTCAGACTCAACCAGTGTAGAGTTTTGTGTCGCTTGAAGTCAAAACATGCAGTGCTCAAATGCAGGAACGGTAAGGCAAAGATGGAAAAACCGAAGGTCATCCCGACACTTGCTCAAGCAATCGCTGCATTTGGTTCCAGCACCATTGGTGAGCTTCCCTCAGAAGAAGGTCAACAACTCAAGGAGAATGTTGGCGAAATGAAGAGACTTTTCGAGAGGCTTGAAATCCTCACCAAGGCAGACGCAACATCCGAACAAGGCATGCGTATACTTAGCGACATTATTCTGGCCGCGCATCGTTTATATAGGTCAAATGCACTTCATCCACTTTTAAATCTCTGTAGATTTGAAGATGAGCAGAAGTCTGCTATCCGTCGAACCATCGACAAGCTCAGTCGATACAGCACGGCATCGGCATTTCTGTTTGAAGCTGCATCTCGCTTCTACATCTTCAGAAATATCACGGTTCAGGTGGTCAAACTGCCTCCAAAGCCAATGCTTCGCGTCGACGAGCCAGCCCTGTATGTCAATGGCGTTGTCAGCGGTCTTTTCTCCCAGCAACAAGCCCAGCATGCTATTTCGAGATTTCGAGACCGCCTCAAGAAGAAAAAGGTCAATCATAACAAATTTTGCGAGTTGGTTTTCTCAACAAAGTATGTCGTCCATGCTGAAATGCAGCTCTTATTTCACTACGAGCTCCACGCCTGCACATTTCCACCCAGGGTGATCTGTTCTGGCAAGATGGCCTGTTTTCTGTGTAGCCTCTTTCTCAAGCAGCATGGGAAATTCTACATTCCTAGCACGCATGGAAGAGTATATGAGAAGTGGATACTCCCGAAGTGCCTAGGGGATCTTCAGGGTGCCATTGCCGATCAAATGCTGCCGATTGTTTCGAAATTTAACGCTGCACTCGAAGAGGTACTCAAGAGAGAGATATTGACGCCTTCCAAGACTATTCCGCAACCCAATGAGAGTCATATTTTCTAGTCTGCCGTCTGGTCTGACCTTGCTAAGACGCCGATGATGCCGATACGACGCATTGATTCTGGATACGATGAGGGAGAGAAGGAAGATGTGGATTCTTCGTCGACGATTATCAGATCACTGGTTCTATCAAAATCTACACTTCAATCCAAGCCCCCAGCTCAGTCAGAAAATGCTCTTCAGTCCGAACTTCCAATTCAATCGCCCGAAATTCAAGCAAACTCACCATATATCATGTTGACGAAAGGCCAAACGCTTGCTTTTGAGCTGTCTCCATCCTCCCAAATAATCAAAGTTGGGACCCCACGTATTCACCTCACTTTTTCCTACGATTCCTGGGAGCATGGTTTGGCATCGCTTGTATATCTGGACACCACGATTTCAGGATGTCGGCTGGGTCTCACCTGGCTTGAAAGTACTGAAGACCTGGACCAAAGTTTCACGGTCTTCAATTTAGGAGAATTCCAGGACGGCTTTCAAGAGACTTTTGATCGACTTGCAGGATCCTGTGACTTCTACGTAAGAAGAAGGGAAGACATAATACGGATTCAGACAGTCTACCTGTAAATGGATCTGAGGGCCCTTCTGGGTGTGCTCATCTTCTAGCGAATTAAGGTAGGTATATGGTAAGCGTACAGTAGCTGCACGTGATAGGGCGTGGTCAACGCGCACGTTCCATCTGTGCTCCGTTCGCGATCCTTGAGCTTACATGTTCCACTACAAAAACTCGAGTGCTCTATTGTACATATTGGAAGCCGGTTCGTTGACATGGACGGAATTCTACGACCACCACAGCTCGATGAGCTCGGATTGCCTCTCCGTCCTTCCAATCGCGGCGGCGACGAGGGTATCAGCGATGAGATGATGCAACGATTTCAGGCTGGGGATTTTTCAGACTTCAATTTACCACAGCCGTCTTCATTCCCTACTCCGGAGGAAGCTCAGCAAGAGGCGTAAGTATTTGGGGAGTGAACCCCGATTTTTCCAGACTTTCTGTTATTTTCCCGTGGATCCCGAATCAATTTCTATTGAGCAATTGCTGACCTCCACCAGACGAGGGCGGTCAACCGAGATTCTATCATCGTGGGAAACACTGCGGCAGATACTTGAAAGACACGAGGAGGTTATACGCAGACGTTGGTTGAAGAAGACAAAAACGCAGAGAACAGCCATCATCTTGAAAGCTTGGCCGAACATGTCTCCTACGCATCGGCCAGATTATGCAGCCATGCAGAAAGAGAAGTCCGCAGTAGTACGAGCTGGGGGAACGAAATTCAGAGAAGCATATATGTGGCCCGACATCAATATCGAGGATCTGGTCAAGGGAAAAACCTTCCTCCTTCTCTTGAACTCGCGAGGTCGAAATACACCCCAAACGTTTGCTCATGCAGACTCCGATGCGATGCGGGTAGGCCACGTAAGCGGCGCCTGTATGCCTCCATTCCTCAATCTACATACCATGTTGCTCGAGGGAGAGACAACCGAAACATACGGACGTCTAGTTTCCTGGGATGATGACGAGGAAGCTATGATGAAGACATTTAATGGCCTTGGCTTTCTGCCTGGGGAGGGAGTTCAGGTTTTGGAAATACAGCAGAAACTACTCGGCTTCCTCCTCACCTGCTGTTTTTCTATACTACATGACATGGAACCGAAAACGATGATCAGTGAAGCAGCAGTCAGGCCAGAACCATCGCCATTGTCAGATGATGCGGAGTACCCATCTTTGGCAAATATCGCTGCCGAAGCTCCCTATCGTCTCCCGGCTCGACTTGACTTCAACCGCCTCAAGACTTTGATTGACGCGAAGCGTTTAAGTGTCGAGGATCATATCCGTAGCTTAAGAGAAGATCCGGGCTATTTTGCAGATGTGTTAGGAGACTGGAGTGAGCATCGCCAAGAGAAGTTGCTGGACACGAATGGGAAGCGACATCCGGTACTTGGTGAGCCATTGTTTTGGGAACGAGTTATAGGTAACGTTGTTACGGATGCCTACGGCGGACTCGTCGTATGGAATATCATCAGTGAGCAACTCACTCACTTGGCCACCCTCCAAGCAAAGTACTCGGATTCCATCACTCCGACAAAGACGCTTCCTCCAGAATATCTCAAGGCATTGTTAACGTTTCGATACACGCTGGAACAATCGAAGAAAGGTCCGATTCTCCAACTGAAGACTGGAGTTCCGGCCTCACCCTACTATCGTTCCACATTCGTCCGAGAACCTCATGTGCCAGGTTCTAGTATGATCAGACTGCAAAGCAAGACCAAGATGGATTACCTGATGTGGCTTTTCAGTAATCTTTGGACTGAGGAACAACTCACACTATTGTAGGAACAGGACTTTCTTGCCTTTTTCTAATCATGTCGTGGTTTTCTCTTGAGACGCTGTTACATTTCTGCCCGAACAATGTTTATCGAGAAGTGGCTGACTTTCGTTACCTAGGGGTTTTCCGGGCCTCATGGACGAGATTGAGCATCACATCCAAAGCGATCCTAAAGTGAAAGCCAAAATTTCGTCCTGGACTGCTAGAATCTTCGCCGAGCTCGGTCTCATAGCCCGAATCCGACATGAGCTGGACATCTACCAACCATGGGCCTCCGGTTTTGACAATGGATATGTAGACTTTCGAGAAGAAATTGAAAAGGATTTCCCGCGACGATTTGCTGGACTTGCAGAGATCCAGAATAACTTTCAAGGACTCTCGGTCGCCAAATTCGGTAGTCCAACGGACGGCCGATTCCACTACCCGTCTGACAAGCGACGGACACAAGTAACCACACAGAGCATGCGGAAGGCAGAAGCTAATCTAGATTTATTCTGGGAGAAAGTTGATGGCCACTACAGGCGAAAAATCGGAAAGTCACTTGACCAGACTGTAGAACACATTTTCACGGAACCGCGTGATCCCTTAGAACGAACTCCTGAGTGTGAGTGAAGAGACGATGTTCCATCCGTCCCGGAACAATTCACACTAGTCAATTGCTAAATCTGCTATTACCTAGGGATCGAGCCGATCAAAGACGAAAAGAAGGCCACAGCCCAACATTCTCAATCTGATCTAGATTCGGACCGTAAGTGTTTGTGAAGACTTTCCATTTCCTATATTAAATCTTTTGGGAATCTTTCGGGAAGAGTCCCGATCTCCCAACATAGTGTTCCAACTCCTCCCGGAGTAATCTGACGCTCCCAAATGCTGAGTTCTCTGTTAGGTCACTTCTCTTCTTCGCATCTTGACCCTAAGGAATCCTCTAAATTTGTTCCCTCTCAACCGAAAGTCAAGTCTAAGACGCGGGGTTCAGCGCAGGACAATACAGCTACTATCGATGAAGCAGTCACGAGACCGGTGCCAGCCGAAGACGAGCAGCCTGTATTCAGACTCAAAAAACGCGCTCTCAAAGTCTTCAAGGCCTTGTTTTACAACCCTTCTCAATCCGACTTACCCGGCGAGATTCAGTGGACTGACTTTCTCTTTGCCATGGCTGCAACAGGCTTGGCACCCGAGAAACTATACGGATCTGTTTGGCAATTTACGCCTTCTGCTCTCGATGTGGAACGCAGCATCCAGTTTCATGAGCCACATCCCGTTGGAAAGATCCCCTTTCGGAATGCGAGACGGATCGGGCGACGCCTGAGTCGAACGTATGGATGGCATGGAGCTATGTTTACTCTTGAGTAGGGTTGTGGTGGACACAAAGGTTGTGCGCATTTTTATCTTCTCAGTCCAGATGGACATTTCAACTCTTCCGTGTCCGAGTGGTCTCTGGAGTCTATGGTACATTCGATGTCCTCAATCTTCTGGCACGTCAAACCGAGATGAATGCCCAGGGAACATATTGTTTGCATTAAGAAAAGACTACCTGTGGCTTGAGATGAGAGCTATCTGTTTGCTGAGAGATCAACTGAGCATAAAATCGGCCTAGAAAATATTCTAGAACAGGAGTGGTTCAGAAGACATCAATACTCATAAAAATTAAAACCAGGTGGGATCTCAGTCTCAGGCAGATGTTACATTTCACCGAGTGGTGATGCGAATCACGTACAGGGCTAACTGTAACGAGCTACTCTGAGAAAATTCTCTTGATTCTTTAATAATGACACCAGATACTTCTAACCAGTCTTCTAGGGTATCAAATTGATGTCATTGATCTACGCTTACGCCGTAAAAAACATCGTAAAACCGTGCCAACGATTCATGATGGACCACATCGATTGCTCAATTCACTCGAGTATTGCCAATATCGTTTCAGGATTCCCGGGTTGCAGTTCCCATTGCTCCACAGATTTCCTTTATTCACATTTCTGTCCAAGTCTGCAATAGCGTTCCCATTGAAATGCCAGAACGAACATCTGAAGAAATAACATTGCATGTACATCAATGCGACTGGAGCAGGTGCAACTTACGCCTTAGAGCTTGGCGGAGTCAAAGTAAGCTCACACTGACAAACACTCCCCGAATTCGGGGTACTTGGCCCTCCACCAATCCAAACATCAAAATGAGGCGTACTACCAGAGCAACTAGGACAGTAATCCTCGAAAATCAAGAACTTATTCAGATACGGCGCGAAGAACACCCCGCACTTCGGAATCGGCGTGCTGCCAGGGTATGCTGCCGCCGTGAGCGGGTTGTTGTATGAGCCATCCCCTCCTGCGTATTTGCCTCGCGCGTTACCTAGATGGTTGCAGCCTGGATAGGCGATGGTGTTGGAGCCTTGTGGAGGGTTGTGACTGGCTGCTGATTCGCAGTCGATGGCTGCGCTGTAGCTGTCGGGGTAGCCGTACATGGTGAACTTCCAGATTCCGGTGTTGTAGCCTCCTTGACGTGTGACTAGCTCGGATGTATCGTTTCGTTCTTCTAGACGTACATCTTCGAGGACGGAAAGATAAGAACTTCCTGGTTGCGGGGAGGGGATGGCATTGACAGATGAAAGTCTGCTGAGAATGTGCAGGGTAGTGATGAGAGCGAATAATTTGGAGAACATTCTGATATGTGTAGCTGAAATGGGATAACCTTTGATGGTGCTGTTGAGACTTATTGGGGCGGGAGCAGCCTTTTATACCAGCTCAGCTTTTCCAAAGGCAAAACATCAACCAAGTGACATCGCAGATGTGACACGAAGATCATCGCCAGATCTGCTCTCGAATATCAGTGGTTGTGTCAGCATCTCTTATTAGTCCCTCACACACGAAATAGAGGCTCAACACTATCATTGGATGGAGCATCGTATGGCGGCCGCCACTGTTTACACGGGATAGAAATACTGAGTACTCGCTTAGCGAGCTTACCTGCACCAAATCCAATCAAAATTATGCAGTCCTTCCGCTGACGAGGAATCGGCCCCCAAAACAGGTACCCCGGCGGAAGCTTAGTCTACTTGTATCGTCATGGGAAAGCTTGATACGGCTATCAAGAGATGGGACTGGGCTGTGGATCGAAGTACTGACATCCTCATTGGGGTAAAATGGGATTGCTGATGTCACAGGGCGGAATGGAGGAACGCTTATGAGTGATCCGAACATTTCAACCGAGGAAATTCGGGCTATGACTTGAGGACTGGAAACTTGATCCAGCCCAATCTGTAATCGAACCCTGGGGTTGAGTTGGAGAGTATCGCATGAGTTTGAACGACACCCGCACGACACTTTGCATTCATTCCACCTTTTGGTATCCAGTAGACTCAGAATGGCATTTATTCTTGTCTATTTATGGATTATCAATATATTTTTTAAAATAATCAGATGATTCTTCTCAGTTCCAGAAAGGTTGGCAGTCCCCATCCTACCACCTGCCGCACATATGACATTGTACGTGCACGTGACCATGTAGCTAATAACCGAGGTGCTGAATAAAATAGGTCCCAGACAGTTTCAAACAAAAGCGAAATCAAGATTGCTTGTAAAAACCTCAGAATTTTCACGATCTACTAATTTTATTTCAAAGTTTGCTGTTAGCTGGACTTCAGTACACCATCTCAGGATTGCCTTTATCCAAAAGTCTCTTGGCCAGAACTGATCACAAGAGAATCACTCTTGCCCGAGGTCTGTGACAGAGTGTTACGATAATAGGAGCGCAGAGGGTTGTTGCATTCGACCCGTAAAGGGATGCAGAAGGTGGTGAAGATCATACGGAGGTAGCATTCTGAGAAGTTCCGTGGAACAATTCCAGGTACGGAAAGACTCGAGCGGTCTGGGTTGCTCATAAAACTATATCCACGGCTATCTGATATCAACATACGAGTCTTGTTACCCAAAGATTCTCAGTGTAAACTAACGATAAGAGAAATGGGAATTCTCCGTTTCTTGGCTTCTTCTGACAGTGGCGATCGATTGCAGCCAACCCTAACTCTTGTCAGCCTTCAGAATTAAGGTTTGACTAACAGTACTGCCAACCATTTGGAGGACCATGTGAAAGCTCACGCCCTCTCTAGATTTCAGTAGCGTGACGAGCTGAAATCAAACCACGGGATCTTGAAAGATATTCTTGGTACATCCGATTCCCTGCATGAAACTAAGCTCGCTAAGTTAAGCTTAATTTCTTGGCTTCCTCCCCCAGCACACATCTAGACCTGCCAACCACCAAGCATCACCTTTGGATTGGACATGGTTGACGACATGGGTAACTTGGAGTAACCACGCAAAGCTTTATAGGCAATTGACTTGTCAAAAGCAAATCCACGACTGTACTATTTCAAGACGCACACTAAGAGAACCTCTGGTTTCCATCTTTGGCCATGGTCTCAGCTCTAAGTTTGAGTCTAGCCGTGTTTTGCTCGCTAAATTGTTCAGCTGCAGCCACCATTCCAGCCAAAGCCAAAGCCATCAAAGGCTCAGCCTACAGAGACACCTGATAGATACCCATTACTATTTTCCTTGCCGTGTGGCTGTACCAAGAGTCTACATTGAGCCATGGAAGCAACAGCCAAGCATATGAACGCAGCCAAAGCTCAATATGAGCTTCTTCGCTGTCTCCCACCTCTTCTTCCTCTGGAATTTTAGGGTTCGTTGACAATCAAAATGGAGAACAAGAATCACCAGGTGGACTATGTATATCAATTTGATGGTATATTACCATAGCTTCAATTCTGGATCTCTAGTGCTAAGTGTTCGCAGATCTCAATCAGAGGTTTCAGTCTCGCGGGAAACGATTCTTTCGACCCTTGTCTCTCCGAACTCCAATACTCTCAACACTTTTTGCAGTAACTCTCGTTCTGATCGCCTTGGTCGAAGTCGCATGTAGACGACTGCCCAGTTCGCAGAATCGAGGAATTGTTGCAACGCTGAACGGTGACACGTCCCCGGCTGTGGGAAGACGTTATGTCCAGCTTGTGGAGAGACAGGTGGAGCGTCCAAATGTTGAAGTCACCACAGTCCAGACGTAAGAGCACTTTCGCATTTATAGATGCTTGTCTAACAGCTTCAGGGTCTCTGGCGTCGAAGAAACTATTGTTTTGATATCAGCATGGACTACGACAACACCACTACCAATAACAAGCTGTGCCACGGTGGAGGCTGAGTCAACAACATCATGTACTGTCATAGAACCTCCTGTGATAACCTCAGCAGCTCCAGGGAACTATGCTTTGATAGGAACAAGAACAATTGGGAGGAAAGTGATCTCGACCCAAAATCCGGCACCCATTGGAGCTCCAAGTCCGATTGCAGATCCGACCCCAAATGCCCCAGCGCCTCCCACGAATGCGCAACCGACTCCAGTGGTGGTTCCTGGAGTTCAAGAGAGTCAGCCTGTAGCAACGCCTCCTGCAGACCCTGTTACGTCTATCGTTCCAGAATCATTCGACTCTGTTGGCAATTATGTTCCTCCAGCGACTTCAGTCATCACGCCAGTGGCTTCAGTGTCACCTCCACATACGACAATCCCCGCCACATTCAGCGCCGGAGCTAGTTCTGCGAGAGTATCGACTCCCACTAGAGTCGGAAACACTGTTGTCATCTCTGGCAGTACTGTCGTCCTTCTCCCGACCGATGCACCTGTATCTGGAAACACAGAAGATGTCGTCTACTACTTTTCGAAGAGAGATTACATCCTTGGAGCATTCGTCCCCACGATTATTGCAGTCCTTTTCAGCATTCCATGGGGTATCGTGGATACTGCAGCCAAGGAGATGGAACCATTTGTGAGGCTGGCCAGCGAAGACGGGGCTCCAGCTCGATTCTCCCTGTGCTTGGACTACCCCGGGGATCTCCTGATTGTATCGCCATTCAAGTCCCTATGGCGACGACATTGGATCATATTTCTGACGTCGATGATGAGTCTCGGATCATTGCTCTTAGCCCCCCTGGCGTCAGAAACAGTGTTCATTTCTTTACAGGGCACATGTAATGCAGAAACGGCAGGCGAGCTGTGCATTCCAACGTTGAGCGTCTATCCCCCAGCTGCAAGAGTACTCCAAGGACTTCTTGCGCTGCTTGCGATATTTCTTCTTCTGGTTATCATATTCGCTCGTCGGCGATCGACGGGCGTATATGCCAATCCTCTCAGCCTTGCCGCTGTGGCGACTATTTTCCATCATCCCCGTCTGGTCGATGTCTTCCAGAACATACCATCCACCCTCCAAGAGAAGGAACTCAACATGTTCCTGAACGGGCACAGTTATGAGATGGGATACTATCAAAATAACCAAGGAACTGCGTACGGGGTTCTTGTTGACCCCAAGGAAGAAGGCGAACCACCAGGATACACCTACATTAACCTAAACGATGGGATGTCACCCAGGCCTCAATCAGCGGGAAATCAAGCTCGAAAGATGAAACGCGCTGCGCAAGTCTTGTTCTTCGCACTCGCTCTTGGCGCGCTTGCCGCTGTTGTGCTATGGTACCGCTTCGCTGCCTCTGACAATGCCATCTTTCGATTTATGGAGAGCCAAAGCTTTGGTGTTCGTTTCTTGTTCACGGCCTTTGGTGTTCTGATCCGATTGTTCTGGGATTACGCACGAACTGGTATGTTCACTGCAATTGCCGAAAGAGAAACTCTTACTGACCTGTCTAGCCATCCATAAACACGAGCCTTATTACAACCTAAATAAAGGAGCACCTGCAGCATCTACGGTGCTCTTAACACCATCGCCTAATCCTATTCCTGGGATGTTCCGAGCGCTCCGCCGCCTTGCATTCTTCCAATTCATCATCGATCTCTCGACAGTTCTCTGCGACCCTCTCACAGTCTCACTCGGAAACGTCCCATTCAGCTCCGGGATGACATACGAAACATTCATTATTTGCGTCTGGATATGTATCTCGATCCTAGGCTTCATGTTGCTCACGTTGCTGGTTGTCTTGGTCAGAATTGGTCGCTTTGGTGGTGAAGTGAAAGTTCCCAATACGCTGGGTGGCAAGATGAAGCTATTGGCTGGAAGTCATATGGTGGAGCGGTTCCGTGATCTGGGCGATATGGATACGGAGACGAGAGATGATCTTGTGAAAAGATGGGGATGCAAGTACAGGATAGGCACAGTAACAGGTATTGATAGGATTCGGCGTGAGGGTGTTGACTTTGAAGAGTTTGTGGAGATTTGATACGTAGCTCCAGTAATGAGTAATGGTATTATCGTTAAATCTGATCTGGAACGAGTATACAGACTCCATTGCAGTTGCTCACATGATGAAATCTGTTCCCAGTAAATACATGCTGATACCCCACGAGCTGTTCACATGAAAGACACCCCCTGGGAATTTACCGTAAAACCGCTAAACAGAACGTACCAGACATTGACGAGGCATATTCCGGCAAGTGCATTTGTATGTCCGATATTCTAGATTCAGCCCTGACCTACTTAGTCGTGTCTCAAAAGGCGCGACATCAGATAGCTGAAGGGCTGCTAGAAACATCCTTGCAAGTGCGGGGTTGGCCCTCCCACGGAGGGGCATGTTGTGAAGTTTGGGTCCCAAAAATATAGCTTCGAATAAGCTTGCCGAGCCCAAATGTCATTCGACGGAAGCTTAGCGAAGTCAACTTCTAAAACCGACGAAGCACCTGTCAGGCGAAGTCGCCAAGAGTTTAACCATCCGCCCAGGAATGGGGGATCAATAGTGCGAGGGGCTGGTAACCAGGACTTTGGTCGACGAGTGGCTATGGATGTGAGGCAGTGACTTTGTAGTGCTGTTTGCGTGGAAGAGAAGCCCAAGAGAATTGTCGGGGGTACCGGGTACTCAGCCGCAACTTTTGAGGTTTAGTTCAACGACATCGTATTTTGAGGACGTTGTATCGGGAGTTCATGAGAATCTGGATGATGCCAAGCTAGAGGCTGTTTGGTTTTCATGTGTCGGTTTGGTAAGAGTACAGTGCGCAAAGCTCCTGGGTCTGAAGTTTGGTTCCTTGGCTAAGGGTCACAATGGGCAGAATACCTGGTCGATGGGGACTAGCTGAGACTTGAAATCCATTGTGAGCATATTACTAGTATCTTAGAGAGCAACACGAAGCTGTGCGAAGGGCTGACACAGGCGATGCTGTATGTGGTTAGCAAATGGTACTTCCATGTAAAGGGCTCTGTAGAGACTTTCAAGTGGGTGCAAGAAGATAAATAGACAATCATTTCCTACCTTGGTGGCTCACAATTTGCTCTCTACCCCAAGCTCCATTTCAAGATGTCTCCGTTCATACGTTTAATGTGCCATGCAATTTTTGCATTGGTCTTCGCTTTCATTACTCTGGCACAATCTTCCAATCTTGAAGTATCCACAACTTCAGCCACGGTTTCAGAAGTGACTTCAGCATCAGAAACATCGACCACGATCGCAACAACATCCACATCGGCTCTCCCTGACACAACTTTTTCAAGTTCTGTCGTCGAACTTCCACCTAACACCGCTCCTGGTTCCTCCATCACCGTTGTTGTCGTATCAGAGAGCACAGCCGAAACTCTCTCGACATCCTCACTCACTTCATCTACCACCGGTTCATCCAGCACCTCCAGCTCTTCCACCTCTACAGTAGGGACAGATGAGCCATCCGAAACCGGATATGCACAAGACGACTTGCCATCTGTGGACGCTCAAAGCTTCACTAATGAAAACGTCGATTTTAATCAAAACAACCATGGAAGTCCAGAACCAATCGTCCTATCAACAGAAGAGTCCGTCCAGCTAGCAGTCATGGAATCCCAATTCTACACAGATATTGCCCAAAATAGTCCTGTCCCAGGTACACAGCCAATTACTTTACCGGATGTTACTTGTGGAGGAACATCAAGATTGGCGAGACGTCAGAAGTCAATTTGCAAGACGATCAACAGTTTCAGTTTCACAGTGTACTTCTGGTCTGTTTTCCAACCTGGAAATCCCAAAAATACCTGGGCGAAGACAAGTGTATGGGAATCGAGGATCAAACTTCAGGTATGCGATCAACCGAACACTGAATCCCTTCGTGAACAGATCACTGATGAGGCATGACAGATGGATTATCTCAAAGCTGCCTACAATCCCCTTGGGATATATCCGGTTTATTCAGGATCGATCCGATTCCTCAACAATTCAGCATTCTCTAACCACAATAAGAAGAACAGAGATGCTAACGTCGCTTTCATGGCCAAGTACCGTAAAGGCAAGTTGTCTGACCTCAATGTATTCATGGCAGACTCGGTCATTGGGGCAGGCGGAAACGTGATCAATGGAGTATGTCAGCCATCGATTCCCTATCCTTGAAGTCTGTCTCTCTAGTTCAAGTTACTGACTTTATAATCTGATTAGTACTCCCGAGTCATTTCTCAATCAAATCAAGGCACTGGAGACGGAATCGTCATCGACCAAGCACGACTCGGCAATGAAAAGCGAAATACGCTCACTCACGAAATGGGACACTGGCTCGGTCTCGAGCACACTTTCGGAGATGTGGGATCGCTTTGTACGCTTGATGATGGTCTGCTCGATACCACACGGACTTCTGGCTCATCCAAGGTCATCTACGAGTGCGACCAAGTTCCATGTTTTGGATCCACTGCCGGCCGTGTCGAGAACCACATGAGTGTAAGCACACTAAAGTTCCCAACTTACAGTCAAAAGCTGACTATAGTGATATAGTACTCTCGCTGCCGCGGCGCAGACATCAGCGGCGGCATGACCAAAGTCGGCTTCACCAACGACCAAAAAGCCCGCATGTTCGCCCGGTACCTCCTCTACCGCGCCGGAATCAAGAACGCCTGCGCCAAAGACCCAACCGTCTCCCGCCGCGACGACATCTGGGAGATATTCGCTCGGCAAAATCAGCAGGTGAGCAGCATGCAGAACATCAAGGACGGAGAGTGTCCCAAGCCTGGTGATCCCATTCCTGGGACGGTTCACGCTACGCCGAATGATGGCGCGGATTTGTCGCTGCCGGATTCGGGGAGTAAGGGGGTTACGACCGTGGCTGCTGAGGCGCAGGCGCCGACTGCGACGGTTTCGGGGGTTGCGGGTGAGACTTCTGCTGTTGCGGCGACGGGGACGACGAGTAGTGGGGCGGCGGCCACGAGCTCGAGTGCTGCGGTGGCGGGCATGAAGGTGCCTGCTGCTTCTTTTGGGCTTGTACAGGCGGTACTGTCGATATTCTATTTGGTACTATGATTTGGCATCCACTGATGGCATATTCACGGGGTGCGGGTGGGGTAAGAAGCCAGTTCCATAGGGTGGATTCGGTTGTTGAAGTTCTTCAACTTGGCGTTTGTCTAATTACAGTTTAGCATAACGTAATTAATACCTGATCACATAAAATTCACTCGCAGTCCAAAGACTCATGAACCAATTTGATAGTTTTGTGGCCGTTTACTTGCTGGTGTGTCATTGGAAAGTCTTGAAACACTTTTGTAATTGTTGACAACGTCGAGATCCGTGACTCTATGATGGCGCAAAAAGATTGCACAACTAGATTTAATAGCATGTGCAGGCACATATATTGAGGTACAAAAGAAGCTCAGTGACTGGAGGAGGCAAGGTCATGAAACAGGATTTCCTAACACTGGGAAACGAGCTAAGCGAAAGTCAACAAAGGGCAGTAATCATGAATTCTCCAACATTCCATAGTCTCGTCTCACCCTGAAAGCTATATGATCTGTATGCCAAAACCCAATTCTGAAATCTTTCATTCAGTTATAGTTTCGCCAATTCAATATCAATCCCAATCCGCCCTAACGACTAACTTCCTCCCCCTCACCCCACCACCTTCCAACCTCTCCAACGCCCCTTTCACACTCCCCAACCCACCCACAACCTCCACCTCTCCCAACTTCAAATTTCGCTCTTTCAATCCCTTCTCAATATACTCACCAAACACCCAATTCTTGAACTCCTCATTCTCAGCTTTGAAATAATCATCCATGTACTGCACGAACTCCACCTTGACGTTTTCTGGCCAGGTGACATCATCAGGTTGGGGTCGCGGGCCCATGGTAGAAATGAATGAGCCACCGCCTTGAGCGGCGAGGAGTTTGGCGATGAGGAGTTGAGAGGGGGCGTCGTCTTGGGCAGCGAAGATGGAGTGGTAGGGTCCGTGGGATAGGAGGTCGTTGTGGAGGGTTGGGGAGGTGTAAGGGTGGACTGTGGATGCGCCGAGGGAGAGGAGCGTGGATTCGGATGTGGGGGAGGCGGTTGTGTGGACTGTGTAGCCAGCCTGTGTTAAGAATTTCAGTTAGCATTTATCAATTGTTCTAAGAGCCAAGTCCCTCTGTCTTTGGATTGTTGAACGGGGCTGCAATGGAAATGAAATTTTAAGAATCTTAAAATACAACAGACAATACATACCCGCACAGCAATCTGTACAGCAAAGAATCCAAAACTCGAACCCCCTCCCCAGATCAAGACTTTCTTATCTTTATTCGTCGGGTTCGGTGCAGCAGAAGGTCTATCCAAACCCAGATGAAGGACCATAGCCGACATGGAGGCATAAATCTGCGAAGCGCTCGTAGCTTCCGGAAAGGGGAGCGTGTCAGGAATCTAGCGAGGAATTTGTCAGAAACGGACAAACACAAGATATAAAAGCCAATCTTGGGTACGAGAGATGCTCACATGAGAAGTCATTTCCTCGCCACTCAACACAAAACGCTGATACGCGCCATACCGATAGTCATTAAGCAACGAGAAGCAGGTGACGCTCAGTACGCGATCACCCGGCTTGAAGCGTGTGACTTCCGGACCAACTGAGTGCACCACACCCGCTGCGTAATCTATGCTTTCCCGAACCTATCAGCATCCTACTTTTTGCATATATCATTGTGAGGTTTTGGATCGGGCGTGGTAGCGAGGGCAGCGATCGAGGAAGGAAGAGGACAAACGCACTCCCAATGACAGTCGGATACTTCAACTCAATAGGGATAATCCCCTTCAGAACCTTCCAATCTCCCGGATGGAGAGGGAATGCTTTATTCTATCTCACAACATGTGATGAGCTGATGGACTCCTTGAAACTTTGGCACAGGGTTAAACAAACCTCAAGAACCAGCTCCCCGACACTTGGCACGGGAATATCCGCCTCACCTACGGTGGGGGTGGCGCCTTTCGAAAGGATCCAGGCTGCTTTGTTGGTGGCTGTCATTGTCGAGATTGGATGATAAAGGATGGGTTTCTTGAAGAGATTGAAGGCACTTGAAACTTGGTTCAGCTCTCTTCATGGGCTGGAGCAGAGGGGATGAAGAGTTATCGAGGAAAGAAGACCGAAGTACCAAGGGTTAAGCTGCTTTATGCCCTCCCCTTCCCCTCTCTAATTCGGCCCCATTCGAACTCAATTCCTCGATCTCATTGGCCCATCTTATCTTATCCCTAAAATGGATATATTTTAGCTTATACGTATATCTACATCTGTACTGCACGTATCTTCTCTAGTACATAATCAGATTGCTGGTTGCGATTGTGCATTTCCTACAGATAACTGAACTCACTGACATCTGATTACTAAGTGTGCGGCTCTTTGTCATCAGCCTGCATGCTTCTGCTGTGTCCCGTGAATTAGGTAAGTACCTACAGGTATGTAAGCACTATTGGATGGGTAGGTGGCTACAATTGCTCTAAGCGAGGTCAATCAAAATATGCTGTTCCACAGGATCGATTGGTTGGTACAGTACTGTGCAGCTGGCGAAGTGGAGGGCTGGGAGTGCGGGGAACTACGCCTTTCCTTCATACAAGCGCATCTCCTCTACACTTTTGAAAAGGCCAGGATTAGTTCTCTACTTCAAAATCGCGATAAACTTTACTTGCCGTGTATATTTTGTATCTTGTAATAAGGATATACTAGGGGCACTACGATTTGAAGATTGTAGTAATTCCCTTTAATCTTAATTCAGTGGAACAGCTCTGCATTGCATGTTTTTCATCTCTATCACTCTACGAAATTCTATATAGTCTCGTCATTCACTGTTGCCGGCAGCCCGCCATCAATCCCCTGACATCACTGCGTCAATCCCCTTCGGGTCTTTGCAACCTTTCATAAATTCCTTCGGCTCCCGCCGCAACGGCTTCCACTACTCGTCTTTGATTTTAAAATCCTTGATGCTACTATCATTCAGCCACTCCCGAATATCCCACAAAGCATCGAAATCATTCCTACGCAAAGCAATTTTCGCACTCAAATCAGCCCATTGAAACGTACCACCCATTCCCTCCAAGTCCTGACCTTCTAGGCAGCAGCTATCGAAATCAATAATAACCGGATTATCATCATCATCCAACATGATATTTCCAGGTTTGATATCATTATGAACCAGACCAAGCGCGTGCAAATGCCGAATACCGCTCTCGATTCCAGCCAAAAACCCTTCACGATCATCAAGCGGGCGTTTCGAATCCGCGTAGCTGAACATGGTCTTCCCATGCCATCCGGGATTGACTCTTTCGTCCAAAGTCTCGCGGTACTTGATAAAGCAAATCCCAACGATCCGACCATCATGGACTTGGCAACCGATGTATTTCGCTATGTTGGGATGCGGATTCGCTCTAAGTGTCTCCAGGACTGCAACTTCTCTGAGAACTCTGTCGCTTATTTCCGTTGGGTTGGATGGTGTGTATGAAGCAAGATGCGGCGTCTTGATATAGCAGGTTCCGAGCAAGTCTTCAGGAACTTTCGTGAATTTGGGCGGGATAAGTGGACAGTAGGCTTCGGTCGGTATCAAGACGATGTCTGAGATGTCTTCGAGTTTGGGGTTGAAGTCTCCGGAGATACGGAGTTGACAGGTTCCACTATAGATTTTGTTCTCGAACTTGTAGATGACTGTTGTGTGCTGGTACTTGAAACCGCCGTCACCGTCAGTGTCGCCATATTGCTCGCCTCGATGGAGGATCTCCATATCGACGAATGCTGGTTCCGGAACTGGACTCGTGGGCGCGGGGGAGTTATAGCCTACTAATTAAAAAAGTGGGTTCGAATTCGAATATCCGAGAATGGAGAGTTGCTTAATGAATCTGGAAGCAGAGAAATTAGGGAGCTATGTTGCCTTCCCCACATTGAGCGATTAGCGCAGTTCTTCACGTTACACAACGTAAAAGATTCTGCAGACTGCATAATTATGTTGGCACACGTGGCGTAGGCTCCGCTTGAACCAATACCCTTTGTTCTCGCAATATCGAGGAAGATGTGGTGATTGATGAAGCGGAGATTCGGTAAGTGATTTAGAATCTTGGGAACGGATGCTTGGACAGGGAGAGGAAGATATAAACACATCACTGTTCATATTTAGTACCTTTCCTGTACACAGCCAATCTAACTAGTATGTAATTGCTAACTGCTGAGTGCCTTGGAGTAAGTCCTGCTCTTTGTCATCAACCCGCATGTTTTGATTCCCGCTTCCCGTGAAGTCAGCACTGGTGATGGATGGTCTACTGTAACTTTAAGCGAGGCGCTATTTATTTACCGGATTAGGTTCACCATACAGTATGTGGCGGCAGCAGTCAAAGTGCCAACAATAGGACTGAAGGGAAGAGAATATTGGTTAATTCCATAATGATTCATTCGTGAAGTTCTGAGAGTGAGAGGGTTGTAGAGTGAATGTAAGTAAGTAGAGTTAGTTCATTCGTCAGGGCGCACTAGGTAAACAAGCAAAAGAGTTGATGAAACGACTAAAGCATCCTTTCCAGCATGATGAATCATATCCCAGAAGCCAGCTTCCGTCCACAGACTAAAGAGCTCAATAATACCAATATTGAGATCTCTGACTGCTTCGCAGTGATTTCAGAGCCAAGAGTGAGTTAAGGATAATGGTAGCTCGTAATGGTCACTCAGCAATTCGTCGGGTAAGCTCCAAAACACCAATTAAAATCTCCCTCCCAATCAGGCGAGAATCCCTATATCCAGATTAGCCCTTTCTTTCCCATATCTTTCCACTCCTCTCATCCATTTCTCAAAAACTGATAGATCGTGTGAAATAAATACTCACATGATACTCCCCCTGCATCCCAAACTGCCCATTAAACCCCCACGCACTCCCCTTCAAATCATGCACATTACTCCTCAAGCTATGCCCTACAAAAGTCCCCATATTCGCCATATTCAGCACATAATCATACGGCCTTGCACCTCCAGATTCAGTTCTGGAGTTCAGCCACGCGATGGTGTCGTCCCATGTTGCGATCGGGTCTGAGTTACCCAGGAGGCGGATACCGCCTGCGCCGATGTGGTTGTAGCCGTTGTAGCCGCTGCGGGCTTTGAGGGTTGATGAACCAGGGGAGGAGGAGGAGGAGGGTTGGGGAGTGGTGATGGGTTTGATGTGTGTTAGCCACATTTTGGTGCCGTCTGTTGCTGCGAAAAGGGGGACGGTATGGGCATTGTTATCATTCTCGATCTCATTCTCATTCTCGTTCAAAGAATGTGATTTATGATGGACCATGAAAGTCAGAGGGAGAGAGCCTTTGTAGTAAACACTGTATTCTTTTGCCCCAGATTTACGACGATGGAGAGACAGGCTGGAAGGATCGGGAGGTAGAACAGCGCCGTTGAGCTTGATGTTGCTGACTTCGAGGTGGTCAGGGAGGAGAGCGAAGAAATCGTCTGTTGCTGCGAGAGCGCGCTTGTTGTTACCGTTTGGACCAAATGCACCGGCCCAGTAGGTGGGCGAGCGATATGCTAACTAGAATTCTCAGATATCAATATAAGACTTACTCAAGTCCAACATCTCCGCTTTCCAACTCAACGATATCAACTCTCCAGCAGCATGATGGAGAGACAATGATGAAAGGCAGGGAACTCACAACCGCCAAACCCATACAAAATCCCGTCTCCAGAACCGACAGCTGACAATCTGCCTTTTGCACAATTCCACCCTGTTCATTCTTACACGTGCCAATGATATCCGCTAGATGCGGCGTGTCTGGCCCGCCGCTGACGAAAATCGATGGGGAACGGTCGCGCATGCGGGAGGCGTTCAGGATTGTGCTTGGGGAGATGGATGTCGCCCAGTTCGATGGGATGCGTGCGGTGGTGAGGTGGGGGTTGCTGAGGAGGAGGATGAGGGGGAGGGACGGGGAGAGCTTCATTGTTGTGGTGGGTTGGTGTGGATTTGAGGAAGTGGATGAGGGAGAGGGAATTGAGGAGAATGAGAGTATGCTTGAATGACGAAGAGCGGGGGGTAAACTCAATGAGCGACTGTAGTGAGAAACAGGTGTTTATAAATCTCCCTCTCCACGTAACGAGCGTACAAAAAGCCAAACTCAACAAAACATAAACTCATCATCGTCATCACCACCACTTCCGCAGGGCGAACCTTCCCAGCGTAACTTCCCATCTCTTCGCTCCCCCTCCTTCCTCTCCCTCTTTCTGGCCTGCTCAGACACTCTGACCAGGAAGCGACAACCAGGTAAGGTACCAAAGTAGTCACTCGACCCCTCCGTACAACACCACACTCGCACACACATTCCTGCCATGGGCTCTTCCCCCTCTACAAGCGAGGCGTATCACTGCCACTGCAACTTCCCGCCATCGACATCGTGAAATTCTGAGTCGTATAAGTAAGTGCATTATGCAGCTTCCCAGTACAGCACTGATGGTGGAAGAACAAAATGGCAATGTGATAGAAGATGGCAATTTGATAGAATCCCAGCGGATATCAAACTTCCCGGTGAGAAGTGAGGCGAGGAGGGATAGGGATGGGAAATGACCTGCTGCGTGGGGAGGAGAGGAAAATGAGTTCCGAGGCTGTGCTACCACGAGTATGTGAGACATGGGGATTTTGGGGCGGGAGGGGATGAGAGAGATGGGAGGGATGGGTGATGGGATGCAGTGACGTATAGTTGTATTTTGAGTTGAGAAGGTGATAAGGACGAGAAGAAAGGACTGATTTATGGAGCAGGAGAAGGATACTGACCGCGCCGAAATTAACTCATCCCCAACTCTTGGGGAAAAGGATATGTGTAACAAACCATAATCTCCCATCCATGCTATGCATTCATAGTACATACATACCTATCTATACAAGCCCATTTGTCCACCAGCAAACACGTCTAAGGTATATTTTACAACTCATGTGACCGCTCCTGCAGACTCTGCGCAGCAGCACGCTTCATAGCTTCCGCCTCAGCAACCCTCGCCTCCTCTTGCTTCCTCTCGTCCTCCTCTGTAAACGGACTACCGAGTCCTGGCGGTGGTAGCCATGTGATTTCGCCTGTTCTGGCTGCCTCGAGACGTTTCCTTTGGCCTTCTTCACCTGCGCGGCCGAGGACTCCGGCGATGACTTGTGTGCAGCGTAAACTGTTAGAGAGAGCCATTAGTCAAGTGTCTTGAAACCAGTACATAGAAGAAGTATGGGTAGGTGATGAGAAGAACAGAGCAACAAACCTATCGTCATTCGCCGGAATCGGATACGTAACCCAAGTGGGATCAGCATCCGTATCAATAACCCCAATCGTCGGAATATTATTCAATCCACACTCATGCAGCAGAATATAATTCTCCAGCGGATTCAAACACACCACCAAATCCGGCTTCAACGCCTTCCACTCCGCAATCTTATCCTCGAACCCCTCAATCGGCTCATCCAGCACATCCACCGCCTTAATCCCACACTTCGCAAGGATCTGGTCGCCGTTCGTAATGCTCCCGGGAATCCACTTCTCGAATAAATGACACCCCTTCGCCATCCTCGCTGCGTTCACAATTACTGGTCCTTGGCCTGGCCGTGTTCCAACGAAGAGGATCAGGCCGCCGTGGTACGCGACACCTTCTACAACTTTTGCCGCGCGGCGGAGATGCGCGGCTGTGGTCTCGAGAGAAATGATATGCACGCCCTGTCTGATTCCGAAAATATATCTCTGGTTCATAGGATTCCACAGACTTGTAGCATGTCCCAGATGCGCCTGACTAGCCATGAGGAGCTCCAACGTCACATCTTCCGGCTTGGGAGGCTTGGTGAGAACTTCGTGAGGCTCGTAGTGTGGTGCAACCAGGCCGCCAACGCGCGAGGTGGTCTTCTTGATGTGTCGCTGGAGCTTGTGGTCGCGGGCGACCTGGCGGTTGGTGCGTTTCCCTAAGCCGGTGGTGGAGGCGGGGGAGATGAAGGATTTCGTGATGTGGAGTTGGTTGATGTTGGCTTCGATGGAGTGTGTTTCTTTGGTGTGGTTGGTGATGCTGTTTTCTATGGCGGAGGTTTCTTGTTGGAGGGCTTCGGTGGTGAGGGTTCGGAGGCAGCATTTGCGGAGGGGGGAGGAGAGGGCTTTGCGGCCTGGAGAGGGTCAATTAGCTGGTGGGAAATGGATGGAGGAGTAAGGGAGCTTACCGTGCCGTATGGCGACGTTTCGGAGGATCATGGTTGGGGGACGCATTGTCGTTCTGTTTCCCTGGTAACTTTTTTGAAGTTGAAGATATCCCGGATCCACTAGCTGCAGGCTCGGCTAAGCCTATTTGGGACGGGAATTGATGGTGCACCTCAAATAGAAACCTGTTGAAGGGATGCCCATTTGATGGAAGAATATTGGATTACTTTGAAAATCAGATATCAATGTATACTGTAGTGTGAGATATCCTTTCCATTAATCTCATGCACCATGATCTTTCTTTTCGGCTCCTAATTCAACCTCCTGAGCACCTGTCTGTCCCCCTTGGTACTATCAATTGAACGAAATGACATGGACGAATATGTACACAACATACGGAAAGTTTTTAACTGCGAAGGGTCAATGGTACTTGACTGCTACGGCCGACTATTTATCACATGTATCGCAAATTCCTATCACTTCACGGACCAGTAAGTATCATATCCAGGGCAGTGTTTCGCAGAATAAAACACCCTAGTCAGTCTTATTACCACATCTCGATGCTAGCACCCCGGATATAGAGACATAAATTTACAAAACAATCAAAACAACCATTTCACCGCTTCCATGCATGCAATCTACATTTCCTCTCTCCGCCGTACACAACTTCCCCCTTATCCTCGCTCTTCCACACAGTTCGGCTGAAATCAACGGCCGCGTCTTAACGGCTCGTCAACCTCGTCAGCGTGAAAACACCAACAATTACAACCGCAAGAGTAACAATCGCTCCAGGTAACAACAACTCATTCGGCACACCAGCAATAACCTGCTCCTGCACCGGCTGAGGAGCATTCTTTCTCCGTCTCACAGGCTGCTCATCTTCGCTCTCTTCTTCATCAGAGATGACCTTTCTGCGCTCACGAATGGTAGATTGAGGCGGTGTTGGTTCATTGTGGATAACGGGATGAGGATCCAGAGTTGCGGTGATGGGAGCTTTATCAGGATCGTGGACGAAGAGATCGACTTTGTCGCGGTGACCTTGACGGGCGATAAGGATGGCTTCGAAGAGATCGTGGTCCGTGGTAATGGAAACGGTGTCTCCGTCGTCGTCTTGATAGCTGAGTGCGAAGCCGGAAGCGCCGAGTTTGCCGTTCTCAAAGGTTGCGACGCCTCCAACAGCGTCGATTTCGGAGCCGAGTTTGGCTATGACGGCTTCGATGAGCTCAGCTAGGCCGTTGGCGGCGATGACTTGGAGTCTGTGGACACGACCGCTGGGAGCTTTGAACTTGAATGGGAATGGGACATCCTCGAGATGTGTCTCGCCTGGTGTGACAACAGAATGAGGAGGTGATTCGGCTCCAGTGTGAGAAGCTGAATCTCCTGGAGCAACACTTGCGTCGACATTACGCTCATGACCTCGAGACATATCAGGTGACATCAAGGATCTGGCTCCATGTGTATGTTGGTGGCTGTGATGCTGGCTTCCCTCTCCAGACATGATCGATTCCGTCTCGTTCTCTAGCGAGAGCCAGAACTTGTTCCATGCTGGACCTTCGCTATCCCCAGTTGACATGGAATTAATTTGCTCCAGGGTAGCATAGGTCAGCTTGAGAACGTCGACCATTCCGACGATTTCGCCAGCATCGTTCATCACCGGTAGATTCAGGTAGTGGCCATCTTGTAACAAAATCAGTAAATAGACAAAAGAAAAGTGAGCAGAGTTGGCTTACCGTGCATCTTTCTCAGGGCAGCTTGGATACTCATATCCATAGGAGCAAAATCTGGATGTGGGGTCATAACACGAACAACACTGCATGTGGCAGGGTCCAACCCTGGCGCAATGACACGCAACACGACATCCTTACTGGTGAAAATACCAGTAATAGAACCTTGGTCCTGGACGAGTACAGCTGTCGTATGATTTTCCTTCATTAATGCAGCTGCATCCTTCACCGACGTTCTGACGGAGACGGTGGTAGGTGGTTTGCCGTCGAGGACAGACTCCAGAGTGGGCCCGGACATCTTCGATCGCAGAGCTTCGACATATTGGATGATTTGCTGCGGTTGACTTGATCCAAGCTCCGACTGTACTCCTTCCAACGCATCGTACAATTTTCTCGAAGAGCTGTATGCACGCTCCAATTTCTCCATAGCATCGTAGAAACATTTTGTGATGTCCAAAATACCAGAAATATCTTGGTTCTCGTCCATAACAGGTAGATGGCGGAAGCCCTTTCGAACCATGAGATCCAATGCATCTGTTGCGCTTGTGTCCGTTCTGGCACAGAGAGGATTCTTGGTCATGATTTCTGCGATTGTGACATTGCTGGCTTTTACCCCCGCTCCGACCACTCTGAAAGCAAGATCCTTCGCCGTGAAAATACCAGCAATTCGATCATCATCGTCGGTAACCAATACGCAGTCCTCTCTCTTCGCTGCCATCAACTGTGCAGCCTCTGCGACAGTGGTATTCGGCTTGATTTGCAGTGCTTGACTGGGGCGGAGGGCGAGGACAGTTCCAGGAGGCGCCTTTCGCGTTTGTCTTGCTCGACTCGTGGTATGCTTCTTCTTGCTGAGATCGGTCTCGATTTTCCTCCGGATTGCCTAGAAACAGTATCAGTATTGTTTTCTTGCCGTGACTCCGCCCGCTCTGCCATATAATCCACGTACCTCATCTTTCTTGGTCTGCTTTTGCCTGCTGACGCTCATGGTTGATCCTCCAGCTTCACTCTGGGTAGAGTGTGTTTCCAGAGTAGGACGAGGGATGTTTGAGGCAGGGCTGTTTGGAAAAGCTGGTACAGTTCCTCGGTTGCCGCTCCGACTGGGAGTCCCTCTCATGGTCCCCTGGGAAGCCATGGCGAGGTTTGTTTGAGGTAAGCCGATGCACGCAGGCTGTATTTGCGTACAGATAGAGTTGAGAGCAGGAATGGATGCTAAGCGCTGATTGTCCAATAATGCCTTGGAAGTAAGCTGTGTGTGTAGTGGTGTGCGGTGGGATGATGTGACTGTGCCTAGGTGGTATTCGTAGTCCGTCCGTCCACAGGGGAACAAAGTTGATGTGCCTTGAACTGATCTGGTCGTGTTTTTCGGTGGATGCAGCCGTTGATAGGGAAACCCGCCTGACACGGTCTCCCAGTCCGTGCCGCCAGGGCAGTTCTGCTCTGTGCTGCCGTCAACCGATTGGCCAGAGAGATCGGCCCTAGCAAACGCCGATGGGTGGATGCTGGCGGGTTGCTATGGGCGACAACACGGCCCGCCGAATGGTCCGAGCGACTGTTGACTTCACGTCCCCTCCACTGAAAGATATCATCTGGATCACAAGCCAGCTTTAGATCCCAGGTCCATCATCCAAATCTTCCAAAACCCACATCCACATACATCTAAAACTTCACAAAACCCACCACAAACTACACTCTGCCTACCAATACTACCACTTCCTCTGGTCGCGAGTACAACAAAGCACATATCAATCTTCGTCCTCAACTAAAGGCCTGAGGAAGGTCACAACTCTATCCCAGAAGACTCTCAGAGTCAACAAGTACTGAGCAGCCCTACGATCTCAATTTGCCCGGCCTAACGGCTTGCGCTGCGTGAGGTGAGAATGTCCTGGATGCGATGCTCTGTCTTGCTTTGGATCATTTCATTTATGGGTCTTGGATAATGGACTTTGGATGGCTGGATTGATTTGCAGCGCAGTGCAGTCTCTTGTTGACTTATCTGCGAATTCCTCTTCATCCGTCAAGACCTCCACCAGATGCGTAGAAAAGTGTGGGCAGAAAATGTCTCTTTCCATACTAACTCTACACAGTTTCGGAACCCAGGTGTGCTTAATTGCATTACTTTCAATCGACGACTTTCCGGACTCTTCAAGCATTCAAGATGCTGTCCAATCCTACCAACAACCTTCACAGCCGACAACGACAACACCGACGCCAACAATCGACACCAAATGCATTCGAGCCAGTGAAGGCCACCAACCTGCCCAACATCCAGAGACACAACTCCCATCGCCGGGGGATGAGCTTGGATCAACGACGACGACGAACACCACCGCAGGAATACATGGTAAGTAATACTAACCCAGGATATCAAACGACACAACCACAGCATATTTTGCGAGAAACGCAGCAGCAAAGACTGGCACGCCCGGGCCAACACCAGTTTGCGCAATTCGACAATGACGAGAATTACCTCAATTCGCCCGCCGTCACCCCTCAGAGACAATCATTTGATGCCGGATGTACGAACCAGTACGGAGACAGGATTTCGCAGTCTCAATTTCAATTTCCCGGACCTATCAATACGATAATCAACGTCGATCCCAACAACAACAACTACAATGGGAACCAAGACTTCAATTTATACCAGACGGAAACTGTCCTGACTCCGTCCGCCTACCTGGATTTTTCGGCTGGCTTCGAGAACAGCAGCCAAGGAACAAATAGCCGGAGTCACAGCAGGAGGAGCTCAGCAGGCAGGAGGATTAGTGGTGGCATAATGGATCGAGTTGCACGGTTCGAGCACCTCGCTCTACAATCGCCATGCCGCCCAACCACCCCTCCAAATCAGAACGTTTCGAGTATGTTAATTTACCGATTCTCATAGAATTTTGCTAACATGTGTAGATTACTTTCCCCCAACACCTGTGGATACTCCACAAGATCATATGATAAAGCAGGAACAGATGAACCAGAGATTTCTCGATACCTACGACACGTCAATGGAGGAGACAATCAAGCCAAGGAGTAACCAGAGAGCGAGAGGCGTTTTCGACGATATGAGGAAAGCGGCAGATATGGCTTACATGCCGACTCCTCCTCGAACAGGACCGCTGCCTACTTCAAGCAATTTCGATTCGGCTCCGATGCCAACGGCCGATTTCATGAATGTGTCCAATATGAACATTCATTTCATGAAAAACGAGCCTCTCGACAGCCCGCAATACTCTCCACACTCCAACAACTTGTCCTTCCGATCTTCCCAGAACTCATCTCCAGAAGTATCTCAAAGCGCCATGTTTGACCCTTTCGTCAACAAGCCAGAACTTGAAGCTCCTGACATGTCTTACCAAGAATCTTCAAACCACGGTCATCCAATGTCGTCATCAACATCGCATCAATCCCATCACTCGTCTCACAGAAGATCAGAATCTGTGTGCAGCATCAACCTTGATGAATCGATCACTGACACTGGAATAACCATCGATGACATTGCAACATTCATCCAAGGACCGGACCCATCGGACGGGAAATGGATCTGTCTTTACCCAGAATGTAACAAGCGATTCGGCCGCAAGGAAAACATCAAATCTCACGTGCAGACCCATCTCGGAGACAGACAATTCCAGTGTCCGCACTGCCAGAAATGCTTCGTACGCCAACACGACCTGAAGCGCCATGCCAAGATCCATAGCGGTGTCAAGCCGTATCCATGCCAATGCGGAAACAGCTTCGCCAGACATGACGCTCTCACTAGACACAGACAACGCGGAATGTGCATCGGTGCATTTGAAGGTGTTGTAAAGAAGACCGTCAAGCGTGGCAGACCCCGCAAGAATCGACCAGACAACGAAGAGCGCGTCAAGAAATCTTCCCGAACTCGCAGCAAGAACAAGGCTATGTCTTCAACATCCTCGACCTCAGGATCCGACAGCCGCGGTGATCAGTCTCCTCGCAGTGAGCTTGACGTCCTAGACGACAAGCCATTCGGAGACTTCGATTACCCCCAGCAAAGTCAGAGCCAAAGCCAAAATCAGTACAGCCAGCAATCATCCGTGATGGACAACGCCAACTTCGAGTACTCACAACCCCGCTCTCCCACACCCGCAAACTGCGTCTCTCCCCAAGCAATCCAATCCATCCACTCCCCTTCAGCCTATAGCACCCACTCGCAGCACTCCCACCGCGGCTCGACCCCCCAAAGCGTACACCACCAATCCCACCCCACCTCCCCAGCCAAGAGCATCCACAGCTACCACTCTCCCCCCGGCCTCTGCGAATCCTCCTCCAGCCCAGCAGCCAGCATCTACTACGACATGGACAACGCCTCCCAACACAACGGTGACGGCGTACACATGTCTCTGAACCTGAACGGGCTCGCCAACATCTCAGAACACGACGACGAGATGTTCCTCGAGGCATTTGCTGCCGCGGCGGCTAGTCATCACTCGGGTGATATGTCGGCGCTGGAGCGGGAGCCGGATCTACTGATGGGGAAGTTTGAGGATGCGTTTGCGGCGCATGATGCGGATGATTTGTTCCGGAATGGTGAGGATGTGTTCTTCGGGAGTCCGTAGGGATTACCCGTTCCCCTCATTGTTCTTTTGGAATGAATTTGATGTGATGCGAGGTATGTGCTTGTACGATGATAGTGTTATGTGTTGTCTTGTGTTGTGATGGGAAGGAGTGGATCTCTTGTGCAGGGTGAAAGGTAAGTAGCGAAGATGTGTCTTCGAACCCCTTGATGGGGTTTGTTCCCTTCGCTACTTCCCCCACCCTGCATAAGCGTTCCAAGCGGGGGATGGGTAGGTAGATGTAGTGCTTGATGTATGATACAGCTGGAAAGTTTGGATTGCCATATCATGGGAATCCTGGTTTTGCGCTTTTGACAATGGTTGGATATGTGGCTGGGCGGCTGTTTCTAGACAGCCCTTGCTTTTTCGGATTTCAGTACTTGTTTGCGTGTTTGCTTGCTTGGTTCATGTTTTGGTTCCCCTCTCATTCGATCGATCTCTCTTCAGTCTCTAGATCGACTTGGATGCGAGATGGAAATAAACCTACGTGCGTGTATGAAATAATGGAAGGATTGCGTTTGGAAAATTTGTGTTGTTTGCGATGGCAGGAAGTTAGGAAAATTTTCATATGGACTGGATGGGATTGGATCTGGGATGAATAAATGGATTGGGATATGATATGATATGTTGTTTCATGGGTTTTTGTCTTTCTTTAGGACTAGGTGGTCTGTCTCTGTCTGACTGCAAAGAAATGTTATATGATCGGTACGGTCTTTACCTCATCTCAATTCAGAGACTTGTATGGAGTCGTTGAGATGTGTTGAAATGTGATGTGAATTAATATGATGTGATGGTTGTATTGTTTAATTGATTGAGAGATGAAGGTGAGCAGTGATGTGAGGTAGATGGACAGTATGTTGCGGCTTTGATGAGTGCGGGTTTGAAGAAGATGTCATGTTGTAGTGGATAGGAATCACATTTCCAAAGACAATTTTAGGATTCTAGTCATGATCTTGTGGCGCAAACTTTAAGATATCATTGGCTTCCCTGGGTTTCGGTGTGAGCTTGAGGCTGAGGCTGAGCTACAGCTATCGTATCACATCTCTCTCAACTCCACACCGTACCATCGATGTCATTCGAACGAGTCTCAAGACCCGCAAAATCCAATTTGATAGCATACCATGGCCCAGCCTTGATGAATTATGTTTCAATACCGCCCTCTTCCCCCGGTCTCCCCTTCTGGCAATCCAAGCATCCGTATCCTAGAACTCCAGCCCCGCCATTTCTCACCAGACACACAAGAGGACACTGTCCAATGCAAACTTCTAGACGCCCACCTTGGAGAATGCGAGCCCTATGAGACACTCTCATATTGCTGGGGCGATGTGCAAGTTAAAGTTCCAATCGCCGTAGATGGACAACGTTTCGAGGTCACAGCAAACCTGCATGCAGCATTGAAACGGCTACGCATGTACGCTCAAAAGCGACGGATATGGATCGATGCCATCTGTGTGAACCAAAGTGATATCGATGAGAGAAACGAACAAGTTCGTCTCATGAGACGCATCTACACAGAAACATCTCGGTGTTTCGTTTGGCTAGGACAGTTTTCAGAAGAGGAAGTTAAGCTTGGAATCGAAGCTTTGATGAGGTTAGAGCAGCACCGCAGAGCTGATGAGATTTCAACAAAAGTCGATCCGTTCGCACTTACGAAATCTATTAATCGATGGATACGTAGCAGTCCGGCGATTGAGTCTCTAGAGGCTTTGAAGGCACTTGTTGAGTCGCCGTGGTTTAGTAGAGTGTGGGTTATTCAGGAGATTACTTTTCCGCCTTGTGTGACGATTTTGTATGGTTACACGACCTTGGATTGGGATTTTACGATCGCGGCTTTGGATCATGTGGGCATGCTGAGTTTGTATCTCCGGGATACAGCTCATGCGGATCGGATCCGTGGGTTGAACACTGTTCGTTCGAACAGGGTGGAAATGTCACGTCGTGGCGGCATCAACCTCACGGCTGAGATACAAGACCCGTGGTGGAAGATGTTGATTCAGTTTCGAGGATTCGAGGCTACTGATCCTCGCGATAACGTGTTTGCGTTGATGAGTTTGGTGGATATTCCGGATGATGGGATGTTCTCGGTTCCTGATTATCATATGGCGGAGGCGGAGGTGTATAGACTGTTTACCAAGAAGATGTTGTGCTGGACGAAGAGTCTGGAACCTTTGATTTATGGGATAAGTTCGGCTCCTGGTGGGAGGCAGACTCGTGGTCTGCCTGCTCGACTGCCTAGCTGGGTGGTCAATTGGAGAGAAGCACTTTGCTCGCGGCCTTTGACAGGTCGGAACTTCAAGGCGGCCCGGTCTTCTCTGCTTGATATGGAAAAGATCAATTCATGTTCAGATAGACTAGTATTAGAGGGGTATCCTATCGACGAAATCACCTATATATCAGCACCATCACCGTACGAACAGTCAAATGTCATCGGAGTGCCGCAACGACTTGAGGATTGGAAGTCTGGTATAAGCGAATTTCTATCCAACAGCTCTCTTCCAAGTCTAGAATTTGACGCTGCATTTTACCGGACAATCATGGGCGGAGCATCTGAGCTCCACAGCGATCGACTTGATGTCCAAGCAAACGAAGTCGGTCAGATCGTGAGCGAGTATCTTGCTTTGCGCGACACAACAAGCGAGGCAAAGGGACGATGGGTCGAAGACAATATTACGGAAGCGAGATTCGTCGCTTATACGATTGTGTCTGGATATATAAGTAGTGCTTGTACGAGAAGGAGATTGATGGCTACTACTAGGCAGAGAATTGGCCTTGTTCCAGATAATGCGGAGGTTGGAGATTCGGTCTTCCTTCTGAAGGGCAGCGATACACCGTTTGTGTTACGGCGAAAAGAGGAGCATACTTGGTTGCTTATAGGTCACTGCTATGTTGATGGAGTTATGTATGGAGAGGTTTTTCATGAAGACGCTTGTTTGGAGGTGATTTTGGCGTGAGTCAGCATTCAAAGACTTTTGCCAAATTCGGGAAACAGGTCATGACCATTGGCTGTGAGCTGATTCTCAGGGAAATGGAGCTCGGCATGCCATTACTCACTATGCCCCTATCAACCACTAACATGAAGTTGGTCAGTGTTTACTTCCAGCACTTTTAGCGAGACTCGGTCAAGCAGAGCCGGGGTCATAATGGCTATGTAGTGTTCACGTCAACCTAGCTCTAGAGACTTTGACCATTGATTTCAGGAAATGGGTTATGACTTTGGATGTCATTGAATCTTTCAGAACACGCTCTTTATCATTCATTTAAATTCGTAACGTAAGATCTTACCAAAAATCCTCGACAGACTTTCCAAAAGCTATGAGCAGGTGGAACAATTCACATCGTCTCACATAATATCTATTGTGTATCGGCCCTCGGCATCAATCTCAAAAAAATCATCGGGAGCCAGTGGTCCAAGCCTGCTATTGAACGCATTCTCAACGTCGTCTGTGGAAGGAGTGTAGAAATACCCGACTCTGTGAAACGTTCCGTGAAGCTCTAATCTTTGGAGCAAAATTCCATGAATAGTTTGGCCACCGCCCCAAGATGATCTGGCAATATATAGCAAGATGAATTCAGAAGAGGAGGTGGCAATACCATCGTCGTTGCTGTCACTGTCTAAGAATCGTCAGACGACTTTTCGGCAACGATCCCATTCCACACAACGACCCTCAGCTCCTGTTCCCATATCATCATTTCTCCCCGTGAACAGAATCTCAGGTTCCCTTTCGTGATTCCAGATATGAAATATTTGTTGGCCAGGGATGATTTGCCTGTGAACTTTACACATAGGGCCCCGGAGACGCAATGGACATGATTTAGCCCCACCGAAGGGGTTCGGCGAGCACCGATACATTTTTACCGCTAAAACTTCAGTTCGTGTTTGGAAGGAGGCATACAATCTCATGACGAACACAGCGTCAGTGAGGATGGATGCCCACGACCATGTCGGTGCATCGGCTGCTTCGCCATTCAACGGAATAGCTTCAGGCCGTCGGGGAAGATTGCTCCCTGGTTCATGCCACAATAGGGACAATGGCGTATCCAGCTTCCACATTCCAGCTAGATAGTCTGAGGGATTTAGTCCCGCATGTTTACAGTATCTCTTCGCAATTCCAGAGATCGCTAGTAACCGATCGTTAGGAAATGTGACCAGAGTCCGCGAGTACAGCTCCAGCAGATTATACCACTGAATTCGTGCTGCATCTTTTTGCTCGTAGGTTAATGTTGAAGAGTTTTCGAATGGGATTGGCTTGGGTTCCCTCCGTCTGTAAGCATCAAGACTCCCGGGTGGTATGATTTCATTCGCCCAGAGACAACGACATTCCCAGTAGACCTGATCCTTGGTGAAATGCACAATTCTTGGTGCTAGATAACGCTCTTGGAATACCCATCCACGCCGATTGAGCTCCCCTATATGAAGAGGGTATGACCAATCGCAAAACGCTTTCAGACATAGATTAGATTGCTTATTAGGGCGTCGTACTGTCTCCCAATCTCGATTGAACTGGTGCACGTTCCTGTCAAATACTAAGCCATCGACAGTACCTTCTGTGGCAGCTATGTTGAGAGCGCAATTGAGGTAAATGTCGTCCATACGCATGATCTCCTGCATCTTTTCGATATCATTGTCCTGCATTATGCATAATGCATCAATCCACAGGTATCGAAAGCCGAGAGATCTGGTGACTTGGATAGCATGCCTGAACACAGCTGCACCTGGGGTGTGTAACAAATGCCGAGAGATGTCTTCCCATAGTAGAAATGATGTTGTGCTGGAGAGCTGAATGCTGGGCCAACTACCCCATCTATGACTCAATGTGAGGTAAGGAGTGTCGGGTGGTAAAGTCTTTGACTGCAATAATCGGGTACCAGGTGGGCTCTCCAACGATAATGCATGATATTGCTGTCGTTTGATGAGTTCAGCAACGTGGCTCTGATTTGTGTCGGTGGGCATCACATCCAGTAATCGTAAAGGAAGCTTTTTGCCAGTCTGGAGCCTTTTACAATTGCCGTGAGAAGCTAGGCAATTCTTCATCTAGGACCGGATCTTCTCAATTGCTTCGGATGAGCATGTCTGGGAAGACCGAAGAATGGACACCTCAACAGAATTGACTGGACATTCAGCATTGATGAGACACAATATATCGAAGGAACTCACCGTGACCAAAGAACACATCAATTGGGTAGGATATACGTACTACTTCTCGAGTATCACAAGCAAATGGCCATAGGTACGCAACAAGTGGGTGACCATCGCGGCGGCAGCTACCAATTTCGAGTCCGAGGCGTTCGTCTGGTTTCAGTTCACGAAGAAGGCACGGTATATGTCGGGCCATGAGCGCGCACAGAGAACATTTTCCAAGAGCAATATTGGCTTGCAGCCTGAGTTGATAGGCAGAGTCGTATGCGAAAGTGATCTTTTCATTTTCGGGATGTTGAGATGTAAGACTTTCCCCCGCAGCTTCAAATAAAAGGACACAGTCGTTGCAGACTCTTTGAATAACAGGTGACTCCATGAATGATATTCAAGCCTCAAGTTGATAAGGATAGATTGGAGGTCTCTCATCATGGATAATGCAGATAACGAAGCCTGGTGTTTCTCGCCACTCAACATGGATCCTTGCATGGTAACACCACAACCCTGGTCAGGTTGCAGCCTAATCGGTACGTACCCATTGATTTATCTATTTATATCGCTCTCAAATTCTTTAAATTAAGTGATCCTGTGGCCGATAGCAATCTCTAGATGTGGCAGAACAACTTTTAGCGTCGTTCTCACTGAGATTCCTCGTCTCTGTGACCACAAAAAGTCTCAGCCTTTCCTTCAAAACATCTTAGATGAAGTCACAGATTATTTTGAAGTTATAATATCAATCTATCAAGATCTTCAAGCTGTATTATTATATTTGAAGTCGATGTAATGCGAGTGCCCGCAGATATACAGAGGGGAAGCGACTATTAGCTTCTTCTTATTTTCAAGCCAAAGTTTGTAAGCGAATCGCCGAATAGTTGACAACTACAAGCAACTCAATAGAGTATCCAAGGTCCAGGTTTCGTCTATCAATCTAGGTCGCCTTGGGCCACAATAAATTCCAGATGACTTTCTCAAGCCACGTAGGTAACGAGTTATGGATATTGCATGATCACAGGATCAGAAAACCTGCCCACCGTCAAAGCTCCGTCAGTAGTGTTTTATGATCTCACGATTAGTCCTAGTGATCCTGCTGTAAATTCCTGGAAATTTAATCGAATCTCCACTCATATTGAATAAGAAGAGACTATGGTTAGTTACTAGTCTGGAGAGTAGTGAGGTAGGCTACTCCTGAAACTATCCCCTCAACTGCCGAAAACACACTTTTCCAGGGCACGGCGCTGAAGCGAGGCGCTAAGGCTGCCTGGACGACAACGAAGCGTTGAAACTTCAGCGTTCTTTGCTTAATGACAGGATCTCGCTACAGGTGTGTTTGATACGGCAGTTGACGGGACAGCTCCCTGGAACATTATGTCGGAGGCTTTGGAGATAAGCCCGGCACATTGACCGTCAACTACCAAATACATTAGTGAGGCTTTGTTCGAAGTAGGTAAAGAAAAGCCAAGATTGACTTCTTACTGTAATAGTTACCTTCGGCTAATTTTAGCGTTTTGTTTGTTTCTTTACTCATCGCCTTTTGTCGCCCCTCACTTCACTCTTTGTCCTTAAATGCATTTCGGGTCAGTGTCAGTGGTATGCTGCATGGATATGGACTTCGATGTTGAGGACATATAATCTCATTTGCTTCATTCATGCATTAAATGTAGAATAGTTCTATGTCATTCCTAAGTCCAAAATTCCCAAAGGCTCACGACTTTTCGTTGAGACAAACATAATCATGAATACAGGAGGCTCTTTCATAAATTTGAGCCATGACCCTTCTTAGCCTATCGTCGATCCATCATAAGTTATGATGTATGCTCTCAGATTCTAGTGCGCTGGCTGTCGGGAACGTTCTTGTTATTGTCGCTCTCAGTCGTCTCGAAGTGCTCGGTTTCATACATAACTTTGGCATCGCTTGGTGGAGCGGTAAATTCAAACACTATTACAAGGTTAGTGACACTAATCCCAAGCCGGAAAGGCTAGGAGTACTTACAATCAATTGGCGTAGAAGTGAACTTCCTCGCATCAACCTTCTTCTGGAAGAGATAGTCGATATCCGCAAAACTCCTGTTCCTGGTCTCAGGCAGGCAGAAATAGATGTAGATGACCCAAACGAAGCACAAGCAGAAATACACGATTCCAGTCTTGGCGCCCAAGTTCCAGTCACCGGCAGCGCTATTCAACATACGAGGGTTGATCTGCTGAACCAGGATACCGGCGCACACGTAGATTGCACGACCCAGGACAATAGTCTGAGCGCGAATTCGATTGGATGAAATTTCGCCGACGACGACGAAGGTAGTTGGGCCGAGGGAGACTTTGAAAGCGCATTGTACGAGGATCAAGAACACTGCTGTGACGTATGGAATGGTGCTCTTGGATCCAAGGAAGCCGGTAATGCCAACTGCCAACATGCATGCGCCGATACTGCTCGATCCGAACAAGTAGAATGTACGACGACCGATACGGCCCATCAATGCGATTGCGATAGCAGTGGCGAAGATGTTGACGGATTGAATACCCATGTTGTAGTTGAAAGCGTTTGTGGCGCTCATTCCGACGGAGCGAAGCATGATAGCTGCGTATTGTGTGATGGATTGTCCGTTCAGCATTTGGATGAGCCAAGCCATGCAGGTGATTCCTGTGCGGCGTCTGTTGGTACCGGTGAAGCATTCCTTGTAAGATGCGTTCTCAGATTCGATCTTCTCCATCTCGTTGGTGTGGTTCATGAGCGCAAGAGTCTGGGCCATAGTTTCTTCGGTGTAGAAATCCTTGCGAGCGAGACGGCGGAGCGCCTTTTCAGCGTCGGCTTGACGACCGCGGCGGATCAAGTACCATGGACTCTCTGGGGCAAAGAAGCCGACGAGGAAGAGAGGGGGAATCCAAATCCATTGGATACCATATGGAACACGCCATGAAGCATCGTTATCGGTTCCGAGACTAATGGAGCCGCGGAGGACTCCGGTTGCAAGGAAACTTCCTGCTCCCCAGCACATAGAGACCCAAGCTGTAAGGTACCCTCGCATAGCAGCAGGGCAAATTTCAGCAGCATAGGCTGTTGTTAGCGTCTGAAAAATTCCCCAGGGGATTCCACAGAGAATATTTCCGGCGAGAATCATCTCGATGTTGACGGCGAAGAAGAGGACGAAAACGGTGCAACCCATGAGGATCATGGCTCCCTGAGGAGGTCTTAGCCGAAAGTCACCTCGACAGTACCACAGGACCGAGAACTTACCATGTAAACTCTTCTGGATCCAAAACGAGCTTGTAGATAACCATTGATCAAAAGTCCAATGATTGAACCGCAGTTGTTTCCCGCTCCAATGCCTCCCTGCCAAGCCGATGAAATATGCTGTTTGCCATTCTTGTCTGGCCATCCGAACTTCCTCAGGTAGGCTGGGTGTGCGAAAAAGTTGTTGATCAAACCGACATCCATACCCTCCATGACGAGCGCCAAACTGAGTAACATGCTGAAAATTACGGCGGGTGTGTATCTTCTGAAAAGCTCCTTGCGGGGAAGGGAAGCTTCTTCATCACTGGCAGCTACGGCGGCTTCGATAAGCTAAGGAACAGATTAGTATTGGTCTTTATCGCAATACGCATGGTCTCGCGAAACGAATTTTCTAGGCAGGTCTAGAATGTTTGGGGTTCGAGAATTGCTTACCTCCATGTTTGGCGTGTACGCGGCATGCTCGAAGTGTGAGGGGGTGGGTTTACCCACGTCCGCCTCGGTCTTGCGAGGGTCGACCTCTGTGACGGCCATTATGGTCGCTGTCTCTCTTAATTGAACCTCTGAAGGCGTGGCTGAGGGGCAAGAGTCGACAAGATTGTCAGTGAAGGACAGCGAGGGGGAGGTTGGAGAGAAGAAATAGCACAGCGATGGAGAGAGAGTTTGTGGGGAGGGGGGGAGTCCCTGGGATTTATATAAACAATATCGGAAGAAGTCTAGTTAACAAACAAGCCACCCCATATGCCAAGTCCTCCGACAGGAATGGGCGTTTGGTGGGAAAGTCGACACAAAAACCGGTGGCACCCACCATCCTGGCACCTCCAAGAACTGCCAAGTAGAGTTTGTGCCTACTCATGCATGAGAAATCGTCGCCATGTGTTGCCCATGCCTTGCACATGATATAAATTGTTCCTGAATATCAATATTGTACGGCAAGGTAGGCCGAACAGAGAGTCTCACCCCGCGAAATAACTGGAGACATGAAAGTACCTTTCGACCCATCCTTTCACATCCTGAACCCATCATGAACTGGAGTCCCCAACCCCCAACCCCCAACCCCCAACCCCGAACCCCATCATGTCAACCTTGCCTTAGCTTCTCACAAGCATGATGCACGACCAAAAGTGAGGGTGGAGGTCGACGAGGTTGTTTCCACCAATAGGAGCTCAACATGTATATTCATGTCCAACAATTTCAGTCATTCCCAGGATTCCTCGGTCCAGACGAGTCATGTTCACCCGAACCTGGGATATCTCACACCGATCCCCCCCGCAATTCCTCTCATCTGTTCTCCTCAAGCTTCCCCGCGGGGTCCTCTGCCAAGGGTCGAGGATTGAGGCACAGTTTCACTGCCCAATCAATTGCGCTAATTCTCGGAGAACCCCCTTGCTCCAGAGTTAGTGTGATGAAGAACGGACATTGCTACATATACAACCGAAGATACAGCGGAACTGTGCCCTGGCGGGAATAGCTGCCAAGATAACTGTCGGATTGGTGTCCGTGATAGGTGCGATCTCCTGACTCGAGATGGAGCATGAGAACAGCGTTACAGTGCGACTGCCTATTCATTCCTCATTCGATGCCAACAGCGTACAGACAATAATCAAGCGCATATTTTATTGGAATGAAACTTCACGATATCTTTCAACTATAGCTGCAGAAATCCTGTTTTGGCCGATTTCTTGTCAAGTGAAGTGGCCGGTTTTCTGTGTTTCCACAGCGAGATAGACCTCGCTTAAGCCGGCGGCTAAATCGCAGAGGGGAGTGCCGGACTCCTGGTTGCCGAAAAGTTGTTTTTAAACTCGCAACCTTTCCAAGGGACTCCTCACTCCAGTAAATTCGAAAAAGGATTGAAGGCCAGATTGCCATAGTCTCGGGCTGCACATGTGACAGTTGAAGTTTGAGTGACTAAATTGTAAGCGTCGAATACTCAAGCTAGGAAATTCACCCCGTGCTGCCCAGGCCACAGAGCGAGCCGCCATGATGGGTCATTTTAACTTTCGACTCCACGATGTCTCCACTGCAATGGAGAAGTTCAACCTCGTGCGGCGATGTGTTGTGCTGTGCCTTCTCCAGCTCCCCCACTTCTCCTGCTAGAACGCAAACCAAGACTCTCTCTCAAACACATTTCTACCAACCAGCTATCTAGTTCTCTCACATATCGGTCGGTGAACTCGGTGATTCAGGCAAAGTCCAAGTTTTACCTTTAAACCTTCTCCTCCCCACGCTGGAGCATTTCCCCTCATTTGGACAGCAGATCAGGATTCCGACGCCAACCGACTTCAAACTCTCAGCTCACCCAGAGAGGTAAAATTGGCCATGCCGAGAAAGTCGTGTTGATATTCCAAGAAATCAAATTCCAGTAGAGTGGTTCTTCCCAGTCCACTTTTGAGCATGACTTGTAAGCGGCAACGGTATCGGCCCTAGGATTATCATTGCACAAAGTATTAAATTGTTTACGTTCCTGAATCTCAAATTGATCTAAAATTTGGTTCTTGACTGGAAGAAGTGCTGCCGCATAATTGCAGTCTTGCTCTGATCCGGTTCCTCGCTGTATCTCTCTCGAATTAGTCCGAAATCACCATTTCTCAACCCCATCTACAGAACCACTTAAAACACCAAGAAAATTACAGCAAGGGACGAGCAGCAAGCCACGGTCACCAAAACCTGCAACCAAACATATATTACAGCTCGTTTCATAGCCTTGTCTCGCCTCAGATGTGTTCGCACGCCCACCACCCTCACGGGTTGCACGACACCGAAAATGCGAGGCCGTACCCAACCAAGGTTGTGGCGCCTGTTGGCAAGAAAATCACTTCGCTGTACAAGAAACGATTAATGAATTTTCTTACACCGGGCCAATGGGAAAAAGTCAATCTACTTTCGTAAGTGATTGTCCGAGGCCATCTGGGTGCCTGACTTGCAACCTTCAATGGCCCTTCCTATTCGTTACCGACTTCATCTGTACGCATGTACTATGCAATGCTGATCTTATCCATTGAATGATGCAGTGCACTAGACTATAGCAAATACTCCGGGTCACCACACGTGAAGTTATTCGTATGGGACGCACCCGGCACTGCCCGTCCGTCCTTCTCGGAGGCAACATCCGAGTCGAACACTTACCGAAGCACCCAAGTCGGCGAGAAGTTCGGCCCATCATGGACAACTCATTGGTTCAAGTGCACGCTCACCATTCCTAAAGATCTCTGCAGTACAGACAAACATGTCGAGCTGCACTGGGACTGCAACAATGAAGCCACCGTCTGGACAGCCTCAGGCGAGCCACTCCAAGGGCTAACAGGACGTGGCGAACGTATCGAATGGATCATCCCTGAGTCTTTCAAAGATGGCAAAAGCCATGATCTCTATCTCGAGATGGCATGCAACGGCATGTTTGGAAATGGACCTGGTCGTCCTATTTTCAAGAACAATGCTGGTGGAGATTCCATCCAACCACCTGACAACGACAAGTATTTCGAGCTGAACAAAGCCGAGATCGTCGACGTCAATTACCAAGCTAGAATGCTGTATATCGACTTCACTGTGATTCATGATGCGGCCACTGAGCTGCCAGAGGATACTTGGGAGCAGCATGAGGCGCTCAATGTTGCGAGCAGGATTATTGACACATTCAGGGAGGGAGATGATGCGTCTATCAGTGCATGTCGGAAGATTGCGAAGGAGTATTTGGGTGAGGATATCGATTCTGCCAAAGTTTATGACACTGCGTTAGATAGGCGGCCGACTGTCTATGCGATCGGTCATTGCCATATCGATACGTGCTGGCTGTGGCCTTGGAATGAAACGAAACGGAAGGTAGTGAGATCGTGGTCAAATCAGTGTGATTTAATGGATCGGTATCCGGAGTTGAACTTCGCTTGTTCGCAAGCTCAGCAGGTGGGTTCTTCCTGAGCCATATCCATTCCTCTGCTAACGATGGGTGCAGTTCAAATGGCTCAAAGAGATTTATCCGTACGGCTGGGAACGCGTCAAGGCCAAAGTTGCCTCTGGACAATTCCACCCCATCGGTGGCTCCTGGGTCGAACATGACACGAATCTTCCCTGTGGCGAGTCGCTAATTCGTCAATTCCTCTACGGTCAGCGCTTCTTCGAAGCCGAATTCGGTGCTCGGTCTACGACTTCGTGGTTACCAGACACATTTGGCTTTTCGTGCCAGATTCCACAGATTTGTAGATTGGCAGGTATGACAAGGTTTTTGACGCAAAAGCCGTGCTTCAACAGTGTTAATGACTTTCCACATACCACGTTCAATTGGTAAGCTTTCATACTCCCCATTTTCCTTCATATATGTAGTACTAGGCGCTGAAAGGTATCTACAGGGTCGCACTCGATGGAAGTCAGGTCATCTGCCACATGCCTCCTGCCAGGACATATTGTGCCGAGGGAAACTATGAGAATATCACAAAGAGTATCTCCAACCACAGATCACTCGACCAAGACAACGCTGCTCTTCTTGCAGTAAGTACCTACCAGTGTTTACCTCGAAGAGATCACCCGCTAACAGTCCTCACCAGTTCGGTAAAGGCGACGGTGGAGGCGGCCCAACCTGGCAACACCTGGAACGCCTTCGACGTCTCCGCGGCATGGCTGACACAACAGGTACCATCCCACGTGTACACTCCGGCTCAACAGTCGACCAATTCTTCGACAAGCTAGAAGCAAAGTCATCTAGCTTAGTAACCTGGTACGGTGAGTTATACTTTGAGCTTCATCGCGGGGTATACACCACACAAGCCCGTACCAAATCGCACAATCGCAAGTCTGAGATCTTGTTGCATGATCTGGAATTATTGGCAACTATTGCTTCGATTCAAGATAAAGGATATGAGTATCCGAAGAAGGAGTTTGATGAGATGTGGCAGGGGGTCATGCTTTGCCAGTTTCATGACTGTCTACCGGGCACGGCGATAGAGATGTGTTATGAGGATTCGGAGACGGTAAGCGACCACTGACTTATTGAAACGGCTCTTTGAGATTACTCTGTGTATTTTATGCTGACCTGAAAACAGGTCTACGCCAATGTCTATAAGACCGGTCAAGTTCTCCTCCAGCAGATCTTTGTCAGCCTTGGCATTGAACAGCTCGACGCAGCAAAGACCCTGGACCTCAAAACAGCCACAGCGCTAAACACTCTCCCATGGCCACGTAGAGAGCTAATCGATATTTCAGAGACTCAAGCCGTTGTTGCTTCAGGCTCAGGACATACTCTCACCGTCGAGTCATTTGACTCCACAGCAGACAAGGTCAAAGCCGTCACCGTCTCGGAAACCTCTCCAGGAACCTTCCAACTCCAAAACGCCCATCTCACGGCAACCATAACCAATGGCATCATAACCTCTCTCGTTGACCGCCGCTCGAATCGCCAAACTCTCTCCGGCCCCGCCAATCAATTCGCTATCTTCGATGACAAGCCCGTTTACTGGCAAGCTTGGGACGTAGAAGTCTACCATCTCGAAACTAGACAAGAACTCCCCAGCTCGAACACCAAGATCCACGAGAATAAAGGATATCGTGCGAGCGTGGTAACAGAAACGCGGATCAGCGAGAAGAGTTCAGTGAGGACGGTGATCTCACTTAGTGCCGTGCTTGACGATTCCGAACCGTCGATGGTGGAGTGCACCGCTGATGTGGAGTGGTATGAGACAATGAAGTTTTTAAAGGTGGAGTTTCCGGTGAATGTTAGCAACATGGAGGCGTCGTATGAGACGCAGTATGGGATTATTAAGAGGCCAACTCACTACAACACTTCGTAAGTTTACCCCTGACACGGTATATCTCTTTTCAGCTCGAAGAACATCATACTGATTTACCACATCCACAGCTGGGATATGGCTAAGTTCGAAGTCTGCTGTCATAAATTCGCTGATCTCTCGGAATACGGATACGGTGTTTCCATCCTCAACGATAGCAAATACGGCTTCGCAACCGTCGGCAATGTAATGCGTCTTTCGCTTCTCCGCTCTCCGAAAGCACCAGATGGAAACGCGGACATGGGACATCACAAGATCAAGTGGGCGATCTTGCCGCACAAGGGTGCGCTAGGGAAGGAGACAGTGAGAGCGGCATTTAATTTCAACAATCCGATGAAACTCGTTGCAGGCAAAGGAGAGGTTCTGGAGAACTTCCCGATCAGATTGACGGGAGATGAGAATCTCGTGCTCGATTGGGTGAAGAGGGGTGAGGATGATGAGGATGTGTCGACGGACTCTTTGCCGACTAAGAAGGAGAAGAGTGTCATTGTTAGGATTTATGATGCGCTTGGTGGGATGGGGAGAGGTGCCGTGGAGTGTGCGTGGGATGTTGAGAGAGTGACTAAGACGAATATTTTGGAAGATGACTTGGAGAAGATTGACGTGCAGAAGGGAGAAGGGAGAGCGAAGTTTGAGGTGCAGTTGGGATCGTTTGAGGTTGCTTCTTACAAGATCGTTTTGAGGGATTGAGGTGTGAGTTTCTGAGTGAGGATTGAAGTTATTGGTTACTTTCGCGTCGGCAGGAATTGTTCTCATATTTATTCTTGGGCTTAGACAGAGCGGACAATGGGATTTCCTACGTATAAAAGTGACATAGATGGTAGAAGGTTTGACCTTAGATAGACATGGATTCAAATGAGAGTGCAACTTGTGTGAAACTGAACACTGCAGTCAGGATTTTGCCAGGACTCCGTGATGATTTCCATGAGCCTTTTGGTACTCAGCTCGAATCATTTGCAGACGAGTGAGAGATACTTCTCGACAGCATTGAGACTCATAACAACTGTGGCTTGGACTTGCTCTGCGGGTCTCACTCCAATGAGGAGTTGGACACTAAGTGCCAAACTCGCCTCAGAATTAGGGACTTAAAGAGACCGCCGTCTCTCGCTTAGCACATCAGCGATCCAACCCTACATGACCCCAATGACTCTATGTGACTCAAGCCTAAGACGTAGTTCAGATCACAATTGAGACTCGGTAACATTTAAAATCTCACGCTCTCAACTTAACAGCCACAGCGAACATTTATTCTCAATCAACTTCCGTTGCATCCCCAATTTGCAATTTCTCCACCGACAATCAAGTAGTATTATATATAGTCTTAACGCCCAACATGGAGCCTCTGCCAGAGAAGATAAGGTAAGCCTGCGGTTCTTTACGAAGCAGTCACATCTACAGCAGATGCGACTGCATTTTCCCCAGCGCGTATGTCGACTGACTTCCAAGTAGCAAGAACGAACAAAAGCGACGAGCTAAGCAGCTCGAGAAGGAGCAACGAAGAAATCAGCAACCTGCTACACCTCAAACATCATCAGGCAGTGAGTCAGAAAACATGCCTCACCAACACCACGAAAACCGACTCAAGCTCTTCCAATCCCTGAGGTCGACACCAAGTCACCACCTCTATCCATCCTCCTTCGAACCAAATGTTGAAGACTTGGCTGCGTTGAAGAGCGAATTGGAGTCAATCAAGACAGGAGAGCAAGATACCTCTAGGGACATCAAGCTTCGTGGAAGAATAATCTTCATCCGTTCGGCGGGCAAACGTCTACGCTTCTACGTTATTCAGAATGGAGAAGAACAAATCCAAATTGTTTCTCAAGCGCAGGAAGTAGACGATATGGCAGTTTTCCTCCAACAGCACGAACACCTTGGTCGCGGCGATATTATCGGCGTCATAGGCCACCCAGGTCGGACAGCACCACGCGGTCGCCCCGTCGGTGAACTATCTATCTTTGCTAGCGAAATCATCCTGCTCGCTCCATGTCTCCAGATGATACCCAAGGACACAGGGTTCACTGATGCCGAGCAAAGACACCGCAATCGACCTTTAGACTTAATAGCCAATCGCTCAACTCGCGATTTGTTCCGCACCCGTCATCAGATGAATATGTACATTAGCAATTTCCTCAGTGCACGCGGCTATATCAGCGTTGAGACTCCAATTCTCAACCAAACCGTAGGAGGTGCATCCGCCAAGCCGTTCACGACATACCATAACGCCCTGAAGCGAGACCTCTTCCTTCGCATCGCGACCGAACTTCCACTCAAGCAGCTTGTCGTCGGAGGACTCGATCGCGTATTTGAGATTGGTAGGGTGTTCAGGAATGAGGATATCGATCTAACGCACAATCCTGAGTTCACAAGCTGCGAGTTCTATCAGGCAGATGCAAATTACAACGACATGATGTCCATCACTGAAAACTGGTTTCCAGTCTCGTGAAGGAGATCAACGGTTCATACACCACTAGTTACATCACTCAGACAGGCGAGACACATCAGATCAATTGGAGCACGCCATGGAAGCGCGTCGAGATGATTCCCGCGCTTGAGGAAGCCACTGGTGTTCGCTTCCCAGATAGTCAACATCTGCATACAGACGAGTCGAGAGACTTCCTCATGGGTCTTCTAGAGAAGTATAACATCATTTGCTCCCCACCTCAAACCAATGCCCGCATGCTCGACAAGCTCGTCGGCGAATTCATCGAATCGCGATGTACGAATCCAACATACATCATCCACCACCCCGTGATCCTCTCCCCTCTCTCAAAGGCGCATCCTCTCTATCCAGGTCTTACCGAGCGTGCAGAGGCATTCGTGTGCAAGCGCGAGATCTGCAACCTGTTCACCGAATTGAACGATCTTTTTGAGCAGCGAGAAAGATTCAAGGAACAGGCGAGACAGAAGGCTCAGGGTGATGAAGAGGCGCAGGGGGTTGTGGATGAGGATTCTGTAGGGCGCTGGAGTATGGATTGCCGCCTACGGGTGGGTGTGGGATTGGATTGGATAGGCTGTTGATGTTTTTGACGGATAATTATTCCATTAAGGAAGTGCTGGCGTTCCCGATGATGAAGGATGAGGTGGGGCAGGGAAAGGGGAAGGAGAGGGCCAAGGAGGAGATTTTGGGCGGGGTTGAGACTGATAGGGAAGGTGGTGAGTTAGAGTTGAAGAAGAAGAAGTTGATGGAGATGATAGAAGAGATGGAGAAGTTGGAGGCGGAGATAGCAGGTCTTGCTGTTGACAAGGATATGTGATTTTAAAGCAGAATGCAAATTATTGGGCTTCAATTGTAGTTAATTATAATCATTGTTTATCCAAGCGTTTAAATGAAAGTTGTATTTTAACCTTTCGGCAGGTTCCTTAAGTTGGTGCAACTGTAAAGCTCTTAAACGTAAATGTGCTGCTGAAGTGCAATGCAATGTTGTGTTGTCCAGTCCAGGACTAATGAGAATTACATCTAGCGAGGCATCGCTCGAGGCTTCCAATTGTCAATCTGGGTACCTATCATAAGGAAGATACAGCTCTTGGGAGGAATGAAAGGGATGTGGACAGTGTTCTGCATCCATCACATGCAGGCGGGCGTGACAACGAATGTGCACAGTGAAGGTGAACATCAACGAGCCCTCCCTCTCATTCACCATCACCATCACCTTCATCCGAGCCCAAGTACATTTGAGATCTAAACAGCTACTGTATCTACCCAAATAAGAACATTTCACACCAAGCACCCACGTTCCACGTCACGGTGATGCCTCTTCAAAACCATAACTGGCTTATGGTTTCTAGTCAGGACTAGTTGCTTCTCGGTCGGATTTATCTGCCTCATCGCGATTAGTTCTGTGAGTTTTGGTATTTTGAACAATTTTAGCAGTATCGCTTCGCTGAAATTGGAATTGGTGGAACGGGTTTAGATTGTTATTTTGGGTTTTTGGAGGGGTTGTTTTAAGCAGGTGGAGGGGCTGGTGATGCTTTTGTTGGTACTTTTGTTGTTTTGGTGTTTGGTGTTTGGTAAGCGAGACTGCTGTAAACGAGTCCCTAGATGGAACAGCTGCGAGAAAAAATTTCCACCGAATATCAAAATCATCGTGAATGCGATGGATTACAAGCTGAATTCAAGGAATCTATACGTCCTTTGATTTGAACAAAACCATTTGCATCTATACAAGAAGTCCCGCTTCATGGCCCAAGCGGCACTGGCTTCTCTTTTTGCTCCCTCGCTTCCTTCTCCTTGTCATAAGGCTCGTCCTCAACATAGACCTCATACTTATACCGACTGCCGGTATGATCACTTCTCAACTCCATCTGTCCAGCGCCGTACACTTTCTCTCTCGCCGTCAAAGGCACCGCATCCTCATCTGGAGCCCGCGGATACAAACCCCTCCTTCTGAGCTCGGGTACGAGCAGATCTACAACATCTTCAAACGTACCAGGAGTAGTCACATAGCCGAGATTAAACCCATCAACATCAGCTTCTCTCACCCATCTCTCCAACTCATCAGCAACCGTACTCGGCGATCCCACACCCACAGGCCCCAATCCACCAATCGACGCAATCTCCGCCACGACTTCGGGCGTCCACTCCGGCACATCCTTACTCGTCGTCGTAAACGCACTCAGCGCACTCGTAACCTTATGCGCCTCCTTCGAGTCCTCCTCCGTAATAGTCTTCCCCATCTCCAGCTTCGAGAAATCGATACCGGTCCACCCGCTGACGAGCACAAGCCCACCGATCGTGGATGCGTATTTCTTGTACGTGGCGAGCTTGGCGTGGGCTTCGGCGTCGGTGCGTCCGATAATGGGTGTGAATGTGCAGAAGAATTTGATGGATTTGGGGTCGCGGCCTTGGGAGGCGGCGAGGGAGCGGATTTTGGCGATTTTGGGGGCGAGGACTGAGGGGGAGTGCCCGGTGACGAAGATTGCTTCGGCGTGTTTGGAGGCGAATTCTGAGCCTGCTCTGAAGGGGAGGGAGATGTCAATAAGTGTCTCCAAGTTACGAGTCTCTCGCGGTACGCAGGTAGAATCGCAAGAGAGACTCACGCGGAAGTCCCCGCCTGGAACAAGAACGGCGTTCGTTGCGGCGATGGATCAACAATATGTCGGCTCTCCAAATCAAAGTACTTCCCGTGATGATGAATCGTCCTCACGAGATCTGGATCAATGTAGGCATCATTCTTCTTATCTTCTATGAGAGCCTCGCGGCTCCACGAGCCTTCCCAGAGTTTATACAGAACTCGGAGATATTCGTCTGCTTGGCGATAACGCTCGTCATGCTCGATGGGTGAGCTGATGCCGATGGCTTTGAATGCTGCTTTCTTCCAGGAGGTGACGATGTTCCTGAGGGTAATTAGATGGTGGTTTTGGTTTGTTTTAAGACACAGGAGGAACGTACCAGCCGATTCTTCCGTTTGTTAAGTGGTCGAGTGTTGAGAAGCGCTTAGCGAGGAGGAAAGGAGGTTCAAATGTCGTGCTGGCTGTAATTCCGAATGCTAGATTCTTCGTAACTGAAAACATATCAGTCGCTCTTCTTTTTGAAATGCTCTTTACTGTTATCTAGACTTACCTGCTGCCATAGCGCTGATCGGCTACATATCATCAGCGTCAAACTCATCAATTGAAGTGGGAACTCGTGACTTACAATTGTTGGATCAGTCATAGGCCACTGCGCAGCTCGACGAATACAGTTATCTAAACTGCCTTCGTATGTATCATAACCTCCATATGTATCAGCTAGGAAAAGAGCGTTGATGTTTCCACGCTCGAGAATTTTGGCAAGGTCGATCCAGTATTTCAGGTCACGTTTCGTTGCCGAGCGATCTTCTGGGTTCTACTCCGCTTGTAAGTCCAAAACCCAAATATTTTGTCTTATAGGAGATGTTACTTTTCTCATCGTGTTACAGAAAGAGAAATATGAGTACCTTCCATTGTCCAGGACTCAAATGGCCAACAGTCGACATGTCGAATGCGTTGAGCAGGATTTGCTTCTTTGGCCTACCATTTTGAGCTTCCGTTCCATTCTGATGTCCAATTTTCCCAACTTCAGGTGCCTTCGATGTCTTCGACTCATTGACGACTCCATCCTTAATTGGCGTCGTAGCCGGTGCTGAAGTCTGAAGTCTCTTCGGCTGTGGCGACGAAGCCGGATCTGACGAGCGAGTAGTTCGTTTCGGCATCTCGAGAATCCCTGCAGACTAAACAAAACAAACAAAAAATCAATCCTCCGAAATACAGTGCAGTATTTTTTCAGGAATAATAAAAGAGCTTATTTTATACTTCCTATCGTCTATGAATGTCGAACAATTCCAAGATGCCCATTTCCGCGCGATCTTGCTTACGATACCCGTAATTGCGTGCTCTTGGCGGATTATGAGCACCATCGAGATATCGCCTGGGCGTGTCGAAATGTCAACGTCTTTGCATAAGTGGGATATCAAAAACTGAATCAGGATTATTGATGTCGATCTTGGGGTGGATGCCCATATTTGAGACGAAAAAGTCAAATTTTGGCATAAATAGCCTGATGTCGCTGGTTTGGAAAGCTGCTGTCACTTGACAGTTCCCAGAGATATTTCTAGGTAATTAAAGATTCTATTCGGATTTTAATTTCTATTTGAGCACATTTTATCGAATAATGGCTACAGATGTGCTCAAGACCGAGGAGGTCTCAGCGAAAGTTGAGGTTCCTCAGTCGGGCTCGAATAGCACCCACAGCGATGCAGAAGCTGATCGAAGAGCGTTCCTGTCGACTTTTAGTCCGGAGGAGGATAAAGCCATCAGAAGAAAGGTCGACCATCGATTTCTGTTGTTGATAGTGTTGATGTACATTATCAAGAATGTAGGTCGCAAGAAGTGCTGGTTGGAGTGTCGCCAGCTAACGAAAGGGGTAGATCGACTACACGAACGCCGCTGCCGTGAAGGTACTGCAGGTTGGAAAACCTACGAATATTATGGCTCAATTGAAAATGACTGGAGATTAATATAATTGGGTGCAATCGATTTACTTCGTGAGTGTTGAGAACGCCGTTGCTACTACCTACTACTCCCCTTCCATCCCATGGCATATTCGTTTACAAGTATTCAAGACCTGTACTAACGTTAAATAGATCGCATACATCGTATTCGAAGTTCCCAGCAATCTTTTACTCAAGAGATTCTCACCCCGCAACTGGCAATTCCGAATCATGCTCTCATGGGGCATCGTTCTCGCCTGCCACGCCGCCGTGAAAGACAAACACGGTCTCTACACAGCTCGCTTCTTCCTCGGCATGATGGAAGCCGGCATGTTTCCCGGTCTTGCAGCACAGCTCTGCTCATGGTATCGAAGTGACGAGATGGGCAAACCCATCATGTGGATGTTCGGGTTGCAGAACTGCTCCGGCATCGTAGGATCCGTCCTCGCATATGGAATCTCCTATATGTATGGGCTTGGCGGCATGAGTGCCTGGCAATGGGTGTATCTTCTTGAGGGGATCATGACGATTCTGTTCTCGTTAGTGGTCTTTGCTGTGCTACCAGATTATCCGAAAAGTCCACGAAGCAACAAATGGTTGACGCCTCGAGAGCAAGAATACCTTGAAGTGCGACTTTCGGAGAATGCACCAAAGACAGAGGATGCCGCCTTCAGTCGCAAGGAGATCATCGCTTCTCTTCTCGACCCACGAACGTACTCATTCATGCTGTCTCAGATTCTACTGAATCTCGGAGGGTATGGCCTCAGCTGGCAACTTCCCAGCGTGACAACGAGTCTTGGTTTCGCAGGTCTGCCAAGAAACCAGTTGTTGAATATTCCACCTGCTGCTGCTTCGGTTCTTGCAATTATCTTTGCAGGCTGGTTTCTGAAGAGGGCTTTTATTACGAGACCGGCATTCGTGATGTGGATTTGTGGTGGGGCATTGGGCTTCTTCATTACGCTCGCCGCAACAAGAAATAAGTATGCAGTGTACATTGCCTGTGTATTTGGAACGATGTTTTATTCGGTGTACTTCATCCCTTTTTGGCCATGTAAGTATCCTAGAACTCACATATTTCTGAGCACTAGCTGACATTCGATTTTCTAGGGCGATCATCTACCCTGGCCGGGACAACAGGCACAGCATTCACACTCGCTTTCCAATCCTGCGTAGGACAAGTCGGTGGTGTAATCGGTCCACAACTTTTCCAGTCCAAGTATGCGCACAATGGGTACAAAGTACCTTTTGCGATATGCGCTAGTGCGATTGGTGCTGGTTGGCTCGCTAATGTGTGGACTTGGTGGTTGACGAGAAATGTTGAGTGGGATGTAAGGAGGATTCGGAGGCTTAGGATTAAGTCTGAGCGGAAGGGTGAGGTTTTTGCTGATGACGATGTCAAGGTCTTTGAGGAGAGAAAGGTATTTGGGCGGGGGTTTGTGAAGCGAGGCGGGGTGGTTGAGTAGTCGTGATTTATCAGTGGGTGTTGGGAGAAATAAGGATTTACGCATGCAATTAAAGCATGGAAAAAGTCAGTAGCTGCAGAGTAGCATGAAGGTTTAGACAAGTCTATATGTATAAATAATAAACATACCAAGCAGTGACAGGAAATCATGGACTGACGAGATTCAGAATTAACAGGTTTTTGATCACTCTATTATTGGATATCCCAATACCTCCATCTGCTTTTTGTCTCGAAAGATTATGTTCGCCATTCTTGAACTCATTTCACAACTTCTTCGGAGTAACCGAAACACTCTCCGCACTCTCATCCACACTCCTCTCACTTTGAATCTCCTCCTCACTCCCAGCAGCCAAGAATTTCCTCTCCTCCCTCCTCGACAATGGTCGGATAACCAACCAGGTAAACGCAATCAGCACAAAACTATTCGTCGCACAGAAAGCAAAACCCTTCAAGAACCTCGGAGCCTCCACAGTAGGAAACACCAGAATCCCAGTCCACGCCGTTGTGCTCTGAGCAAATAGATTCATGAAAACGATTATAACACTGCGTTGTGTGCTATCATGGCGAAGAATGTCATTTGCCCATCCATACAGGACGGAAGACATGGCCACTTGGGTATATGTGCTGTTGAAAGCGAACCATTTGGCCGCTTCAGGAACATCCCAAACGGCAAGGATAACCATGGCGGTGAAATGCCAAGTGTGCGCGAATGTGATAGCACCACTTGGTCCCCAAATCAAATCCGACGAGAAATTGACAAACAGCACGAAGAAGATTCCCAGCGCAGGAGCAGTTGTCCCAAGCTGAGTGACCTTTGGCGTTGAAAATCGTTTTAGTGATTTCAACCACAGGAGATATCCACCATAGGAAGTTGAGCCCGAGTTCCAGAATAATACAGCCCAGAAGGTCAGTACGTAAACTTTCCAGTCTGTGAAGATCTCTTTGAGCAGTTGGAGTCGAGTTTTCTTGATACGCTCGTCAACGTCGGCTTTGGTTTTTTGAAGGCGGGATATCGCAAGGGAGAGTTCTCGCTCGGAGAGGAACAGTTTATTGGGTTTAGCGGGGGTACCGGGCCAGATGAAAACGCCGGCTATGGCGACGGGAAAGGTCATTAATGCGGAAATGATAAACATCCATCTGGAGGTAGAGTTAGAAACAGCTCGTGAGACATGAATAGGGATGATGTTTTACCTCCATCCTGCGAGACCGCGGACTCCTTCGAGATTCTTAGTCGCACCACTCTGGATCATGCCAGCTGTGAGCGTTCCCAGCATTTGCCCGACGTAGAATACACCGCCTCGACGGCCCAACTCATCGCCTCGGTACCAGGCCCCGAGGACGTAGTGAACACCAGGGAAGAATGCAGCCTTCAGTTGAGCAAGTCAGTGTCAGAATCACAATAAGTAGGCAAAGGGTAAAGGCTGTATTTACCTCGAAGATACCAACAAAGAAACGATAAGCCATCAACTCTCCGAATCCTTGGGTACGATATTGCAACAACGTGAAAATTCCCCATCCGAGTTCCAGGGCAGGGATCGTCCAGTTCATGGGAAACATCGGAAAGAGAAAGGTGAAGGGAAGCTGGCCGATAACTGCTCCTGCGACATACATGGATTGCAGGTTGACGAGTTGATTTTTGTGGAAGCCGAGATCTTCTTGCATTCCGGAAACGTAGGCATTGTCTATGTTCACTTAGCAATTGTTGAAACGACGATCGGGGACATATGCGGAAGAGGCATCGTTCTTACTCAGGTTGGATTGATCGATGTATTTGATCCAATAAGCAACAACGGCATACGGCACGATGAGCAGATCAAGCTTTTGAATAAGCCTTCTCTCCTCTGGGCTGTCGTCTTTGGCGTACCAGTGCCATGGCGCACGACCTTGACGTTGTGCGTGCATCGTGAGGCAAGCTGAGAATGTTGCAGAGAGAAATGCGGACTAAATTTCCATGTGTAAAGTGGGATACAGCTTGATGTATAAGTAGGAAGTCTGAAATGAATTTGATAGACCTGAACCACGAGTAATCGGGCCTGCGTCTGGGCACCGCAGTATTCTCGAGAACCTCACCAAGAATCCCGCCTTCTCGTCGCGTGGCAATGAATCCGAAGTCAAGATCCTTATGATTCTTGACATTCCATAATTCTGATAGGGCGGACCCAGCAGAGAAGGTTGAAGTGGAGTCAGAAGCGGCCCGTGGTTTAGCTACTCGTGCTTCAGATCCAGTGTTGCACCATCGGTTCTCCGCAAAAACGCATGTTATCCGCATACTAACAAACTGATAAAGAAGACTTGCCTACATACGAGCGGTATTTGACGGGCAACTTGAACTTGTGGACCCCGACTGAATGGTTGTTGGGATGTTGGCCAATGTTTTGGGGATGTTTTCCGATGACGAATCTTAGCGAGTATTGACGAACGTTTTCTTTCAACACGTCTTGGCGTTGAAGTCTCGTCTCGCAAGAATGGGGGCTCAAGCTTTTGATTGTCCGTTATTGATGAATGTTAATTCAATTTGCCTTGTTTACTTACTTCGAGGTGTAGTCTCCGATGAAAATACGTTATTCTTCCTATTTACCTCCATTAGGGGGTTATGCACGTGACATCCGATTGGAACCTGAGGTTTCAAGGTCGAAGGCTGCACATCTCAGTACTGGGAGGATTTATGACAAGAATCTCTCATAGACAGACTCGATGTTCATCTGAAGGCGCTTTAACCTTCTGTGGAAATGATGTCACGTGTATCGATCCCAAACTTCCACATACCTAGGTACGTCTTTGCAGCACTTACCTGTAAGCTTTCTCTCAACTCAAAGGATCAGAAGTTTCGTATAATTAGAATCGTGAAGGTTTAAGGTGTACGTCGATACATCATCTGGTGTCTTCCGGGTACCTGCAGCTAGCGTTTGAATTTCCTTTGATGTCCCACCAGGGTCGAAAGGTATCAAAAGAGTACAGATTTCGAATGGAAAGTTCATGGGTATTACGGTGACTTTGATAGCTACCCGTTTCTTTTCGATCCCCAACCTGCTTCTCTGGAAGGCATTGGAGATCTTTCATCCGAAATTATCCCTTATGTCCGAGGAATCAGAGTCTTGGAATTTACCATCCGTGATCGTATGACTAGAGAATCCATCAGGTTTAGAACAAGTACATGCTGCCTATTGGAATTTTTGTTCCGTAATTATTGTCAATTCAAAGGTACCCAGATAATCTCCTGCCAGTTTCCGTTGGATAGGGAGAGCATAGAAGAGAGCAAAGGTGACATCTACCTCGTCGGCACGGACACAGTGGCTGGCTGAAATGCAGAATGTACCGTTCTTGACGTAGAAATTGAAGAGGAGCGGGACCAGAGAAACAAGAATATTCGCATTTATGAACTGAAAGGTCTTCTAGAATACTTTTTCTGATTTTTTTGAGTGTCTTTCTTCCTCACCAACCGCATCAATGGTCAACATCGAGCTCCATGTGCCGTCCAACATAAGTTTCAACACACCTTTGTTGAGCCACGTTTGGTGTGAATCGGAGATGATACACCTTCTCAGGACGGGGATACCAATAGTACCTTCTTTGTAAAGATGCATCTGCTGAATGTTCCGAATTCCACAACAATCACTGTAATGCCAGCAACTCTTACTCCTATCACCAAAAATACCTATCATGAGCTTGGATATCAATACCAGGATCACTACTAAGAAGAACCGGTCAAGGACAAAGAATCTGTTTCGTGACTAACTGGCCGTACACAAGAAGCTGGAGTGGCGGCGGATATTAGTACGAAGGGAACGAAAGAGAGGCGCAACTTCGTCTCACGTAATCTGGATATGAATGCCAGCAAGTTGAGAACCGCTGCTCATGACAGCGATGCCTGGGAAATGATTTGAAACGACGAGAAGATCTCGTGGTGGACTAAGAATTTGTCTTTGTTGGTATGAATCATCTTTGAAGTCGTCGCTGGCCTACTGTGCGGATAATCGCGCATAGTCTGCCAGATATGGAAGTGTTCGTCTTTTAAGTTCCATTTACTACACACTACCTACAGACCGCAGAGGTGAACTTCGTGGTACTCTGTCCGCAATGACTTCTCAACGTTATCCTTGGTTTCGTCCACTTGATACGAAGTCTCAGAGCTCAAGCAATTCGGAGGCGGTTCAAGAGTTCCATAATTTCCTTGAACGATGCCGTATTCACCTTGATTTTTCTCTTCTAACCATATCATACCTAGGTAACGTCCAAACCAAATATGAGGTATCTATGTGCATAATTTCAGTGAATAGCTTGTTTTACCTCAGCAGCCTGAAAACGATGAGCTAAACTCGCCTTCTCCTTGCCATCTTACGCACGGACGCCTTTCCACCTCCATAGTCTTCTTCTTGAGGCGATACTCCAGATTGAAAGTCATCCTTGAAGCTTGAACTCGAGCTTCTCCTTCGATCCCAGTCCACCAAATCTCCTGACACAAGATGGAGGTCACCCTAGAGACTGAGAGCCGTAAGATCGACGGCGTACCTCACAGCGCACTCCGCTTCGAGTACGGCGACCCGAATGCTTTCCTCGAGATCAGCTTCCACCGTACAGTTCGTGTCCCAGACAATGGATCCTCCTATGGACTTCCACCAGACCACAGTCCTTTTCCGCTGTACTCTGTTCGCAAGTTCGAGAAGACCCTTCCTGCGGATGTCGTTGCCAAAGGCGGCTGCTTCCTTCCAATCTACCGTAGGTTTTCGTACCCCTTTCACTCGTTAGCGCTCTACTGACACAACGTTAGAAAGAGAAGCTATGTGGATGTATTTCGAAGCATCGCATCCCTTCGCAGTCATGGTCTACGTAGGTGGTATCAATGCTGTTTCAGGAGAGCCAGTCAAAGAGAACATAGGAACAATCATCCGCCAAAAGACGAAGTTGTCTCAAGGAAAGTCAATCCAAGACTACGTCGTAGCAGGACCTCAAAGATGGCTTGACGGAGTTGCAACACATGATGGCTCTGTCAGACAGTTTGTTGCCACTCCAATGGGCTCCGGGTACTCAGTTGAAGCGCAGATGACAGGAACAGAGTCTTTTGCTGGATTGCAACTTGAGGTTGTCCCGTTAAAGAATCACGGCCACAGTCGAATCAAGATCAAGGTGGTTGGCTCGACAGACTTGGCACCTGGCAGCTTTGTCTATTACATCCTCAAGCCATCGACCCCGCTCAGCAAAGTCATGAGATCTTATTGCCAGACTGAGCAGAAGGCTTATGAACGTGTGAGATTCTTGTATGATAGATCTAGCATTCGAGAAGGTAAGATTCTTGGTGTATGACATGTCGATTCGCTGACTAACTTCATGTAGAGGATACTTGTGAATCTTTGGAGATGCCGAGTGTAAGTTGGACTCTCTGGGCTCGTCAAGAACCACAATATCTCTACTTCTCCAAGCGTTTGACTGATACTGTACCAGGGTGATGTCATCGAGGCTCTTCCCGTTCAAATAGGAGGAGGCTATTCCAATAGCTGTGGAGCTGGAGCACGAGGATACCCAAAAGAGCGCAACCCCGTAACGACAATGAGTATCGCAGCTGGAGGACTTATCAAACAATCAATCGCTGAGGATATCTTTCCAGCCGAAGATTGGGATACCGAGAACAGCATCATTGCCAATGTCCAGCTCATCAATTCAGCAGTCTTCGAAAGCTTCACCGGCCTGAAGCCACCGCCAACTCCAATCACAGCTGCTACATATGCCAAGACTGGATTTCCATACTTCTCCATTTATGAAGAACCCACAGGCATTCATGGAAAATTTGAAGGTCTAAAGAGCGTTGGAGAACTGGATAAGGAGAACCGGTTTCAGATCGCACTCCACAAGCAGGAAGATAAGATTTTAACTAGAATAGTACCGGTCTCCAAAGACTACCAGACGTTCATTCCTGTTTCCAGAAGAGTTGAGAAGTTGAAGAAAGTTCGGGTGGCAACCGATCTTTGATTCTCAAATACATTCTTCAAAGAGCTTCCACAATCATGGGTTCTGGCGGCTTGAAAGGGACCTTGGACAAAGGGCTAGTGTGGACTACAAAAGTTCTACAGGGCTGATTTGCGAAATGATTCTATACTTAGCTCTGTGGTTCTTGCTCTTTCCATTCATTCAACTAGGCGATGTTGTTAGGATTTCAAATTGAAGAGGACTTCTCTCTGCTCTGGCTGATCATTTAGTCTTGAACAATCCCAACTTAGAAGCAGTTACTATTCGTTGCTTTGTGAATGTAGAAGTCTCCATTCTCTATGTGCTTAAGACTTTAAGAGCTTCTCCGACCACTTTCTTCAGGCTCCGGAATATGCTGGGCCAAGTCTTTTCCACCGATCTCACACGAGCAATTCATTCGAAGCAGCTAATACGATCTGAACAAAGAAAGAACGTTTGAATTATCAACTGCCTATTCAAGCTATGAAATAAACTTCTTTTAGCAAGGAGAAGTGACGTTACTCGCTTACCATCTACAAAAGCTTCGGTACAGTGCCAGGCCTGCTTCATCTTCTTTCCTCCACCGCAACTCACGCAAAACTCGTCTTCACTGCACCACAATCTATCACAAAACACTTCTTAATTGACTAAAAGCTAGGCCAATGCTTCCGCCAGCATCGGCAGTCAACATCTCACAGATCATACAAGTCGCTGGTCTTACGCTGACCTCACCTCGGATTTTCTACAATACGATCTCCTGTTCACCTTACCTCCAAGACTACCGAACACCAATTAACCTTTGGGTATTTAGAAATCGTCAATATGGTTGCAGTTAGGCTGAGCGAGGAGCTCAAAGTCTCACTCCATGAGCCCATGGTCTCCTCAACTAGTCACAAAGTCATTCGAGTCACGTACGGCTACACCGACAAGCTCGAAATCACGCTCCACCGTACTATTCGGGTTCCAGACAATGATTTATCTTATGATCTTCCACCTGACTGCGGTGTCTTCCCTCTTTACTCTGTCAAGGAGTACAAGGATTTGCTTCCGAAGACCATGACTGCGAAGGGAGGATTATTCGTTCCGATTTATGGTTGGTAACCACATTTCAGTTTGCATCCTACTTACATCTGGACTTTTGAGAAAGGTGACTTACAAACCGATTTTAGAGCGTGAGGCAATGTGGATCAACTTTCGCTCCCGCAGACCCTTTGCTATCAAGATATACGCAGGCGGAGTCAACGTTGTATCTGGAGAACCCCAATTAGAGGGTCTCGCAACATTGCTGCGTCGCAAAATGCAGATTTCAGAAGGAAAATCAGTGCAAGATTATATCATATCCGGTGACAGTATGTATCGTCAGCGGTGGATTGACGGAATTGCATCCCATGACGGCAAGGTTATGCAGTTCGTTGCCACTCCAGTTGGCTCGGGTTATTCGGTTGAAGCTCAGGTCACTGGCAAAGATTCTACTGCCGGTCTACAATTCGAGATTATGCCTACCCGCCGTAAGCTGAATGTCCTCTATGTCAAAACCCTCACTGGCTCCACATTCGCCTTCGAGAATGTGGAGCTGTCCATTACAGTGGAAGCCTTGAAGTCTATGATTCAAAATAAGGAAGGGTTACTGACAGATCAATTTCGACTTATTTTCCGTGGCAAACAGCTTGGAGACAGTGAGTGGTTTTCGCAGTCAGATGAAACTGCTTAATCGCTAACAGTTTCCAGCAAATCGATCTCTTCTCAGCTATGGTATTCATTCGGTAAGTGTTGTTGGCAATACCGATGGATGAGATCGTTGACAACTTAGGATGCCACCTTACACCTGGTCTGTCTCCTTCGAGGTGGTGGCTCCATCGAAGACCAACCATCCCCACCTGTTATGTCACCGCAACTGCAGAAGAAGAAAACCGAGGAGTGTACTAGCATACCCAGGCCGAAGGACACATGCATCAAGGAGGCTGAGATGGCAATTGCGCCGGGCGGATTGGTCAAACAAACCATTGTCAAGGATCCTGTAGCAGCAGACGATTGGGACCAGAACAACATCATCATGTTCAACGTCCAGCTCCTCAACGCTTCCACATTTGAAGCCATCCTTGGGATTAAGGCACCCGAAACACCCGTCACTCCAGAGTTGTACAACAAGTATGGCTACCCTTTCTTCAAATAATATGAGAGGCTCAGTGGTATCAAGGGCAACTTCACCAAGATCAAAAGTGTCTCTAAGTTGGACAAGAAGAGAGGCAAGAAGCGCAAGTATCCGGGTGACGAGGTCGTTGAGTTTCCAATCGTAGAGCTCAACACTATTGATCAGCAACGACCATTCCTTCCTGTCTCCGAGATGGTAAGCCTCTTAAGTAGCTTCAATGTTGCGCAGGATATTTGAATCACTAGCATACTGGTCTACATCTGGCATACAAAACATAGGACGGACTGCGGATTGTTAATTGAATTGGGTTTTAATTGGGGCGAGTTGCCGATACTTCACATACACACCATCTTTGGTATGGGCCAAGATGCGATGATAGAGATACAGAGAAATAAATCCAATTACTGGGCGCATTGCCAATACTTCCAATTGCTAATCACAAAGCAGAGGAAGAATATGCTGCCCATCCCAAGTACGCAAGCCTCGACTTCAGACATGAAGAAAGTTTACTGAAGCCTCCCACTAACCGCATCTAACAACCATCGAACTCGAGTTATACGACCACAGCATCAGAACAAGCGCAACGACCGCAACAAACATAAAAGCCGTCGACATGAGTTTCTCCGTCTTCAACTCTTCCTCTAGCCCTCGCACCTTCTTTTTCATACTTTGCTCGCTTCTCTCCTGAGCATCGTACTGCTTCCACGCGATTTCACGGCATCTCTCAGATAGTTCTTCCTTCTGATCCCTATAATCAATGGCAGTCTCGAGCAAGTCCATAATCAGCTGCGAAGACATATCCAATGCAGCTCTCTGGGAACTCAAGAGGTGCAGCGATTGATGGTAAGTCATCACGTATGCTGGGACTCGAGCCATTGAGGCGGTAACATTGGGTGTGTTGGTGGTTTGTTCAATTTTTCTCTTTTTCTTCGATGGAGAGTGATCATCAGAGGCAGTCGGAGGTGATCTTGGTTGTTTTGTGTGCGAGTCGGCAGTTCGTGGGGGTTGGGATGATAGAACGAGATCGCGTATCATCTCTGCTCTCTTTTCCATTGTTAGAGTTCTCATGTTGTCTGTTGTAGCTTTAAGTTTGCTGCAAGATTTGAACAATTGCTTAATTTTATTTGTGAAAGAGAACGAAGAGAAATGTTGGAAGGAAATTGGGTTTTGATTAAGTACCACTTGTGTGTCTTTCTGGACTGAAATAAAAATAAAGTGTGGGTCATTTAAATGGGAGGCCTACTAACTAATTGCCAGCTAGTGTCCAGTATAAAAAGTAGGACCAGAGTTAGCTCCTTCAGGTAGACATTTTTGAAGCGAACAGATCATGTGACAGCTGAGTCTTTGACTTCGTTCAAAAAGCGTCAATATTATTATTACTATACTACTGAGCCGTTACTAAGTTCTATTGCTTATGGATGATGTGAGAGAAGTTGCATGGCCAGCATTCTGAAAACTCCGTCAAAACCAGACAACCAAGCCGCCAGAATTCCAGCTGCGAGAAAAAAGACAACGAGAATTGTGAGAAACATTCCCATGTTGTATAGACATGTCTGTCTGTCAGGAGAAGATACCTCGGCACTCAACTGCTCAAACTTCCGTTGCCATTGGTTCTTCTCCGTCTCTACAGCCTGATTTATGTCTTTCTGCTCCTCAAGTTCTTTAGAAAGCGTTTCGTTCATCGCTATAGCATTCAGACGAGCCTGACGCTTAGATCGAGACTCATTCTCCTTAGACTTCTTGTCGGACTTTGCCAAAAGCTCTTCAATTTCCTGCTCCATGGCTTTGTTTCGACTGGTGGCAGCATCAAGAGCTTTTGACGTCTCATCTAGTCTGGTAATCAGTTTGTGGACGTTCGTCCTGATTTCCTGTGTCCTCAAATTATCTCTCTTGCTCTCTTCTCTAGCTGCTCGCATAGTTGTTTCCAGCGCTGAGGCAATGTCCTTGAGTTCATTTGTCAATTTTGCATTTTCATCCATGAGCTTTTCGACCTGGAGAATAGCTCCGTCGTGTTGAGTCTTTTCGGTGTTGAGACGCCTTTGGAGTTCATGGATCGTGGTTTGTCTCTGGATAAGCTCGGCACTCAACATACTGCAGGTCTGCATAGCACCCTCAAGGTTTTTAGTTGCCTCACTGCGTGAGATCTGCAGTATGTGATTCACTGCATCTCCAGCTTCAGCTTGCAGGTTTAAGTACCTGACTCTCTCTTGTAGATCAGTGTTTGCACCGCTTAGACTGTCGATTTTCTCTTCTTGCTGGTGGTTGGTCTCCCCTTGTTCCATGATGACTGCATCCTTTCGACGGAGAAGGTCTATCAATTTTTCGTTCTCGGTCGATAGCTCTTGAAGCTGCTCTGTCTTCTGCCGATCAGAATTGGATAAAGTGTCGATGACGGTGTCTTTTCCAGCGACAGAGCTCTCGAGCTTTTCCTTCTCGACTGATAGTTCTTTAATTTGGTCTTTCATAGAACCATTGTCAACCTCCAAAACCTCTTTGCGGGCGATGAGTTGTTGATTAGATATCCTCAATTGTTCGTTTTCGGCCATCTGGGCTGCCATTCCAGAGTTCGAGACTTCGAGCTGTTCACGAAGGTGATGGTTGTCCCGCTGAACTTCATGTAGCTGACAATCTCGTCTATTAAGCTCATTGGCGTAATGATAATTGATTGAAGAATCCGACAGGGTGTTGAGTGCCATCGGGTGGCAGTATGGCTGCTGATATTGCATGGCGTGTTGTTGATAACTCGCGCAATGCTGCTGCTGCTGGTTGGGAAAGCCATAGAAACCGTGACTCCTCACCATGGCTGGCGCAACAAGTACGTTGGACCCCAAACCCGCCACAGAAAAGCCGCTATTATCTTGTGATTGTTCGAAAACGCTTTGACGTCTCACTGATCTTGAGGCTTCATATATCTCCATTCCTCCATTGACGACCAGAGGCTCTGTTGGGAAGGCCGCCTCATTTGCATGTTCATCTTCAAGGCTTGGAGCTTGGTTCGTAGCATCGCCGTCACCGATATGTCCTAAATGCTCCAAAGCTTGGTCGGTAGAGCCTCTCTCATTCGTAGAACTTGATTGAGGAAGAAAAGATTTGACTTCGTCAGGTTGGCCCGCTGATAGCGGGGGGGAATCCGGCAGAGGCTGCAGAATGTTAATTTTATTGACGCTCCATTATTGAAGCATAACGAAATCTTACCGGATAACCAGTTGAAGTAGTCATATCTATTTCTCCAGATCAAAGAGGTTCTTAAGATGTTACGGTTGCGACTCGAAGTGCTTCTCCTTCCTTGGGTGTCTTGGTCAGAGCATTTCGACGTAGATCCTTCTCTCTATTTCCACCAAAATTGTGCTGATGCTGATAAGTGATGGTTGGAAAAATGATATTCGAGAAACATTGTGAGTGCCGCTAGAATAACGGCACCGGCGACGCCCTAGTTTGGTGCGCCAAAACTTGATGTTGGGATGACATAGGTGCCACGCACAAATCAGCTATTTTGACGATGCTTGGCGAGGTTGAGAGCATGGGGCAAATGAAATGTACCTCCAAATACATCAAATATTACTATTCACAGAGCACAAATCTATGTTTATGTGAAATTGAGGGGTCATTTTCCTATTTTCAAGACATCAAGGCGCAGAGCTGTTAATTAATGGTGCCCTGAGGTCACCTTACCCGCGCAAGGACTTCACGCATCAGAATTATAAATCTCGACAATGGAAACGAAAAACATTTTTATAGGAGAGCAAGTTTCAATAAGATCTAATGTTCTAAATGCGCATGAGGCTACGAACCATTTATATCCTGAACTTCTTTGTTGCCTTTCAAGTGATCAAGCAGTCCTTTGTTGTGTGGGAGCCTAAGACCTCGCTAAAATTAGTCAATAAAGAGCCGGCTTTCCAGCGCCTGCGAGCATCAGAACTTATTACAAGATTGATAAGATGCTTGCGATTAAATAACAAGATTGCTTTCTTGAGTCGCTTCCCCAAGAAGATCCCCGCAGGAGAATCTGCCCTTTCAGGGGCCACATCCTACTGCACTGGCTGGCTGGGTGCTACGTCGTGCTCCCGCTCCGCTGCTTAGAGATTCGCACTCTATCGGCGTCGGTGTTATGGGCCGATTTTGGCGATCCCGTAACCTGAAAGAACCACAGAAACCTCGTTCTTTCTCTAACACAACTGAATCAAAACTTGACAGAAGTGAAGAATAGCTATGTTTGAGTGTACTCTAAAGACGATCTCTTATTTAGACAATTGTGTGTTGTTCAAATAACTTCTTAAGACATTCGTTTTAGTGTTCCAGACGTGCCTCAAACAGCCACTTAATACCAACGCCGATAAGCACTGTATTTCCAGGCGACCTCCGCTAACTTCGTAACGAAGGACGTACGCACCCTACAACTCATGCTTTCAGCGTCCACATGTACACAAGGGAGAGCATCATATCACTCTTCAACTTCGAGATTGCAATATAAATATTAATTTCTACGGGTCCATTTTTTTTGGTCTGTTATGCCTTTTCTAATTACAAAAATCAAACAACTGAAACAAAAACAAATCATCAGAAAGTACTCGTCGGTGACAATCCCAAAGACTGAAATCCTGGGGCGAGGGCGCTGTCGGCGACCAAGTCATCGCCAAAATGCGATATCTTAGACATCTGCAAGCGAGTACATTCCCAGAGGAAGTCAGGAAAGATATCCAGTCTTCGAATCGACCCAACAGAAGATATGTGGACAGCAATATTAGTCACCCTTTCTCCTCCATCCCACGCCGAGTTCGCACTCGAGGAGGGCGCGGCGCTCTACTCGCTGATCTCCTTTACCTCCAGCTCTTGCTTCTCATCCTTCCCGCCCTTCTTGCCTCCTCTACTTGCCCTGAGAGTTTTGACCTGATTGCTCAGATTTTTATTCTTCCTCTCCAGATCCTTCTTCTTGGCCTCAAACTTCTTTCTCTCTGAAGTCAATTCAGACTTAATATTCTGATGCTTCTGTTTGAGGTCATTGTGGTCCGTCCGGGTATCGCTGTACCTGCGTTGCAACTCCTTATATTGCTTAGAGTCTGTTACCGACTTCTCGACTTCAGCTTTTGTTTGTTCGAGAGTGGTTTCGAGGGAAGCGATCAAGGCGGTGGCGGTGTCGAGCTCTTTTTGAAGTTGAAGTGTTCGAGAGGAGGAGAGTTCGACTTCATCTCGGAGGGAAGAGATGGTGGTTTTCTGCTCATTTGTTGTCGACTCGAGGTCTTCGATCTTCTTCTCGAGCGCTTGTTCCTTTTCATGATAGGCTTTGGCCAGGTTCTCATTATCCTCCTGGAGTTGCTTGGCTGCTACACGTTCGCCATCAAGCTGACCTTTCAGATCATTGTTCTGGCTTTGGGTTTCAGTGACATGAGAGCTCAAAGCTTGATTTTGACCTTCAAGTTCAGCGATCCTGTCGTTCAGCTTTCTTTGTTCGGCCGCGTTGGTGTTCTGCTGTTTGGCTAGGCGTGATTGGTTCTGTCTGCCGATTCTGGCTCTCGCCTCCATGTCAGCGGCGACACTTCTTTCCTGCTGTTGTCTCATGGATTCATTCTCGTCTCTCAACTGTTGGACTTCGTCTTCGAGCTGGTGAATTCGCCTGCGATATTTCTCGTTCTCGACGACGAGAGTAGCGTTTTGAGCAACGGCATCGAAGATTTCTTTACGCTGCCATGGCTTGTTTGGGTTCACTATGTCGCCGGCAACCTGGGATGTATTAGTCTTTCCATTGGATTATTTCTTTCTACAGTAAGATAGAAGGATTCCTGGGAAGGTGAGGGGGTGAAGGGATGTGTACTTACAGAATTCTGAAGAACGGTGGTCTGGAGCTGTGCATGCCGAACCTGGTCATCCTTATCTTTCACGATCTTTGTCGTCTCGGCTATAGCCCTTTCCGCATACTTCTCCCATTCATCGTGGAGCTTAAACAAGGCAGCATTGTCCATGTCCTGCTCATTGAGCTTTTTAAGCAGATGAGCGAGACGGAAGAGATTGTCGCCGGTGAGATTAGCAGCGAGTTTATTAACTATGCCATGCAATTCCTTGAAGTTGGTTGGCTCCTTCAAAACATCGAAACGAGCATCGGCTGGGAGGGACATCCGTCTCGGCATGGGGATGGGGCCTTTGAGTGGGGTTGAGGGCTTGGTTGGTGCTTTTAGGGGTGGGAGGAGGACAGTGGAGCCTTTTTCGGCGCCACAGATTGCGCGAGTGGCATTGGGGAGCTTGTCGAGAGTGGTTCTATCCATTGGTGTTGCGCGCTCGGCTGGGGTTGGGATATAGTGGGCGGATGGACCCGTGTGGAAGGAAGGTGGACAGCTATCAGATCGGGTTCTGGTCATGGTGAGAATAGATCTTCGAGCATGATAGATATAGGTGTTTTCCTGTTCTCGTTGAATGAAGAATCGACCCAAGTCATTGGAGTTCTTCATGACATGGTCAGGAACCACCATGCTGCGCAGCGTAGTCTCCATCTGTCTGGAGGATGCCGTAGTGGTTTGGGTGAGTTGAATATGATATACTGTTGGCTTTGAGGTCTCTTGAGTATGTGGATGGAAAGAGGATATAAGACTCATGAAAGAGTGCGAGAACTGTGATATTCGAATTTTGGGTGAAGAAGAAAAAGAAACCCATCAGTGGGAAACAGCCCCAAGGATATACTCATCTTGCAGTCCAAATTACAATTCCACTACGCGGTCCAAGTAGTAAAGCGAGGGACCTATTCTTGCCATAATTGTGGTATGTTTGCTGCAGAACACAGGTCTAGTGAGTCGGTCCCAGAGTTTAGACTCTATAGCGTGGTTCGCTTAAGTGTTTGTTACTGGTATTAGCTACCTATAGGCATATAACCCGCCCAGCTTGGGGGTTTGGCCTACAGACTAGAATGACTAGTGACGACTTCTGGAATAAATTGAAGAACACTAAGAATTAATGATGGTTTTGGTAGTGTTAGTAGTATTAGTATGGCATGTGTAAGGGGCGAGACCGAAGATAGGTACCAGTATGTCGGGTCTCGTCCAGCGGTCGGCACGTGATATATGTCTTGTCACTCACTTGAGAACGGACAGTTCATACGTCCACCAAATGCAATGCTTCCAAGGACTACTTGGTGCACTGTCCAACCGCTGAGATTTTCGAGCACTCTGGATATTCGATTAAAATGGCAGGCATCATTCGGTTGGGGCAGCAGGAGAGCGTTGAGCAGAGGAAATATAATCAGGTAAGTCCAAATGCTCATTCATCTCGGTACAAGTTCGAAAACATTTCATATTTAAGTCTGAATTTGATTGGTATGGTCTAGAATTTATGTTCACAAGAATCAAACAAGTCTTTTGCTCTTTCTTTTCCTTGATCTCGCATTACGTCGCATCATTTTGGTATCGTCCAGCCCATCACTCCTCTATCACTTCAATAACAGTGCAACCAATCTATCCTGATCGCAATCCTCTCCCAACGCGCTCGCTCAACAAAACAATAAACATAAAAGCAGAACTCGCTATGATGATAACCATTCTATCGTCCACCAATCTGGTTCTTAGGAACTGGTCTAATCCATCCCACCGCCAAATTAACGCCAATCGAAATTGACCCAATAATCCAGATAACCTTCGCATAATCTTTTCCATGGTAGCGGAAGATAATTGCAAAAATGATACCGCCGAAATTGCCCGTCGCGCCAATTATACCACTCAGGATACCATTAGCAAACGGATGTACATGTGGAACAACCGCGAAGTTGGCACCGTTCGCAGCATCCATAAATACAGCAAGACCGGCGACGAGACCGAACATGGTGGATTCATGGTGAGGGTTGAGGAGGCCGATCGCGAGTTCGAAGCAGCCCATTGTGACACCGCAGAAGACAATCCACATCTTCTTTCCCCAGACGGAGCCAGTGTACTTGTAGATAATGTCGGCAACAACACCACCGAGGGGACGGAAGAATACGTTGAGGAGACCGAACATGGCTGCCCAGCGGCCGGAGCCTGTTTGGCCGAGATGGGGGAAGTTCTTGAGGTAGTAGGAGCCGATGATGGAGTTGATGGCAAGTTCACCGCCTGTGGAATGTTAGTCTGTGTCGAGTGCGCTGGTGTTTGAGAGAGAGGAGAACTTACCGAACGAGCATGCGTAGGGAGCGGCCAAGGCAAGTGTTTGAAGAGAGAAAACGACGGCGAGACCTTCTTTCAGGGTAGGAGCAACGACGACTTCGCCTTCAGCAGTATCGACAGCAGAGCGATTGATGACGGCTTCAGGATCAGCCTTTTCTTTGTCAGACTTGACAGTGGAATCGGCAGACTTTTCCATGATGGAGTTGTGAGATGAAGGAACGACGACAACGGCGTCGAGCATCTGATGTCTGTTCTCCCATTTTCCGGCTGGGCAATCTTCGCCTGTGAAAAGGATACCCATGGCGATAGCAGTGATGATAATGAACGGGACAATGAAAGCCACTCTCCATGCGACGTGAGGGGTGAGTCCACGATCCTTCACAAGCGAATCGAAGATAGCGGGCATAACGAAGTACGTAATTCCACCACCGGAGTTACCCCATCCGCCAGCCAAAGCGTTCGATGTACCGACGACATTCTTATCGAAGAACCCGGTAGACCAAACTTGACAAGGGACGAAAGAGGCACCAAGGACACCGATGAAGAAGCGGAGCACGATGATGCCGGTTGGAGAAGTCACGAGACCAGCCATGGCTGTGGGGAGTGCGCCTGCAAGCAAGCAGCCGACGAAAACATAGCGAGGACCAAATCGATCGCAGAGAGGACCGGCGATCAGACGGATGACAAGAGTACCAGTTAAACCCATGATATTGGAGTTGGCATATTCGTTCTGCGACATGTGGAGATCCTTGCGGATGGTGAGGGTGAGTAGCGGTGGGAAGGCATACCTGTTGATGTTAGACTTGATCTTGATCTTGTTATGGGGGAGGAAGGGGGAGTGCTGAAGCAAGGCAGTGAATAAAGAACGTACCATGAGAGGAAAGCCACGAGAAAGCCGGACCAGGAGAAGAAGAACGTGCGACCATATTTGTTGATTGGGTTGAGCACGGGGATCGATCGCGCCTTTCCATTCAAAGGGTTGACTTCAGGAGTCACCCAGAGATGGGAGATCTTGAAAGGCATTGTGAGTGTTTTCGTTGACACGACACAGGAGCGTGAGTGTCGATGTAACCCTCAAGATGCGAGGTGAGATAAGACTCAAACCTAAAGAGGTGAGGCTGAAGAAAATTGGCGAGTCCAGTCGGAAAATTCCCAGGTCCCGATGTGAAGCGAGTCGGGTCGGGACAGGCGAGGCGAGAGACTAGTTGACCGAGTTGAACTTGAGTTGCACGAAACAGAAAACCACAACGAGAGCAACCTTCCCATATATAGATCTACAATCGACAATCTTGAGTGCGGGGAGGTTCAGTATGGACGAAGACGATCATTCATCTCCTGGGAAACATTCGCATGAGCCAGCGCAATTCCTTATCTCTGCGCTGCGCAGTCGCTCTTGGACCGTGATATTTCCTTCTCCGTGGGCAATAATTGGGCTGGAACCTAGATTCTGGCTGCCCTATTGTTAAACTTCCGGGTCCTCCAGTGGAGTATCCACAGGGGATTCCCTGCAAGGGCCGAGTTCTAGCATGTGCGTCTCGGACCGGTACTCACTGGAGCAGCGCGGGATGACATGGCATTTGCTTGCTCCAGTATAAAGAGACGAGAATTCCCCGATCGAGTCCACGGAGATCTAGATATGCCGTGGATGGGGGAGAAGGTAAGGGACGTGATGTGGTGCTGAAAGGGACGTACAGCATGGATTTGGGTCTTTTGGATGGTCTCAGTGTCACTGCATAAACAGGAACTACCCGTACCCAGATCCTCGGATTAGAGATGTCGCCGTCGCAATAGGCTGACTACTGAAACAGCCTGAGGAATGTGCAGAGTACAGAGAGATAGGAGTTACTTGCTCCCGTACTCAACAGCAGAAAGGAGAGACAAATGCAACCCAGCCATCGCCCCACGGTCTCATTCCCACGCCCCGAGATAACGCTTGTTCGCTCAGTTGGCTATCCCGTGAGATAGCCCATGGCCAAGGACGGGAGGCTTACCTAGCCGTGCCTGCAAGACTTCCATTATCTGGGTCTGGTGGAAAGCCAGTAGTCTCGCCAGTGCAAGGGAGAGCGTGGGAAAAGAAGTCATACTTGGCGCTTGGCGACTGTTTATCTTGAAATGTCGTTGCGCGGAGAAAGAGCGGAGATGTCAATTTCGAAATCACGTGCGTCGATAAGAGATAGGGGATAGCTATGGTATTTAAATATGGAATGATTCCCGCGGATCTTTGGAATTCTGCGATAAGAAATTGGAATTTATGGGTAGGGCTGCAATTGGGAACTGATAAAGATACAGAGGTGTTGTGTACTCGACGGCCGAGGAGATGAAGTCCAGAGCCAGGAATGTTACTTGAGGATAAGGTCAAAATGCCATTCTTGGGCATCTCGTTAAATTATTTAGTGCAATTGAATTTCTAGAAGTAATTTTGGTTCATTTAATGGAAGCCCTGGCTTATTTGAGCCCTGGAAAGGCGATTAAGCACAAATTCACGTGACATCTTTTGAAACGTGATATTCAGGACATGCAAGACAGCACAACAAAGTGGATTTTTAAGCGAGTTCTTCAACCTCCTGCACAATAGAAAGAAACAAATTCCATGATGGTCTTTCATGCAAATCTTTAAGAAAAGCTGCTCTTATTATCAAAAGGTATTCAACTGTGCTAGCTCCTATCGTCGACATTTGATAGCAAGAAAGGAAGGTCTCTACTGAGCCAGGAGATATAATCTCATTGGATCGACTGACATATCTCCGCGGATTCAGCTCTACGCAACGTCTTATCATCCAGATAGGAAATTTTGTCTCCCAACTCCACTTCTATGCATCACCTTGGATTGAGATTTACCGAAAGGAATCTTGTACACGGCTACTTTAAGGTCTTGGGACAGTACTGCGCTTCAAGTATGAACTGAGAGAGAAGCAGATATGAGAAGAAATAGCTAGAATGAGAGTCGATGCAAATCATTGATGACCTTGATTGTTGATCCTCGCAGAGAGAAAATCGAAGAGAACTTTACATCAAGCGTGGAGAGAACTCAGATTTGAGTACTCCTCCGAGAAAAATTAGGACATCAGGAAATGGATCATATTATCAAACTATTTATCTTTCGTTCTAGTAGAACTGTAATGCTGTTGTCGATACAGATCCCAGTGGTGTCCGCTTGGCCGTCAGGACCCTCCACGCCACCCTTTCTAGTACGTATCACACAACCACCTTTCCTTGTCGTACAGTTCTCCGCGGATCTCTTGGAGAGGGATCTCCACGGCCTATGTTCATCGTCCGCGGGTCTATGGAAACTGGGCTGGCCTCACAACGCATCAAGTCGCAGTATCTCCTTTCCAGGCATTTCGATGTAATCACTGCACCTCAACTCAGTTCGATACCTCTACATGTGAAACCCATGAAGAATTTCTGAGATTTGCGACTCACCAGAGGAGCTCGGAAACAATGTTCAATTTAGCAATCGCCAGATCCAATAACCGAAGGAGCATGAATAGCCAAGCCAAAAATAAGCGAAAGGCCAACTTACTGTCACCATGAAGAGGATCTGGCCGTTCATTGGTGAGCCGATAAGACCTCTGTGAGTGAGCTTTACTTTGGTCTGGAATATTGTGTATGTACGAGGGATCAAATAGCACTGCGAAAAAGTTACAAGTCCGAAGACCCAGAAGGAGAGCAGGCGCAAGGTAGAAGCTGGAAGTATTGTTTGGTTGCAGAGGAAGGGTATGAAGAAGTAAAAGACCATGGTGGTCGACCATGATTCAAGTATGATCTTCTCGTTGTCCAGTTATTCTGGGCGGGGGAAGCCTCGAAGTGCTGTTGACAGGGAGACAGGGAAAGGAGCAGTCAGGCACACCCGAAGACCGAATGTAACTTATCATTCAGATATCCCACGACGAGCACGACTAAACATACCTACTTTGAACGATCCTTAGCCATAAAATATAAAGATACAGTTGTCGGAGAGTAGCTCTGCTACGTGGTTTTGTAGGAATAGGAAGACACTGAAAGCATTAGGAGAGCGACGAAGCCGAACATGGTGAAGAAAAATCTGAACGAGCCTTGAGCGAACGTTGGGAAACTACCAGTATGCGATGTTCAGGCTATGGAATAAGAGAATTCCATTGTATTTCGAATGAATAATGCTGATTTCCTCTGCTTGGTGATGCTAACCTGGAAACGCATCTGCGTGTTCTTCGTCGCAAAGGCGTCCGACTTTGTGAGAATTGCATCCCGGGTTTCTGATTTCCTCGAAATACATCTTTAAGAGAACCAACCAGAAGCTCATTTGGTGGATAATTGATTTATGGTAGAAAGAACTGATCTTGATAACGAGAGACAGAGCAGAATTTATGCATCGTTGATATCTTGCTGCCAGAATATGCAGAGAACTTGAAAAGGCCTAAAATTGAAAGGGAACACTCCCCTTCTCCACTGACTTCAGACGAATGTCATTCATGGACTGGTACGCCCTTGCCTTCAACATAGTGACGAAATTGGATGAGCTGATGTTCCATCCTTGCCCAGGTGAAGTTCCTTCAAGCCTGCAGCCGTTGGAGAGGCGAAACGTGACATGTGGGGCGGACCTTCCGCGGAACATCCGGACCGCGAACCTCGATCTACACCATGGAGATTTACGTCGATTACAGATCATCTTCATCAACTCTCGCATCGAATCAGAAATCTATTCAGAAAATCTTCAACATGAAGCACTCAGCATCGTCAGACCTTGAAAGTGGTCGTGAAAAGGCCTTTCGGCGCCAAGATCCAGTGTCTTGTCTCTTCTGTCGGAGAAAGAAGTTGAAGTGTGATCGAGGAGCGCCGTGCTCGAATTGTAAAGCGAGAAAGTTGACTTGTTCGTCGGCTGTTGGTGCGTTAATTCTCTTACGTGGATGCAGTGATATAGTACTGATAAAAGGGAATGGTAGATGGACATTCTATTCAGAGTCGAACATCGGCTGAACAACCGAACCTTGGAACAAGGTATGTTGACGTTGAGCCTTGTCTGGTGGGGTTCCATGGTGCTGATATGGAGGTGTGCAGCCAGAATATCGATGAATTGAATGCTCGGGTACGGAAACTCGAAGAGTTGTTGACGCGGAAAACGTCTCTGGAATCGTCGCCTACCAGCAAGCAATCTGAACCACTTCGTTGTCAGTCATTGTTTTCTTGGTCTTTCTCATTGCGAGACTACTTGGAGACTTTGATGTGTTGTCCTCTTTCGTCTACTGACAGAATGTCTAGCCTATACCAAGGATGACCTCCCTCTACACGACACTGGACTCACGAAAACTGTTTCCTGGGCAGAAACCGATGCATTGGAGCATACACCTTCAGGTGCAGATGTAAGTGTAGTAGAGCGCTTAATATATCCGCTATCTAACATTGCAGGATGTGTCAAAACTAGACGCAGAACTAATTGAGAGTTTTGGCTCTTTCATCTTCTCACTCACCAGACCCAGAATGGCTCCAGCATTCAACAACAACCTACCGGCGTTGTTACCGTCGCGGCGTCAGGGCGAGATTCTGTTGGAATACTATCTCAACCACGTAAATTGGATTTACCACCTCATACATAAGCCAACTGTCCGGAGGTTGTTCGATACTTTGTACACGAAGATCGACATGGGTGAGATGCCAGATTTTGGACACTTGTCCCTAATTGCCACAATATTTGCACTGAGTGCATATTTCTGTAGCCCCTCATCAGGCTTGTACTTCAAGTCTTCGGAAGCTATGAATTATTCACGTCGTTGGACGAAGTTGGCACAAGAAGCTCTATCCGCCGCCAATTGTCTGGCTCATCCTACTGTGGAAACACTCTCAGCGCTCATCCTCATTGCAGGACATATGATGGCTAACATTGGGGCCATCGCAACGCTACGAACACTTTCTGTGACAATCATGCATACTGCTAGAACAATGTCGCTGCATACCCTGGACACCTCCAGGAACAAGAAACTGCGAGAAGACACAACGGTGGACCATGTGGACTTGGAGGTCAAGCGAAGGTTATGGTGGCATATTGCCTCTACTGACTGGTAACTACAACTACAACTACACAAATCTCAAATTCTCTCACTAAATGATTCAGGATGCTCTCTTTCATGAGCGGCGCCCAGTGTGGCTCGTATATGATACATCCCAAACAAATGAATGTCGACTACCCCACCAACGTCGACGACGACTATATCACACCCCTAGGTCCCAGTTCCTACGCCGTCCCGTCCGAAAAACCAACCGAGATGACATTCTTCCTATTCCGCATTCGCTTCGCAACAGTTTTCCGGGAACTGGTCGACGCAGCCTGGGACACGGGCTCGGATATGGATAATCTCCCCTACGAAATCGTACTAGAATTTGACAAGAAGCTGAACGACCTTTCTGTTGATTTCGAAAAAGTATACTCGAGTGTTACCCAAAACATGTCGAACTTCGCCGAACGTGACCAAGGCCCTGGTGGCAAGCCAGAAGATTGGAAAACCTCACAGCTGCTTCGGCAGCGTAATATGGCGATGTTTGGAATGCACACACGATTTTCGCGACTCCATCGTCCTTACCTAGTCCGTGGCGCGCAAGATCCTCGCTACTCATACAGTCGGATGGTATGTCTGCGGTCTGCGCGCACAGTCATTGAACTCGGAAGAATGATAACAGCCTCCAATAAAGAGCTTTCCACCATCAAGTTCTGGGCCGTGAACCACCACATCTTCGTCTCGACTGTGATATTGGTGATGGATTACTGCTTTAACCGTGAAGAACCGAGAGCAAAGGAGAGGAAAGAAGAGATTTTAGAGTGCTTTAGATTATTGGAAGGCACGGCGGAGGAAAGTACCATTGCCTCGAGAGGGCTGATGAAGTTGACGAAGATGTTGTCGGAGAAGAGTGGCTCGCCACCTACACAGGGTACTGAAGCTTCGAGTCAGCAAACACCATCAGCAGATTCGATATCCGGCTCTCGCCAAGGGTTTCCTTCCGCTTCTATATCGGCCCCATCGACTCAACTCGACACGGGCGCCAATACTATGAGAACGAATGCGCCACTTCCTTCAGTGCAATCACAGTACGACGTAACGGACAAACCATCTGCATCATATCAGAACGCATCTTTCATGGACATGAGCGGGTACAATATCAGTAATACGAGCCAGCCAGTGTCCAATTTACCAGCTATCGGACTGCAGAATACTTGGTCGGATTACGAGTACTTGTCGTATGATAATATCAATTTCGACATCGATCTAGATGCGAGCCAGTTTGAGGCACTGTTTCAGGGTTTTGATTCTGCTGCCTATAGCTGAGTCATGGGATTTAATCGTAGGCCGTGACGGCTCAACACGGAAATGTCGCGTAGGTGAAATAAAGGCTTTGATATACAGGCTGAAAGAAATGTCGATAATATCTGCGGACTATAGTTCAGTCTCCACGCGAACAGCTACTCTAAAGTCACATTAGAATAGATTCGATACTGCTGAACCGAAAATCTTAGCTATGGGATGCACGGTTGATTATTGCACCGTTTCTGCAATTTAGATATTGGGATAGCTGATGGCTAGTGAAGAATTTATTAAAACACTCTGGTCACTTCTCGTCCGCTGAACACTCCTCGGACTCCGACTCAGATCATTCTGTCCCTATAGAATCACGATTTTGCCAAGGCTTTGGTGGCGACATCCGGAAAAAGATATGCTTCCGCGTCATTGCTGTAATAAGCGTTACGATGCGGAGCGACAGTATTGCATAAGAGGAATCGTTTCATAAAGTAGCAGTATGTCTCCCCTTGGTCACAGCTGTCCTGCCAGTGATCTAATCTCATTGCTCGTGAAGAGAAAGAGAGACGTTGACACGGATGCCACAGGCAGGAAATGACAAGTTTCATTCTCATAGGCGACGTCCGCTGCCCCTATACGGGAGTTATTCCAAGAAAATTGAGAGTTATGATCAGCCTCCGAACTGTCATCGTTAACCTACTTAAAAGAACGAAAATAGTTGCTTGGTTCTCCTGACACCTGCACAAAAGATCTCATACTGGAAGGAGAAAAGTCTCCTGCCACAGCGTGACTCCATAGGCTTTATGATTTCATGTCAAAAAACTTGAATATCTTTCTCTTCAGCTTTCGAAAACCAACTCCTCGATGATGGCAAAACTAGCATCCCTACCCTCCTGTAAGTGATCGTAACAACGTGAGCTTGATCGATAATAAATCTTTTCTCAAGCACCAGAGCTTGATCCACCGAATCGACGTGCTCTGCCTTGGTTTTGCCAATCAATATGCAGAAAAAGAGCTGTCTACAATGCTCAAAGTCGATAAGTCCTCCCCGAAACTTAAAGGTCTCTATTGCATCGAGAGGTATAGCCGGTTCATCTACATCAGGACGAAACTCGGTGTCTTTGTTATCAAATCGGAAAAGCGTCTCGTTTGAGCCGGCATTTGGAATTACCCATCTTCCAAATTTCGCTTGGATGACTGGTCCTCGAAGTGCTACTGCCGTACGGTGCATATCGATATCGAGGCCACCTAGTTTCGTTTCGTTTTGGCCTTGATTTGGGATCATTCCAACATGTGACACAGGGCGAAATTTACCACTTACAACTGGCTCGTAAGTAATGTGGTGCTTTTCATTGCCATCGTTGTCAAATTTGACAGATGCCCATGACCATGATGGTATCGTATCAGTAATCGCTCGGGTAGTGCGGCCGTGTCTCCCCCAAAGCAAACCCCTCAGTAAATCTTCTTTCCATATACCGGCAAGGTATACAGTGTCGTATTTTTCGGACAAGCAAGTTGCTAGGCCCAGAAGGGCTTGCAGCCGATCGGTCTCTCGAGAAAGTTTTAGCCGAGAGTATGACATAATGAGACGCAGCCAAAAGTCTTTCATCAGCTGAATTCCAGGTTCTGGTAGGGTACGATCATCAAGCAATTGCCTCGAATTGCTTGCAATGTCAGCTCTAGTTAGCGTCGCGAATTCAGACTTCATGCGGGTTGAAGATGGGGCCGGAAACTCCCCTTCTGGGCGGAGATACGGAGGTGTGGCCGACCATTCTTCCAGAGCGTGATGCAGATCAATGCAATACCCGCATTCGCAAAATGTCATTTGTTGGCACTGGAAAAGCATTTCTTCTGCATGGAAATGAAGGGTTCGTCGAGCCAGGAGGGTTTCCTGTAAGACCCACCCGCGATCTAACAGAGGAGAGCTTTGCGAGGACGGCGTAAGTCGGGACCCTATAATTTCGTCATGGCTGTTAGAAAAGGACTGTCGAACCATGAGAAGGCAAGTGCCATCATCATCAGTGATAGCCAGACTGATCGGATCTATCGAGGAAGTTATGTTGGTAGAGTGCGACTCGTATCGATGGCGTTGGACAAGACACCCCCCAGAGCCATCAGTCGCATGGGTGGCAGCGATGTTCAAATAAGAGTTTGAATAGACTTGTGCCATTTTCACAGACTCGGCTTCCCAGTCTTGCAAATCATCCTGGATGATACATAAAGCGTCAATCCAGAGATAACGGACCTTAAGACCACGGGTAATGGCCACAGCGTCTTGAAACGTCCTGCTCAGCCGGGATGAAGGGATGCCAATTGACATCTGATCTAACGTCGACATCGTGGTTTTCATGATTGTATCGCTGTTTCCCCAGCAGTGACTGAGTGTCATATATTTTCCCTTCAGTGCCTTCCCATTTACAAGCTTGATATGTGTTTTCCGGGCCAAATCTAGGATTCGGGTAGGTAGTGGTGGTGTGGTTACTGCTGCGTGGCAAGACGAGTGAAGATCATCGCACTGTTTGAGCCACGCGTTTGTGAGATCAACGCAATGATCTAGAGCGAGTTCTGAAGGTACCGAAACGGCTGTTCCGAATCTACTCCAATCTACGCTGAGGCTGTGGCTTGCAAGGACAGTACTTTTCTGACGCTTGGGATTTCGGGAATTCTTCGTCTTTCGTAGTTTGGCTGTCGTTTGGACTATTGCTATTAGCGTTCAGTAACCTCACGTGTGGAAAATCTGTATTTAACAGTTAAGTTTACCTTCTGGATTATATATGTCAATATCAAAATCGAATGATGCATTCTTTTTCGCGGCTGAAGTATAAAGTCCAAGACCAACGCATTTTCGTTGGCCGTTGAGAAATGATCCGGCGCTTGGCAAGCGAATGCTGACTCGATAATCCTGCTCGATGTCCAACAGTGCAGCTGCAAGACTATCATCTGACAAGGTGCGAGCGAAGGCTTTAATAGAATTGTACAAAATCTTGCAGTAACCGCAACTTCCAACTGCAGATTGTTGGAGTTTGGTTGATGAAGTAGCATGGTAAGGGCCAAGTCCGATGCCTAGAGGACGACTAGACACATTTCGTGCAAAGTTCTGATCAAGATCCCAGCAAACTGTGCAAGGCTCAGAGGTCTTGGGCTTCTTGTCGAGGCTGTCCTCAGAAATGTCATCATCGTTTTGCGAGGGTCTTGGAAGATCCGTCCCCGCACTGAGGTCGAGATTGTAAGTCAAAAGTTTGCTGTTGGCCTCCATACTGTTTTCGTGGGAATGCTAGATGCGAGTGGCACCCTTGAGGTCAATAGCACCGAAAGCAACGGGAAAAGCAGCGCTAGCTACACAAGGCAGGTCAAAAGGGACACCAGAATAAAGCATCTACCAGGCACTCGTGGTTGGCAGGACAATGAAGTTTTCGTTACCACAGTAGTCGTATGGTAATATCGGGGTCTTAGTTAGGAACTTTGCACTCAGCGAGAGCCTGATCGGTTGAGGTCTTCTCACGTACCTGACTAAGACCAGGGCAGGCTTGGCTCACACGTGATGCACTGGAGAGAAGACATGCCCTGTGAACCGGTCTCGAGACGCAGGGATGCACGTTAGCCACGAAAGGTGCTACATAATACGATACAAGAAGCCATGTCAAAGCAATACTCTTCTAGACGTGAAAATCATGTGACCAATCAAGTTTCCATGTCACGGGCATCTACCCACAGGTAGGAGGACGCAGGTACCTTTAAAATTAGGTCGAAGTAAACTTTTCAAATCAGGCCGGCCTGTCTATGTATTTTCTTAATGAACCCTCGAGAGATAGGGGTAGAAGCTCCGCGCAGGCATTAAGGTTGTTTAAAAAAAGAAATCAGGGCGGAGCTGAGCTCTGAATTGAATTTGTCATAATTGCAGTTGCATAAGGAGCTACTATAGAGAGAGAGAATCTCCTATATAAAGGGGTAGCGTACTTAGTAGTACGGCCTATAGTACTAAGTCTACGCCTATAATCCCTATATTTCTAATAGCCCCCCTATTCTCTATATCTGTAGTAAATAGAGCTTTCTAAAGCAGTATAGCGCTAAATATTCCTGAAGCGACGCCAGAGTATCGCCGAAGTATTACTAATAACTTGTATTATATAAGGAGCCTCGATTATACCTTATTAACTCTTGTAATATACTAGTATATATATAGTACCTACGTCTCTTGTTTTCCTAGGAGTTCAGTAACTTTATAGTATTAAGGTATATAAAATAGTATAAGAGTATACTTAAATCGCTTCCTTATTAATAATCTCCTACTCCTGCTGCTCTTATTTACCCTTCTTTATAGCTACCTCGTACTTTCCTTTTATAGCTACTAAGATATTCCTTACTAGCTTTCTCTCTAGCTTCTAAGGTATATAAAAGTTATTCTCTTCTAGTTCTGTTTCCTTTCCTTCTTCCTTTAACTACGGAATAAGATTCGTCTTAACTATTAGGTATAATAGTTATATATCGTGTTTTACTTAATTCGCAGTTATATATTATTATTAAAGAAGATATTTATTAAAGGACTGATTTTCCGCGAAGAATATTCTATTTTTTTTATAGGTTCTACTACTAGAAATAGCCTTGATTTATGCAGATCTACTATTAATTAGCTAACTGTTATTAATCTTAGAGTTATTATTAGAGAATTAGTTATTACTAAGTAACCCTATATACGTCTTATATCATTTAAACGATTCTAAAGGTAAAGCCTTTATAAGAGTGTCTGCTATATTATTATTACTTAGAACGTGTTTTACTACTAACTTATTATATAAAACTATATCGTCTTGAATATAGAACTAGCGGATATTAATATACTTTGCCTTTAGATAGAATTTCTGTTCTTTTAAGAGAGATTTAGCTTTAGCGTTATTAAGATATAGCATAGGAATTCAGGATAACTTTATATTAAGGTCTTTCTATAGCTTAAGTAACTAGGCTACTTCTCTAGAGCTATTACTAGTAGCTATTATCTTAGAATCTAAGCTAGAGAGAGCTATAGACCTTTACTTATTAGTAGCCTAAGAGATTAGACTCCTATAGAACCTTACTATCTATCCTTAGAACGATTTCCTATTATATTCCGTCCCTTATATAATATTAGTCTAAATATCAAATATATTATCGTCTAGCTTTCCCCTGTATTCTATTCCGATTCTAAATATTATTCTATTACCTTTTATATATCATAGATATCAGAGGAGAAGTTTCGTGTCTTAGAGGTGAGATTTAAGGGGATTTAATATATACCGCGCTAGCTAGCTTATTATATAGGTAATATCAGGTTATATAAGGTTCGAGAGGTATATTAGAGAGCTGATAATCTACTGAAATAGTAAGATCTCTTCAGGGGAGGCTAGTATAATACCTTTATTTTTAGCTAACTCCCTTAGTACTATTCTAGCGGCTGCAGGTAAGGCATTACCTCTAGCTACAGCTATTCTAAACCTTTCTAGTAGCTTTTATATATAAGCTATTTAATAAATCCGCAGAGTCTTATTCTTCCTATCTCTCTTAACTTATAAGCTTATAAATATATTAATAGCTCCGAGGTCTTTACTTTTCCAAGTCTTTAAGAGCTATTTCTTAAGATATTCGCAGTTAGCAGGGTTACTTATAATTAGTATATTATTAATAAAGACTAATATATACGCTCTATTCTTAAAGATAAAGAGATTAGGGTCAGCTTCTAATACTTCTAGACCTAGCTTTTCTATCTTATCTTTAATAAGGAGCTACTATTCCCTAGGTGCTTATTTTAAGCTATAGAGAGAGCGTAAGAGCTTCAGATATACGTTTTTCCTTCTATTTAGCTCTAGATAAAGCTTATTCTATATCTCCGGTATCTTGTCGTTCGGAATTATTATATATATATCTTCTTTTAGGTATATGTTTAGGAAGGTAGTATTAATATCGATATACTTGATCTTTAGGTCTCTTTTAGCTATAATAGCGAGTAGTACTTATAAGGTAGAATAATATATAATACTCGTGAAAGTATCGAAGTAATTAAGGCTATGTTTTTACTTAAAGCCTCTTACTACAAGCCTAGCCTTTCGCTGTGCTATAGAGCTATCGGAGTTAATTTTATTACGTAGAACTAGTCTTAAAGATATTAGTTTCAAGCCGGAGGGAGGCTTACTAAAGTATACTCTATAGGTTCTAGCGCTTTATATAACTTGTAATTCCTTAAGAATAGCGGCCTTCTATTCTACTGGATTCTCCCTTAGAGCCTTTATAATAGTTATAACCTTAAGAGGTCGTATAAGTTCACTTTCTAGCGTAATTAGCACTATTTAATAGGTTAGTGCCTTATTAAGGATTTACTAAGAGTATAGCTTCGTAGTTATTACCTAAGTAGCTTACTTAAAGTGTTATTTTCTACACTGTTTCCTACTATATCTTAATAGTAAAGTATTATTAGACGCGTTTACTAGTTAAGTCTATTCAGGGAGGCGTTAATTAAACGCTCTCTTAGTATCTCCTACTGTGTTTTCTATAGCTAACCTTCCCCTTAAAGGATTTTCAGCTTCTATAGCTAGCCTCTCTCCTAGAGGTCTTTCAGCTTCTATAGCTAGCCTCTCTCTTAGAGGTCTTTCTAAGCCTTTAGTACCTCTAGCTAGCCTCTTAGTAAGTGCTAGACCGGTAGCTAGTAGTAGAGGTCTTTCTACTGCCTTATTACTACCTTTTAGTATAGTTTCCTTACTACTAGTATATATAAAGTATATTATATACTTATTAAAGCCGTAGTCAGCTGTTTCTAGTTCCTTAAAGGTTTCTACGTTCAGGAGCCTATAGGTTAAGGTATTAGCTATACCTATTAATACGAAACACCCCGGAATCGTCCTTTACTTTATTTTACCTTAATATAGCCCTAGTAGATATAAAGGGTACGCTATAAAGCTAAATACTCTTATTTTAGAGAGGTTTACAGGCTATCCTTTGTACGCTTCGATTAGAGTAAGTTTAGTAGCTATTTTATATAGTAAAGCAGTAGTTAAGCGTCTGTTCTTTAGCTTTACCGCTTACTTAATAGCGTAGCACTATATATTCTTAGGTATCTTCGCGTTATAGAGGATTAAGCGTATAATCTTAGCTAGTTTATATATCTATCGCTCTACAACTCTATTTAGAGAGTGTTTATATAGAGGAGAGGGTTTAGGAACGATTCCACTCTCTTATAGCTAGTTAATAAACTTAGGACTAAACTCTCTCTTACTATTATTAGTCCTCTAGTAGATAATTATACGGAATTTACTTTACCCTTAAGTTTTAAGCTATAGCTTTAATTTCCGAATAACTAGTTGAATAGTTAACGCAGACTTATTAACTAAGAGATCTACCTAATACGTCCTTATAGTATTATCTACTACTAAAAGGAAGTATTTATAGCCGCGAATTAAGCGTAACAAGATACTAGAGATATCAGCGTATAGTTAATAAATAGGTACGTTAGTTCTACTATCTGACTTCTTATTAAAGTGCTCTTTTATACAGCTTATAAGGTAAGCCTTATAACACCTCTCTCCCTTTAGCTCCGGAACAGAAATCAGTCTTATTCCGTAACTGCTATAAGTAACCAGTTTCTTCAAATAAGCGTAATTTATATAGCTTAAACACCTATAAAGCAGATCTACTTTTATTTCCTTTATACTAAGCTAACTCTCTATTTGTTCCTTTAGTAGCTTTAAGTCTAACAGAATTACGTTATATATAACTTAATATCGAGGATTTATATCTAGAATATATAAACCTCTATTTCTTATACCTATAAAGGCTAGTTCACTATTCTAGTATCTATTTACTGATATCTTAGTCAGTTCCGTATTAATTCCTTCGTCTAAGAGTTAATATATTAATACTAGCTTTATAGCTCCGAAGTTAGGTATATACTATACGTCTTTAAGGGTTAACCTATTAATAGTAATATCTCTATAACCTTTAGCTATCGAGTATAAATTAGTTACTGTTTTAACGTATTTAGCGTTACACTAGTACTTAAGTTACTTAAACTCAGCTAGAACTTCACTAAAGTAGTAAGTAGCGCTAGAGTCGATTTTCTAAATAGATTCTGTAATAGAGATTATTAATAAAGTATATTCTACGTCTTTAGTGTAGTAAATCTCTTCCGAAAGGAACACGAGATAAGTATTATTATCTTTAATTTCCTCTACTTTATTAGCGCTATCTCTCGCGTAAGTATTCTTAGCTTCCGTGTAGTCTACGTACTAGTAGCTATAGCTTTTATACCGGGCATACTAATTTCGGCCTAATTTAAGGCGATTTCCTCTATTTTCCACGCGCTCTCTATATCTCTATTAGCTACTACCTCTGCTATTATTATTCCGTCTTTCCTATCCTCTCTTATTCTTATATATATTACCTCTCCCACGTGAGTAGCCTCTATCTCTCTAGCTTCTACTATCTCTACTACCTCTCCCTCTATTATAGCCTTTATTCGCGTAGTTCGTAGCGTTACTAGTAGCTATAGGTTAAAGCTATTCCCTTTATTGAATTTAATATTCATTAAGCTTTTATATAGTATCTCTAAGATCTAGGTCTTACGATTCTAGGGTAAGCGCTATAGTAATCTAAGCTCCGGATACTAGTAACGACTATAACAGCTTAAGACGTATATCCTTATTAGTAAGAGGTTTACTATCGCCGCTAAGCTTTACTTTAAAGAGTAAGAGCCTTATAATATAATTCTAAAGTGTTTCCTCCCCTAGGATAAACTTTATCTTAAAGAAATCGTCTCTTATATTAGTAAAAGCAAGACTCCCTTGAACTACTTTACCTTCGTCTACGTGAATAGTTTCCTAGAGAGGCTTAGTGTTATTCAGTTTAATAATATCTCTATACTTAGGAAAGAGAAGCTTAGAGATTAAGTTAACAACTATTTTAAAAGCTTCCTTCTTTTCCTTAGCATAAGTATTCTACTAATTAATACTATTTAGCACGCTAACTTTAGTAAGAACGTAATAAAGAACACTAGCCCTAGCTAGCTCTTATTCAGTCTTAAGCTCCTATTCAAAGAAGTTATCAAACTCTAGTAGAGTTTTACCTTTTAAGGCTCTAGTGACGTAAGGAATTAGTGCTTTTAATTAAGATAATATCGTAGCGTAGTAGTAGATACACTAAGAGTTAATAAAGTAGAGATCTTAATAAAAAATAAAGTTTTAAGGTCTTTTTCAATCGATTAGAATTACTACTATATCATAATTGCAGTTGCATAAGGAGCTACTACAGAGAGAGAGAATCTCCTATATAAAGGAGTAGCGTACTCAGTAGTACGGCCTACAGTACTGAGTCTACGCCTACAATCCCTATATTTCTAACAGAATTATTACCCACGCCAAGTCCATCCCGCTCGCTTCGCACAGCAGCTGAACACAGGACCTTTCAGCCACAAACCTCACACCCGAGATTTCACGACGCGGGCCGGAACTACACGACTTAACGACATACCTATTTATAGAATCGAACACGCCGCATACGTGAGTCAACGTTACGTCCCGGATGAAGCTCGTATTGAATTCTATATGAATCCAGTTCACTTCCTGACTTGCCCCTCATATATTTCTCGCTTATCTCCTATCATAACATAACAGATCGGCGCGAGCATCTCGGCTGCTTCCCGTTCAACTCTCAAGACCAACTCTCAAGATCACTACCACAAAGCTATAACGCAGATACCAGTAGCAGGACACTGGGTGCATCATGGCAGATAGACATACTCTCATCTATAGTAAACCCTCCACGCCAGCCCATCAACCTGTTGATCTCCCACCGTATATCACGAGACATTACATCCCCACCCCACTCGGTACCCTCGAGCTCCTAGCTGCTGAACCACCTGCTTCACCAGACTCTCCCAATCTACCACGAAAGAAAGCGATTCTTTTCCGTAAGCTACCCTACCTTACCTATCTCACCCCTCCTTTCCCTCCTTCCTTCCTTTCCACTCTCACCTCCCTCAACAACTACAATTCTACATTTAAATACACTATTACCCAGTGTAAAACTGAACTCTTCCCATATACTGAGATACTCTACAGAACACGGCGGTTTCGGCTCCGCCTCCGTCTTCCTCCCCTTCCTAACCTACTTCTCGCAAACGCACCACCACCCCTCCTACGCTCTATCCCTTCGCGGCCACGGCGCATCGTGGACGCCGTCGTTCCTGCGTATGGTGTGGGGATATCCAAAGGGGGCGTTTGCGGCGGATTTGTTGGCGGGAGTGAGGTTTGTTAGGGGGTTGGAGGAGGGGAGGAGAGGGAGGACAGGTGGGAAGGAAGGGGAAGGAGAGAATGTAGATATGGATTGCGAGGGGAACGGGGAAGGGGAAGGGGAAGAGGAGGAGGAGAACTTGGTGCTGGTGGGTCATTCGGCGGGTGGGGGATTGACGCAGTTTGTGCTGAGTGAGGGGTTGGTGAGGGTTGGTGGGTACGTGTGTTTGGCTGGATTTCCGGGGTTTGGGGGGTGAGTTCTAAAATTCTTTCATCTCCCTTTCCCAGCTTCCTCTCCTTCCTTTTTACACTCCACACTGAAAATTTAGTTTGTTTTTCGAAAGGTTACTGACAATACTAGCTGGCGCTGCTACTGGAACTGGTTCAAAATGGACCCCTGGTTCGTCCCCCGCTACTACATCCGCGACCTCTGGCATCCTCGCTCACCACTCTCCTCCACCACTCTCGTCCACCAAGCTTTCTTCAGCCCTTCGTATCCCATGTCGGAAGTCCGGAAGTTTGAGACTTTGATGCCGGAATATGAGAGTATGCTTTGGCCGCTGCAGATGATGACTAGGTTTGTGGATGTGGGGAGGGTGGTGAGGAGTATTGTTGGTTGGGGTAGGGGAGAGGGAGGGGGGAAGAGGATGTTGGTTGTGGCGGGGGAGAAGGATAGGTTGATGGATGTGGAGTTGATGAGGGAGGTGGCGGCGGAGTATAGGGTTGCTGTGAGGGAGTGGTGGGGGGCTTTAGTGGGCGAGACGAAGAGGGAGGGTGAGGGTTTGGTGGCGAGCGATGGTCCTGGAGAGGAAGATGGAGTGGGGTTCGAGGTTGTGATGGGATCGGGGCATCATGTGCAGAATGATCTTTATTGGGAGGACTGTGCGCAGAAGATCTTGAAGTTTGTGGAGCAGTTGTGAAGCTCATGGGTTAGGTTTTGTGTTTTCAAAAAGCTCTACGGCTTGGCTTTGGCTTTGGCGTTCTTGGATCTGTACTAACTGCAAAATGGTGGGGGTTTTATGCGTATCTCAATGACCACGTTCGCATTTACGCAATGTATGATTAACGAACCAAAGAAGAAACACCGCTCTGAAATCCTGATTTGTTTAGATTTGCTAAGTTTTAACTTGAGTCTGCAAATAATATTCTAAGAAAGAAGACCTCGTCATGTCCCACTAAACTCTGTCTCCATAGCAAAATTGCACTCGAGAAATACCGTCTCCCCCTGCAAACCTATTATCCTATAATCCTACTCATCCCTCTCAATCTCAATCTCACTTCCAACGTCTCTTCCCTCCACAGAGAACAATTAATCCCTAAAACCAAACTGTAATGAAATTAGGGTTTCTATATTCACTACAGGTGCTGTATCTCTGGCGGCTCCCTCCAGATAATTGCAGGGGTATTTAAGCGAGTTGTTATGATGATTACAATTCATGCCCGTCCAGTATGCCAAGTTGTATTCGCACGCTTGCGGTCATTGTAAGACGCTTGCGGTCATGCATATGCAAAATTACCATCAAAATGCGTCGGAGAAGAAAATCATGGAGCAAAGATTGATCACAAGACACTAATAATTTTGATTGTTAAGCATGAAATCCAATTTTATGTCTCGGGGCGGAGTTCCGCCTCACGACGAGAATTGGACCGAATCGACACCACTCGCTCAAAGATCGTCAAACAATGATGATGTGTATGTGTGGAACTCCCTTCATAAATATTGAGTCTGAGTTATATAAAAGCATTCCTGTCTACTCTGATTCCAAAATTTGAATATTCACTTTCATTCCGTGTCGTTCATACAAAGTCAACACAAATCAAATTCACGTACTTTAACATACAATGGCTCCCATCTTCACCATCGTCGGCGCTACAGGTCTTCAAGGAGGCTCTGTCCTCCAAGCAGCACTAAAGTCCGGTCTGTACGATATCCGAGTCATCACACGCAACACCTCCAGCGAAAAAGCAAAGCAACTGCAAGCTCGTGGCGTAGAAGTCGTTGCAGCTGATCTCAACAGCGAAGAATCACTCATGAAAGCTTTCGAGGTAAGTCCCCACGTCGCTCCCCCCTTTCAATCCAACTAACATCTCCCTCAGGGATCCACAGCAATCTTCGGCCTAACCAACTTCTTCGAGCACTTCCCCAAACTAGACCCAGCAGCAGCAATATCCCTCGAAGTAAAGCAGGGTCAAAATCTCGCTAATGCAGCGGCGAAAACGCTTAACTTGAAACACTATATCTGGAGTACTCTTCCCGACACGGAAAAGTTATCGAATGGGAAGATCTCGGTCCCGCATCATCAGGGAAAGGCACAGATTGATTCTTACATCAAGGAGAATGAGGAGTTGTATGCGAAGACTACGTTTCTGTGGATTGGGCCGTATGCGCAGAATTTCGAGTATCCGTGGACTAAGCCGAGTTTTTTCGTAAGTGTCATGGCTTATCAAAAGATCGTTTTGGGAATGGGTGAAATGGGATTGATTGCTCATACGAGATATAGGAAACCGTGGGTAAGTACATCCAACTAGGCCCAGTACCACCCACAACAATCGTACAAACCATCGGCGACGTCCACACCAACGTCGGACTATTCACCTCTGCAATCCTAGCCCAACCCCTTCTGACGAAAGGGAAGTATGTCCTCGGTGTCGTGGAAGAAACAACTGTCGGCGAACTTGTGAAAATTTGGGGTCAGACAACAGGCAAGAATACCATGTATGTTGAGATTGCTTCGGTCGAGGAATATGATAAGCTTTGGCCGGTTTGGGGGACGGAGATTGGTCTTATGATGAAGTTTTGGGAGATTGCTGGGAAGGGTGCGTGGAGTGGGGAGGGTGTTGTTACAAAGGAGGATTTGGGGTTGAGTGAGGAGATGTTTGTGGATTCGAAGGAGACGTTTAGGAAGATGAGTTGGGATTGAGGTGGATACAATGATTATCGATGTGATACTGATGTACCCTAGAGTTTATCTTTAAGATTTGGCTCCCTTGCTGAGATTTAAGGCTGTTACTTTCGGGGCGACTCTAACTTTTTTTTTGGTCCTGTGCTTGGAGGGGTACTGTAAATTTAAGCGAGCAATTACCCCGCCCCCTATTTCACAGGAGGCGATCACCCAAGAGGGTTTCTCAGATTCAACTCGCTAATTGATGAATTCACCGCAGAATATGTAAAATAACGATTACTCATATTTTCGTGTGATTCCTTACTCATCTCCCAAGTAATTGAAACAACTCCAACATATAGATATTCAGAGAGCCAGGGCGCCTAACACTATAAAGCAAGCCCCTGAAATTAACTCAATTACGCCAACAGACTTGCCATGATAAAATATAATGAAACCCCAATACATCAAATTTTCAGAGAACATGCATGACTGACTGTAAAAGCAAATGCGAAAAGTATTTCAGACTAATCATGTCATCTCAAAAAGATCAATACTTCATACTCCAGCAGTGTTGTCTCGCACTCCCACGCCGTCAAGTCGCAGTGTCGGGCGGCTGTCATCGCCGATCTCTTCAGACGATAGAGTGATGCTCTGACCGTCATGGGACGTGAAAATCATCCGTACTGGTTTATTCGCTTCCTGGACGGCAGTAATGTTCTCAGGTGTAGCTAATTGGTGAGAATCTGGTACACAGATGCTTTGTTGGAGGATATCAATGCCATCTTCTGTGCTATCACAATCCGTAGCGGGTACTGGGCCAGGTAGCTGGTGGTCAGTACTTAGTGAAATGCCTACTTCGTTGATCGTTATGCCGAGCCCATGCTTGCAATCATCAGCACGTAGAACATCATCTCCAAATCTGGAAATGCTCTCTGACGTGATCACACAAGTTATATCCATCCTATCCGATCGGGGTGTGAAGATCTGCTCCTCTGGTGAGGCGGGTGATACGTTATTCCCAACACCACCAAGTCCAGGGTTCTGACCTAGCTGTTTCTGTTCATCATTTGAGTTAACGTCAAGACTCGGTGTCAGCATGTGTGACTGGTCTTCATGATCAGACGCTGACGATGTCTCCGAGAGAGCTGAGGAACGAGACTGAGAGGAAGTATCTTGCTCCGACGATGAGTTTCCGGATGAAGTCGAGTCAAATGACAGATTCTTGGAATGTCCCTGCTGTCTAATTGGTGTGTCAAGCAGTTTCATTTCTGGCGCTCCCGCTTCTTCTACTTGTACAGCTTGCTCTTTTGTTTTGGTTGCAGGAGTCTGGACAGCGATGGCTGGGAGGAGATCGTGTCCACCAAGGCCATTTGGCACCAACACGGCTTGCGAAGCCTTAGTATCTTCTTCCTTGGCTTCCACAACAACAGCTGGTAACATTGTGAGTGGCAATCGAGCAACAGCGTCTGTGACGAGATCGCTGATTGTCGCCCCGCCTAGGATTTTCAAGATTGGCATATCGACTCCGAGCTCGGTAACAAACCAAGCCCGCAGATCCACTGCGACAAGAGAGTCGATGCCGAGTTCGAGAAGCACGGCTTCGTCTAAAACGGCGGTATCGGATGATATTTGTAGTTTGTGTCGCAATTTGAGTGTGAAAGAATCTGGTCGGTCGAGTTAACCCCCCAAAATATCAGTCCACGGAATGAGAACGAACCTGTCACAATGTTTACTACATCGTCCATACTCGTTGCCAAAGCCAGCTGAGATTTCAAGCTAACAGCAGTACTTTTGGATTCTGTTGCAGCAGCACCGTCTCCACTCTCAATGTAATGCCAAAACTTGGGATGCGGGTACCAAAGAATATCCGGATCCTTGCGGGGATCCTTGGAATCCATCCCTGCATACAAGATTGGATTCCGACTGCTTCCAGGAGCGCCCGCGAGAACACCTTCCGCGAACATATGATGAACCTCTTTCTCGGAAAGAGGCAGAGTCGCACCAATAATATCGTTCAATTCGCGGTTCATGCGAGCTGCATAGCCAACACCTTTGACTTCTCCGAGGCCGATGAGTGACCCAGCAAGCCCACGTTTCTGGCGAGATGAGACGAGACTGTTCATGAACATGTTCGCCGCGCAGTATGCTGCTTGACCAGAGTTTCCCATGACATCAACCGAGGATCCGAAGAGGATGAAGAAATCGAGGTCATTGTTTGGGAATAGTTCGTCGAGGAAGCGACTGCCATCAACTTTCGGCTTGAGAACGGTTTGCATTTCTTCGAAACTCATGTTAGATAGCAGGGTATCGCTCAAGACCATAGCGGCATTGGCAACCCCAGCAATTGGTGGCAAGTTGGAGGTGATTTGCTTGTGCGTTGCAAGCAATGAAGCTTTATTGGATACGTCCCTACACAGTGTCAGCTGGCTTTTCGATTTTCGTCAGCCAAGAGAACTTACATCGACATTATGCTCACTACCCCTCCAATACTTTCTATCTCATCTAGCCAGCTCTGCTCGATATTTGGATTCCGACTTGTCAGCACGATATGCTTCGCTCCACGAAGTATCATCCATCGGCACAGCGATCGGCCCAAATTACCGGCCATTCCAATCAAGAGATAAGTTTTGTCGCTTTTGAATCTCATCATGGATTCTGCGCTCTGGATTCTGATGGGAAGTTTGGAACCGGAACCCCAGTCTACGATCTGTAACCCTGGAGCTGAGGGCGTCGTGGAAGCCAATGCCGCGGCATCAATAACTACAGGGTTAATGATTGATCTCGTCGAGCGAACGACCGACATTGCACTTGCAAGTGCAATTCTGAGACTATCGGAAGCGGAGTTGCGAGATCCGGTCGCATGGTAATTCGAAGTACGACTAAGGAATGTTGAAGTATCTGCCCGTTGAGTATGATATGGAAGCAACACCGAAACTCGTGCAGCTAGATCTGACTTGTCTGACATGTCTATGAAAGCAGAGACATCTGCAGGGAGAAGGAATTTGATACCACGATCTGAAGAGAATTGATGCATCTTCATCCAATCGCTCTTCTCCGGCGATTCATCTGCGGTGACAAAATATGGCTGAACATCCATGTAGCGTGCCTTCCGTGCGATTGCATCCACGAGAAATAAATCCGGTTCAAATACCAATAAGCTGCTGTTACTTCTTGCCATATCGACAATTGATTGAGCTAGCATTTCGGTTGCAATGGCCATCAGTAACAACGTCTCATCTCCGCGCGGAATATGCCATGGCACAATCCAGCTGGAGTTGGTAGTGATCATGGATCCAACCTTCTCTGACAGTGCGATGACCTTCACTCCCAGCTCGGGGAGCTCTCCCAGAATTAGGTGAAGAGCTCCGGCAGACTTGATATTCAGAGCCATCAAGCTGGAGTGCGTGACGCGGATCGAAGTCATGTCTCTCGACTGGGTCAAAGACGGTTCAGATGGTGATCGTTGTATCTCGTACGATCTTCCGTTATGACTGACTCCAACCATGGCTTCATCGACACTGACGTCTTCCTCAATGACCCGTCGAGTAGACATAAGTCTATTGTTCGCCGCTCTATCTGGTACCACTCGCGTGATATGGAATCGACCATCCTCAAGCCACAACTCCGGCTCGTTCGACCACATACGCTTCGGGGCATAGATATCATTCTCCCATGTCTCAGCCAAAACAATCCTCAAGAAAGCCTCAGCGAGGAGAATGGCACTAAATTCTTCACTCTTAGCAGCATCCAGTACTTGGAGACGAAGATGCGGCATCTCGTGAACCAGCGTTCGGCCGATGCCAAGTGCCATGTTCGAGTATGGCCGCTCTGATTTGCTGCCTGCCGTTACCCAGAGGAAGGTCTTCGAGATGTTGAGTAGTGACTTGAACAACTCAAGACGTTCCGAGGTCAATTCTGCGAAGATTGGCTCGTCTAATTCAGATAGATTGAGGACGTGAACCATCGAGAAATCATCTATTTTGTGGATGTCTTCAAGATTCTCCAGTGTTTTGACGTTGATCGTCCATGGCTCAAGGATCGTTTCCAGGTCTCCTATCAACTTATTGGTTCGACTCGTCTTTCCGCCTACCAAGAAGATGGTGTCGAGTTGTGGCTTAGGCCCGGTCAGAGCAAGTGGCTTTTGTAAAAGCTCGATCTGCGCATCGACAGCAGTTGAGATGAAGACAGCGACAGGTTGGTAAACAGATTCGGTTCCAGGAGTGATGGTATCAAGGCCCGAGAATCCATTCTTCATAAGCAATGAGTCCCATTGACTAGGTGTGATAAGCGGAGTCAGTTCCCTTCCGTCTCCAGCCCCTGCCCACCAGCCGGGCACTCCACAGAAACTGAACCCGACGCGAGTAGCACCATTATCAACTGCCTCAAGCACTAGAAGCTTGCCTCCAGGCTTCAGCAATCTCCGAACATTCGTCATAGTATGGTCGAGAACTTTGGTAGCATGAAGTACATTAGATGCGATGATAAGGTCATAAGAGTGTTCGGCAAAGCCTTGAGTCGTTGGGTCCCGCTCAATATCCAGAACTTCGTAGATGATTCGACCATGAGCCTGGAACGTCTCTTGCGCTTCCTCGAAGAATCCGACTGAAATATCCGTGAACGTGTATGACGAATATTTGTTATCGATATGTCTCAAAATAGATCTGGTAATGCCACCAGTACCAGCACCTACAGTTGTTAGCATTAATCCAATTGTTTTCTAGTGGGGATACACGAACCAATTTCCAAAATCTTGATCAAGGGATATCTAAATGCTATTTGTTGGACAATCAGTCCAGCATACATGTTATACTCCAACAATTCCGAGTTCTGGTAATATAAATCCAGCAAGCTATCTTGTCTCATATGCTCCAAGATTGAGGTCTCGCCTCTGATGAAGGGTATCAACTTCATTCCGACAACATGTAAAAGCTTGCAATCAACATCCGCTACATATCTGAATGGCATTAGTAAAATTAAAGCAGGGCTTAGTATGATGTACTCACTGATCAGCAACGGCTTGGATATTAGCCCACGAGTGGTCCAGCCACTCTGATTTACACGACGGATGTCTTCCAGCTTTCGTCTCATCAACAACATGAGTTGCAAAGGCAAGGATTTTCTTCCCATGCCAGGTCGTCTGTTCCATCTCTTCAAGTGTTACAGAATCAAGGAGCTGCTTCAAGTAATACAAACATATCTTCTCCAAGGTCTCCGCTTTCTGCATTTCAGCAGTTGAGAAATCGGACTTTCGATATACCAACGACGCGTCCGGCTCAGCAGTGCCCCAGACAAGTTCATGAAATAATTGTCGATCATCAGCTGGCGTCGCAGGCATAAGGGGCTTGACCTCAATGCCCTCAATCTGACAAATAGCGTCCAAGGACTGGATGTCGTATAAGGTGACATCACCGCAGAGGGTATCAGATTTACTTTCCACCAGAACCGCATCGAAAATCACCTCGTTTCTCTGGTCATCATTGGTATTGGCGCATATCGCAGGATTGACACGAATGTTTCGAATCGTGACTGGGACGTGAAGTGTCCAGAGACTGCCATCGCCTGGTGTCCCGAGACAGGCAAAGAGAGTCTGGATGGCGGAATCGAGAGTTCCTGGGTGCATCATCAAGGATGAATTTGAAGCACTGGAGTTCGCATCGACGAGAAGTCCGGTTGCAGTATCCAGCTTCTGCTCGAGGAATGAAATTCCTTTGAATGGTCCTGTGTATCCATAGCCGACATCCTCGAGTGACTTGTACAATGTGTCAATATTGACCTCGCGCAGGTCATTGATCACGACTAATCTTCTCCTTGGAAGAATTGTCCTCGAAGGCGAGCCGGAGTATAGAATAATCTTACCCAGGCTGACCAAAACAAGAGACCCAGTATCTCTACTCAAACAAGCATGGCAGACGAAGTCCGCTGTGAGAACGTCCCTCTTGGCATCAGAGACAATATTGCTAATGCCAAACAGAGTTTCCACGCCTGAGTCATCATCATTGATGGAGATAGCTTGCAAGATCCTGAAGTCTTTGATCTCGATCAGTCGTACTTCTTTGCCAGCGGCTACTGTCTTAGAGGCTTCGAGGGCCATGACGAGATACCCAGCAGCAGGGAAAATTATCTGCCCTTGTATTTGATGACCGCTGAGCCACGGAATCTCATTCAGTTTGAGGTAGTTCCGCCATTTGTACTCCCCCTCGGCTTGATCAGTTGTTATGATTCCAAGCAGCTCGTGTGGGGGATCCACGCGACAACGTGTTTCTCTGGATGCACGAGATTCATACCATAGAGTGCGTTCGTGGTCCCATGGGTACGTTGGGAGATCTTGGACTGTAGAGCGCGGACCTGTGCCATGGAAGATTTGACTGTAGGTTCCAGCATCAAATGACTTTGAACCGAGGTGCATCCACAGTGAGCCCAGGGTATCGGCAAAGGTCTCGATTCCAGTCTTTCCACGTCCAAACAGTCCGAAGTAAGGCATAGGCTTCTTCGCCTCTGTGATTTCTTGAATCGTTTGCAAAACCGGCCCTTTGAGCGCTGGATGGGGACCAAGTTCGATTGCAACATCGTATGAATCTTTGGCAAGAGACGCCTCGACTGACTGAGAGAAGAGAACAGCGTTGAGCATGTTATCCATCCAGTATGATCCAAGCAGGGCTTCTCGAGCATCCATCTCCTCGCCTTCGTATACACTGGAGTACCATGTACAGGCACCATCAGATCTAGGCAGGAGCTCGATGTTGCAATCCTTGAGTGCTTGCAGGTAAGGAGCTGAGCACGGAAGCATGTGATGCGAATGATATGCCGTGTCCACCTTGAGAATTCTTGCAAATATCTCTTTTGCCTCGAAATAATCTTTGGCCTCCTGAACAGCATCGTCGTCTCCGGAAAGCGTGACACTCGTAGACGAGTTGCTAGCTGCAATGACGATCCTGCCAAGGTATTGAGGGAGCTGGCAGAACTCAACAGCTTCGGTCCTCGAAAGTCCTACAGCTATCATAGCACCTTTCCTTCCGGCACCAGCTAGGTTCGCGAAGAATCCTCTGTAGTATGCAACTTTGATAGCTGCATCAGCGGAAATAAATCCTGCGGCGTATGCTGCACCTATTTCTCCAGACGAGTGGCCCACGACAGCAGAGAAATTTACTCCTATTGCTCGCAGATGATCGACGAGGATAATCTGAATAGCCGTGCATAAAGGTTGCGAGATAATGGCTTCGGCTATCCGGGACGTCGATGCCGGGGCAGACAGTTCAGCTTCGAGAGTCCATTGAGGTCGATGATCTGCAGGAAGCGATGCCAGTGATTGTTCTAGACTTCTGAGAGTTGATTTCCCGACTGACGACTTTGAAATCAAGTCCCATCCCATTGCTGCCCACTGTGCTCCTTGTCCTGTGAAGACGCCTAGGATTCGTTGCGGCTTCGTGCTGGGACGCAATGAAATTGATATTGAAGTCCCATTTGCTCTATGCTCAAGTTCATCATCCAACTTGGCTCGGAGTTCCGACGAGCTTTGCGCAGTGAAGCATACTTTATGTGTGAATACTGATCGCCGGGAGACAAGGGTCCACGACAATGCGTGTAAATCCATATCTGGTTTGTTGCTCAAAAACTGAGAGTAGTTGAACAACAAAGATCCGAGAGATCTTTCTGAAGCTGCGGAGAATATGAACGGGAGTACAATTGTTGATAACTCAGACGCCTGCGTGGTGGGCAATGCAGGGGCATTCTCTAAAATCACGTGCGCATTTGTGCCTCCGAAGCCAAAACTGAGCAATGTTAGCTTGAAAGGCAGGAAGCAGGATATCGTCAGCAATACCTGTTTACACTTGCTCTTCTTACTACACTGGACGTTTCGGGCCACTTCTGAGCTTTTGTTGGAACTTCGAGATGATGTATGAATGGTTCCAAGTTAGGATTTAGAGTCTCGAAATGAAGATTTGGCGGTATTACTCCATGCTTGACCTATGTAGAAGAACAAAAATATTAGCAATCATGTTTCGCAGCGATGACAAGAAAATTTCGTGCTATCTTTAAAAGCCTCTATGAAGTGACTTGGAGGGAAAGTAGTCGTGGTGGTGGAAGAGTACAAACGGGACGATAAACTCACAGCAAGGCAAGCCTCCAACATCCCGGCAATACCAGCTGCTCCTTCTGAGTGACCAATCACAGTCTTTATACTTCCGACGAAGAGTTTGTCTTTGTTTAGATCTTCTTCTTTACCAAAGAACGTATTATGTATTGCTGTCGCTTCATTCAAGTCCCCGACCTTGGTACCCGTGCCATGTGCTTGGAAATACTGCGGTCTATCTTCAGAGCGATTCAAGTCAAGCCCAGCTTTGGCATATGTCTGACGAATCAAGTTCACTTGGGCAACAGGATTCGGTACTGTGAGTCCTGTCGATCGGCCACCTTGGTTGACACTTGTTTCGCGTATAACACATTCTATGTGGTCACCATCGGCGATGGCATCACTTAATCGTTTCAACATGACAGCGGCTATACCCTCTCCGCGAGCGTAGCCATCTCCGCCAGCATCCCACATTCGAGACCGACCATTAGGCGAAAGCATTTTCAGCTTACTTTCCGCAACAAACATCCGCGCGCTGAGGATAAGATTTGCACCTGCTGCCATGGCTACCCGACACTCGCCGTTCCTCAATGTTTGGACAGCTTGATGTACTGCCACTAAGCTGGAAGAGCAGGCACTGTCAATTGTCATCGACGGCCCGGTCCAGTCAAAGAAATAAGATATCCGATTCGAAAGGATGCTGCGGGCCGCGCCGGTGGCGCCGTATGTCGGCAGGGTTTCCATATCAGCGAATATAAGACCAGAGTAATCATCACACATCAGCCCCACGTAGACAGCTGTTGGCGTTCCGCGCATCTCTTCCATGGTTAGGTTTGCAGATTCCATTGCCTCGAATACCACTTCCAAAAGTTGCCGTTGTTGAGGATCCATTGACTCTGCTTCGGCAGTAGAGATATTGAAGAATTGGGAGTCGAACTTGCGAACATCTTCGGAGAGGAAGTATGACCTTTGAACATTGGAAGTGCCATGATGGAAACCATCTGGGTGGTAGAAGCCGTCAGCATTGAATCTGCTCGGTGGGATCGGAACAGAGAGTTCTCTGGGCTGACTGAGAAGCTCCCATAGTTTTGCCGTTGTATTCGACTGCCCAGGGAATCGACAACCAGTGCCAATTATAGCAATTGGCTCGTTGACAGTGTCCATCGCTCATCAGCCAGCATCCACGCAAGAAGTCCCTGCCCATGAGGGTGGATGAACCACTGTACACAGAAGATGTAGCAGTTCTGCCGGTAAATGGAGATCGCGGGGCAAGAGGTCAGAAATAGGCTGCAGAGGGCTGCATATATGGAACTGTGTAAATGAGGAGAAGTTTGGAAAAGGTACGAAGCAATGCACGAAGGGTAGGATAATATAGGAGAGAGTGGAACATGAGGGGTCAAAGACTGGCAGAGGGGCTTAAAGCTATAGCTCAAGCTCCTCCATCGAGATCTAGAAACTCCTGGCTACTGACCAGCGGCTAGATAACGGACTCAGAGACATTGGTCTCAGAAAAAACCGAATCCTAGAATTCATTTCCAGTTCTAAGGCCATGTCAAAATACCTCTTTAGCCTTTTCAGGGAGGTTATCCGCCAGGCGAAAGTCTAAGGTCCTCTCTGTGCATGAGAGTGCGGCAGTTTGACTCGAGACGGCTCATGAGTGCAGAAAAAGTTCTTCAGAGAGTGTGTCATTGAAGGGGGTGTGAGAGAAATTCCAAATCGAGAGACTACCATAACCAACTTTAGAGTTCGGAGATGGAGCCATTCCGGTTCATGTATCTCATCGACTGGACAAGAGCAAGTCTCTGGCCCCACTGTTCTTCCCAAGGACGTAGACTTCTTCAGCGCTCTTTCCGCACAGGCTGAAAATAGAGATAGCGGATTCGAAAGAGACCCGCAAAAAGACGTTGATTGCTCCCAGATCATAGCAGATATTCCAGAAGAACAGGCGTTGTGGGAGGCCGAGAGGGGTAATTTCTTCGCCCAGCTTGGAATAGTTGAAGAAATCCGAGAACCAATACTTCTGTAGAAGATGACTTGAGGGAGTTCGTGTCACCATCGGACTGGCTGTTGAGAGAATGGTCTGCAGCCCAGCCTTTCCTACTCAGGTCAGTTCAAGTCAATCCCGCGTGGCCGTTCTTCTTTGCAACTGTCATTGAACCCTTTGCTTGGAACGGCCCGCCGTCCGGCAAGAATGGACTCCGCTTGCATGCATGGGGGTCATCTTTCAGCAGCATAATGGGAACGCCGATGTGACATCGAAGTACTTCGAAGTAGAATGCTTGGTTGCCGGGTCTAAGGTATGATCAATACGACGATGAGAAGTAGGTTTGGACGAAATGGTAACGGCGATTGGACATTGCTTGATGGAGACATCAAGTTGAAGGGTCTCTACGAGCAGCTCCATTTCTCGTTCTATTCCAGTACCATGGTGGCATATTCTGGGCTGGGCGCGAGAGCGGGCGTCATGGAGGGTCATCTCTGTTCGTGGTAGGTTCGTCCTATGCATTACTAGTCGTCTCCGCGATGTCGGACTGCATATGACTGGCGGGCAGAATCCCAGGCTATAATCCTGCATCCTAAGTGGGATGTACCCCGACTCGAATCGGGAAAGGCGACAATGGCATGTAGATGACGGGTACATGAAGGTCGTTCTATGGTGTCGATGTACGTAGGAATCTGGAGTGGAGTGCTCCCGCAGTTGAAGAGAAGTCGATGAAGAAACTGACAGAGACTAGCGGTGAGATTAAACTCTTTCCACGTGATGTTTTGCTATCGCCCAGCTCTTAACTTTCCCTCCCTACGGAACCCAAGCCCCCTAAAGATTTACCTTATGGTTTTAGATCTCCCCCGAATGTTTATCCTTACTGCTTAAGTGTAAAGTTAATGTTTGATCCATGGTTTCAATTAATCATCCGTTGCGGGCCGCGACGGGAAGGCACGTTCAATTTGCACAGACATTCCATGGACAGGCCCATATGCAGCTTTGAGTTCGACATCTTAGACTGAAAACCAGTGGGAGAAGAATCTTGATGGTCTCTCTTCACATGGCCTCCACTAGGTCCCCCAATTCAGCCGAGCCATCATCTGATTTGAATCAGAGCGAATGAAGAAGGTGCTTGAATTCCGCCGGACTTTCGGATCTTGACAAAATTCTGGTCTATTTCCAGAAGCAAAGTGGATATTCAACTACATCCACTTTGCCAAATCCTGGAGAAATGTCTCCCGTGATGAGGATTTAGAATCGTAAGCGCCGAAGTGTTGGCTAGATGATCTCCAACCCTGTTCTAAGACTTCGATCGAAGTGGGGGATCGGAAGAGGGGCCCAGAAATGTCCCTCATTGAACAGAACTTCCGGGCTGAGCGATAACGAAATGTCTCAGTCTCGAAAATATGCCAGTTGAAGCATAACCAGGTGTCAACTCTCCCGGCCGGTTTTCCCCTCTATCCGTCTAGTTGCGCGAGCAGATTGCAGCGCCACCCCGGGCCTACCCTTAAACCCCTCGATCCGGCCATTCGTCCAACGATGGTCGGTTGAAAATAAAGGCGCACATGTGGAATAAGTGCATCTGATTGACTGACTTCGAAATATTAGTGGAGCTTGTTTGCAGCCTAAGCAGGTGTCAGGCGAGGTCAGGTCAACCTGCACGCGAATGCAATGCACGCCAGGTCAAGGCAAAAGGACACAATCTCGGGGTCCAGATACTTTGCTTTGCCATGGCATGTGTGGAATGCAAGTCGAAAATGCAGCAGCGCAGCAGTACCTTCCCAGAATATGCTGTTACCAGGCACATACTTGATGGGCCGTCCAATATAGGTATGCAGAACATGCAGCAGCATACCGGTGAGTAGGGATGGCCCAATAAATTCAACTAGGGGTACAATAAATTTATTGTTAAATTAATAGCCTTTACTATCCCCTCCCAAGCTTGAATGTTAAATCTCATGAAAACTGGAGCCTGTGTGGATAGCTGTCTAGGGTGTCTGTCCAATAAATAGAAATGCTTTGAGCCCTGGTAGGTCTCTAGAACCTTCTAAACCTGCCCTTGCTCTTGATAGAGACCATATTTTAGCTTGTGCTTTTGAGCTGTCTAGGGTATTCAGCTAATCAGAAGACTTCAGTCAGGCCTTCGCCCATAAAACTGGCAGTTTAAGATTCAAGCTTGGGGGGGGGGATAGTAGAGCGATAAATAATAAAATAAACGCCAAGGATAGGCCCAATTTTCGCTTAGCTTATTTCAGCTAATCAAAAGCCAGATATTTAAGGATATTTTACGTGGATCAAAATCTTAACTTAAATAGGGCATTTTAGGTAGGTACCTTACTATTATGAACGCACTCGGAAGGAGTATCACGTGTGTCTTGGCCCTGAGGCTCGGCGGCCTTACTACATAAAGAAGCTAAGAACTAGGAACGAAATCACGGGACTATATATCACGTGATAGCATAGAGCTTTTAGAACTATAGGATCTAAGGTTCCTAGAGCCTAGGATCATAGGACCTATAGGGATCCTCGAAGAACGAAAGTTCTATATAAGACTAGTATATCTACTATTAGATAAAAGCTTTATACTTAACTTTAAATAGTATTCTAATACTTAGTAATTATCTTCTTATCTACGTGATACACTTACCTCTCGATTATTAGAGATTAACTACAGCTTTCTATATTTATAGCGAGTAAATACCGGACTATTATACTTTAAGCACCTTCTTATTAAAGGTACTAACTCACGAAGATAATATATCCTCTGTTAAAGGATTATCGAATAACTACTTAGCTCCTACTAAGGTCTTCGACTTAAAGAATATACCTAAGATCGCCGCCCCGGATCTCTATAATAGAGACTAATCTAAGCTTAGAGTATATCTTATATAAGTTAAGCTCTATACGGGCTTTAATAGTTACTAGTTCGCTACGGAGACTAATAAAGTCCTTTAAGCTTCGTTCTTTCTCCGGGGATCTGCTTTTAACTAGATCGAGACTTTTCTCTTAGACTATATTTAGAACTAAACTAAGGATAAGAGAGTCTCTATAGTAATAACTAAGGAATCCTAGAAGATCTTTATAACTTTCAAAGGTTTTAAGTATAAGATTAACTACGTCTTCAGTGATATTAATTAGAACTATATTACTAAACGGAATATCTAGAACTTAAAGTAGGTCGGGTTAGTAACTATATATACTACTGCCTTCTAGTAATTCGCGAATTAGACTAGCTGGAATAATGACGCCCTTTAAGTATAGTATTATAAGGGGTTAAAGGATAGAGTAAAAGATAAGATAGTAAGATCGGACGCGCTTACTAACTTATAAGAACTTATTAAGATAGCTATTAAGATCGATAACCGAAATTACAAGAGAGTACTTAAGAAAAAAGGCTAATACCGCTCCGGAACGTATATATACTAAGGAAGAGGAGGTAATAATAAGAAACTATTCTACCCTTAGGAAATAGAACTTAATACGACGTTCCGGAAGCTAAGTTATTAAGGAAAGCTATATAATAGCAGGCTATTTAAGAAAGTTATAAGCAAGTAATAAGAAAAGAAGCTATACTTTAAGTATAACCTCCCTAGTTATATAGCTAGCTCTTATTAATAAAAGAAGTCGTGGATAGATAAGAAATATACTAACGTAATAGGACATGGCTCTTATAATAAACTAATATAATAACTCGCTATAATATATTAATATATAACTATAGATAAGCTTAAGGAGAATTATATCTATACCTAGTTAGGCGATTCTAACAATAGTAAGTGAGATTCCGCGAGTGTTATAGATTAGCTCGAGTAAACTATTATTAGCACGCCCCTTAAGGACTATATATATCGAGATAATAATAGCTCTAGGCTAGATAATAATATAGAGCTAATACTAAGTAATAGCGAGGAGGAGGCCTAGGAACCTAATTAGACTCTAGAACTAGGGCTACTTTAACTTAAACTCTTAGGACTAAGAGTAAGTGAAACTTAGGAAGTTACTTAAAAAGAAGAGAGCTTATATTAGGTTAGTTATAATACTCGCTACTAGACTAATATAGCTACTAGGGTTACTTATTAAGAACCAGGCCTTATTAGCTTAAGGGGTCCACCGTAGGGGGCAAGGTATGAAGTAGTCTACTGGGACTATAAATATATCGGGTAAAGAATAGCTAGTAGCTAGGAAGGACTAACGACCTTTATATAGCACTTACTACTCCAGAATACTATTATTCTTAATACTAGCGCGCCACTAGAGGTAAGTGAGGAATAAGAAATCATAGCTAAGAACCGATATAATAGGATATAGGTTCATATTAATAATAATAGCCGGTACTATTACGAGATATATAACCTAGTAACTTATACTAAACTTAAAACGGGATTTATATATAAAGTCAGCCTAAGCTATAGCAATCGAAGGGTATAAGAGAATATTCTCGACTATAATATATATTAGGAATATTTCTATATATAGTAACTTACTACTATTAGAGATAAATATCTCACGTTAGAAGTTAAAATTAAGGGAGTTAAGCTTTAGGTAATAGTAGACTCTAGGGTATAAGGGAACTTTATATCTCCTACTATTATACTTAAGTACTACCTAATAACTAAAGTAAAGAATAAGGGATATTATCTAGTACTAGCGGATAGTAAAGTTACCTCCGATAGACTAATTAAGGTCCAGACTACTCTAGTCTATATAAGTATTACCGGATACTCTGAAATAATCTAATTCGATATTATTAAGATTAGAAGATACGATATTATCCTAGGGTTACTATAGATAGAAAAGTATAATCCTATTATCAATTAGTAGATAGGAAAACTTAAGTTTAGTTATTACTAAGACTACTATTATCTACTAGGAATAGAAATAGTAAGTATTTAAGAGGTTAGTGCTACTTCTAAGGAAGAGCTCAGATACTAAGATAAGAGTTCACTGATAAAGGATATATTATTAGTATATAAGAAGTTTATAGTACTATTTAAGGAAGAATAAGGTATTAAGGCCTTACTAAAACACTAGGACTACGATTATTAGATCGAGTTAGAACTAGGTACTAAATTAATATTTCAACTACTTAGGGAATATTCGGCGATAGACTTAATAATAATCAAGTAATATATCGATAAAAACCTAGTGAAAGGATTTATCTAAGAGTCTAAATCTCTATAGGGGAGTAATATCTTATTCGCAGAAAAGAAAGATAGTAGATAATAAATATATATTAATTACTATCGATTAAATAATACTATAAAAAAGGATTGTTATATACTACTATTAGCTAAGGAGCTGCGGGATAGACTCGTTAGAGCTAAGATTTTCACTTAGCTTAACTTAAGAGAAGTATATAACCTTATTAGGATAGCTAAGAGTAAAGAAGAGAAAATAGTATTTCGTACTTATTTTAGTTATTATAAGTATATAGTTATACCCTTCAGCTTAACTAACGTACTAGCTATATTTTAGCGTCTAATTAATAATGTTTTATAGCTTTACTTAGATATAACGTGTATATACTATTTAGATAATATACTAGTCTACTCTAAATCAGAGGAGTAATATATAAAGGATATTATAGCTATTCTCTAGAGGCTAGAGAACGCCTGCCTATTACTTAAACTAGAGAAATATAACTTCTACGTAGATAAGATTATCTTTCTAAGTTATATAGTTACTACTATAGGATTAGCTATAGATCCTAAAAAGATTAAAGTAATTATCAAGTAAATAGGGCCTATAAATATCAAGAAAGTATAATTATTCCTTAGGTTTACTAACTTCTATAGGCGATTTATTAAAGATTACTTAAAAATCACCGGGCTACTTATAGAGTTAACTTATAAGGATAAGGAATTCTACTAGTCTAATAGCGCACGAAAGGCGTTTAAAGCACTTAAAGCGGCTTTTATCACGGAACTAGTGCTTACTTCCTTTACCCCTAATAAAGAAATACATATAGAGATAGATTCTTCAGACTACGCTATTAGAGCTATACTTAGCTAGCTAAGCGAGGACGGAAGATAATAACTAGTCGCTTACTATTCGCGGAAACTATTACTAGTAGAACTTAACTATAATATATATAATAAGAAGTTACTAGTAATTATAGACGTAGTACGTGAATAGAAGGTCTACCT